GCCTCCTTCATCCATGGCACCGCTGCCTCCTTCATCCATGGCACCGCTGCCTCCTTCATCCATAGTACCACTGCCTATCTTTCCTCACCCCATGGCACCGCCGCCTCCACCCCCCCCAATCGTACCGGTTGATTTCATAACGAAATCACACGAACTGAGAAAAGACCTGAACGCCCTTTGGAATGACCCCCTAGCCCAAGTTAGGGGCAACTATCTCATTCTCACCACGGTTCAAGCTGCTCTACTCGCTGAAGACGGGTTCCCTCCCTACACATGTGATGGTTATGAGTACAAGGTCAGTCTACTTGGACTAGCAGGCCTTGCAAGTTACTGGACACATCAAGAGAATCATTTCATGCAGCATCTGGCAAAGACCCTACTTTCTAGACTACAATCAGTCGCTCCAAAATCCAACGAAACGCCATATCAGTACCATGTTAAGCGGCTTGTTGGAATGATCAACCAGGAGATTGTTCACTGTGAATATGGGAAACAAACAAGAGGTATACTCAAGGAACTGATACCTACACAATCCAAGAACCGTTGTCAGCTCAGGATTAATGGGGGGCATTCTTGGGAGGTAGACTTAAACATGTTTCATCTAATCAACGGGTCTGTCAAGGTAGAACTGGCTAATACAGTTGTTCATGGAGATATGAAAGCTGAAGATGAAGCACAGGGTTGGACAAAATTATCTCTGTAACTACTTCACTATTTTTCCCACACAGCTCTTTATCTATATACATACCTCGCAATCAATGCCCAGCCCCCAGCAAAGAACCACACCGTGGACCTAGTTGAAATGATCCTGAAGCTCCCGCTTGCAAATCCCCTATGTGCACAAGAATAGTGAGGATAATAAAGCTCGAGAATGTGGTCTATGGCGGCGATACGAGGATGATTCATGCAACATTGCTACCCCTGTTAGGACCCATCCTGCCAGCACCGCAAACTCGCGCAAGGACACCGAAGACTGCGAACGCCTTCGCCTGTTTACCATCCCCTGCTTCTTGATCTCCTGCTACACCGATGCACGATTCTGCCCCGTGTCGTGCACTAATCACGACTTTGTGGTAACCTTGTTGCACTAATCACGACTCTGTGATAACCCTGTTGCACTAATCACAACTTTGTGGTAACCCTGTTGCACTAATCACGACTCTGTGATACCCCTGTCGCACTAATCACGACTTTGTGGTGCCCTTGCCACGTTGAGTGTGCAGGAAAGTTGGAAAGAGTATGGCATGGAAGAAATCGTGGTCTGCGAGAATACATAGGGGGGCGCTTGTATGATCAATTTCGAATTATCAACCCTCTCACCAAAAATCCCATTGCTCCGTACAGCGCAGCAACTCTGATCTTCACGCAACTCTCAAAGCCAGCTCCTACCTAAACATGCCTCAAATTACACCCACGAAGAAGACGTTATGCAATCATTGCCAAGAAGAAGTTTCCAGGACTGCTCCTGAGTGCCCTTTCTGCACAGGCCCACCAGCAGGTCAATGCAGACATCGTGATTGCAACAAATATCCGGCGGTTAAGCACGACTATGTTAAATAGTCTACGTACGATGCCGCGCCCCCTTGCCATATCGCTTCGCTGATAGTAAATAGTAAATCGGAATCACGTCCCTAGGATGATGCAAAGATTTGGGGGCTTGTGCTTAGAGCTGTGTTATTCGGTCTTTTTTGCCCCCAAACTATAGTCGAATTCATAGTCTTTTTGATATGACATTAAATATACAAATGAGACGATGTCCCAGTAACGAATGTGATTAGAATACTCGACCTGAGACTGCGCCACTTCGTTTGGCTGTGAAGGACGGAACCATCGCTTGCCTCAGCGCTTCGCGGGTGGACCACGCTGCCAACAAAAAATATCTCAGATATGTCGAGCACCAACAGCAGCCCGCTCTAACAGAGCCGATTGTGTTCCCAAATATTACTCAACTAAGAACAGTTAACAGGAGCCTTTAGAAGAGCAACGGGATGCTCACCGAGTACCTGTTTCTGCTTCAGGATCAGGATGATCGCACGTTGGGCATACTGTCCCTTTAATGCCTTTATCGCGGCAGGTTTCGCATGAAGGCATGTTTCGATTAAGAAAGTGACTCAGGTAGTTTGGCTGTTTGTTCGCTTCCAAGTGTATGTGACCTTGCTGGTGAGGTGAAATAGTGTTGGTAAACGCGCAACTCCGAAGGCTATTTTTGATTTTTTTTTTCTCGCAGCCTGTTGGGTGTATTGCGTTTAGAAACGATTGGCTGGAAGTTCCGAAGGCTGCAGAAATCACGGGCCGAGCTGTTTGGGGACGGATAAATGATGAGCCGACAATTACGCCAAGGGTTCGCTCCTGTAATCTGCCCTCGATATCCTTGGAACTCGTTACCTGAATCACGACAATGGGCAGTATCCCAACAGATTGTTATGAATGTGCTTGCTCTGCTTTTTTTCGGGATCGCGAGGCGTTGGAGACTCATCTTATAGACATACAGGTTGACACCTCTACACCTTGTTGATACAAACCTGACTTCTCCAGATCCAAAAAACCTACCACACTACTCAGCTTGAAAAGTGCCTTGCCCACTCGAGAAGCGGTAATGATGAACATTTCTGCGATGGCAGCTGTATGAACCTGTGTTTAACATGTCCTCACGATGTGTGCAAACCAAGATCGAAAGCATACAAGACAAGCGCGAACCTTGTGCGGCACTATGCAACACGTAAACATGTCCTCTTTTACCTTTGGACTATTCACTAATACCCTTACGACAGATGTCACATGCGATGAAGTATGTGTCTTTTGTTGCATACACTTTCAAGAGACTCATAAGTTTTTGAGACATGTCGATGAATGTCACAAGAAAGAGGAAGGCAGGAAAGCACTTTTTATTAGCTCTACGTGTGGAGAATTGATGATGAAAGTGACACACGAGCTTCATGTTGCACGGCACAAACCATCTTCCGACATAAATGTCGTAGGTAAGAGAAGGCGGGTAGACTCAGACGTGGACTACACTGAAAGAGCCGGGAAAGTTCGTGCAATGAACAACGGGCACCAGATCGCTCAAGCTGTCAACCAATTGAGTTACTCCAGGCAACCAACTTTGACATTCATAGGAACAGGTGGGGAATCAAGTAGTGTGAACATGAATGGGGCGGTGGACATGAACAGGGCGATGAACAGTGCGGATATACATGGAGGGGTCGTCATGAATGGGGCGGTGGACATGCACGGGGCGATGAACAGTGCGGATATACATGGAGGGGTCGTCATGAATCGGACGGATATGAATGGAAGGGTGGTCGTGGATAGTGTGGGAATGAACGGGTTCGGCGAGTCTCCAGGGGTGAGTTACCCCAACCAAGCGGAAGGTCTCAGGAATTTTAACTACGCTCCTATCTTACAGATAATAAGCTCACCACCTACGTTCTGGGGAGCGCAGGTTTAATAAAAACGACCAACTATGTCTTTGCTTTGCCGGCTGGATCTTGGAACGCGAAGTTCATACTGATCCTGGTACTCTCCATGTTTGCGACCTTTTCTCTCAATTCCGGCAAATCTGAAAGAAGCATCTTAGGCCAATTAGTAAACAGTTCTTCCGTTGCGAACATGAAGGTAATCGTGTATCCCTTCCGACTTTCCATGCAGAGCCGAGGATCGCGAATCATCCTAACTCCCGGTCAGAAAAGGGACTTGCATCGCGGTAGAAGAACTTACAAGCCCCCCTCTGGGAATTTCTTCTCGCTAGGTTTACAGTTTGCGTCAAGAAGTGCAGCTTGAGTTGTTTCAAACGTGGCTCGTTTACCGATCTTTGTATTTATGTTCGCTCGATGTGAACCACTCCAGCAAACCACCGTCGATCCTTTGGGCCACTGATGAACCGCAAGCGCAAGTAATCCGGCTTCAAATCCACCCGTGCCGAAGCATTCAATATGTCCAGGTAGTTCAATATACCTCAACCAGTGTCCAAGGCTGCATCTCTCGAACAGGGCTTCGAGTATGGATCGAACACGCTAAGGCGCATTAGATGTTACCTATAGGCAAAAACTAGCCAACTCACTGTATTGTCAAGAACGTGTTGTTTGCAATAATCTAAACCGTACGGTGACAGGAAGTCGAATCCGCTTTGCTCCATCTCCGACACTATACCACCCACTCCTGCGTCTTCAAGAATAAAATATCCTTCTTCAAGAAGCGACTGTAAAGCAGCCTCAAGCGAGAATGCCGTCGGCGCCATAGTCCACACTAGTCGTTATCGAGATCAGAGTGGTGTAATTTGCCATGTGGTCTTACGGACTTTCATCGAACAAAGACGAAACGCGAGTAGCAACTGGCGCTCGCACGTCCTTGTTCTTATGCAGCCGCGCTCTGTCCTTCGCAGGATAGGACAAGATAGCAGGCCGGTGTCGCTCTCGAATTCTGCCTGGTTGTCTGCCTTGTGTGTGGCGCTCCTTCCGGTCGAGCTTTCTCTTCTTGCGGCTGGACAGCTCGGACGGCGACAGCGGTGGTGATGGTGTTGACGCGCGGGGTGGAGGACGGGAGAGGTGGGATGGGTGGCTTCTGTTGACGGTCAACCCGAAGGTACCACAAAGTCGTGATGAGTGCCACACTGCGTTCCTAGGCCACAATGGTCGGACACAGCCTCTTGGAACGGACCGGATTAACCCACCCCGCCGGCTATCCGCCAAGCCTGTCAACCGGCATAGCTGCGGTGAAGTCGCGGCTAAAACCGAGTACGACTCAAATAAGTCAGATCAAAACAAACCAAACCAAACCGGTCGGACACAAACTTGCATGAAGATGGAGCAGGACCACCGATGGAAAAGCCATGAACGACAATACACCCTGACGGACTCAACATTCACTAAGAGTGAGCTTCCTGAGGAGGCATTGCCTATCTCCCAAGCTACTCGACAGAGGGTCTACCCCCGTTGGTCTCGCGAGCGTCTCCAAAACGAAGCAGCTACGCTCAAGTTCATCGCATCTAACACATCTATACCCGTCCCCAAGTTCCTGGGCTTGTATGAAGAGGACGGCCTACTACACCTCAAGACTGAGCGCGCGACAGGTATTCCCCTAGATGACTTGGCATCTGACACAGCTACCAAACATGTCGCCGACTGTTTAGAGTCGTCCATTCTACCCCGGCTTCGCGAGCTACGACACCACACTACTGGCAGCGTCGATGCCACTCTACCACTTATTCCACCAAGTCGAATAACGTGTAATGACAAACGCCCGAATTGGTCCCGAAAGACCTCATGCAATACAGATTTTGTGTTCTGTCACAATGACCTTAGCCAACACAACATTTTCGTTGACCCGGATACTTTCAAGATCACTGCAATCATCGACTGGGAATTCGCTGGGTACTTTACGGAGGAGTTCGAATATCCTCTGTGGGAAACGTCCTACAAGGACCGAGGACAAGATTATTTGCAAACTGATTGTCTAATAAGCTTTCTTGACGATACTGGTGAGAGCACGAACGCTGCGGATGCGAAGGCTTCTTATACTGATTACAAAAGGTTCGGCGCCAGTCGTTAGGGGCTTGTAAAGAGTCCCCGCGATCATCACCACCACGCTGTGCTCGCCCGGACTTGCACACTCGGCATTGCCCATCATCTCCCTCCCGATACCCGCACTATCTATCCGAGCACCTAGTCTAGGCTCGTGCAGCACGCGCAGCGATGGACAAGGAAAGCGTGGTCGTAAGCGCAAGGTGGCTGCACGAGAAGTAGAGGGCAACGCTAGTGGATGAGTCGTGCTCTGCTGGAATATGTGCGCGCTGAAATGCAGCGAAGGGTCTCGTTGCCATAAAACCTTGGTGTGGGCAAGACTGGCTGTGCCACAATATTCGCCATGCCTTAGAGACTCCTCGTCGGCAGGCTGAGGATACGTGAGCCTCTGTAATTAGCAAGGTCGATTAGACTGCGTGAACGCTAAATATTGGCGAATAACAATCCACTTCTTAATGTGCTGTCATTGCCCACGTGCTATTGCGGGCTAAGCCCGGAGTATTAGAGACCCCGCTCGTTCAGTTTACCCCGCCATTATGATATCAACAGTTTCAACCTGACCACAAACACGTCAAAATGGAAAACGCATATTTCTTTCTCGAGATTATCGAGGAACTGAAGAATATTCCACGACGTGGCTGGGAAATACGCAATGTGCCTAATCCTGAGAGTGTTAGCGACCACATGTACCGCATGGCGATCATGTGCTCTATGGTATCAGGGGTACGGTTCTTTTGTTTCCAATCTTCACATCATTACTAACCTGGTTAGATTGACGAATATACGCGGACGAGGGCAGTCGACGTGGCGTTAATTCATGATATGGGAGAGGCTATAGTTGGGGACATCACTCCTTCAGATGGGATAAGCCGAGGTATGCAAATGGCAACATGCTAACTGTATCTAATATATCGTAGAACAGAAGCACGAAAGAGAGGAGATGGCTTTAAAGTTCCTGAGGTGCACTCTTCTTGACTCGCATCCAGACCTAGCAAACTCGGTTCTAGATCTGTGGTATGAATATGAGGCCGGTGAAAGCAAGGCAGCAGTCCTGGTCCGACAGCTTGATAAATTGGAGTGCATAAATCAAGCAGTCATCTACCAGCAAAGGACTGGAATCAATCTGGAAGAATTCATGGATTTGAAGAAGGTTGTTACGATGCCAGAACTAAAGCCGCTGCTGGATGCGTGCCTGCAAAAGCACAAGGAGACGAAGATGAGAAAAGATATGGATCTCCTCGTGATATCTGTCTCTGGTACGTACCGTGCATTGCAGCCTCTTATCTATTTAACACTTCTAGGGGGCCCTGGCGTAGGAAAAGGAACGCAATGCGCTCGGCTTGCTAATGAATTTGGGTTCCATCACATCTCAGTGGGAGACCTGCTGCGCGAGGAAGCGGCCCGTCCCACGTCACCTTATCACGACTTCATCCCTGAGAGTATCAAAAAATCAGTACTACTTCCCGCTCAGCTCACCACTCAGCTCTTGAGGCAAGCGATGAGCAGAGCGCAGTCTGAAGGCAAACGCAAGTTTCTGTTGGATGGATTTCCTAGGAGTATCTCGCAGGCTGTTGACTTTGAATCAAAGGTAGATCCCTACAACTGTGATCTACCCACGTTAACACCAGCTACAGATCTGCAAATTCCAAGCCACACTGTCCTTAGAATGTTCCGAGGCAGAACTCAGGGATCGCTTGCAGCGTCGCTCCGCGTTGTCAGATCGGATTGATGACAACCCGGATTCTGTTGTAAGGAGGCTTCAGACCTTCAACGAACACAACGCAGAAGTTCTCAAACACCTGCAAGCAAGTGGTCCGCTATTTCATGTATGTGTAACATTCATGAGACCAAATATGTATAGTAACCAATGACGTACAGATTGAATGCCGTGGCACAATTGAAGAAGTGTATATGTCGACACGTACGAGAGTTCTTGAAATCTTTGGAATGGAATAGTTGTTACGAGCAACCGAAATTGACAGCGCTCACTGGTATGAAAGGTTTGGTGTTATCTTCGAACGCCGAGCGACATAGAGAGAAATCTACACTGGATTCATGCATCCAATTGTATTGATCCTTAGCTGGTCCATTCGGTGGCATCAATGTTCTAACCGAGCCGAACTCTTCTGGGACCTCCTTCATGCCCAGCCGCAAATATGCCAGGAGCATATTGCTCACGTACACGCTTTTGCTAACAAGTTCAGTAGCCTTTGTAGGATGTCGCCACTGATATTTCTAGGCATATTGTAAGCAAGCGGTATCAAAACGAGCATAGGTTACATACGTTGTCGTTTGTCAATACCCAATATAGCAGTCTCCAAATATCCCTTTCCCGGATGTGTAAGAGAAGGATTGTCACTATGAATATAACACCCCACTGTGCGCTTTTCCTCTGGAACATAGCACGTTGGAGTTGAATTAGACATTTCAGTTCCTGTGAAGCACAAAATTGTTCTAACAGTCGGTCCAGCTGATTTTGGAGGACACGTGGAGCAGGCGTGGTGCCACAGAGCATGGAGTTTCGGTCGTGACAAAGCGGCATTCCGAGGCTTGGTTCAGTAAGTCCCCAACCCTTCATAAGAAGGCGATGAGCAGACCAGAGCTTAAGAGTCTGGTAAATCAGCGGTTCCTAGGCCGAGTTAGATAGTGTACCGAGGTGCTCTAGGATACTTACATGGAGATATGACTTTGCTTGTTCTAGGATCACATCAAGCCAGGCTTCGTTTGACCCGTTCTCGCCCAGGAAGAAGTCGACATATTGTTCAATGTAGATTTCTAATCGTTCTGGTTGTACTGGATCGAAAAGTGCGTACGGACTCGTCGGTATTGAAGCCCAACCCTTGGTTGTTTTGTGAAACAAATATGTTGGATCAAGCGACGTCAATTGGAAAAGTGAACAAGTAATTCCAAAGATAGGTCCCTTCTCGAAATGTCGAAGGTAAGCCTTGATCGGAGGAGACCATAAGGACAGATGTTCCCACGCAAGCATTGACTCGTATTTAGTTTCTTGCCCTTCTTACCGATTAGCTTTGCCAGTGAAATTGCGGGAGATTACCAAGTTACACTTCTGAAACACAGGGTTCTCAGTGAATTGCACTCGAATGCAAAGATTGGGAAAGATACTCGATTTAGCGCACAAGGCGCATATCTGACGCTGGTCGCACTACAGATGTTATTTGCCTTCCTAAGCAAGGGAATATAATACTCATACCTTCCTTTTGGTAAGCCTGCAACGAAAGCAACTGGAGACTGGGTTCAGCTGGTGTGGCACCTGTGAGACCACCGTGATCTGACGCTGTATGTTCCGCTGTGGCTCCAGCGGTTGTTGTTGGTAAGATATGTTCTCTACGTCCCTGGCCGCATCAATGAAGTCAGGACGTTGGTAAGCGATTCGAGCGTGAATTTCTGAAGGGTTACTTGAGGCCTCTGGTGAGATAAATGCCTCCATTGCACCAGAATTCACGCTAATCTCCTCACGGAGGGCATGGCGGAGGTCAATATAGACATTTTCAGGAATATTATATCGATTCTTCCAACGCAAAAGAGGGGTCGTCATGTTTCCTTGCATAGCGAAGCAGGTGTGGAGAGTGAGTGTAGAAGGCAAAATAGCCCCGCCGGACCGGATCTCTTTATCGTCTCCGCCTTGGCAGACTCTAATCCATACATCGACTAGCTGATTACAAAATCACGGAATATCAACGTTGCTACACGTAGGGGTAGTCCAGACATGCTTTGCAGAGGACATAGCAGCGCTCTGCACGTTTGAATCTTGATAGCTCATAGAACCTGGTCAGGCCCCTATCCTGATAGATCGGCAGCTGGACATTACGAGCTGGCTTCCCATCGTTGACTTCCATCTACCCCTCGCCTTTCTCAGATGAATGGGCCAGCTTCTCTAGAACCTTCCCAAAGAACCGTCCCCAATACCCCCTCTCCCCTTGATCCATCCCGTATTCGAGTATATTCCCATACAGCCTAACCAGCCGAAAGATTCCACGTACTGAATCTGTACTTAATCTGTCAAACCGATCTATTGGACCTAGAATATGCGTACCACCCCATCCAGACAATAGGCCGTCGCGCGGATATGCGTAGTAGACAGAATGTTCGTGCCCAACAACGGTAAGTGCAGGCTCGATCATTTCAGTCGGCTCAAACGGCTCTTGCGCGAGTTGCGCAAGTTCCTGCTTTTTGCGCAAAGATGCAGCAATCCATATGCTCATTTGAAGCTCGGCTTCAGTATGATCTCCAGACATTGGTTTAATCTCTAAGCCCGAGAAGAGTGCGGTTCGCTTTGTAAATGTATCGAGTGTATGTCCAATCTCTCTCCTATTAGCAACATCAAGTCGCTTGTAGAGAGCGGAAATATCAGGGTCATGATGCGAGTATGAGAAGACGTAATCAGTCTTACGATCGATAGGTTTGCGGCGGGCAGGATCAGTAACGGTAGGGGTAGGGATCGTGGAAAGGTAGCGAGGATTGATAGACTGCGATTGTCTAGAGGAACGATCATATTAGCTCCTGGATCATATTCAGGGAGGTAGCACATGCACGCTCTGGAACCACCATCGATCATTGCCATATAACTCCATAGCCAAGTGAACAAGAGGTCGCACCACATCGTCACACCATGCATTCTCATCCCGGCCGCCATTCTTGCAATCGCGCGCGTTCAGGAAGATCTCCTTAATCTTCTTCCACATTGTAGACAACTCCTCTGCAGTACGCGTATCGTTGCGGTTAAAGTCAGCCGGTCTAGTGGTCTGGTAGCCTATCTCAGGGTCGTTCTTGATAAGACTCTACACGTGTAAGTCTAATAAATAAATCTTTGGGTGGTGATGCGTACTTGCAAGGCGTGCGGAATAAAGTGGAAGTCTACGCCATCGGCGAGCCGCTCACCAAGCTCTTCAGCGTGTGGGGGAGGCGCTTCATGGAGTCCATTCAGGCTCTCTGTCCACACTGGTGGCCACGCACTCCTTAAGATGACCGGTGTCTCGCGCGCCGGGCTTGAAGAACGATTTGGACTGGAGGAAGACACGCGACTGGCGGGAGGGCAAAACGTATTCGTTCGGTTTAGGGCAAGGGCATTCTCGCTCCCGACCTGCGACACGCTTTGGCCAGGCTCAACAATATCAATATCCCTCGTTCTCTGTCGCTTTGGGCTTTCGTTGCGGTGCGAGCTGGAGCTGGGCGCATACATAGGGAGGGACGCGGCGCGCTTCCGCTTTAAGGGGCGTAAATAGGACTTCCTTTCGGTGTCAGGAGGAGGGGTGATAGGGAGATATGATGTATGCGCAGAATTGAGCCACGACCTGATGCGATTGTGGGAAGGACATTCGAAGTCCATTGTTGTCTACAGAGTTGTTGATGCCTAACAATGCCAGATAATCAATGTCGGCACTGCCAGTTACCGTTCTCCGACCGGCGCACGCCACAGGGGGCTTGGCCAGGCTTGGTCGGCCTTGGTCTGCAACAAACCTAAAACCAGATAGGTCCGTATATAACTTACATCCTCAGTACATGTAAGTACCAGAAGCGGGCGCGCGTTACCGTTTACAGTGAAATACAGAGCTCTGCTGGAACTCAATAATGAGTCAGTTGGTTATCACGTCAGTCTAACATCAACGTTAGGTTCACTGAAGGTCCCGTGTTCAAGCCACGGCCAAGTCATATCTTTTTGCGTAATTCGCGGCAGGTTATTTTCTTTTGCTTTTGTGCTTTATTTTGTCACATTTTGCTTAATAGAGAAAGGGCTCCCGTGTGCGCCTGCTGCGGGCTGTTTTGTTGCCGTCGTCCCTGCCAGCCCTCGGCAGTTTCCTCGCGTGGGCTGTTTTGTTGTTCTACCGTCGTTCCTGCGAGCCCTTGGCAGTTTTCTCGCGTGGGCTGGTTTGTTGGTTGTTGATGATTAGGTAACCACCGTCGTCCATGCCAGCCCTTGGCACGTTTCTCGCTGCGCTCGAAGCCTGCCAAGGGCTGACAGGAACTCCGGTGGAAAGGTCCCGAGTTCAAGCCTCGGCTGAGTCATCCTATGCTTTAGAAAGCATATTCTCTTTTGCTTTTTGGGTGGAGAAGGTTGTGGGAGCAGTAGAGGTTGATTTAGGAGCGTGTGCGGTGTTTTGGTCATTTTTCACGCCTAATTCAATTTTTGATAATTATTTTTGTGAACTCTAGACACAGAATCGCAATGTACCAAATCATGTATCAAATCCCTAGGTGGGGGCAATATTTGTTGCTTGGTAGTGATCAAAAGTGGTACTCATGAGCCACAACCTCGCACCACCAAACCCACCATACGTCACCACCCACTACGAGTTCGCACACATTCCAACTCCTTCTCAATTACTCACACCATTTACCATCGATCATCGTTCACAATGGCATCAACGAGCGATCTCGCAGATTTGAAAACGCCGCCGGCCTGCGTTGCCGACTTCTGTCTCATTCCACTAGGCACTCCGACAGCTTCCGTGTCCAAGGAAGTCGCAGAAGTCCAGCGCCTGCTAAAGAAGAGTGGCTTAAACTACTCGATGCATTCTGCGGGGACCACTGTTGGTACGTTTCACTCACCGCCATTCTCATCTTCCCTTCGGAGATATATCGCAACACTGAACACGCAATGTACAACAAAGCATTGCAGATGAGGACAGGAGCTAATTGCTTGAATCAACAGAGGGCTCATGGGACGACGTAATGCGCGTCATCGGTCTGTGTCATGCCCTCCTTCATCAAAACGGCATTGTGCGGATTCAGAGCGATATCCGGGTGGGGTCGAGGACGGATAAGAAGCAGGGGTTCAAGGACAAGGTGGAGGCTGTGGAGAAGTTGTTGAAGGAGGATGAGAAGTGAAGTGTCGTGTGACAAGGGGTGTAGAATGAATTCAGTTCAGAGCTCGAAGGTATGCAACGGTTGTCGTGCCATGGTCGCTATGTACCTCGACATGTTACACAGGCTATTCATCCACAACATTTGCTCACGATGATACAAAGATTCACAACAAAGGTCGCACAGGGAGTCGTCCCCGCGGATTTTCTTGCCAAGGGGCTCATTAGCGATAGAAACCCCACCCCTTATCGTCGATTGGCTGTCTTCTACGCGACGTAGTAAACTTGTTAGGCATGCTGGCTATAATGACGATGTTAAGTAGCTTTCAGGGAGGAACAGGGTATGTTTGCTGGCACACGCGCAAGGAGAGATGAGGACGAGACAAAGGGTTGGCGGGTGGAGGAGTCCTGTTTTGATTGTTTGAGAACAAGACTTCCAACCAACTCTGTATAATAAGGAGGGGTGGACGCGCGCAGCATCTGTATCGACTGGTTACATTCTGTGCCTTGCAGTTGCAGCTTGTTTTAGCACCAATCACTGTATTGTTTCTCCCGCCGGCTCCCGGTCTGGCCCCTGGTTGCGAGTATACGGTGTGCTAGTCTGCAGCCAAACGAAAAGTTGGCGAGCCGAGTGGCTGCATCGTTGAACCCGGAAAATCCCTTCGACCTCACACCACAATCACCTCGAGCCGACATCCATTGCTGCGACGCCGCGCCCGCTTAATTCACTCACCTGGACGTTCCAGTGAGCCCACAAACCCCGGATTCTTCTAATTCTGCTTCGTGTAATGTGCATGGCGAGCTCCACGAGACAAGCGCTTGCACGCGACACCATCGTCATCTGCCAACAATAGCCTCGCCCACCACGGGAAGCCTCAACGCCTCCATCGGCCCCGCTGAGCGCACCTCTCGACCATGGCCTTCAACTTCAACTGGTCGCCGCTGATCGCGGACACGTCGCGCGCGCGCGATATGCTCACGACAGCCCTCAACAAGTCGCCCAAGCCGCCCATCATCGTCGACGACATCATCGTGACCGAGCTAAATCTGGGCACAACACCACCCGAGCTGGAGATACTGGAGGTTGGAGACTTGGCCGAGGATCGGTTTAGGGGCATATTCAAAATGTCGTATACAGGCGATGCCTTCTTGACGCTGAAAACAAAGGTCCAGGCAAATCCGCTGAACACGTACCTATCGACCAAGCCGGACTTTGCATCGCCTCAGCCGCTGGCTGCCTCGTCGGGCTTGACAATACCGCTGCAAATCACGCTGTCGAATATCCGGTTGAGTGGTTTCGTCATTCTAGTTTTCTCGAAACAAAAGGGCCTGACGCTGGTATTCCGGAACGATCCTCTAGAGTCGCTGAAGGTGTCATCGACGTTCGACTCGATACCCTTTGTGCGAGACTATCTGCAGAAGGAGATTGAAGGACAACTGCGCGTGTTGTTCATGGAAGATTTGCCAGCAATTATTCATCGATTATCGTTACGGTTGTGGTCACCCGAGTTTCAAGAGCTGGAGACAGAAGAGCGACTGGAAGGGAATCACGATACCACTGCCCCGATCGACCCTCTCGCATCACCTCCACAAGACGCCGTCGATGCGTTCGGCAACCCTCTGGACGAGTCTGAGATATCAGCGTTGTCCCTCGATTCGACCGGTGAGGTGCACGCATCCTTCTCACAAAAGAATATTCTTCGTCTCGCAGCGCTTTCTGAGTCACAACGGACCCTTTCACTCTTCACGCCTGGTATCCGCGATGCCGTCTTCCGCGCCTGGGCAGGCCACTCAGACAAGCCCGACTCCGGCGCTGCAACACCAGCACTTACGCGGGGCAGTCTATCAAGGATACAGTCGACTTTCGGCAGCCTTCAGTCGACTTCATCTTCCGTCGCATCTGGTAGCACAGAGGGCGATACAAATAGCTTGCGACCTACCCTCTTGTCAACCCACTCCATGCCTGCGGGCCTGAGCCTTGGTGCTAATCGATCACGCACTGGTGGCATGCGAAAGCGGAAGAAGCGCGTGGTGGACCTACGGAAGAAAGATGGCGCAGAGTCCTCTGGCTTGTCCACCGAAGCAAGCACTCCGCTTCCGAGCACGTATGCCTCCGAGACATCGAGTGTTATACCCGAGGAAAGGGAAGCTGAAGAGGAACTGGCTACGCCATCGCCACCAAAGAGCTCTGTCAATGCTGGTCTCCATTTTGACGGCCGACATGGTAGTCTTGATGTCGGTGAACCAAGCCTAATCTCACAAAGCACACCTACAACTGCACCTCTTCTCGCTCCCTCACCCTTACTTTCCGAGTCACCTACTTTCCTCAAGTCGCAGCGAAACTCAAAACGCCCCCAACTATCTCGCACCGAGTTCCGAAAAGCCCAACAAGCCACCTCTCCCCTCCTGCGTTCTCTATCCTTTGACAGGGTTCCCTTACTCGCCTCGCCGCCTTATGTCGAGAGCGCGGGCTCTTCAGGTGGCATCTTGGAGCAGGCGTGGATGCTCAAGATGGCGCAGGAGATTGCGCGTAAGGTGCAAGAGGAGAAGGATAGGCCCACTTCCAGGCCATCCCGACCACGGAGGCAGACTGAGAAAGCTGCTGCAACGGGAGGCATGTGGGCGAGTGAAGACGAGATTGAGGCCCCACCTGCTTATGTTGAATGAATCACGTAAAAAGCAGGGGAGCAAAATGATCTTATGAGTAATGGGCATTATGATTGGCGCTTTTTTTCCCTCTCTCCCTTCGTTCTTTTTTCCAAGCCTTCCACTCACTATCTTTCCCTTTTCATTGAATTAGCAAGTTCGTTTTTTTTCCAAAGTTTGTCAATCACTCCATATCAGTTCTTTTCCTTTACTAATTTAGTTGGCTGTCTGGTCTGGGTCTCGGGGAGGAATATACCAAAAGTTCGCACTCGTCATGGGTATTGTCATAGCGTTTAGTGCGTTCAAGCATAGAGGATGGAGCGGGACTGGTCAATGGGAAGTACTTGTGGTCTACTGTCTTGGACTGTATATATGGCATGGCGGCTGGTTTAGAGGCAAAAGTCACTCGCGTGCTTTTGGCGTAGATACCCTCTTTTATTACTGTCTAGCTTTGTCTGAAGTCTTAATAGATAAATGGTATTCTGCTCTACGAACTGAGTGATATTCACAAGTTTTGCAATCCCTCTCACAATGTCATCTCTCATGAAATAATATCTACTCCCTCTTCAGACCCACCTTTCCTGCCTTGCGAAGTCCAATCACAGCGATGAAACCGCAAACAATCATGTAGGCAAACATCAGCCAGTAGCTAGCCCGATATCCCTTGAGCAAAGCAATCGAATTCTGCTCCTCGAATGCACCGCCAGCATCGCCTCCATGTCCAGCACTCGACGCACTGCCTCCCTCTTTGTCCTGTATGCCAAGTGCAACGACCTGGCAGCTCCCCATACCGATACTCATGCCAAACTGCCCAACAGTGTTGAAAATAGCGCCGGCGAGAGCCTGCGTCTCCTCGGGGAAACTGTCGCTGACGATGATGAGGCCAACGGTAAAGAGAACGTCCGCGCTGAACGGAGCGAAGACTTGTGCCCAGAAGGCTAGTTTCCAGTAGCTCCATGCCGGCGGAACGAGCGCCATGAGCAGGGGCGAGAGGGCGCAGATCAAGGCTGAACCTGCGACGAGCCAACGTGCGGGTATGCGGTGCACGAATACGCCGACGACGATGTTGATGAAGATTCCAGTTGCGAGGTTTGGAAGGAGGTAGAGGGAAGTCGTTAGTGCGGAGGCATGTTTGACTTCTTGGAAGCTTTTGCTTTGTGTCAGTGAAGCTCTTATGATTCATTTCATCTTATGTGCCAAGCTTTAAAAATGCAGGATACGTACTAGAGACTCGAGAATAGTTCAATGCTGTTCATGACGCCGGAAGACAAAGTGACCATGATGCACGTGCTAGTAAAAAGGTGGTTCTTCCACAATTTGTTGGGTACGAGAGCAGGCTTTCCTATGCGCTCACGGTAGTGCATCCACGCTGGGAAAGCGAGAAGGAGGATGACGCTGACAGTGAGGAGGGATGCTGTTTCTGCTGAGCGGATGCTTGTAAGATCTGCGCTCAGGATGCTGGTGACTATTAGCCTACATTCGCGAACATCATGCAAAGAAGAAGCGGAATACTCACGCCAGAACATAGGCCAGGATAGCCAACCCGCCACTGGATATGATGCCACCAACCCAATCAATCTCCCTACCCACTTTTCTCCAAAGCGCAATGACTTCGCCTTGGTTCTGTGACTTCAATTTAGGTAATGTCCACAGCGCAGCAACAGCAACAGCCAATGTACATCCTCCCGCAAGATAGAAACCAGACCGCCATCCCGCTCTTTCAATCATGACACCGCTAAGCACGAGACCAACGGCAAACCCTAGTGGCTGACTGAATCCAAGACACGCAAACCCCAAATTCCTGGCTCGTCCACTTGGTACAGCTGCAGCGATGATAGCAACAGAAGCAGGTAAATGCAGAGCCAGCGCGGCACCCTGCAACGCCCTGAAGGCCACAAGCTGGGAACCAGTCTGAGCAAAGCCACAGAGGAGCGTGAACAGGCCAAGCAAGGTGATGCCCACGAGCTCGACAGACCGCGCACCGACGATGTCTGCGATCGAGCCGGCGATAAGAAGGGCGGCACCAGATGTTAGACCGTAGACGGAAGAAGGCCAGAGATAGAGGGATCGCTCTAGGGCGACAGAGCGGGCGATAACGGGCAAACCGATGGTCATGGTGCCATTTGTGAAAGAGGCGATGAAGCCCACCAAAGCAGGGGTGAAGATGGTCAGGAAGATGCGGACATTGAAAGCTGATGTTGGCTGAAGAACGAAGGAAGACTCGACATCAGAGGCATGTTGGCTTCGATCAGACTGTCGCTGGGAGGTCTGGGAATACTGGAGAGATGGGTCGCGAGGTGCTGCTTTTGACGGTACTTGAAGTTCGAAGACCTCGGTCGCGGTTTCGGTGATAGTGCTCATCTTGAGAGTACCTGGAGTTCAGATGAGGGCTCTCAGGCGGCGGCTAGGAATGACGACGAAGCCTGGTTGAATTTGAAAAGTCCTGATCAATCGAGTGACATACTCCTAGCTACTTTTGAGTAAGCGCTAGCCTCAGGCGTACCGGAACCGAGTCGAATGCGACTTGCAAGGTTCCAATGGTAAACTAGTAATATTTAATTTTCTGACTTATTTGGGACGGAAGAATATGCGTATGCGTGAAAGTTGTCGACTTCAGGTGTCTTCAAGCAGGAGAAGAATGAAAGATGTGTTGCGCGACTAGCTCTGCGCCCTATGACGATGGACATGTCAAAACTAGGCCGGTCCACTGTGATTCGTCCATGGCGGGGCAGGACGTCAGAATTGAACAAAGGATGTAAGGCAGCCACTCAAGGGAAATATCTGGCCGTCTCTATCTCAATTTAGTAGGCTGCGTGGGAAAACAGCACCTGGGTGGGTATTGTGTATGAAATAGACGGCTCGGCGGGGTATACCACCACCCCAGTCAATACATAAATACCGCGTCAGGGTTGTTTTACCACTTCATGTCGTCCTTGTACCAAGATCTTAAAAAATCTACAATTGGCACACGTCTTCGTTCATGCGTAAGTAAAATCAGTCGTGTTGTGAGAGAGCTATCATTCACGATAGAACAGTACATCCACTCCTGATGATCGATTATGCATCGCGAGGGGCAGCTCGATCTCTGCAGTTCCGCCTTCCAGTGCTTAGAACTCCCTCTCATAATTACCGCAAGCAGGTGGATAAGCCCGGAAGCTGCTCTGTTGTCTGGATCTCTGAAAATAGCACGACAGTACTCAAGGCGCCTTTAGCTTTCCATCTTGATGGATGCGACGATGCAGTTACAATGGAGTATCGGAGCTGTGAGAAAGAGTCAGTTGAGCTGCTAGAACGGGAAAAGGAGATATATATGCATCTTGGCGAGCATAAAGGCATTCTTCCATGCTTCCAAAGCACCGATTCTGGGCTGGTATTTCCGTACTTGAAGAACGGCAATCTTCGGCACTTCCTGTGCAATTCTGCGGAACTGATCGTCTTCTCTATGAGGCTTGACTGGATCCAGACGGCTTTGAGAAGTATTCAGTATATCCATTCCAAAGGGGTCCTTCAGGCCGACATCAGCGCCCGCAACTTTCTTGTAGCCGACGATCTGTCACTCTGCCTTTGTGACTTTTCTGGTTCAATGATCGGGGCACGGAAGAATTTGGTGCGGCCAGAGACTCGTTACGAAAAGTTTGAGGGCACAGAGCCAGTCGATATCTCAGTTCGCACAGAGATTTTCGCCGTTGGGAGTCTCATCTATGAGATTAGCACCGGAAAAAGACCATATGATGAACTTGAAGACGGTGAAGTCGAGCATCTTTTCAGGCAGGGAGTGTTTCCGACAACCAGCAGCCTGTATTTCGGCGGGATTATCAATAACTGCTGGTTAGGGCATTACAAGACGGTGGCAGAAATCTTGCATGCCGGCCCATTTACTGAGGGCACGCCATGCCTGCCCAAGTCTGGCTAGCAAGGATATGCATGCTTCCCTTGGAAGTGTATCGCTAAGAGAGTTCTATAGACATGTAGCGTGTAATAGCTAATTCCTCCCTGACGAATATAGATCACAACACGGGGAGAAAATGTGACAGTCGGGAGAGGGCTTAGTAGTAGAGGAAGAGATTTCAAAGGTTAATCAAAGAGGATAGTAGAGGTTAGATAGTTATAGATAGTGAATGAACGCAAGAGTCGTAGAGGAGCTGGGTGTATATCGGAAGTCGAAATGTCGTGATGTTGGTGGACGTGCGGTTGCTAGGGCAGCGTGTTGTTTGGGTGACGTCGCTTCCCCAGCCTCTTCGGTCAACCTCCTCGATTCCCAGCCACGCCCACCCGCCAACATCAAGCCAAAGTAAACGGGAGCCCACAACTCTCACATTCCACACCCCACGCTACCATTTTTACAGAGCTCACCCTGACTACATTGCCAGTTGCATTCACTGTTCCGCTTCCAACTCGACAAATTACTTGCCTGCCGTCTGGCCTCTCACCTACACTCGCCCGCCCACCATGGCGCCCCATCCCGAAATGTCGCCCAACGAGCGCAGCCTTTCGCCCATGGCCGTCCGCGACATGCATCTCGCCAAATCCCTCATCAAGCGCGCTGACGAAATGTACAAGAACCTCGCGTCTGCCGGCGCCCGCCCAGCAACCAGTCTCAAAGGCCCCGGCTTCCAGGTCCTCTTCGCCCTCATCGCCGTCGGTATGACGCTCATGGCCCTCTGGTTCTTCTTCTGGGCCAAGAACGGCGGCTTCAAGTGGCGCGGCAAAGATGACTGGGAGGACTACAAGTCGACGGTGATGCGGAGGAAGGGCCCGGATGGAAAGACTCTCTCCAACGCTACGAAGAGCACCAGGCTAGGCGGTGGCAGTGTCGTGCATGGAGGCAGTTATGGTGCTGAGAGCAGTGTCGGCTACACCGACGAGACGGGCACCAGTGCAGACATCAACGAGTACCGTGACGCCGAGGAAGGCAATGGAGGCATCCGTGGCGGTGACGGGAAGAAGCACAAGAAGAATCGCCGCGACCACACCAACGACTACAAGGACCCTGAGCTACGCAACTACCGCCACGAGAAAGCAGCCCGTGTCGGCGGCCTCAATCGCGCCGCCGATGGCGAGTACACAGACTACTCTGGCTCACAACCCGCCTCGGAGCTCGGCTCCAACGTCTCCAGCAGGCCACTCGTCCAGAAGGAACCCAAAGACCCTAAGAAGGAAGCCAAGGAGAAGGAACGTCGTGCAAGGGAGCGTATGCGCAAAGCAAAGGCTGCCGAAAAGGACGCCGCTAAGAACGCCGCCGCTGAGGCCAAAGCACGCAAAGATGCCGAGAAGGCTGAAGCAAAGAAGGCCAAGGAGGAACAGAAGAAGACTAAGAGGACTCGCTCTGAAGCACCTGAAATGGCCGAAGTCTCCCGCCCGCTCACCGAATACACTGCAAGCGAATACACTGCCCCTTCAGAAGCCCCCCGCCCAGCTGTTGCTGGTCCCGCGGGTCCTCGTCGCGCCCCTCCGTCCGCAGCATACTCGTTCACAAACGGCGACGACACCAGTACCGTCTACACAGGCACCAACACCGTTTCTTCAGAGCATAACGAATCGTCCTACTACTCTGACTACCGCCCTAACGCTGATCCTACCGCCTACAAGTCCCAAGCCAACGACAAGACACGTTCTCGATCTTCCCGCCCCTCACAAGACCGTCAATCCCGCCAGTCCCAGCCTCGTACTCGCCCCTCTGGCTCCCGTCCCGCATCTCAGTCTCCCCGCAAGCAGCAACGTTCCTCGCGCGCTCCTCCGTCTGATATCTTCACCGCGGCAAACGGCGACAGCCGCGGCCACATGTCGTACCCCTGCCACATTCCCGGCTTGAGCCAGGCCAGCAGCGTTGGAGTAAACGATAGCGTGAGTCAAGCCGGCGCTCCTACCAATGCGAAGCGTGGACGGGACGTCATGGACGGATATAGGCGTGGTGGTGTGAGGACTGTAGGAAGGAGGGACAGCCTGAGCGACAGCGACCGTGACTAAATTGGTGCGTGCGCATGACTTTGCATACTTCTGGCGTTTTTCGTTTAGGCATGGCGCTTTTGAATCATATTGGGATAGCGACTCGAGGATGTACAGTGTACATACAGTGCGTGCGGAGGATACCATACAAACAACAGGATGAACCGGATGACTAGGATGAATGAGTCACAGACCTTATGTAGCAATACCAATCAATCAATGATCTCACGAACTTGTTTTCTTCAATGTGCATAATTATATGCTGTGATAACAAGCCCTAATATAATGTGGATTTCTTGTATTGTGTAAACCTTACTGCCTTAATACTGTATTAAGGTGCTGGGTATAGCACCTGAACTGTGATTTTATACTGATTTCTCTTACTGCGTTGTATGATCCGCTCTAGCGTTGACTTTACTTTCTCTCAAAGCAATAAGTGTATTTCTTTTTTCCCTTTTCGTGTAAGTAGTAAGCCTATCTGTTAAAAAGCTATACTAATCGAAGGTAAATCCTTCACATCACAATCACTTAACCTATGCAAAACATCACAAGAGCAGGCGAAGACAATGCATAAGAAGCGACAAGGGTATATCCATTTACTTGTAATATAAAAAGACAATCGATCAAGCAGTCCATGAATCCATCCATCCATCTCATCCCAGGCACTCGAAAAAAACAAAGATGAAGCCCGCCCACAAGAGTGCTAAAAAACAAACTAAGATGAAACAGGTTGGGGAAAAAAAAGGCGCTGAAACTAGACTAGACTGCTGTCATGATGGCTACATACATACATAGATAGGGCATTACCTCATTCCTCCGCGTGCGGCATTATTTCCCCGCGCCCAGCTCAGCTGGCGTGGAAACTTCAAAGGCAGAGAGATGGATGGGGAAACCATGACAGTTTCTACGTGGTGGAGTGACTGGGGGAGTAGAGACGATTTAGGGGGGGAGGGGTGTAGATGGATGGTGATGATAATGTGAGGTCGGTGATGTTGTTGATGTTGGTACAGATATGTGCGGTCGTAACGAATGTGCGGTGGTAGAGGGTCGAAAAAGGGCGGGTGAAGCGATTCGACGTGATGTATCCTCAAAACTTTGAACAGGTCCCGAAATGGGGGAGGTCCAGGGTCATGCTTGGGAAGAAACGTCCTAACCATTGACATTGTTCACCTCATATTAGGATCCTCGCAAGACAATCTCAAGGATTCATCCACCAACGCCGAGTGATTTTGGTGGAGAAATCCTTTGCGTGGGCCCAGAAGCGACGAAAGTACTACAACTCGTCTTTAACACGCTGCGTTGCCTCCGTAGCAGCGCTGACGACAGTACTCGCGGCACCCTCAGCGCCTTGGGAAGCTGCAGCGTACATCTCGGCAATTTTAGAATTGGCTACCTCGATAGCAGCAGCAATCCTACTGTTGGCGCTCTCCATGGCTCCTTGTTCTGGGCCATAGATTGCAGAGCTGATTGCTGAGGAGGCGTGGGCGGCATTCGCGCTAGCGGCAGAAGCGACGTACTCTGCATTCACGCTGGCAGCCGAAGTGATAGAAGCGTAGGTATCGCCAGCGACGCTAGTAGCAGATGCAACGTAGTCTCCCGCAGTCGGGGTACCAAAGATAGCCTCGCTAATAGCAGCCTGAGCACTGCCCGCCGCTGCAGAGAAGCTGTCTAGAGCCTGTTGGGTCCCGTAAACCTGTACACTGATCTGGGACTGGATAGATGAGTAGGCACTGGCGACAGACTCGCTCGCCTGCTCGGCAGCACCCTTAGGAGTTCCATACAAGGCGATAGAAGCACTCGCGACAGCAAGGTCAATCGACGCGCTGGCTTGGCTTAGAACGTCCTCGATTACAGCCGGAGGTGTAAAGACAGCGCTAACGACTGATGAAGCAGAAGCATAGGCATCGGCGGCGGCATCAGTGACAGCCTCGTAGCCCCCACCAGCGATGGAGCTCGCGGCCTCGAATTGTTCGCTGGCGTAAGATGAAGCTGACGAGACAGCCGCTGGAACGCCCGAGTAGTAGGCGGATGAGAACCGGTTCATTACACTCTCCGTGAAGTCTGGTTCCTTGCCAACGACCAACTCAGAGATTAGAGCTTGAACACCTGCATATTGCTGAACGGCAGCTTCAGTAGCCTGTGCGCCATAGGCTCCAGCTTGTGAATAAACCGACTCAGCCCACGGTGTAGGTTTGCCATAAACTTGGCTGCTCGCTTGGGCAATCAGGGATTCCCAGTTCTGACTGGCTTGAGATGCCACCGATTCGGTCCAAGGAGTCTCGGAGCCAATAACGCCAGAGCTGACTTGAGATGCCAGTGACTCAGCAGCAGTCTGGGCATTCGCAGCGGCGGACTGGGCGGAACCAGAAGCATAGGAGGCTGCCGATCCAGCGGAACCAGAGACGACAGATGCTACAGACGCTGCCGAGGCAGATGCAACCGAGACAAGAGACTCTACAGTTCCTTGTTGAGGACCGTAAACGGCGCTCGAAGCAGCATCTACGAACTCAGAGTAACGTCCATGGGCAAGGCCTACAGCCTGGTAATATTGTTGGCGTGCACCATCAACAGCGCCCGTTGGCTGGGTAGAAAACTGGGCGGAAGCCTGGCTAAGACCATCGGCAAGTCTGGAGGATGCGATGGAAGAGACGGACTCGAAGTATCCTTGGGTTGGGCCGGCGGCGTAGCTTTTCAGGGACTCGGTGTACTGTAGGCCAGCCGATAGTCGCTCGCTAGCAGCAGCCACAGAGTCAGAGTAGGCTCTCTCTAAATACGAAAGCATTGTTTCGTGCGCAGGCTTCGGTGTTCCGGAGACCAGGAGCGACAATTGAGATTTGGCATTTTCGAGCTGCTCGCTTGCGGCGCGCACAGCGTCGTTGTAACGGGAGCTTGCCTGATGGTCATATGGTTAGCAAAGTCCCCTAATCGAGCCTGGCTGGTACCGAAAACACTTACCTGAATCTGGACCGTCCTGATGATTGCTGTCGGCGTTGGGGTGCCATAGATGGCATATGATGCCGCAGTAACAGCCTGCGAAAATTTGTCGGCTGCGACGCTTGTGGCGCTTTCAACAGCCGGTTGCTTAGTACCATACAACACGCTGGAAGCTGCGGCAAAAGCTTGTGCATATTGCTCGCTTGCCAAAGACGACACTGACTCGACAGTGCCTTGGGTCTTTGATGGACCCAAGAGGGCTTCGCTGACGGCTCGGCTCAACTCGGCTGCCTGGTCGCCAGCGTTTGCGACAACACCTTGAAGCTTCTCGGAGTAGGTCTCGTCGTCGTCGTCGTCGTCAAGAGGCTCGTCAAAGATAACTTGTTTAGCTTCTGCGAGGATTTGAGCATTCGCTCCACCAAAGACCTTCTTGGGTTGATCGTAAGCCGCGGAAGCTTTAGCGGCACCCTCGGCTGCGACCTCACTGGCCTTGGATACAACGTTCTCCGCTGATGATGAGGAGCCAGGAAGCGCTTCAGAAGCTTGCGACGATGCCTCTGAAAGAGCACCCTTAACAGAAGAGACAATGCTCTCAGTCAATGGCGTTGAGGTACCTTGGACGGCTTCCGAGGCCTGAGAAGAAACATCTGAGAAGACCTCCTGGACGGAAGAGGCAATACTCTCAGTTAATGGCGTTGAGGTACCTTGGACAACCTCAGAGGCCTGAGAAGACACATCAGAGAAAGCCTCCTGGACGGAAGAGGCAATGCTCTCAGTTAGTGGCGTTGATGTTCCCTGAACAGCCTCGGAAACCTGAGATGCGGCGCCCTCAACGTTGTCCTTTGCTTGCTGAGCAGCCTTGAAGATGCGGGCTGGGACCTTTTGATCGGAGAAGTCATCGGTGGCATCAGCTGCCCAAACCTTCCACTTGGAAACGTCTTTAAGGCGAACCAACTCGGCCACCATGTTCGAAGCAACAGTCATGGCTTCATCTTCGAGCTTCTTGGCCTCTTCGTGCGCGATGCGAAGCCCCTCATGTCTTGAACCGACGGCCTCGACTTCGGCTTGCCACTCGTTGAGGGTTTCCCTAAGCTTGTGGTAGTTTTGCCAGTCTTTGTAGGTCACACCGTCAGTCCAGGCCCAGCGCATCCCCACTTCCTGTAAGCCAAGGCCGTGGATCTTTTCGAGAACTTCGACAGTGCTCCTTACAGCAGCTTGCACCAGAGAGTCTGTCTCCTCGTCATATGCTGCCTTCCAGGCACGAACATCTTGGGCTCTCTCCTTGACTGTGAGGCCAAGCTCACGAGTCTTCGTGCTGCACTCTTCGTATGCTGCATCGAGGTCGGCCTCTGCGGCGTCTTCCGGAATTGCTTTGATCGTTTTCTTGATGAACTTCTTGAGTTTTGCGACTGTTGAATCTGCGGTTTCTTCAAGCTTAACCACCAAAGCCCTGCCGTGCCCATTGACAGCATTTTCGACCTGGCGCTTCGTGATCTCCGCAACTCGTTGCTCAAGATCTTCAGCACCCTTGTCGGCAGCCGTAGCGAACTTGGTTTGCCACTGACGAAGATCCTCGTTAAGCTTCTCCTTCAGCTCATCACCGGTAAGCTTTGGTTCGGCAGGTTGGACAGCGGCCGCGGTCTCAGATTGGATTTCGCTGGATGCCGTACTGGAGGAGTCGCTGCCAAAGAAATCATCAAGTACACCCCAGCCAGCCTTTGTAGTCGAGCTAGGAGAAGCAACCGAAGCAGATGAGCTAGCGATAGTGGGCACAATTTCCGTAGGGTCGGACGCAATCACCCTAGACTTGTTAGAGAGGTTCATTGAAAAGGCGTTCATACAACGTACGTTTGAGAGTCAACGGAATCGATTACAGACTCAACCTTCTGCTGATCGCGATAACGTCCTAGCCGCTCTGAGATGCGGACTAACTGGGGCTCAACATTGTCTCCGTAAAGGATGCGCAATTGAGGCCAAATAGTACGAACAACAAAGGCCCAGGTTGTATCCCGTGCAGAACGAACGTGCGGGAAGACGGTGTCAACGAGGAGATGGTGGCCATGAGTGTGGGCTTTCTGCAGATATGGCAAAGAGGCCTCGTAAGCTGGGAGAACAGAGAGATGGTAAATCTCGTCCAGGCTAGCTTTGCTCTGGTCGTAGTAAGGGGCCGCAGCGTCAGAGGCCTTCTTGACATGGGGTCCGAGGTACAGATCGTACTGTCCTTTCACCTTGTCCTGGGCGTTCTGCAGTTGAGGTCGGACAATTTTGTCGTACTGGGCCTCAGCATACTTGGTCGCAAACTCCACCCTGTGCGCGCCGTAGGATGCGTACTTGTCTTTAGTGAAGGCTGTAACAGGGGTGTAGACGTCCTTTTCGAAGCGATCGGTGTATGGCTTGACCTTGTCCACATGTGGAGCGACGTATGTCTGATAGTATGGGTCGAGATGGGGCGCAGCATATGACCGGGCTTGGAGATACGGCTTGCATACGCGTGGGGAAGAGTCGTTGATGTGCGTCAAGGAGGAGGGACAGCGGAAGGCGAAGGTGATGATGATGTACCATGTCGCTAGCCTGCATAATGTCAGCACTCTGGCTATCAGGTTTGCTACAATGTCTTGCAGGCGACATACCGTGCAACGATACTTGTGAGGGCTCTCGCCATGGACCTTCTCGGTTTCCTCTTGCTTGTTGATCGTGTGGCAGGACTCGATAGCTGCGTCTTGTCTGTGTGGCCGTTCATGTGGCCGTTGGCATATCCATTGAGGTGGCCGTTCAGACTGCCATTCAGATTGCCGTTGGAGGCGGGCTTCTTGGGCTTCTTCGCCCGGCCGTTGGTCTGGGCCGCCATTGTTGCGTGTGGGGCCTATCGACGGCTGCTCGCGTGTTGGCTGGCTTTGTTGGTGACGTTGAAAGACCGGCTTCTATTGTTCATGTTAGTGCGGACAGGCAGGCGAAGACGCTCACAACACGTACGAGATCAAGCAAAGGGTCGTAGGGGCAGCAGCTTGGTGTGGAGAATACACGAAGCGCTGGCTTGTGATTAATTAAAGATGGGCGGTTGATGGGTGCTAGATTTCAGTTCGCGCTGGGGGTTGCACAACTAGCGGTCGGTGATGTAATCGCACGTGCGGAGGCGGGAAGTAGGTACTAAAGATCAAGATTTCGCCTGCGATACGACGGCCAAGTTGGCAGCTAGGGTGCGCGAACAGGAACGACAGGACGGGAGCGATGATAGAGAGTGTCTAGGCATAGTGGGGACAGTTTTTCTGGAGTTGCAGGCAGGCCCAGGTGATTTCAGATGCCTGTTCGTCTCAGATGCTCAGCAGGGCATAGACAGCTTCAGGGTAGATTGGCCTCTACAATATGCAAGGCTACGCGAAGCCCACCCATATCAGCCATCAGGCTCCTAGGTGGCTAAGAACACTCTCGAGCCGTCAAATCATAGGCAACTGGTCGCTAGCATAGTAAATAGAATACCTAGTATAGTATACAGTCGTGCCAAGACCCTCTCTTAGCGGCGACATGACGACGCCGGTCCAAGCGCGTCGAGTGCAACGCATCCACAACCCTCCACTCCATCCATCCACCTAGAACCCCGTGACAAGGTGACCACCTTGGCTTCTATTTTCTTCACATCGACAGAACTCACAGCTAGTGTTTCCCTACATCTCGCTCAGCTCTGCGCACATACTGCGGAACAGTTGCTCCGTCACACTTCGGCTCCAATGACTACTTGAAGTCACTCCCTCAACGGCTCCTGCCCGATTAATTCAACGACATCTAGTTTCTCACTTCGAGTTCCCCGATTCCCACGACTTCCAGCGAATATCTTCAATCCGAGTGCACCATGGCGACCGACGACGGGCGATCGAATGCGGGGCCATTCGCAGAGGCACACGACATGACCACGCAGGCGCAGGACGACCTCTCCAACTCGAGAACACTAGACAAAGACGATGGCGACACGTGCCGAATATGCAGAGGGGAGGGCACCGCAGACGAGCCCTTGTTCTTCCCATGCAAATGCAGCGGCAGCATCAAATACGTCCACCAAGAGTGCCTGATGGAATGGCTGTCGCATACACAAAAGAAACACTGCGAGCTGTGCAAGACCTCGTTCCGCTTCACCAAATTATACCACCCCGGCATGCCGAACCGTATACCCACGACCGTCTTCGTTCGCCGCGCCGCCCTACACGTCCTCAACGTTTTCGTGACCTGGTGTCGGGGCGTCTTGGTGGCTGCTGTATGGCTATTTCTGCTTCCCTGGTGTATGCGAATGGTCTGGAGCAGCCTGTTCTGGGTCGGCGATGGCGGATGGTCTCGAGATATGTTCACAGACTTAACGGAGCCTGCCGAAATACCCAGGCCTTCTCATCCTGAAGTGGAGAAAGTCCGCTCTGCTCTCGAGGCCGTCAAGGCCACCAACACGACGCAGAATTTGACGCTGTCGAAGCTGCTCATGTCCATCTCGTACTCTCCTAGCAATGCTACTGCTGGCGATTCAGCATTCTGGACGTTTGCGAAACGAGTCCTCTTCGGCGTTCCGTACCCCTTCGCTCAGATCACCCACTTCTCAACACCTCAAACTAACCAGACAGGATCCAACTCGACTTTGGATCCTCTTGCCACTCGGAGCCCATCGTTGCTTTCCGATATACCCTTTTTCAATTGGTTCCAGTCCCAAACAGCAAATCGGTTCATAATAGACGTACTCGAAGGCCAGATCATTACGCTATTTGTGGTAGTCGCTTTCATATTGATCTTCCTCATTCGCGAATGGGTCGTTCAGCAACAGCCCGTCATCAACATGGTTGCCCTCGGAGACAATGCTGCTGCGGCTCAGAGGGCTGCGAACCAGGACAATGAAGGACAACAAGAAGTTGTAGCTGAAGAGAATGAAGCACACGGCGCTCAACCTGCTCGAGACGATGAAGTTATTGCTCCTGGGGAGGCAGTCGCAGACATTGATGCCCAGGAGCCGCCTGAGCCTACGATACGTCGTGTTCGTCGTTCATCGTCCCTCCGGAGACGCCGTGAAGAAACTCTCCGAACACTAGACACCGATGACATGCCGGACAGCATAAGAAGAACTTTGCAGTCTGGCTCGTATGAGGACATTGCAAAGATGTTTTCCGAAATGGGACTTGCGGATTCCAAGCGTCTGCAAGACTCTATTCGAAAGACACTTGACGCTGAGTCTGCGAAAGCCAATCCTAATCACGATAACTTCGACAACGACGAACCTGGCGCACCATTTTCTGGGGACGTACAGGCTTCTAGTTCCAGCAGCTCTACGTTCCCTAATCGGACATCCAACTTTCCTGGCCAAACGGAAGCACATTTCGAGGAGATGGATGCGGAGTCGCCAAACTCCCTACAAAGGCCAAACATGCCAGCACGGGGTCGGTCTTTCATCGCTACAGAGATTCGGCGCAGTTTAGAGGAGGGCAATTCATGGTCTTTTGAAAACCTACCGCAAGCATCTCAACGCAAAGCCGCAGATACTCCCGAGTCTTGGGAGGACGATGACACTGAAGACGAGCGACCCCATCAAGAACACGAAGTGACATCAGACCAAGAGCCGGAAAGCGAACACAGCAGTGAGAGTTGGCAACAGGTTTCCAATGGTAATGTGGAAGACGACTCCGACCAAGCGCTGGAAGGAGCACGCCCACAAGACAAGGGTAAAGCTAAAGCTGCCGACGATTACACTGATGATCTCTCACGTGATTCGACATCGTCTAGCACAGACAATGTTCCCAGTCTGAGTAACGAAACCAACGTAGAGCCCACGACAGAGGTCGACATGTCTTCTAATCACGCCGAGCATGACTCTAAAATAAACGAGGAGCAGTATGAATCTAACCAAGGTCAACAACCCACGGTCGAAGACGCTACGGCGGCAGGCCAAGCGGCACCAGTGGAGCCTGTTCAAGCTCCACAGAATCCCTTCAACCTCGTTCTAGACTGGATGTTCGGCGATGTAGCACCTGCAGTCCAAGTCCCTGAGGCAGGCGGAAATGATGAGCATGTCGTTCGCAATATCGCAGAAGAAGCACCATTTGTGCCCTTTGTTGGAAACGAGCCACGAGAAAACGGTCATGCTCTGATCCAGGATCCTGAAGTCGCTGCCGCTGCCGCTCAAGCTGGAATCGATGTCAATGATCAGGAAGCAATCGAGGACGCGGAGGACCTAGAAGGCATTCTGGAGCTCATTGGCATGCAAGGCCCCCTCATTGGCCTCTTCCAGAACGCCCTGTTCAGTGCCGTATTGATCTCAGCCACTTTGTCTATCGCGGTATGGTTGCCCTACCTATTGGGTAAGGTTGTGATACTGTTCATGGGTAGTCCCATCTCGCTTTTCATTAAACTACCCCTACAGCTAGTCGCCACGATGACAGACCTCATCGTAGATGTCACCCTGTTTTTGTTTGCGGGAGCTACTTATTGGAGTTCTCAAATCATCTCTACGCTCGTAGGTCTCTGCTCATGGGGCAGGCTGTCGCAGGCTGTGGAGGGCCCGCTCCGCGCTATCTCCACCCCTGCTCAGTCCCTTGCGGAGAGTGCCTTGGATCGAATTGGCAAACTCATCGTAGAGTCACCGCTAACGCCTCGACCCGACTACTTCCGGCTATCCATCAACTCGCATGCGGCACTGCGAAGCCTGCAGAACTCGACATCATTCGCAATGAACGAAACGAGCAACTTTGCAAATATCATGTTCGAAAAAGCTTCCGCAGACTCTGCACCCAGGCTCACCATGAAGATTCTTAGTCAGTTGCCACACTTTGTCCAAGCCGGCCTGACGACACTCTACAGTCGATGCAGCGCTCTGCTCGCATGGGTCTGGACATCAAAATCGTATAAAATCACTTTCGACTTCGACCTCGGCCAGAACACGACAGCTGCGTATACAGCGCTGGAGCGCTGGACAGCGAGTGATCGCATGATTGCTATCATGGCTGGTTACGGTTTCTTCGCCATGGCCGGTGCCGTGTATCTCAAGCGCGGCACTCCGTTCAGCACATCACAACAAGGGCAGAAGATTGAACAGATTGTTTCTGATATCCTACAACAAGCAGGTGGCGTTCTGAAAGTGATCTTGATCATCAGCATCGAAATGCTAGCATTCCCCTTGTATTGCGGTCTACTTCTCGACCTTGCCATGCTTCCACTTTTCAAGGACGCCACGCTTTACACGCGATGGCAGTTTGCGAGGGAGAGCCCGTGGACATCTGGGTTCGTGCATTGGTTCCTGGGCACCTGCTACATGTTCCATTTTGCACTCTTTGTGTCCCTGTGCCGCAAGATTATGCGCAAGGGTGTGCTCTATTTCATTCGCGACCCGGACGACCCGACATTCCACCCAGTTCGCGACGTCCTCGAGCGCAGCGTCACTACTCAGCTTCGTAAGATCGCTTTTAGCGCACTCGTGTACGGAGCGCTCGTCATCGTCTGTCTCGGCGGCGTGGTGTGGAGTCTCAGTCGCGCTACCTCCGACGTCCTACCTATCCACTGGACGACCGAGGCACCATCCCTAGAGTTCCCGCTCGATCTCTTGTTTTACAACTTCCTTACACCAGTCATCATCAAGTTCTATAAACCCAGCGAAGGTCTGCACACAGTCTTCCAATGGTGGTTCAAGAAATGCGCTAGCTTCCTACGCCTATCGAGCTTCCTTTTCGGTGTCAAGGTGACGCAGCAAGAAGGTGACGATGGCAAATACGTCCGCGCCCCAGCATCGGATCAAGCTCGTATCCCGAAGGGCCAGCCTGTTTTCGTTGAAGTTGACAAGGACAATGTACGCAAAGACGGCAAGACAGAGGGCGGCGTACACAATTCGGATCTTGTGACGGTCGTGTATATACCGCCTTGGTACCGCGTCCGGATCTTCGCTTTTGTGGTCACGATTTGGATCTTCATGGGCATGTCAGGAGTTGGTGTGACGATCCTTCCGTTGCTGTTTGGTCGCTATCTCTTCTCTCTATTCCTACCGCCTACGGTCGAGATGAACGATATCCACGCCTTTTCACTAGGTATCTACACTCTCGGTAGCCTCGCATACAGCGCCTACCACGCGTACAAACTCATCTCCAGCCTGAATCGACCAGTCACGGACCCCATGTCTACGCTGCACACCGTAGGAGCCACAACCTCACGAGTAGGACTACGCGTCCTTCGCTTTACATACGTATGGGCGAGTTTGATCTTCGCTATTCCCTTCCTCTTCGCTGTCCTTATCGAGCTATACTTCCTTATGCCACTGCACGCGTACCTCGGTTCTACAGAACCGCACGTCGTTCACCTGATTCAGGACTGGACACTCGGCTTCCTCTATGCACGGTTAACGGCGCGCATCGTCTTTGCGAACCGTAACAGCCGACCTGCACGCGCATTTACTGCTGTAGTCCGTGACGGCTACCTGTATCCCAATGCAGGTATCGCGACGCGCTGCTTCTTACTTCCGGTCATGGCAATGTTCCTTGTCGCTATCGCCATACCCTCATCTCTCGCCTTCGTCACAAGTCGAACCATGTACTGGGGAGCGAGCCAGGCGACCAAGAGTATGGTGTGGCGCTTTAGTTTCCCAGCTGTTGGGCTCAGCTTGGGTGCGATGTGGGCGAGCAAGGAGGTTGTTAGGTTGCTCGTCAGGTGGAGACTAGTGGTCAGGGATGAGGTTTATTTGATTGGGGAGCGACTGCATAATTTTGGGGAGAAGAAGGCCCCGGTGCAGCCTACTCGTCCGGTTGAGGACAAGGTAGCTCAAGGGGCGACCGAAAGCGTAGCTACACAGACAGCTTAGGGGAACATGGCGGGGAAGGTTTGCATGAGTGGCGTTTGGTATGAAAGGAGAGATATCATTGCTTTGGAGTTTAGCGGTTCTTGAGCATAGTGGGACCAGGCAAAGGGTGGACAGTTGGCTTCTAGTTGTTATAATTACTACTGTGACGAAATTGTTTGTACAATCGTTTGTAATCTATTACTATCATTGACCCTATGGTCCCATGCGTGGCCTTCCATCTCACCCTGATGCATTCGCGGCCAGTGTGGAAATGACTTTCAACAGTTGTTGCACATGTTGTGGTGACTTCCAGATCATGCATACCCTCTCCGCGACTCGTGTTCACTCGTCTTGCTTGTTGTGCTTCTTCTCATCCCATTGACGCCGTTCAAGCGCTTGACGTCCGTCTTCATATCCGCGACATCGTACCGCCATCCTCTCCTTTTTGCGCACCACATCTAATTATGAATTCCGTTCCTCTCTCTCTCAGTCCATTTTCACAGATACTTCTTCGCAGCAGTAGCAACGCGCTGCCGAAACACCGGACTCTTAACCACATCACCATTCCCCACGGCAAAAAACGGACTCATAATAGTCTTCACCCACGCCTCATACACATCGACCATGAAATTCTTAACCGCCTCCTCCGTCGCAGGCGCACTGGGATTATACAGCCCGCCACTCGACCCGAGCGCCGCGCGCCCGCCCGCCAGACTACCCTTATTACTCCCACTTCCCGCGTTCAACCCAAGCGCCTCGTCGCGCGGCCGCGTGAGCAGCAGGAACCGCGTGTTTCCCCCGGTTATCCAGCACGACACAAACATGTTCTGGTACTTGTCGATGTGCTTGAGGTACATGGGTGCGGCGCCCGCGGACGTCGAGGGTCCCCATTGTACTTCCTCGACGATGTCGAGGCTGCTGTGTAGGATGAAGGGGACTAGGGCGCGTTCTGGGGGGGTCAGGCGCGAGACGCCGTCGCCGCCGGAGCGGGAGGTGCCGAAGTCGTGGGTGAAGAGCGGGACGTCGAGGGGGGAGAGGATGGAGAAGGTGTAGGACATAGTGGTGGTAGTGGGCGATGTGGATGTTTTTGGTATGCGGTTTTCACGTTGGTCCCCTCGTGTTTTCCAGGCTCTTACTTGTGCTCTGTGAGAGCTCCTTGCGTCGGGGAATTGTAATCGTATGTGTTAACTTGGTGTTGTTCGAAGCCACGAGCTCCCCACGCCACGCTAGCAAGGATGGCTGCGCGCCAAGAAAGTCCGCGGGAGTCTTTTCAGAGACAGGACAGCCCATCTTCAACTGGTTGCTCCTTGTCCTGCATCGCCAACCCACCCACATCACCATGTTCGGTCCATTTCGTCTCACAAACCCGCTGTCGGGTGGTCTGCTATGGTACCGTTCCCCGCTCCCTCCTCTCGCCGCGCCAATTGCCGCCAACCACAATCCCGGAAGTGCCAAAGAACTAACAATGATACAGGAAAGTTCCGTGGCGCCTCTCTCGACACCAAAAGTACCGCCAGCGCGGGCGTCTTCGGCACGTAGACACCATCGTCAGCACGCTCGACACCGCACTTCGGCGCATGGGACAGTCAATGAAGAAGGTGGAGAGGTGGAAGATGGAGATGCCTACTGAGCAGGAGATGCTGCCCAAGGATAAATACACCGTGTTTGATCGCAAGGTGAAGCGGTACAGGAAGGGAATACACAGTACGTACTTCTTATTAGTTCAGGGGAATTGGGGTGTAGGAGGCATCGAAACGGATAGATGCCTTGAGAGGATTTATGCGGCAGAGCGACAAGAGAGATACATTGGGCAATTACGTCTGGATGTGCGCTAACAATTTGCAGAGGTACCAAAGTGGACGAGAGTCAGCCAGAGGCTCAATCCTCCTGGTTTCTAGGTGGGTTTCGCAACGAGAGGCGGTCGATCAGTGTACACTATCTGTCATCACACAGTCTGCATTACATGGCGCTATTGTGCAAAGGGAATACACACGATTTAACTTCAATCTTACGCGGAATACGTGCTCCTTCTGACCATCGAGTCCATGCCTTGCATTTGGCGATGCGGTTTCAACCACTGTCCTCTCGTAAAACATTTTGAAATTAGCGAGCTAGTCAGTATTTCTGCCTCATGCATATTCTAGATCAAAAGCACTCGCACGTTATTTGATTCTAGTATTTGTCCAAGGACTTGTCACCTATTCTTTTTCTAAACATTCAACATCATCCTCCAAATACGCGTCCATTTTCCTCGGCTCGTGGCTCTTTAGGTGACCAACTTCTTGGGATGCTACTTTCAGAGTTCCTCGGTTGTTTGCTCGTCCTAGGGTCTGTACGTCAATGTCTTGAATTTCAGGTGAGGGGTTCCATCTCTCACTTGCGCATGCATAACTAGCGCTCACCGCAAATAAACGTTTGTTTGTTTGTTTGCCTTTACCTGCAACCACGAAGATTTCACGCTCACACTCACCTCACCTTTATATCCTATATTACTATTTTCTTTCCCAAACAACATCACTCAACCTACAAACTCTCTCACTCTCTCACTCTCTCACCACTCAACCTTGGAATTCAAACTCTCCTCCTCGGCGTCTACGGATCGTACAGGCGGTCAACATGGCGCCACCAACAGTCAACCCGTCTCATGCCAACGAACAATGGCTTGCTATCCGTCAGAAGCATCATGAAGAGCTGCAAGATTTCCAACGCGCCGTTGAAAGGCAAAGACTACACTTCAATCAGGGAGTCGAGGCTTCCCGAGTCAAGTTCCTTAAGAAACATGCTGAAGAAGAAGGCGAATTCTGGAGTCGACAAAATATCAAAGCAAAGACTAAGGCATCGAAACCTCGAGCTCAGAGCTCAAACAAGTCGTCGGGTCCTCTGGCGAAGTCGTCGACTGGTCGAACCCCTCCGAAAAAGGCACAACAGCAGCCATCGAGGTCGTCTATTGCATCGTCCAGAGCACCGCAGCCAGTCAAGACAGAACAATCCCGAGCACCTTTGACGAAAGCGCCGCAACTTCTCCCAGCACAAAAGAAGACTACGACGTTTGAGGTCATCGACCTCTGCTCTGATGATGATGAAGATGACGAAGATGACGTGCCACTCATTCAGCGGATGAGGCCTGCTAATACAGCTACACTGCCTCCGCAACCTCCAGCATCATATAATGCGATCGAGTCTACTGGAAACGTTGATACGTTCGCATTCACCATTCCATCCGCCAATCTGGAACTATTCGGTAGCAACCCAAAGCAGTACTACGTGAGTATTCCTGTCGGCTTTCTTTCATACCAACATGACGCTAACATCACTAGATAAAGACTGAGCAAACTCACCCGAGGAGAGAAGAAAAATTCGTCAGGGAGAATTCGTCTGAAGTTCTCACATCATCGACTACTCGTCGATCGGTAGGCAACAATACCGCCTTGAGTAACGTTTCGTCTTCGACTGCTTCACAGCGAGCGGTGACGACAGAACCTCAAGGTCAGCAGAGCTCCACGCAGGGTCAACCATCTACTTCCCAGCCTTTGCCATCAAATGTTCAGAAACCCGCCTTTCCGAGTCAGACGCCGATTACACCTTCTTTGCCAGTTCAAGCCAGGGAAGAAAGTGGCAAATCAGCATCAACAGGTGTGGCCTCGTGGGCCTCCGCACAACGCGCATCGACGGCAGCGTCTCGGTTCCATCAGTCTACTAGTCTGTCTCCGTCGACGGCTTCGCAGCCTGCAATTACTTTATCACTACCCCAGCACAAGAGTACTGGTCTTTTGGCAGGCTTTGGCTCTAGTCAGCAGATGCCAAGTAAGTCTACAGGCGTATCAGGACCCGCAACAAAGCCTCGTAACAACGATAGCAGCCGTATTTCAAAACATCGGGAGAACAGTATTACTCTTTCCTACTCCACCCTGCCCACTAAGCCGAGTGAGAGTCTGGCCCTAACCCAAGGTAGTGTGGCTAAAAGGGACGATGTAGATGTGCAGATGCAAGATGCGCCTCAAGGTAAGCAGATTAATATTGCATTTCTTCTTCCACAAACTAATGTCACTATAGCTTCTCCAAATGTTCGGGCAGTACTCAACCCCATAGCATCCCTTGCACCACAGCAACACACGCGCAACCCTATCTTGTCCACCAACGCGCCTCCAAGTGCCGTCGGCACAGCTCACGGTACCCACCTACCGACTCCTCCTCCCTCCCACGCCTCAGCATCCGAGCCAAAGACTCCAAAGACCCCAGACAATTCCGAAGCAACGGACTTCAAGAGACCCTCGCTACCAGCGAGTGCCTCCAGAAATACCAATGCTCGACATCTCCGCGCTGGCTCCAATGCATCCAGTTCCACCGTGCCAGCCGCATCAGCCACACGCACACCGACTTCATCACCAAGGAAGAGAAAGATGGTATACAACTTGAGCAGTGATGAGGAAGAAGATGATGATGCATCTACATTTGTGCCGTCGGATGACGAAACTGAGTCTGCTGGCGGCAGCGGACAATATCAGCGCAAGATCACTAGAAGGCAAGCGCCTGCACTAGCTAAGAAAGACAAGGCAGCGACACCAGCTGTCTCCCCGGCAAAACGCCCTACTTCGGTCCCAACCGTGTTGAACGTGGCGAACGGGAAGAATAGACTTGGTTTCCAGCCCGTAGTGAACGCGAACCCTAAAGCCAGTAACACAACATCAGCATCGGCGTTGAAATCACCTCCCAAAACACCAAGTCACAAGGACACCACCAACACTACCACCACTGCTGCTACCACCCCGCCTTCGAAGAAGAAGCTCAAAACATCTGCCCCGCTAGCCCAGCAATCTCCTCGCACCGCTCTGGCGCAACATGGACCTACCTCCATCTCCCTCTCAAACCTCTCCTTCGGCCCCCGCAAAGCCAAAATCCAAGCCGAAGAAAAGATCCACCAGCTCAGCTCAGCGGACGAGGAGTTTTGGACGCGCGAATCAATTGTCCAGGCGGAAGAGCAAGAACACCGCATCAAGGCGCTTAGAGGAGCGAGAGCTGAACATCGGAGCAGTACAGCAGCAGTGAGGCGGGAGCTGCGAGCGCTGAGTATCACGCCTGCTCCTTCTACTTCTAGTATTTCGTCTAGGCATACGGGGATGAACACGCGAGGCAACACCGCGTCCTTCCAACAATGGACTTGCGACCGTGCGAGCGGCGACCGCTTTGTAGCTAAAATATCGGGTGGTTAAGCACTGCCTGATAGCGATTATAATGAGGATAAAGACATGGGTAGAAGTACACGCTCGTCAACGGCACTAGTGGAGAGATAAGGCTAACGACGGATATGCAGGTATAGAGTATAATATTGTACAGGACGAGCGGTGGCAGTCTCGTAGCGATCGTGGGTAGGAGGCTGGGTGCTGAGTCTAGTGGTGGTGGTGGAGCACGAGGACGAGGAAGTGGACGTGGAGCGGGAGGTTTGAGGAGATGGTGTCGTCGGTTGAAGACCAGTGTTCGAGGTGGAGGGTAGTACGGACTGTTTTCATGAGACAGTCAGGAGCGAGGTGCCATTTGTCTCGCTCCCAGACTAGATGGCAGTGTTAGTAGCGATACCCGCTACGGCTTCATCCTTAGCAACATATTGCAAGGGCGATATCCAGCTTCTTCCCAGTCTTGATCTAAACTACTCACAGTTCCCCTTCCCCTCACTATGAGCGTATATCATAGCAGCATGCTCAGGACACGCTTGCCCTAATCCTACTCCATGCTAAACTCCGTCAACATCGAGACTGTAGTATCCGACCAACTCGCGCCGCTCCCTGACATCGTGTGCTCGAATCTGTCGAGTGCTAAGGCCTCTATGAACCTCGCTAGACCTCCCTCCCTATGGAGACCATACAGCTGTACGTGTACGAGCGTTGGCCAGCAAACAAGCCAGCCAGCCAGTGGCCCAGTCCTCGCCCGCTCGCGTCCATATAGTACAGCACCAATGTCTCAGATCAGACTCGACTCGTCGGCCAGCGCTTCGATCAACCCAGGTATCGGATCGGGGACCGGATGAGCATGCCTTCGGCCGACTCATGCATCGGTGAGCGACGAGGAACGAGGGACGAGTGCTGAACGACGGAATGGTATGGGCGAGCTATTGAAGATGATCAGTGCTACAACTCAGTTACTACTGTGCTATGTGTGTATGCGTATTTCGAATAACGTGGACTTGACGTGGACCGTCAGCCGTAGGGTATACTCATAACAGGCATCTGCGAGAAAAGGACACAAGGTGGTTTATCAAGGCTACGTCCTATGTGCCCGTAGACATCAGTGAACAAGGGCCAGCGGGACTAGAAGTAACCAGTCTAGCTGACGGTACTTCTTCACCGCTAATCTCACGGCAGCAGAAGCGCGCGGGGACTTGACAAGGACGTCTTGAGTGCCACTATGCCTCCTCTAGTTCCTTAGAGCTCATGTCAAAACTACCCTGTTTGCTGCCCCAAGATGCAACAAGGGTGCTCGATAACTGACTAACTGACTGCTTTAAAGCAAGTCAAATCACTTCGCGGAGAAACAAAACTTCAGTTCGTGGCAAGCATGTCACGGCTACAGTCAGTTCAAGATCTAGTCCCGTAACGTAAAGTAAAGCAACCATAACCACCCGCAAGATACCCACCCGTACCTACCCTACCTGCCGCAACGCAGTCCCGCGAATCCGACACGGGAACTCTAGTAACACTGAGAGAAACCAACTCTCTCTCATGGGCCTAGCTAGTGGTCGAGTAGATGAAAAAGACAAGAAAAAACAAGTTCTACTGTCACATCGCTCGAGTCCTTTGATACCGTCTCGCAGGTCGTTACGACAACGCCCCGCGCAGCAGCGACAAAGTGAAACCCAACGGCCGCTCCACAGCACGGCAGGCAGCTACTTTCAAAACAAAAAAATCCCATGGGGGGGGGGGGGGGGAACACCGGATCTCACGCCGGGTATTTCCCCAGTGCGTGCACAGTAAAAGTTAGCGCAACAAGGGCACATTGTTCCAGTTTGAGTGAAGTGAAGTGAGTGAGTTTCGCACACGACCGGACCTGCGCTTCTCCAGCTCCCCGCGCCCGAGGACTTCCACTCAACTGGTGGGATTTCGTAAGCACACTTTTCTTTCGTAGACGACTCGAAAAGCAAGTTTAGAGAGGCCCGTTGCTCGGCGCTGCTCTGCCCCTGTAAAACGCTCCCGTGAGAACTAGGAACATCCCGCGACCAAGTCGGCTGACGGGCTGGCCGACTCCTCATCTAAATCCCCCCGCACGAGCCCGCTTCACTTATTCTTGGGGGGGTCTGGAACAGATGTGTGATGAGACGGCAGATCTAGGCATCGAGCTGCTCTTGGTTGGGTAGCAGTGGGACTTCGGTACTGTAAGCAGCAGGTTAGACGTGTCGTCATGTGAAAATGGGTCGATGAGGTATTTTGTTGGGGGCGAAATTGACGTAGGAGACTTTTGGAAAATCCATGAGGTTGGTAAAACAAAAAATAGGCCGATTAAAGGGCGATGTTGAGGACTAGTGACGTTGCGTTGATGCCTCACAACATAGCCGTCCAGCAGCGCGTCGTGCTTCCTACGCCCTGAGCGAAAGTGGGGCATCATTACTAACGACGCTTTTTCGAGCAAATGCGGTAGGAGGAGCGACTTCCGCGAAGTAACAGTAGAGCATGTTCAGGTACACTTGCTCGGGCTCATGTACCTTACCCTTTTGCGAATGTCGATAAACTCTATTGCGACGGGATCTTTCATGCTTTGGCACCGTGGAATCGACGCTTTGGCCCAGATAGGATCGTACGCGTCCGCGGAGTCGCACCATGATAGATATCTCGAACAGCTCCACAACTGCGCGATCCATCTGGGTAGCACCTTGCGCTGTGGTTGACACTTCTGACTGACCGGATGCACCCAGCGCGTCCAGCACACGCAACACGAGCAGGTCGCACAATTCCATTTCTGACAAAGGCACCGGGCCAAGTAAAAACAACGCGCCTGGAACATGGCCAATGCTTGGTGGGTGTCGCGTTTGAAGACGTGCTATGGTCAATGCATGTCGACCATCTGAAACATGGGTTTGAAGTGACGATCCTTCTCGAACTACAAATGTCAACGCTTCGTGCAACTCTCGGCAATGGACACCCCCGGTGTCGGCACTTGAAAAAGTGTTCATGCTCTTGCGCCAATCCGCTTTCAACTCGCATGAACTTTACGGCGCGGTCGAGTATCATAATAAACACTGGGGCTCCTAGGGGCGAAGAGCTATTCTTGGTACAGGTACATGTGCGAGCTTCCTCAGCTTCGGTACCAAAAGTCGCATCGTGGGACAGAGTGTTTTAGGAGGCTTTCCAAGCGTTCAAAGGATGCTGTTACACGTTACACGAGGCGCGTGGGAACGAATTCCGGTTTTCGCTGTGTGATCGCCTCCGACGCTTTGGGTACGGAATGCGCAGCAAGGAGAAGAGCGCACGAGGGGTTTGTGAGACAATAGATCCAGGCAGTGTGCGCCGAATAGATGATTGAATCGCTATTGCTGCTGCTGCTATGTTCAAATGGGCAATTGAACACGCGGCATATCGCGAAGATCATGATGTTACGATGTGTTGCACGCGTTAGTCGCGGCCCTGCCGAAATGAAGCAAACAGAAATGTTTAGCTGACTTCGGGATGATGTAAACGAAAGCCGTGCTCGTGAAACAGATTAGATCGTGATGTAGACAAAGATTACCAGTGCTTGCCTCTACCCTGAAATCCTAAAGCGCGTTTCCACGAAGCTCTGTAGCGAGATAAAGGCGTATGTAGGCGAGCACTTTGGCAAGGCTATGTTCTGGAAAGCCGCTAGAAGGCCACTAACATGGTGAGACGCGCAAAGGCCAATTACAAAGACGTTTACGAGTTGATACTGATAAATTGCTAATGGTATGTTGTCAGTTGAGCGTAGCGAGTCTCAAAGAAGAGCGTTAGGCGCGTTACTCTGCGTGGGGAGTCCGCGTATGCGTCAATGCGATCCCCTGGATTAGGTATCGCTGAGCTAAGAGTAAGGTGGTTGCACGGTGAAATCAGAAGCGACTTTAAATAGCAATCTCTCGACCGAGCAACCGCCGTTAGAATGCGCTCTTCTCGCCTAGTAATCGAAATAATGTAAGGAAAAGGGATGAGGCCTCAGACGTGCGGATTACGGTTGGCGACTGTTGATTGGACAGCCACCAGGCGAATGTCCCATATCTGGACATGGAAAGCTCCGGGAGATTGTAAAATAAATAAAGTCTATAGTCGACAATAGACGTTCGGGTAAATGTACGGGACAAGGACAGATACGCCGAAGGACGTAGCATTGCAAGAATCGATGATGGGATGGTTAGCTGACTGTCGTTGCTTTTGCAATGTGGTAGACATCAGGGGTGCCGATGCCAAGTGCTCTTCGATGGAGATGGTACCTGGCAACTGTTTCCAAATCCCGAAGCGCATCTCGCGCAACTTCAAATCTTGAGTGGGTAAAGCGTCTAACAATTGCTTTCGGTCTTCGTATACATACAAAGTAAAGCCGATGTAGGCAGAGCCAGTAATTTTGATCCTAGATTGGGAGTTTCAGAGGATGAGGCTTCCAAGGTCAACGACTGTCCAGCTCGACTTCGCTTCGCTACGTCAGCGCAGTGGATATCCAAAATGAGCCGGAGAAGCAGTCTTGTGCCCTGGGGGTATTCCGAATCTAAAAAAACGAATTGTATACTGAAGCTGGTGACTCGCTTACCGGTGTGTGTGAGGAGGTTGTAAAATATAGTAACTCGAGCGTTCATTGGCTGCGTAAAGGCACTGCTAACCATTGCAGGTGATGTATTTTTTCTTCTCCTTGGAGAATGGCAGGGTGCAAGGTACAAGGCCTGGTGGAAGTCAAGAGAGTCGTCGCATTGATCTTCAGCGCCTGAAGTATGGAAATGACTTCCTAAGTGAGGAATACCAATATTGATAGCCCGAAGGCCGGAGAAGAGCTCACGCACCCCTCTCGGAGTATATCGACACTAACGGAGACATGGGCGGATGGGTTAAGTCCAACTTACGAGCCGTATCGTTGCAGGTTGCTGCAGAGCATCGAAATCTGGCGCTGGCTGACATCATGGCAGAAGCATCTTAGATGAGCTGCTGCAGCCATCAGCCCATGTCGCATCCTTCCCACAAGCGTCCGCCCGAATCATCGCTGTCATCAGACCCGGTACTTGCAGGGAATCGGCGGGAGGCCGGCCAGTCCTTGTCGCAGGTTTGGTCATTACCTAGGGTGGCACGACCCTGTATCATGCTAAAAGCCGGCAGAAAGAGGACATGCACCCCGTCCAATCAGACGGAGGAGGCAGACTGTCAGAAAATCCGCTTATGCAGTAACGTTGAGAAGTTCAGGCTCGGTTAGAGAGAACTGGCGATTTCAAAGCAGTGGTCGAGAAGGGTCAGCCTATGGCACGGCAAATCGCGAAACATGTGGCGCTGTTGCCAATTGCGAAATACAAGCGGGGGGGCACTATTCCAATCTTGGGTTTGGTACGTCAGCTCCGTTCAAGTTCTCACCCACGGGAACTATTTCGAGTTCGACCCTGGGCGAGCTAGGCTAGATGGTGGGGGGTTGGACGGGCTCCCAGGTCGAAGTGGCAGCGACCCTCAAGGGTTGCGGGAAGCAAGGTCGAGGGCCTGGAGATCTTCAAGCCGGGTCAGTGTTGTGAGTCCCACGAGCTTGTTGCGACACGCTATGCCCTTGCAGAGAGAAGAGAGCTGTCAGGCTGTGGCACATATGAAATCAGCAACAAGCGACCAAGGAAAATACGAATAAGCGGCCGACAGTCTAGAAAGTGCCTTTTGACAGTTGCTAGCCCTATTGGCACGCCAATTATCTGCGTGAGCGGAGGGAACCTAGTCAATAACTCGGATTTTTGCAGGCAACGGCCGATCTCAGGGCGCTCGTATGCCGACTGCTCCCCGGTCATTTCAGCCGAAGGCGTTTCGATAAGCAACGAATGTTCCGGTAGATGAAGCCATCAAAGTGGTTGGCCATGCCGTCTCCGGGACTTGCTCGACCATCAAAAAGAATGGCACGGTACTTTTAATTCGGACCGCATTGCAGCTTAAACCGGGTACATACGGTAGAAGTAGAGGTACTAGATGGTGATGTGAGTTTTGCAGCGTCGAGCGCTAGTAGCGAAGTTACGGGACGAGTTGGGATCCATGTACGGCAGCGTTGCACACTGGCCCCTTGTGATCGTCCGCCGTTGGTGTCCAGGCCTGCATCCCTGCTTCCCGCCAGTGGATAACGGTCAAGGCATGCGCAAAGTTTGGTGAAGGTCAAGAATAGCCGCACTCGAGAGCAACAGCCTTGAAGAAAGCCTCGGTTTGAGACTGATGGAGCTCTTCTGCTTGGCGAATGTCGATGGATCGCGATCGGGTAAAGGCCGCTGCTGTAGAACCGCGCGTGCTAATCACGCTTGATCTCTGAACAGCGTACGGCAATGTCTCGTCGAGCCACACCAGCTGACCATTGTCGATATGCACGTCGCCGTCAGCCGTCGTTTGTACGACACATGGACTACAAAGAGCCAGCGAGTAATGGTGCATGGCTATGCACAGCGACCCGAAGTGATGCAGCGCCTGTAGCTCTGACAAGATCGGCATGCGCTTACTGTCTTGTGCGACCCTGTTGAGAACATGGCCGGCGTATTAGTGCGCCCAGAAGAGCGCTAAGGCTGAGGCGTTGTGGAGATGGTTAGGAAAGGCTCGGCTTGCACAGCTGGTCGCGATTATCGTTGTGAATGAAGTGCAAAGTTGGACTTGTGCGCCAATTTGGCTCTAGAGGAAGATGCGCATTTCCCTGTGCGGTCATGTTGGAGCTGCAAGTGCATGTATTGGGCCTTGTGCCCAACAGCGTAGTCTTGGGCGGCGTCAGAATAGAGTTGATCGTTCGGTACCTGAACTATCTCCCTTGTCGTGAGCAAGGCCAGCGCCATGGTGTTCCCAGGATTCTCCGCACCCCACTGCGAACGCCTCGCTCGGAACATTTCAGGTCCAGGTCCCATGTCACGATCGCAAACAGGGAGTGTGGTGCTCACGGCAGGGAACGCAGTGTTTCCGCTGCAAGCTCTTCTCGACGGGCTGTCTTGTAGAGAAGGCGCAACTCTGAGTATGGAGAGAGCGTCGCATTCCAGGACTCGAGATTGCGAGTTGCAGCACAAAGCGCTCAGAAGCAAGCTTGAGACGTCTGCGAACGGGACGACAGTGTGGTTACAGTTGACGCCAAAGCAAAATGGAGGCATTGCACCGAACTACGACGCATTTACCACGTCGTCGCGCGAGGCGCTGCTGCAGAGGAGAATTGCCATGACGATCGCCTAGGCGAATATTCGCCCGGATGTTGTAGTGAAGTTTGTCAACGCGACTCGAACTCGAGTGGACGCATCGGGCGAGCATGACGGGGCAATTTAACTTATTATAGCTGACAGCTGGCGGGTCCAGGCAAGCGAGTCAACAGGGCTGCCAGGACCGGGTGGGCAGGGCATGAAGATGGCAATGATGGGTGAGATGGGCCCCTGAGCCTGTGTGGTTGAGGCGTGATGTTTCGGCGCCATGACTCCGTGGCCTTGCTGTTGACAGGCACGATCAGCAGCCATTTTGGAGCTTCAAGGTTGCGAGCCCTTGACCCGTCTTCCCGAGAGGCATTCCGCGACCACAGTGCACCGCGTGGCCGATCCGGGGCTAGGCTAGGATGGGTGTATGCGGGCGTGCTTCGGCCATTCACGGTAGGCGACGTTGGGGCACACAAAGAGGGCAAGAAGAGGTTTGCTGTTGGTGAGCCGTTTTTGGCGCACGCTCACCGGCCGTGGTGGGCCAATAGTGGACAGGAGGGTGGGCCGCCAGGTGTTAGTTTTTGGGTTTGCCATGCAAGAGCAGAAAAGAGAAGAAAAAAACGGTCGACTAGCGGCTATGCGAGATGGACTCGAGCAACAAGCAGCGGGCAGAATCTGTTTGGCGCACGGCAAAACTGTGGGAGAAGGGGCCACAGGTAGAGTGACGCGTCAGATGAAGGTTGCGGGCGGCGGAGGGTGCGCAAAGTGGTCTGGCAGCGGGGAGGGAGAGCAGAAACAGCAGGTGGATAGCAAGGCGTGGGTGTGTGTATAATACATGACAATAGCAGAGCGATCTAAGGGCGATGATGCTTGTCCAAGTTGACCAAGGTTGTGTGAGAGACGAGGCGACGTACCGCGGGGTTTGCGACTGCGCCCATATGGTGCATTTACCCGAGAGGCAGGGTACATGCTGTAGGTGGTAGGGTAGATTAGTAGGTAGGTAGGTAGGTGGGTGGGTAAGGCAGGGCAGGCGAACGATGGGATGGTCGTGGTAATCCTTCATGCTGATGGCGATGGTGGTGGTGGGCGAAAACGCTCCTTCTGGTTCCGTTCCCACCAGTGGCCGTGACTGCCTGTTTTGGCCGTTGCGACTTCCTGCGACGTGTGTGTGGTGACTTCCTTGCCAACACGCCCAATCACGGGAGAATCCATTCACTCTACCATAGTCTCATCTTCTTCTTCTTCTTCTCTCAACACGAATCCAACAACACAAGACACAGACCGTCTTGATCAACTGTGAGACTTCGTCGTCGTCGTCGTCGTCGTCGTCGCCTAACAAGAGTGCTACCCTGATCCCGGCTCGCGCGCATCCGCCGCCGGGCTGGGCGCTCAAAGCAGGCCCTGGTCCGAAGGCTGCACGTCTGGCAAGCAGGGAGGTGGCTGGCCTCGGGAGGCGTTAGCTGTTTTACGTTTATTTCACGCCCCGTCTCCGTTCTCCACCCTCTCGGCGCAACCTTTCCTTTGCAGACGGCTCACACGCTGCCTGGCACCTGGGCCCTCGCGCTGCCCCTCTAGCGTCGTCGCTCTGTGCGTGAAATTGCGCAGGCCAACGCTACTGCAATCTTTCTCCCCCAACCCACCCTCGTCGCCCGCTTGGACCTCTGCTGCCCGGATCCTTTGACCAACAACCACCCAGCGCGCGCAATAAATCAACATGTCGCAGCAGCATGCCCCAGATAGGTCCCGGAAGTATAAGGAAGACCCGGCGCCTGTAGCGTCGCTGAAGATGGTGAGTTGACTCTGGCTTCCTTGCCCCCTCCCCTCCCCCCTACTGCATCCTCGCATCCACCTACATCCATCGTCGCTCGCTACGCCCTCCACCACTGCCACCACTGCCACTACCACTACCACCACCACCAACAACACTATCCCATCGGCCCGTCTGCACCCTCGACCGTTGGAGTTTCGAGCGTCGCAAGCCCGTTGTTGTCACCGCCGCCGCTCGCAGCTTCATCCTCGTTTCTTTTGGCATGCTGCAGCAGCCTCTGCACGCCGCGTCCATACACAACCACTCACCCCAGCTCCGGCGCGTCTCTGCCTACATGGTATGCCCTTCCCGCCCAGCAGCACCCCCCCTGTCGCGCCTCCTGTCCGTTTCCTTGTCTCTCTCCATCCAGTCCGCCGCGTCTTGTCACGCAGAAGCCCAGCAGCGGAATCCCTGCCATCCTCCTCCTCCTGCTCCTCACAGGCCTTCCGCTCCCAACTGCTGCTGCTGCTGCTGAGCACTCCGCCCTGTGTGTTGTCAAACGTCGCCAAATCGCCGCACCACGCTTTGCTGCTCTAGCCTGCCTCTTCCCATCCTATAAACATTATATCCCCCCTACCCTACCCGTCACGTCTCTCTTCTAGACCCTGCCCTCGCATCGCATCGCCAAAGTCTGTTGCAGACCGACCGTTGCTGCCCGCCTTACCACCCTAGTCGGCGCATCATCTCTACCGCACCTCCCCGCATCGCATCGCATCCCATCCCCCAACCGTCTTCCTCTTCTTTTGCCCTTGCCCCCCTACACCATCGTTGCAGCATATACTTCTTTCGCTTGTCGCTTTTGTTCTTGTTGCGCCTCCATCGTTGCTGACTTGCTTCGCTTCCAGCATCACCCCCACTCGGCGCAGGGCTTGCCCCCGCCTAATCATCTGGTCCACCACCCTAGGCCTGGTGTAGTTCAACAGCACCAACACCATCCCGACTCGCCACACTCATCGGTGCCAACACAAAGCCCAGCCCCGGGCCATTACCCGTCGCCGCAGCACCCTAATCCTCAGGTACCGCCGCAGCATCAGTCGCCCTACATCCAGCAACTCCCAGGACCACCGCCACCCCAACAGCAGCAGCAACAGCAACAGCAGCAGCAAGAGGTTCCCTACTACTCGCAGCACCACCAGAGCCCGTACAGCACCAACAGTGCGCCAAGCAACTATTCCTCGTCAGGTATGTTTTGTTTGCTACGCGCTTCCAAGACGCGTCTGTCAAACTTTGGCACGCGCGACGCGACTTAGTACCTCAACAAGCAGAACGAGTCCCTCTAACGTGAATACAGAAACGCCAGAGCTCATGGCCGCTGCGACTATGAATCGAGCGGGCTATCCCCCAATTTCATACCACACGCCTCAGTCAAACTCACCTGCATCTGTTCAATCGCCACAGCACGACCAGCATGGACGGCCAATCTATGGACAGCCGCCAAGCCAGATGCCCCAGTCAATGTACTACACACCGTACGCATCGGCGCCAGTAGCTCAGCAATCACCCTACCCTCAGCATCCTTCAAGCGCCCCCCAGCAACCCATGGCGACGCAATCGCTGTTAATGTCTCAGCAGCAAAACCAGCACATGCAGCACCAGCACCAACATCACCCGCAAACCCCTGGAATGACCGGAAGCCCCAAGTCGAGGATGTCACAAACGCCTCTTCAGCGGCCACCATCAGGACTTGGTCCCCCACAAGCCCCGCCTCAAGGTCCTCCAGGTGGTGCGCCCAACATGCACGCAGGCCCTCCTGGAGGGCCCAACGTGAACCCAAATGCTGCGCCTGGTCCTATTCCTGCCACTACCCCACTTGTTGTACGGCAGGACCAGAACGGCGTGCAGTGGATTGCTTTTGAGTACTCGCGCGACAGGGTGAAGATGGAGTACACGATTCGATGCGACGTGGAGTCGATCAATGTCGACGAGCTTCCCCAGGACTTCAAGACGGAAAACTGCGTCTACCCACGCGCGTGCTGCGCCAAAGACCAATACAAAGGCAACCGGTTACACTACGAAACTGAGTGCAACACCGTCGGCTGGGCGTTGGCGCAATTGAATCCATGCCTGCGAGGAAAGCGCGGTCTCATTCAGCGAGCAGTCGACAGCTGGCGGAATAGCAACCAAGACCCGCGGCTGAGGAGCCGACGCGTGCGGAGAATGGCCAAGATGACGACCAGGAAAGCTCAAGCAGCTACACATGGTAACCACATGGCTGGGCCAGGTGGACCAGGTGCTCCTGGGGTGCCTAATTCAGCCGGCCTAACAGCACCCCCTCGACAACCAAACATGGGCATGGGAGGTCCCCAGATGCACCATCACCACGATGGTCCACCTCATGGAGGAGCGGATGATGTTAGCGGTATGTTTCACCAGATGTGATGCGATAAAGCGCAGTTGTTGGATGTTAAATGATACCTCTGTCGTTTCTGCACTGCATGTACATTACACACTCCTTGATGTAATACCCCTTCGATACCACTACCCCATGCATGTACCCATCACTCTCCACATCTCATCATTGCACATGTTTGGCTCGGCGCAGGAGGGCAGGTACATACGTAGATGGTCCTTGAACGTGCAAGCTAATTTCCTTTGTCTACAGCCAATGACTACGGTGAATCGCAAACTCATCATCACCAAGCGCCAAACGGACAACCCTCGCCCAGCGATGTGCGACAAACTCAGAACTTCTATCCTACTTTTCCGTCAAGCGACTCTGTGGCCGGCTCGAGCGGTATGCCGCCCATCCACGACGGTCTACACCATCCTCCGCCCCCGCCCCATGCCGCGGGTGTCCCCGTAATTAAGCAGCAGCCGGATCAAGACGAGGAAGAGAGGAAACTAGCCATGTTTGGCGACCTACCTGAGTCGAAGCGCCGCAAATTCATCCTTGTAGATGATGCGCAGCGTGGGACTAGAGTGCGAGTACGCGTTACCCTCGACACCGTAAAGATGGAGGAAATGCCAGACTCGTATCGCAAATCAAACTCGGTATTCCCACGCAGTTATTTTGCCATGCAGATGACTTCGCCACCCGCAAGCCCCCGCGGCAGTAAGGTCTTCAGCGACGAGCCTGACCTTGAGAACGACCCCAGCTTCCCTTTGGCAGGTTCTACCAGTGTGCCAGTGCCAACTATGGACGGTGAAGTCCGTGTCCCGAAGCCGCGCCTGACGCGCGCGAAGCGTTCGAAGGAAATCACTCTCAACGATCTCGGCTACCGCATGAGTTGGAGTCAAAGCCGTGTGTTCGCTGGGAGAACTTTGTTCCTGCAAAAGTCTCGTAAGTGACTGTTCCAACATGCGCAAAAGAACCACAACTAACCTATCCATCAGTGGATGCCTACCGCAATAAAATGCGGAGCAGCATGATGGGACAAGGCCAAGATGTCACGCAAGTCGCGCCCCATTTTGAGACGCGCGTGGGCAAGCGGCGGTGGAACGAGAGAATCGAGAGACACAAGAGGACGAGGCGCGACGGCTCGCCTTAAGAAGGTCTCCGGCCACAAGAACCGAATCTGATGCCCCGGTTGCAGACAACCGTTTTTTTCGGTGTGCCCGCTTTTCCGGCACGCACTTGCAGGGAGCCCCTACGAACGACCGGGGGTCAAAACCGTTTTCGACACGGGCTCGGAAATCCTTCACCATGGACCCTGTCTCTCGAACCGTTGTGCACAGCCGGTGTTTCATCCTGGATGCCTGGGGTTTCAGGCCATGACCTGTTTGTTTGTTTCCATTCCCACCTATCCTATCCCACTCTGCCCAACAACTGGGTGTAACGCGCCTACCTCGCTTGCCACCCGAGCCAGACTGGCACATTTTGATACCCGGTGTGTTGTGCTATGTGCACAAAATTACGACCTTTTTTTTTCATGGACGACGAGGAAAAGTGTGTTCTACTACTATATGCTTTGTTCTATATCCTACCGACCTACCTACTCATACCGGTTCGCTCTTGATTTTCTCCAGGCCATATAGAAATGACGGGTTGGGTGTTTTCTAAAAGCGAGGGCGGTGGGGAATCTGTCTGTATGTTGTTGCTCTAAAGGTCACGGGATGAGGAAGAGGAGTTCGGTCTCGGTTTCGGTTTCGGTTTCGGTTCATGAATGATTGCGTGTCCTTGTTCTTGGAAACAAAGTTTTTCTTTCTCCCTCGGTCGTATATTATTCGGTATCCCGGCTCGCTCACGATAGATACTGCACAACAATAGATTGTATGTTTTTAGAGGTATTTTGAGGTAGCGTGCATAACGAATACACTGGTGATTTGTACGCGTGCGTGTATCTTGTGCATTATGTTGTCGAGTATTTAAAAAAGTAGCAAGCTGGTGCAGAAATTAATTCGTTCACTCGTCCCACTACGTAGATTCATTCATCATCTCTACTGTGACCTATCCATAAACCACTACTCCCGCCGCGGACAAGCAGTGTCTAGACATCCAGCCCTCCCCCAGACAATGGCATCGGATCGGATCCCGCCGGATTCATGTCTGACAGATGGCACATGACACATGACAGGCCGGGAGATGCTTGCTTGCGTGCTTGCTAGGTATGCCACTAAGCTGCACTAGGTATCTTTATCTCGATGCCGTGAAGTGGTATATCCTAGAAGAGAGGACGTCGAGGGAGTATATAGAGTAGGGGAGAGTAGAGTTGGGGATACCCTGTTACTCTGAAATAATGTTGCGTTATGATGATGGTGCTGGGTGGCTGGCTGGTTGGCTGGTAGTGGTAATGCAAGGCGAAACTTTATTTCTCGAGCTGAGAAGATGCGAGGAATTGGGGGTAAAGTGAGTCGATTTACCTGATAGAGGGAGGATTAAGTTAGGTTTCACGTATAACTTGAATTTGGATTTTTGCTTGGTTATAGGAATGCGTACGATGAATATCTAACTGGCTGACTGACAAGAAAACTACTCGCTTGACGTTTCTCAGCTACTCCGCTCTACACGCAAGGAACTAAACGCTTTGGTATTTCTCAGTATATGATACTATGGTTTGAATTCTGATTTACAACGGTGATTGTGATAAGAAAGGAATGTACAATACGGTGTAAGGTTTTAGTCAAGTCTTTCATGTCTTACATTTCAAAGGGGTATTATTAGCTCACATTTTTTTTCAATAAACAGAAACATTTCCGGGCATATGACTTATTAAGACTTTCATTGATGCGGCTTGCACGTGAGCACAAGTCCGATACCATGACTTCCTTAGTAGTGAGGGTATCCAGATCGCTGTGCTATACTATGCTATGATATACTATTCAAGATACCGTGGAATAGCCCCAGATGTGCCCGCCCCCCGGTGCCTAACGTGGCTGCCGTTCCCCCCGTGTCGCGCCTGTAGAAATCTATAATACAATCGCTATGCAAAATACCTCCCTGCGCGGAATGAGTGTCCGCGATATCCTCCCAGTAGTGTGAAATGCAGATATTAGTCAAGGACTGGCCTACGATTTGAGGCTGCAAGGAGCCTGAAATGTAAAGCTTCTCGAGAAAGAAAGGCTGTGATCACCAAATTACCCACAACCTGTGATGTATGCCACGGAAAACCTTCGACACCTTCAAGGTCGCTTTGCACGTGTGCTCCTCGTAGTCTTTGCCGGGGCGCCCTTTGTCTTCGCCGGAGCCGCCTTCGCCTGGCTTGCGGCAGTTGGCGCATCGAATGACCTCGTCACCCGCTTCTTCGTCACCTTCGCGGAGCTCTCGCCCTCGGAGTCATCGTCAGCCTTCCGCTTAAGAGAGGATGTTGCGCTCTTCTTGTTCGACTCGGCAGCCTTGGTGGATGTCCTGGAGGCACGAACACTGCGATTGGCCTCCGACGACGGCGGAGTCGGCGGTCGCTTGCTGTTGCGCGACACCTCTGGCGACTTGGGGACTTCCTCTGTAGACTCCTTGTTCGCGTTCCGTTGCTGGGCAACCCAAGATAGCAAATTCTCCTCTGCGTCTGCATCGTCTTCTTCCTCGTCTCCTTCGAGCATTGCCTCGGCCATCTCACCTGCAATATCGTCTCCCGCGTCCTTGTCCGTTGCCATGCGCATAGCAAATTCTAGCAGCTGTTGGGGATCCATGCCGCTGAGAGGGCCACCGGCAGTAGCGAGCTGTCTCTGTAGAGCGGCCATCAGCACATCCTGGCTGATGCCCATGTCTTCCTCCTCTTCTTCTTCGTCGACGGTTTCGGGGCCGACAATGTCGGAAGGCGGTGATACAGGCTCTGGAGCAGACGCAACCTTGCCTTTGCCTGGTCTCGATGGCCGTATGCTCGGTGACTGGGGTGGTGATCCACGTGCCCATTGCGGTGTATCTTTGACCTTTTCCCTCCAGTTCTTCAGCACCGCGTATGATTGCGCATTGTCATCCAGTAGCTGCGCCTTCGTTTCCCGGTCATTTTGCGCGCGCCAGACAATAGGTGAGTGCTCCAACAGGGACGTGTCTGCTTGTATGTTTGCTTGTTGTGTTGACCCCGTCTTCTTGCTGTGACTGTTCCTGACTGACCTCTTTCTCTTCTGGCCTGTCTTCGCGTCCTTTACATTGTGTACCTCGAACTTGGCATTGTCGTACCCATCTGACGCGTACTCGAGATCGTTGAAGTAGTCGAAGCGATCCCAGTCTGGCAGCCCGTCCTCGTCTCCGTACGCTGTCGGTGGTGGTGAGGCAACGGCGTGCTCTGCTAGGTCGTCTGCCGCCATGTATTCTTCCTCGACATAGAACCATTCCTCGCCATAGTCTGAGTAGTCGTCGCCGTAGTCGCTCATGTTGGGCAGACTGAGGCGCGCTCTTGGTGGTAGGGGACGGCGGCTGCGGCACGGGAGCGTCCAGCACAACAGTCAATGCGGTGTGTATTGGGCGAAGGTATTGTATTGAGGCGTAGCGTGAACGGGATCGGGTGGAGGAGGTCGGGGTAGCGTTGATGGAGGGAAGAGAACGCCCATGCGTATCGTAGGTGACGAAGGCCTCCCCTGCGTACAGTGAGCACGACCAACGCAATCTGTACAGCGCAGTCTCAAGGCCGTGACCACCAACGTAGACAGACAGTGCGACTGCAATCCGAACGCCTTCCTGATCTAGTCTTAGTCTGAGTGATGGCTTGAAGATGTTCGCTCCAGTAAACGCGTTGCACATTCCCCGCAAAATGATACTCGTACGTATGCCAAGCATTGCGGCTTTCCTCGGCTTACACACCACCGAGGTACCCTAGACTGTTACTCCTCCACAAACAAATGTCCTTTCGTAGCTCGAATAAACAATTTCTGCTCTCATAGCCTCGATTCTAATCATGCGTGCTTTCCGACAGTCAACTCACCTCTCCCGCCAGCTTCTTGCCGTCAATGGGGTCCGCCACAACTCCACAACCGCACCAGCTACCAAGTCACTTACCTCTGTGCTTATAGCGAACCGTGGGGAAATTGCACTGTAAGGTGCTCAAGTTTAGCAGAATAGTATGCGGTTAACACAAGTCGAAGGCGTGTCGGTCGAACAGCCTCAGAGTATGGCATCCGCACAACCACCCTCTACACAGACCCAGATGCGCGGTCACAACATGCTCTGAGTTCACCATATGCCGTAAACCTGGGAGACCCCTCTGCATATCTCGATGGAGACCGGATAATACAGATCGCGAAAGAGCAGGGCTGCCAGGGCATACACCCGGGTTATGGATTTGTACAACTCACGGGCCCTTTGTAGTGTAGATAGAAAAGCTAATCTAGAACTAGTTGAGCGAGAACCCAACATTTGCAAGGAAATGTACAGATGCTGGTTTGACCTTTATTGGACCACCATGGCAGGCGATTGAGTCTATGGGGAGTAAGAGGTAGGGCGACTTACCACGGTTAAAGCGAGGCTAACAACTGGCGGGCAGTGAGTCGAAGGATATCATGACCAATGCCGGTGTACCGTGCATCCCAGGTTACCACGGCTCAAATCAAGATCCCGACCACCTGAAGACTGAGGCAGGGAAGATTGGCTACCCAGTCCTGCTCAAGGCAGTAAAAGGTGGAGGTGGCAAGGGCATGAGAATTGTCAACAATGAGGGCGAGTTCTTCGACCAGCTCGCATCGGCCAAGTCAGAAGCTCGAAACTCGTTTGGCGATGAAGTCATGTTGGTAGAGAAGTATATCACTACTCCGCGCCATATCGAAGTCCAGGTCTTCGCAGACAAGCATGGCAACTGTGTTGCGTTGGGTGAGCGTGACTGTAGCATCCAACGACGGCATCAGAAAATCCTAGAAGAATCACCAGCGCCACACTTGAAGGAAGATATCCGGCAAGACATCTGGGAAAAGGCAAGACAAGCTGCTCTGGCGGTGGGCTATGAAGGCGCTGGAACCGTGGAATTCATCTTCGACAACGAGAGTGGCGAGTTCTTCTTCATGGAGATGAACACACGCTTACAAGTCGAGCATCCCGTCACCGAGATGGTCACAGGCGAAGACCTAGTCCGGTGGCAGCTCATCGTCGCAGAAGGCGGTCGCCTACCACTAACCCAGCGGGAGATTGAGGAGCGCATCAGCGAGCGGGGACACGCCATTGAAGCAAGGATATACGCTGAGAACCCGGATATGAACTTCATTCCAGACTCGGGTCTCTTATTACACCTGCGCACCCCAACACCATCACCGACTGTACGCATAGATTCTGGTTTCATCGCGGGAGATGAAGTCTCGTCCCATTACGACCCCATGATTTCAAAACTCATCGTCCAGGGACCCACGCGACAGGCAGCGATCCAGAAACTCCGCGCCGCGCTCGAAGAATACGAAGTAGCTGGGCCGATCACAAATATTGAATTCATCAAGCGCATGTGTGTGAGTCCTGACTTCATCGCTGGAGACGTGGAGACGGGATATATCCAAAAGCACCACGCTGAGCTGTTCACGCCTGAGCCGTCAGCGCCAGAAGTGTATGCACAAGCCGCCTTGGGTCTAGCACTGCAAGACATTTCATCATCGCGCGGTAACGTATTTTCTGGACTTCCAGTGACTGCCGTAGGATTCGGACTTGGAGCCGGGTTCCAGCAACGAATGTATGACTTGATTGAGATACCCGCGGACGGCAAAGGCGAGAGTAAAGCAAGCAAAGTCACAATCCGACAAACTGCGCCCGCGCAGTTCGACGTAACCGTAAATGAAAAGACGTATAGCAATGTCACATCTACCTTCTCGCCCAGCACGAACACCCTCACCTCCTTCTACCCACACACCCGCGTAGCAACAACATTTGTCCGTGACGGAGACCGCCTTACCTTATTCCAGCACGGCAAGCAGTTCCGCCTGCAGCATGCGATGCCAGAATGGACCAAGAAGGCGCTGGGCGTCAAAGACGTCACGAATTCCGTACTAGCCCCGATGCCTTGCAAGGTGTTGAGGGTGGAAGTGAAAGAAGGGGACGTGGTGAAGAAGGATCAAGCGCTTGTAGTGATTGAAAGCATGAAGATGGAGACTGTCATTAGAAGCCCAAGCGATGGGGTTGTCAAGCGGGTGGTGCATGGAAAGGGGGTAAGTCACCCCGCGCGTCGTGAGAGATGTAGTGAGAGTACTGACGAGCATTCTAGGATTTATGCAAGGCGGGCACCGCGCTCGTTGAGTTTGAGGAGCCGGAGGACGGCTCCTTATAAAAGTTGTCGGGTTTGGCGTTTGGCAAAAGAACGGGCATTACGTATTCACTGCAGAACTAGCATGCTCATGACATCCACGGTGCTTATCTTCTCTTTAGTTTACATCCCCTGGAAATATCTTTTCCGTGACGTCCCCTCGTACTTCTACTGCGATTAGAACATACTGCCATTGATTGTACCATTAATCTATTTACATAGCCCAACTGATCAGGATGTGCAATGTTCCAGGTGTTACTATAGAGGTGGGGATGAGAACGAGTTTCAGGCGTTGTATGACTAATTCGTTTTATTCGTTAAGGAGACTGCGAGTGGGAAGGATGATGGACTCTGGTGTCTACAAGGTGAAGTTGAGAAACGAGAGTATTTCCATGAAGCGGCCACTGGCCTTCTATCTTCGACTCAAGTGTCACTACCAGTTCGTAGCTAACAAAAAATTCCATGCAGCAGTTGTACTCAGCCTCAGGCAGCCCTCCATTACCCTCCATGCTTCAACTTAGTTGTCGCAGAGATCTTGGTTCCATGCTTTCCTCCTGTATCCCTGTCAACCCACTCCTTGACAATAGCGGTATCTGCTCAGCCGTCTATCGTTCTTCAAGTTCTCCATAATAGTTATTGCATGTTTGCCAGCTATCGTTCCTCATGGTCTCCAAGAAAATTGGCTCGACTGCATTCTTACCAGCCTGGACTCCCTCCCAGAAACGCAGATCGTCCAGCGGTGTCTTAGGCACCAGGTCTTCAAGGAACCACTGTCGATCGTCGAGCCGGTTGTCTCGCTGTGGCACCCCATGGGCGTTGCAGAGGGCGCTCCAGGAGAAAAGCGCCCCAACACTACACCCAGCTTGAAAGGGAGATTCAACATCAAAGACATGATCCGTGTCTTCGGCAGAGAGAGACCCTCGTCCAGCTGCTGCTTTATCGTCGAATGCTCTCATGCAGTCGAGCCAACCCTTATAGTAGTCGTGCCGACGCAACAAATCTACGTTATAGCCATCGAACCATTTGGGCCGCTTATGGTCTGCACTGACCCCGAATTTTTTCACGCTGTCGGCCAGTGAGAAGATGGTGATACCTTTCTCTAAGCCGGGATAGTTGTCGCAAGAGTCATCGTTCTGCTTTGACGATTCTTCCAGCGCAGCGATGGATTTGTCAACCTTTGCTTTCATCTCCTCAGCTCTTTCTCTTGAGCTTCCAAACGCTGCTCCTTCTCTTGCAGCGTAGCGTTCTGTGCCTCAAGCTCATGCACCTTACGCGCTAGCTCCTGCTCTTTCTCATAGTTCTGCACGAACATTGCCTGAATGGCGGCTTCACGTTTCTTATGCTGCTCTAACTCCCGCAGAAGATCACTAGTCTTTCGTTCCATGTGACGGTTGATTTCATGAACGCTTCGTGCATGGGCTTCGTGAAGTTCGGCTATGCGCCTTTCCAAGTCTCTTTGAGCTGCATGAGATTCGGCGAGCTGCTGAGTAGGCGTTTCGGTATTTGTTTCTTGAGTTGTCGCCACATTGTCTGATGGTTAGTAACGGACTTGATGAGAGGAGGGCAGAGAAACTCACTATGTGGGGCGTTGAGGCCCGAATCCGTAGAAGTGGTGGAGGAGCGCATGGCCCACGGTATGGCAGTGTAGTCTTGCGGGAATACTATCCTCGAAGCGCGAGCCTTTGCGCGGTGGGTTGTGGTGATGAAGGTCTAGAAGTATGCAAGAATAAAAGTTACCGCTTCTGCAGCGACGGCGTGACGTCAGGGTGAAGGACAACAGATCTCGGTGAATGTGAAGCTGAAAGCCGGGATGTGAAGTTGAAACCCCCAGATGGAGAACGTAGGTCGCCTTTGTTTGAAGCCACCTTTAAATTTATTATAAACCAGCAATTTGGAGACTGGCGTACACTATGCATTGGAGTTAATCCTTTCACACGTTTCTGACGGTGGGCTAAGAATGCAGGTGAACTTCGTACGTTGTCGTACAATCCGAGTTTCGAGGAGGTTCGCATCGATTGACTGACTAGACAGCGTGGTCCTAAATACTCCTAGGTCTACATTTCGTTAGAACAGAATAGACTTAATAACTATATACTGGGAATCTAGCTCAAACGTTCAACAGAGTTCAACTGGTCTTACTGAATGTCCTCCGGCTTCACAAACACCCAGTTTTTATCCGCAGTAATCTCCCTCCCATTCTCTTTTTGCCCTTTAACGTTCACTTCAATCTCCTCCTTTATATCCTTAAGATACGCGTCTTTCCGATTGATCCACAAGTGCACTCCTCCCTTCTCGGTGTCCACGCCATGGAAAAGCATATACGAATCGCTGCCCGGCGTGTCTCCTGCAGCCAACACTGGACGCTTCCATTGATCAATGTACGTCAGGATAGCGGCCCACTTGCCTGCAAACCAGGTTGCTGGAGTCCAAAGGTAGGGTGTTACGATCAGATCGAGATTGGCTGCCTCGTCGTATTCGCCTTCTACGATTTGTTTGCGCGCGTTGGTGAGTGCGCCAGAGGTTGCATTCTTCAGCATTGTGGTCACGCCAATTACGTTCTGCGGTGGGACGTTGTATCCGTATTTTGGGTCACTGGCCACGAAACGCACGAGCTCTTCGTGTGCGGCGCTGATCACGTACACGGCGATTCCGTTGTTCATGAGCGCATTGTAGAGTTCAACTTGCCCCGGGTAGATCTTCGGTGGGGTAGCACTGCCTTGGACGATTTTATCCCCGTCCCAAGATTGCGTTGGAATCGTCCCGTTGTGGGCCAGAAGCTCGTCCACGTAGCGTTTTAGTTCGCGAAGCGTGAGGCCGGACCAGACTTGCGCAATCCATGGGTAGCAAACGAAATCATCTACCTTACAGAGACGATTATAGTAGCTATACAGCGTCTCGGTGAAGTTCGCCGTATCCTTGAAGTCTATCAACTTGAGGCTCGGATCCAGATTATCGCGCGTTAGAATCCCCCGGTTTTCTAGGAACGGTAGGAGCGACTCTTCAAGGTCGTAGCGGTAACTTGTCTGGTCCATGTCGAAGACTGCATAGTTGCTCTGGTTGGCGTTCTTGGTGATCATGGTGCTGAGTGTGGCGGCGGCTTCGGCGGGCCAGTGTTGAAATTGCACGGTATGAGCGCCATAGCTGGGAATGGCAGAGCTGAGACTACTGGCGAAAGTGAGCCACAGGGCTGGTGTAGCAGTTGAAGTTCGCATGGTTATCTTGTATTGAGTTTAAACGTCCACGAAACACGCGTTAAGGGGATGATGATCAAAGCTGCGAATGGGACTCTGAGAAGTGGAGAGCGAGCCAGACTGTAAAATTCTCTGCGATTCGGAAATTTAAGTAGCTAATCTGTGAATGCCACCGACGAGTGCCCAGGTAGCCGGAGGATACCCCACACATGGTAGACGGCGCGGATCCTACCACCTTGAATGGGGAACAAGTGCAGGATGTTGTTCCGAATGTCACCGTGCCTTGCCAGATGAAGTAAGTGTTCGTGTGCGCACGTTCTCGATGACGTCGTTTAGTAGCGCTGGGCATGAGTTCGAGAAGGGAAAAACTTCCAAGTCAAACAACAGTCGAAGATAATCTGTACTGAATTTTGAATTGTTCTTTTGAACTTTGATACATTCTCTCTTATGACGTGTAGATGATTACAACGGGTATCTGTTCGTCACACAAATGCTCTTCAAAGTGTCCCTCTTTGGAAGGATGCTTGGCTTATCGATACTGAGTCGCTAGTTTTCAGCTCCACCAGCCAAGCTGCAAGCCTCAACTCCGTCACAGCTAAGATTATCTATCCTAGAAGCAGCGCAGCCTTGTAGACCTGCCACACTGCTAACCCACTTCCAATAGCCCACAGCGAGCTCCTAATAAAACTCGTCGCATGATCACTGATTTGCACATATGCAACCGTATACAAAGTCCGAACAACAAACCAAAGACCCACAAAGGTACTCAGCCCGGTAGCATCCCCGCTTACTACCTCCCTTCCCAAGCCAGTTGCAGTCGTCCTCTCAGCGACAATACTGGCTAAGATGGCGACAGCGAATATGGGGAATTGCTCTATATTATTTGATTGTGCGTTTTCAGCACGCTGGTATTTCTGGAACCTAATAGTTGGTTAGTTGATGGTTGAAGGCTTTAGATTAGAAGAAACGAGCTCACACTGCGTCGGGAACTTTGCCCTTTACGGCGGATGGCGACAAGGAGGCTTTTGGGTTTGCATTGTTGATTTTGTAGCCGTTCGAGGCGAGGAGGCTGCCGGCGTACATGTGGGGTGCTAGAGAGAAGACATAGTATGCTGGGATGGCGAGGAGTGGGTAGTTGAGGGTGTTAGAAGACATGATGATTTGATTGTTGGGTTGGTTCGTGAGAATTGGGACCAGCGAGGTTTTAAGTCTTTGGATTGAGTGTACCTCTATAGAGGGCTCAGGTTGATGTTGGAGTGAGCGCCCAGTAAATACAAGGGTAACAATGACGCAGGTACGCAGCCAAGACAACATTCGACTAGCTGGACAGAACATTCGGATTGAGCCATGTGATCGAAATGCTTGCTAGTATTGAACTGAATTGTCCAGTGCCGCACAGCCATTGTCCGTTCCATCGTTTGGAATCCATTTCGAGCCGAAGAACAGAAGTACACTGTATAAAACGCGGGTGTGGCTAAGAATGAGTTGTTACCGTAATCTAGAGCTGGCTTACTAAGCCACTTGCTTGATGTCGAAGCTCCCGCAAGCTCCACCAAGCTCCACCACGCTCCACCTCTTCATCGCGTCGCGAACGAACTGGTCGTCTGTTCGCAAAACAGAAGTTCCAAACCTTTGCTCTTGAATTGTACTTGCTTAATGTTCAGCAAAACATCTACCCGGACTTCGTTGTCTTAGCGCGTTGATCTCTCATTAACAGCATAGGATTCCGTTCCACTAACAGAATAAGACGTGTAGCAATTCACACGAGCCATCAAGGACGTATCGCACAGCTTGAGGTATGACTCTAAACAAAAGTTACTGGCTCTTGTGCGAACCTTCTCGAAATGCAAGCCGGCGCTTCGCCATGGATCTTCCACGATTGGGCCAATCGTAACCGCCTGCTCCTGCAGGTCTCAGCCTCCACCAGTGCTTGGGGGTGCGAGCCTGGTGAACCTGAGCCTTGAACAGTCACTCGATCAACATAGAAAAGCGCGCAAGTCTGCCCTTCACTTGGAAAGGAGCGATACAACGTACACCCAAAGCTTGAGATATATACGACACGGAGATCTAGCTACTCGGTCGAGCCTATATCGACTTTCTATACGAGCCTCGAATCGCGGGGAAGCTACCACAGGCTCGGAAGCTCGCGAACTCGGTGACTGGAGTTAGCTGCCTACATAGGCTGAAAGACCAATGCTCAGGTATGGTAGAGGCTTTTTGAAAGTGCTTAACTGACGTCCTCTGACCACAGATAGGCTGCATGTATCGATATACCTCCATCGCGTTAACCCCTCGTTCCATGTCCCACGATGAACCCCAATGGCGGCCCTCCGCAGATTCTATACATCGAAGAAGGGAAGGACTACTTCCTGGATGACAATGAGGAGCTACCATATAGACTCGTGAAGAATTTGGGCCATGGGCATAGTGCCACTGTGGAAGAGGTGGTGGACCAGTGGACAGGCGCAGTCTACGCCCGAAAGGTCTTTCGGATCAACGGCTCCAAGAGCGAGAGGAGACGCATCTTCTCGAACGAGATTAAGATTATTAGACGCTTGGAACGACACCATCACATTGTTCGCGTTTTCGCTACCTACATTTCGCGGCGAGAGACCGGCTTGATCCTCAGTCCGGTTGCGAGCCAAGGCGATCTAGAGTCTTTTCTTCAAGACTTTCGAGAAGGAAGGTGCACAGAATCCGGCATGCACACGTTGATCTCGGCATTTGGATGCCTGGCTAGTGGGTTGCTCTTCATGCACACCCAGCATGTTAGGCATAAAGATATCAAGCCACGGAATATACTCGTCCACCAGAATACGGTTATATACACCGACTTTGGGTACTCTCTGGATCATAGTACCGCTACTGGAAGTACAACGACAGGACGACCACACACTTTGACTAGAAAGTACTGTGCGCCGGAAGTTCAAGAATGGGAGCCACGCAATGCGAAATCGGATATATTTTCACTTGGATGCGTCTTCTTTGAGATTTTCGCAACGCTGGGGTTTTGTGAACTACCAGATACTGGAATACCGTACCATGAACGCATCGACGAGGTCAAAGCAATGGTCCGAGGGAGCATTGGTCCAGTCAACGAGTGGTTCAAGCCAATAGGTAGTTTAACATGCCAGATGATAGACTCTTCGCCCGAGCAGCGGCCGCCGGCCAACAACATAGCCAGAGAGTTATGGAAGAACTATCGAGGCCACTTCTGTCCACAATGCAGACAAAGCTTACCGGCTCAAAACGCCACTGAATTCCCTCCACAACCGATGCATGAATATTACAATCTTGTGCGAACGAACTTCACGGCGGGTTGGATCGCATCAGACGAGATGGTCTCGGGCGGCATCCTCTTAGATCAGATGCAAAATGGTCAGCATCTAGAAGCACGCAATGGTAGCGGGTCATGGACACCTATTCAAGCCCATGCCGGAGCCATCCCGCCCCCTACCCATGCTTCTCCAAATGGTCTTCACGGCAGCGTTGCGCGCGACCAGTTTCCACTTCCGTCCCCAGGTCTAGTAGCGACCAGCGGAGCGGATCAAGCATATTATCCCCCGACTCCTGTTGATATTCCTTTGAGAAGATCGTCAACGGTCTTGCAAAGCGTTCAGACTCCGTCACAGGCGCTTGATCCAACATCATTAGCAGAGAGTCCGAAGTCTGTTCGCAATCTAGTGGCCATCCCATACATCGACTTTCGTCCACAGAGCGGGCAAGGAATCGTTCAAGTGGAGAGTAGCCCCAAAACGTATGCCATGGCATTATCCGGCGATCGCGATCGCACTCCAACTGTGGATTCTAGTCACCGGCTCCCATGCCTTCACGCGAATTGTCCAGACATGTTCACATCGCAAACCAAATTACAGTTTGTCTCAGAGTTCCGTTCACCAATGTTTGATCTGACCGCTGAATAGGACACACATGCTTAGGCATACAACCCTGTTTACGTGCCGCGTAGTGGGCTGCCGCCGGACTGATTTCGGGTTCTCGACAGCGGACGACCTTGAGCGACACATGAATAATGTTCATAGGACAGGAGGCATGACGTGGACGCACTATCAGTGTATAGTAGAAGACTGCGCAAACAGGAACAAGATCTGGCCGCAACTAAGCAGCTTCAAGAAGCACATCATAGAGGTGCATCCGCGTGGCAACCAGGATGACCTGATTCAGAGGTGCGCTGACGATAAGAGAAGAGTGGATATATACTAATACTTTTAAGATCTACGCTTGCTCCTTCGAAGAAAGCACCAAGACGCAAGCAGTCATCTTTTGACACCGAGCGTTGACTACGAGCATGGTGTCGAAGCTCTCCGCTTTCGGCAGTCAATACCATTGTCTCGAATGGCGATCATGAACGTATGATGAAGCCTAAAGGGACGATATGGCCATGAAGTCTACCCCACAGCGCGCCGATCGCGCTCTCCGCCACTTAAACAAGCAGATGGCAGTCATGCACGGTGCGAATGGGTTTGCGAACAGCAACGCACTTGAACTTGCATACGGGGTGCCAACAGGCCGACTATCGGATCAACCGCATGACGGAAGGCCAGAGAGATAAGCCTGCAGAGCGGAAGTGGAGCAGGCGGGTCCTGCGGAGCTGGTGGCCTGAAGACGGGTCACGAAATTATCTGGCGGGAGCTCCATCCAGGGGCTGCTAAGCACTAGCGTAGAGGGCAAGTGTCGTGAAATGAACCTGAAGCAACTTGAGGCGTTGGTGGCGGTCGGGGTAAGGATGTTCTACGTCTAGCGCTCACGCTTCTAGAACGCGGTGTTTCTTTGCTACCATGATACCAGTTAGCGATTTCAATAGTCACTCCCGTTTCTAATTACGTGTTTGGGCTTAGTTTGATGCAATAGTGCATCATGGTTTCTATTTTTCTCCTTCTTTCTTCTATTCAAGTAACGTCACGCTAACTAGGAACAGACAGACTTCTACAAACGTAGTAGGAAAAATCGTACCAGACTATAGTTCAGGCTTTTTGACACGGTATCTTGACAGTAAGGTTTACACAATGTTGGTTAGGCCAGCTAAAGTAAACTCGTCGAAAGGACCTCAAGGGTCGCATGACTTTTAATATGGTGGTGTCATAGAATGGTATCTGGATTCTCGAAACGCCAAAAAAAAAAGGAAAGGGTATCTTAAGAAATGGGCAACGCAAAAAGCGCGTAGCAAGACGGAGAACAGAAAAAGGTCTGTCAACCTAGAGGTCGAGATAACTCTCGCCATGACTCGAGGCAAGTGGCTTCTGGGCACACGCAATGGTAAGCACCATCTTCGTCTGAAGGCGCTCGCACTCGTCGCGTATGTCCTTGCGGAACCAGAACCACTCGTCGCCGCGATCGCCCTGCGGCGTACTCGCCATCATCTTGCCATACAAGTCCTGGTAAAAGTGGCGGCCGAGGAAAGCCATCATGCGGCTGGAATCAACCACGTCTGCGTTGGACCTCGCACTCGCTTTCAGCGCGCTGAGGGACGCAGGCAGCGCGACCCTGGCGCGGCGAATGTTTTCCAGACCGACGATTTCCAGCGTGTCGAGGATCGTGTCGGAGGGCAGTTTGCTCATACCGTGGGCTTCTAGCTTGCAGACAATGTTCTCGTCTACCCAGGAAGCGAGGCGGGGACCTTCGTTGCTCAGGTGAGCATCGATGGATAGGATCTCGATTTGGCCGCCTGATTTGAGGACGCGTCTGCAGTCGAAGAAGGACCGGGCCCACTCGTCGTTGCGGAGAACGGTGGACACGGAACGCGAGACAATGGCGTCAAAGTAGCCGTCTGGGAAGGGCATGGCTGTGGACAAGGAGGGGACGTAGAGGGAGTGGTGGTTTAGTGGGGCTGGGTGGGATGATGGCGACTGGAAGCTTGTGTTTGACGATGTCGTGTAGACGGTTGCTGCTGGGTAGCGAGTTGCAAGCATCCACCCGTCGGCTATAACGCGGTTAGCAAAAGCGAATTGCAAGGCATTCAAAGGCAGAAGATGGTACGTACCTAACGAGCCATGGAGGTGCAATATCCTGCGCTGATCGGCCGGGCGACTGCCACTGAGGAGTTCGTGTGCAGGGGACTGCAGGTGTTTATTCTGCGTCAGGCGCTGGTACGCCGTCATGGCCCAGAGACGCTTCTCGAACATGATTTCCTGGTAGCTTTCATCGTCGGCCAGACGGTCCCATTCCTCGCTCAGGCGCGCCGTGATGATGCGCGCACCAGCGCTTTCCATCTTTGCCAGAGCACGAGCAAAAGGTCCCTGGGCAGCGCGGGCACTGCGATCACTCAAGCTGCTCTCCGACCGCGACGACTCGACGCGCTCGACAGGCTCGAGCTGCAGGTTCTGCATGCTCTGTAGATTGTTGCTGGCATAGCGGGAGTTGACGCGGCTGTCCTCTTCGGAAATGACGCTGTCGTACCCGGATCCAGAACCAGACGTGTAGCCTGACGTGCTGGAGATGACGCTCCTACTGGAGGCAGAGAAACCAGTCCGGTCAGACGAGGCGGTCGAGGGGGAGTTAGAAAAGACGCTCCTGGAAGAAAAGGCAGTGCGGTCAGACGTCGTCGACGGGCTGAGCGACGAGGCGTGTGAGATGCGCGACCTTGTACGGTCGACGTCGCTGTGTCCTGCGAGGTATATGTTAGCCTTGATGTTCCCTTGTTAATGATAAGATACCCTGTCTGGCTCGCACGGCTCAGCATGAAGGGCCGGTCATTGCTGATCAGCGCTGATCATGTCTGTCTTTTTGCTAGTGTTTTGCTGATCGCCTCCGCAACACCGAGTGTTGCGCGATGCGGGTACGTAGATCGATGAACGCAAAGTCAATGCACACATACCTCGTGATCTGGGTGGTTCGTGGCCTGGGGGAGGCGGGGGTTGGGGCAGCGCGCCCGAGGGTGGAGGTGTGGGCAAGGATCTCAACGGCGGTGTAGAGCGCTGCTGGGGAGGGAATGGGTACTGGGGCTCTTGGTAAGATCGTGGGGATGGCCGCCTGTGCGTATCTTGGTGTCGCATCGCCAGCGTTGCCTGCCAGTCCTGCGAGGGCGAAATGGACGATGGAGAAATTGAGGGCTCTGGCTCTCGCATTGGCATTGGCATTTTTGGCTCCGGTACTGGCTCAGGCTCAGGCTCAGGCTCTGGCTCTGGCTCTGGCTCTGGCACTCTGTCTAGCTCCTGTGCAGGCGGCGATTTCTTGAGAGATGGGAGTGTCGAAATCTCCTGGATGTCTTTCTTCTTCTTGGAACCCCATCCCCAGCCGCTCTTTTCGGTCTTGACGTTGAGCACGCTGCTCCCAGAAGAGTGAGACGTGGCCGACGAGGCGCGTCTAGCAGTGGGGTCGCCTTCTTTTGCTCGTCTGGCTTTGCGGGCTCCCACCGTCTCGGCATGTTGGGGAGGGACATCGAAAGTAGGGAACATGGTGGGCAATGTCGAATATCGATGTGGTCTTGGACTTTTTGAGTTTTTTGAACTTGATCGACCATCAGCACGCAAGACAGCGCGGACATTGAGCTGACCCCTAGCACACACGAAGGGTCCGGCCTTATCACAGGCACGTAAGAACCTCTGACTCCTGGACTCGATCCTCGATGCTGCCGAGGGGATTAGTGTACCTGACCCGGCTAGTGTACCTGACCCGAGCATTCGGTACTAGTCATTTCCGTTGTAGCCGAAGTGCCGCTAGCGAGCCGTACTGGGAAACTATTTGATTGGCGTCGTTGGCGGGGATACTTCTGGGCAAGTCTCCAGTAGTGTCTGGACAAAGTTTCGCGAACAGGGTCCTCCCATACCCTTCCAATTCTTCCGGAAGCGAGCTGAAAATTTGTCCGTCTGGCAATGGTTTCGCCCTCGTCTTTCAGCACATTGCAGGACAGCCCAAGGGGACGGCAATGATGCGCCGTAGAGCAAGACTGACTGGTCCACGACTCCACGACAGAGACGTCTTGGAGGCCCTTCTCCACCCTCCAGTCGTTCGTGCTCCCACGACCCTGCAGATCTATTAGGAAGTTCTGCCGGGGACTAGCCCGGTGGGCGGGGCTGGACGTCCGCCACCAACGGCAGAGATGCGCCGAGGAGGCGTAGACGCGGCCCATCTTCTTGATGAGACGCAACAGAGCCTGCGACCTGCCTCAGTAGGAACCAACGACATGAGACATATGCATGGAAGGACATCCTTCGGCACTACTCGCGCCCCCTTTCCTCCTCCCGGTAGATTGGACCCTGTGGCTTTTATTGTTCAAATGTAAAGGCCGTCTGTTCTTGACACTTTGATCCGGCACTGTACACTCTTTTCTTCTACTCTTTAGCATTTTTGCCTATTTGCAGCAATGGGTTTCATCGAGCGCCACAAGGCTGGCCTCAACGACCTTGTGTCTCACTCGATTGTAGGCCGATACTTCCATCTCGATGGATCGGGTCACGTATGCCACTCTTCTCCGCTCTGTTTTTCGAGAAATGCTAACAATGACAAGCCCAACGAGATTCGGGGTGCGAGGTTCACCACCGAAATGCGAGCCGGTCTGACAACTTTCTTCACCATGGCCTACATTATTGCTGTTAATGTGAGTAACTCGGGTCAACCCCAAGACACTCAATTGCAGCCACTGACCAGCAACTCCAGGCCTCTGTCCTCACCAACTCCGGTGGTACTTGTGTCTGCAACGACCCCGTCGACCCTACCTGCGCCAAGAACCAGGAGTACGATCTCTGCCTCCTTGAGATCAACCGCGACTTCGTCACTGCTACCACCGCCATCGCTGCCCTCGGTTCCTTCCTCATGGGTCTCTGTGCAAACCTCCCAGTTGCTCTTGCACCGGCTATGGGTCTCAATGCCTATCTTGCGTACCAGATTGTTGGATTCCATGGCACTGGCCCAATCAGTTACCCTATTGCCATGACGGCCGTCTTTGTCGAGGGCTTCATCTTCGTTGCCCTCTCCATCCTCGGTGTTCGTCAGTGGCTCGCCCGAATCATTCCCGCGTCCATCAAGGTCGCCTGTGGTGCCGGTATCGGCCTCTTCCTTACCTTGATTGGTCTTTCGTATGGTGCTGGTATAGGTGCTGTTACTGGAGCCAAGGCTACTCCCTTATCGCTTGGTGGCTGCCCTGTCGAGTTCCTGGATCCGGACACGGGCGCCTGTCTTTCGCACAAGGCGACTTCGTCCACAATGTGGCTTGGCTTCCTGGTCGGTGGAGTCTTGACCGCGCTGCTTATGACCTACAAGATTCGTGGCGCCATCATTGTGGGCATTGCCATTGTTTCCATCTGCTCATGGCCTCGCGACACTGCCGTCACCTACTTCCCCCGCACAGTCATCGGAGACAGCCGCTTTGACTTCTTCAAAAATGTCGTCGGCTTCCATTCCATCAAGAAGACGCTTGTTGTGCAGGAATGGAACCTCACAGATAAAGGCGTCGGTGGCCAATTTGCCCTTGCCGTTTTCACTATGCTGTACGTCGACATCCTCGATGCCACGGGTACCCTGTACTCCATGGCTCGCTTCTCCGGTGTCGTCGACCCGGTTACGGGCGACTTCCCACGCAGTACCATCGCCTACTCTGTCGACGCCATCTCCATCTCCATTGGTTCTCTCTTCGGTTCGTCGCCTGTCACTGCTTTTGTAGAGTCTGGTGCTGGTATCCAAGAAGGAGGTCGCACTGGCCTGACTGCTATGACCACTGGCGTCTGCTTTTTCATCGCGCTCTTCTTCGCCCCAATCTTCGCCTCAATTCCCCCTTGGGCAACGGGCGGTGCTCTCATTCTTGTGGGCTGCATGATGATGCGTGGAGTCCTGGCTATCAACTGGAACTACCCTGGTGATTCGATCCCCGCCTTCGTAACGCTCATGTTCATGCCGTTCTCATACTCCATTGCATATGGTCTGATCGCCGGTATCATGTCGTATGTCATCATCAACGGAGTCACCTGGGCTGTCGGTTTCGTTAGCCGCGGCAAGATCCTTCCTCCTGATTACGACAACAAGGAATACTGGAGCTGTAAGTCCTCCCATAACTCCCCATGACTTTTCCTGTACAGAAACTAACGAGTTACCCCACAGTGCAAGCCGACAACCCTCGCAGCCAGCCATGGTTCATGCGCGCAATGAACGGCGACAAGAAGTTCTGGAGATCCGAAACCTCAGATTCGTTCGAGTTGCAGAGCACCGAGGCGAATGCCAAGGGCCCTGATGCTCATGTCAAGGATCTCGAGGCTCATCATACCAAGGCCGGCTGATCGCCTGGTTTACTTTGCTTAACTGGGTCATCTCAACGATGCTTGAGAGACTTTCACCTGTCCGCTCTCCTTCACTGAAAAGTCCTGTTAGCTCCATGTTGAAACAAGTTCTATATCCACCTATTTTCAGACAAAATCTATTCTATTTGTTTGCCAGCATTTTAGCATCTGCATATGTTTGTCTTCTTTCCCTTGATTGATTTTACTCCACTATAGATAGATGCAACGACATTCACTATGCCCTGCAAATACAAATATACTGATCTCATGGTATTTGAAACTGTGTTTCCGTTCTTGCATGGCTTGCCAAGGTCTGGGCGTGGCAGTATACCTTGCTTCAAGGATCTAGAACAGCTTGCGCTGCTTTCATTTAGATCCTCTGGCAGGGGCTGACGGGACGAGGGTTGTCCGGCGGTCGTGCCACGCGATACTGTTGAGGTTTTGTCGATCGTTTCGATGGCATGCGCGTTCATGGTTCTCCTTCCTCTTCTTTCTCCTTCTCTTTCTCTGTAGCGTCTTCCCTCCTCCGATACACAACCATTCCATTTAGCGCATTTGCGTGAAGACTAAACTCCCCTAACTTAACCATTTCTCTGTCAACCAAGAATAGTTTCCCAAGCTCATTGCACTCGTCCAGTCTCTCTCTCTTCCCCTGACTCTGCCCATACGGTGTATAATCGTCCAGGATCTCATTCCCAACATATAGCACGGGATCCTTCCCTTTTAGAAACAAAGGGAGCAAGAGATACCAGTCCACGAACGGACTATACACGAAACTCGCGTCTCCGATATGGTTCTCAAGACCAGTTTCCGTGACTTGGATACCCAGCTCTTTTAGAAATGTCACGTCGAGGGTGGTGAACGCTGGGTCTTGCGCGTAGATCTTTATCCCTGCTTCCCCTGTACTCTGACTCTTGCAATGTTCGACAACATCGATGAACAGTACGAGCTGCCACAAGCTCCTCCACCTGTGGTGCCAATCACGACTCAAACTCCCTATGCCTATGCAGACCGCTGAGTCGATATCGCATGGTCTCTTGTTCAGTAGCTCGGCTACCTGCTTAGCGACAATCGAGTCTTCCCACCGCTCTTGCAGCTTTTTAAAATCCTCCAACAATTTCTCCGGCGTAAGACCTCGTACGATGTCCACGGGTAGCGACGCAGAGACGTGCTCGCCTCCGCTTTTAGCCTGATCTTTTCCTCTTCCAAGCGACAAATTCGATAGCCCATGCGTGACAACTGTCCAGCCATCCTCTGTCTCCACCTCTTTTCTCTTTACGCGCCCTCCGCCTCGGTTTCTCGCTGATCCGCCCATATTTCACCTCCTCGTGCTTGGCTCAATACTGTTTTCGTGTGATCTTGTGGGGTGCATTGTCTAGGCCCACGTCACTGTGACGCCGATTGTTGACGTTGGTTTCAAGCGGCACAGTCACAGTCACAGTCGTCGGTTTAAGGTGCGGCTTGCATGGGCGCGTAGAAGGATGAATGTGGTGGTGGGCAGGAGTGGGTGGCGGCGCGTAACGAGGTTGTGGCGTGGGGAAATTCGACAGGGATTTGCTTGTTAGCGTCGGAATTGTTGGTTCCGCATTTCGGAATCGAATTCGCTCGAGAAAATAGGTTGCTCTGCTACAGAAGCTGCTTCGTGATGACACAGCAATTCATATTATAAACCGTGGGGGCCGTATTATAGGGTCCATTCAGATAGGTTGCAGTACGTCGATGACCACCATTCTCTCTTCCTGGGTAATACTACCGTTCATATTCGCTGTCTCTGTCAGCAAAATGTAACCCATCAACTAGAACCTTTATAGACAACTGTAGACAACTGAACGGATTGCAGTGCATCCATGAATCCGGCTCTGCCATTCTTGGAGGCTCTCCCTCTGGAGTCCGAAAATCACTTATAGTATGTTGTTTCAGCACCAACAGATATAGTCAGCCATGGCAACTTCTTAGAATTGCTGTAGCGTAAGCAACTTCGAGACTCGTCTCTCATAATGGAGTCCATGACTGCGCCGAGGGGACATGGTACCGCGGTCAGACATACCTTGTGTGTTAAGATATTTTTCGAAACGCCACAAAGGGGCGTCATGATAGTATCATATTTTCTACATCAATTTAACACTGACCCTTGAGAGTGATTTGTTACATCACAAACACCTCCAGACCTAGTCTTGATTAACCTGATGTACTTTGTCTGTGTTGAGGTAACTACTAATGTCTATTCTATAGGCAAGCTCGAAGAAGCCTCTCTTAGCCCATAGGAGTATACTACAGTAAGAGGATTTCCAAAGCGCCTAACCCCTAGTTGAGCTATTGCTGGTTCTATGAATGTACTTCGAGTGCGGAGATGTTTGCGACTGTATACTACAGTATCACCATGCAACACCATCAAATCTAGATAAACAACAAAGGCAAATCAATCTTCCACTACTATCATATGTAGAAACGTCTATCTCCCTCCCCTTTTATTTACCAGGTATTAACAGCGAAGTGAAGTAAAGTAAAGTAACTAATAGCGATCGTCGAGGATCTCTCAATAATCCATTCAGCTAGCCTTGCATTTTGTAAACTTTACTGCCTTAATACTATGTGAAGGTGCTAGGTATAGCACCTAAATTATAGTTTTATACTAATCTTTCCTACCGCGCTGTATAATCCGCTCTTGCTAGCGTTGACTTTACTGTCAAACGAAGAAAGAAGTAAAGTAAAGTAAAGTAGCCTCCAGCAGTCTTAAGGACTATCTAGTATCTAACAAAATAGAACGTTTATTGTTCGCAGATGTTCTTTCAAATAACCTACAAGATCGACATTGACGCTCATAAGCCAATGTGATTTTCCAAATTTGTAAGTCCTCGTGCAACCTGTCCAAGATTGCCCAGAAATTCCGCATTATCGCTCTCCCATTCCCAAGAAATGATCAACAGATCATGACCACAAGATTGAGCTAGTCAGCAGACTTCCGTCCCGTTCTGTACTAGTAGTGCCCACGTTGTTGAGCAAGAGTCAATACAACAGTGCATCGCTGGAGTCTACAGTCGATAGCGAACTGCCTCGTTGGGCGACATCACGCGTGCTGTGCCACAGCCATGCTTCATTAGTTCCCCTCCCCTCCCGCCCCCCATCATCAGCCTGCCGTCCCCGGGTTCCACCAACGTCCGCGCCGCAGTATAGCCCCCAGCAGCCTCCCGGTGGCGAATCTGACAGGTTTGAACATCTCATGTAAGAGGTGGGAGGAGGGACGCGCGTGCAAACGGAAGATTTGCACGGAAACGCAATGCGCTGACTAGATAGCTGGCGCTGAGCTCACGCTGAGCTGAGCTAAGCAAAGATACAATTTTGACTGATTTCTTTCATTTGCATGACGAATACAAAGAACAGCTCTGAGCTTCTGGGGACCGAGACCATGAGAGAAAGACTCAAGACGGAGTGAGTGAGCGCTCAACACAAGGCCTATCATGAGCACAAGACAGAATAGGAAAAGGGACCCCAGCGCCGAGCCAATATACAGATGGAGCTGTGAATGCAGAACCCTTTTCCGTAGATATATATCCCATATCCTTGTGTAGAGGAAGCCCTGTCCTAACTGATGGACGTAAGGGCCATCCGACCAATCCCGCTCCCTTCCTTCCATTCCCGTAGATAATTAGTGAATGTCCCAAGCGGGAATGCATCGCTTAAAGAGACCGACTGGATATCTTTTGCGCCAAACGCCGTACCCAGAAACCTAAGATGGACAAGGAGGAAATGTGCGTGTGAATGAAGCCCCCTTTACATCCATGTTATCCAGGACGCAGCGACAAGCATCAGCGGTACGATTATAGAGGCATAGCCGTTCACGACCATGTTGTGTGGCGCTGGCGACGAGGTCGTTGTGTATACAATCTGGAAGCCAATCTTCTGGTCCGGATGCGTCGTGTTCAAACAGTTCGTGCTGTTGACTTCAGGGACGTCTTGTGGTTCGGCGAAGGTGATGTCGGCGCACTATCGGACTAGTCAGCATCCGCAACGTGATGAAAATGACATGCTATACACTTACGTTGTAAAGTGCAGCGCCATGTTGCGCAAGCTCAATAACTTGGATCGTCGCATTGTCTCCCACCTTGGGCGTATAGTTCGCCGGCAGCGGAACTTGCGGCAAGCAAAATGTTCCATCGTACTGTTGGTTCGAGGGGCCGGTGATCTGGAAGACGGGCAGCATCGTGTGCGAGTAGTTTAATGGCTCGTTTCCGTAGCCCATGTTGACGTAGAACAGGGCAAGGGAATGGCCGGGGAACCATCCAGGTTGGATGGAGAGCGCTCCGCCCTTTAGTGGCCATTTTGTGCGGTTCTGCGATGTGGGCATGCCGCCGCCTGTGAGCGCTGTCAGCTGTCGCCCACGCGAAAGACACTTCTAGGGCATATCGCACATGGATACATCCATTGCATTCCATAAGGAAAACCGTATGTATTGTTATCCTTCAGATAATTGATCCCAAGGGATCCTGGTATGATATTTGGGTCGGTATCTGACACGGTCCCGTTGGTGTGGATGTTGTTCCCTCTCCATGGCGGGTATACGATTACGGTGTGTGCTGCGGCGAGCGACCAACTAGCGACCAGGAAGACGAGCTCGGTAAAACGAAACATTTTGGCGACGCGAAACCAGGTTGTATCTTCTTAGCGATGCGAATGTCCTTCTCTTCAACGATGCAGCGGCCCGTTAGTCGTTGGGATGCACAATCTGATGGTAGTCGACGCAAACTGGCAGCGTGCGGTGGCGGGGGCTATCAGCACTTATGGGATGCGAGCCTTGGCCATGACTGCCTCGTGCGACCATCCCATTGCTTGCAAAAGGTCTGCCAGGAAGGAAGCCAGTGCATGTCAGCTCTGGAAGCATTTACTAGGCAGCGAATAGGCAAGAAGCCAGCATATTGGCTCGACAGGGGCCAGCGACCACTGAGCTCCACGCATGCAAGACTTTACGGGCGGGAGGGGACGCCCCCAAGACGGCCGGGACGAATGGCGTCCATTAAGTCGATGCCGATGATGGCCCTGATTTGTGGAGCGCTGTGTGACAGCTCTGCAGCTTCTCGGCAGTCCGGCGAAGCACCGTGTAAGCGCCCAACTCCTCCGCCCCATCGCAAGCTTCCCCATAACGTAGGAGATATCAGCACATCAAAGGCGATAAAAAGTCGCATCGCGCGCGACTCTGCCGGTCACAGTGTGATGACAGCGTGATATAAAGCGCGACCCGCCTTTGTCGTCCAAGAACGCTGTCGGAGACGCTGCGGAGGAGCCAGAAGAGTTCAGAGCGGAGCCTTCGGGCGCGGTAACACAATGACGACGTCAACACAGTCAGCCTGCCATCGATGCGATCAACATTGACATTGCCGCAATATACTGCTCAGCCCCGAGAAGCGCGTTGATGTATTTTGATGTGGATGCATGAACATGCTGTGGTGTTGTTCTGCATGGTTGTGGCGGTCCGCGTCTGATTGGGAGGATACTTATTGCCCCTGGCTAGATTAATGCCGTCTATTGTATTGGTACAAGCGAAGCCTTTTCATGCTTATTTGAAAGCTCTCGATCTCGACTCAGGGCCGGCCAGACGAGCACACCATGAGGTGCGATGTGATGGGATTTGCGATTCGCTATCATGTGTAAGAGCCAACGGGATGGCCCTTGACGACACTCTGGCGTCTATTCGATCGGCCAAGTATCATCAAGCTTTGCTTATGGTGGGTACCTCGCTTGGGTATAATAGCAGTCCTTGTGCATTATGCGTGTAGGCGTACTGATATCGCTGTGAATTTGACAGAGCTGGCGTATCGTAATGTTGTGTTCTCCCTTTGCACGAATTCTTCTTATCTTAACATGGGAGCTAGTCGTCATCCTCTCGTTGCTGTGCGGCTCGTAGTGGAAAGCTGGAGGTGGCGAGTATGTTGAAGGATGAGACGTGTAAGAGTTGTTCTGTAGTGAAGACATGAGGTGAGATACGACGACAAAGAAAGGAGCAGGGCAAGAAATGGCACGTCATCAGTCGCGGTTGGAAGGTACGAAGGCAGCCTTTCAACCTTTCGCAATTATACACGTGAAGGAGAAGATATGTTTTTTGCTCGCAGATAAAGAATCGTGTTATGGGACTCTAGCAATGCATCGCCTCCAATTCCACGCGTGTGCTTCCCACTCTTCCGTCACGCATTCCTCGCCACGCTCATAACATCCTCCTCTAGATGCAGCCCCTTAAAGCTTGTCAACACAGCAGGCAGTTTACCTGCGTCCCTCTCCTTCGCCGCAACTCCAATCATAAAGTCCTCCTCGAAAGCCTGGATTTCCACCCTCGTGTCTGTCAGTCTCCTCCTCTCACCTCGCCCTCCGCTGCTGTTGCTCGTGTCTCTCGGCCCATTGCCATTCCCGCTCCACCAGACTTCCCCGTCGCTGACCCGTTCGCCCCATGTGCCGTGCGTGCTACATCGCGCGACTGTGCCTGGCCGCGGGGCGCGGACGTGTTTGAACTCGAGGGTTGGTATCCACTTCGCGAGCAGCGCCTCACCGTCTAGTTTGATATACGCCTCCTTGTAGCACCAAAATGTGTAGAACCGCCTCAGCTTAGCATCGATCAGCAAATCGCTATCAAATGTCCTTTTCTCGCCGTTTTCCAGTGTGATGCTGAGCCTTTGATTCCTCGATGTACACCGATCGTGGCGTCCCAGCATGTCTGGTGTTACGAGTGTGCCATCAAGCAGCTGGAAGGCGTCGGCGTGATACTTCATGTCGAAGGACTCTTCTTGGGAGAAGAGTTCGCCGTAGATGTCTATCCAGCCGTCGAAGCCTTCTTCATCGATCACCCTGGTGTCATTCCGCTCGTTCACACAAACGATATCGACGCCTAGCTCGACATCTAGCTCATCCGTCTTGCACCCCACAAGCGCTACTAATCCGGCTTGGTGAGATACGTTGAATTCCACGGGCGCAGGAATAGTGGATTGCGATGTAAAAGGGGAGGAGATGAGGGCACATGGTTTGCCGTGCTTGGGGTCGCGTTTCCTTCCAAATCGTATCTCGCTCCACGAAATGCCGAGGGCTTTGTGAATGAATAACCTCTTCAATAGTGCTGACCCCAGGCTCATCCGTGCGTCGGCGATGTGGTACTTTCGCAGAATGTTATCCCGCTCTTCATCGCTGATTAGTTGGAGTGCTTCTCTTGCCTGTTATCACGATCAGTTGCCTGATTGGAAGCGTGTGTGACAAGGTGGGACAGACTGCTTCCGAGTCGGTGATCTTGCTGCCGGGCCATAGAGTGCGTGTGTCGAGGAGCCAGCACGTGAGTCCGTGTTGTGTTCCTGTGTCCGCGGCGGACATGATGTGTGGATGCGGGGAAGTGGGACTCGCATCTAGCCGGACACTTGAACAGGAAGATTGCTGTCGGGTATGTGTCTTGCTCTAGGCAGGATGTGTCAACAGAGATGTTCTTCCGCCCCTACGATGTCAGACGTGTACCATGTGAAGGCAGGCTATTCACGGCAACAGCGGGGTTCCATCAACCATGATTGAAGGAAGGACCGTCCGGACGCTCCTTCCGATGCCTGCTATCGATAAGCTAGTCACCCCCGGCATTTCTTTTCCAAGTCAATTGATGACTCCATGACCGCTCAGGATTTCGATTTTTCTTTTCTTTGCTATATCGATTCCGTTCGGAGTTCTTGGAGTCTGAAGACTGAATCAGGATGACGGTCGCCATCCCAGATACTACTGTCACGGTGGGTGTTCTTGCGCTCCAGGGCGCATTCAGCGAACACACCCAACTACTACGACAGGCAACCGCGAGCCTACCCCAAGACCTAGAGTGGCGCTTCATCGAGGTCAGAACACCGCACGAGCTCTCCCAATGCGACGGCCTAATCCTGCCCGGCGGCGAAAGCACAACCATGTCCCTCGTCGCTGCGCGCTCCAACCTCCTCGAGCCCCTCCGCGATTTCGTAAAAGTATCGCGACGGCCAGTCTGGGGGACTTGCGCCGGCCTCATCCTTCTAGCTGAATCCGCGAATCGCACCAAGAAGGGTGGCCAGGAACTCATTGGAGGGCTGGATGTGCGTGTCAACAGAAATCACTTTGGTCGCCAGACAGAAAGTTTCCAAGCCAACCTCGACCTCCCGTTCCTCTCCTCCACGAGCGACACAAGCAAGGCACAACCGTACAGATGCGTCTTTATAAGGGCGCCAGTTGTCGAGAAGATTCTTCCGCATAAGAAGGGTGTTCAGAGCGAGGAGGAGCGGTTAGATGACACGGTCGTTGCGCCTAGCAAACTGCCAGCAGACGACCTCGCGAGGGAGCAGGTACGGTCAGAAGTGGAAGTATTGGCCACTCTGTCAAAAGAGAACCTGGAACATGGCCACACTGGTGCAGAAGACATCATTGCGGTGCGGCAAGGGAATGTGTTTGGGTGTAGTTTCCACCCTGAACTGACTGAGGACCCGCGGATACATGTCTGGTGGTTGGGAGAGGTGCTGACAGCGGTGGAACGGAGACAGCGGTTTGAACTTGCTGATCGAACGAAAGCATGATATTCTAATAATTGAAAGCGCATACTCGGGAGGCGTTAGAAGGATGCCAAGACTTGCTCTTTGCCAGTTATTATGACTTAGACTAGAATATCTATTGCCCTAACAGTGCTAAGGCATGTAGAATCCGGAATCAAGCTCGAATGAATAACGCCGAACCCCACCCATGCCATGGTATTGTAAAGACCCTCTGGAACCGTCACTGGCCAATCGCGCGTCTTAGAACTTGTGCTGTCCGGACTGCTGCTAATAGTGACGTTAATCGTCCTCTTGCTCCGCGTAGTAATGATCCCTAATTGAATCGCTGATACCACCATTGATCGTGACCAAGTTATTGTTGTCCAGTAAACCAGACGCCCATCCGGCTGTACGTCTTCCATCTCTCCATCGCTGACGCTCGCTTCGTTGCCCTCACAATGAGCATCCTACTGCGCCTCGTGGTATTCGTCCACCGCACGTCCATAACCGCCTCGGCCTGGGTCGAACTCGGCTCGGTATTCGTCGCGCACTTGGCCACCAGACTTGCCGCGACCGTATTGTCTGCCTTCAGCGAAACCTTCGTCGAGGTCTGTCCGTATAACGCGCTCGTCGAGTTTAGTCCCACCAATATATTTCATGCAGTCCAGCGCGTCTTGGTGGGTATAGTATTCGACAAAGCAGAAGCCACACGGCGTCTTTTGGAAGCGGTCGAGGCCCATGACTAGGCGTTTGATTTCGCCGCACTTGCTGAAGAGTTCGTGTATCTGTTCCTCGGTTGTGTAGAAGGATAAATTGCCGACGTAGAGCGTTGTCGCATCCTTGAGCTTATCTTCGGGGGAGGCAGAGCGGCGGCCAATGTCATCGTCGCGGTTGCGATCTCTTCTCCGCTTCTATCCATCTGTCAGTAACGTCGCAGTTTGCAGCAGTACTATGGGCGCATACTTTGGCAGTCGCGTATGAGCTAGGCTTGTCCAGACGGTCGATGGTGCTTCGCAGCGCCGGCATGGTGTAGAAGTGTGCGCGATGTGTGTTTGAGCGTAATTAACTGACTCGAAGAGCGTGAAGAGGGCTAGCAGTGCGGATGATTGTGGTGGTTGTTGAGGTGAGAGCTGCGTCTTTCAAGCTCGGAGCTGTCCCAAAACGCGAAGGCTTGGCATGCATGCATGAGCGCTTGTTCTAGATGTCGAGCTCCAACTTTGTTTGCTTGCTTTCAGTACGCTTCTCTCACCTCAATACATCCACACATCTACCGGCGCATACACAACCCTCTCACTTCCACGGTGAGGGTTCGCCATAATGCCTAAAGTTCTGAGCTACACGCCAGATTGGCTTAGTCGCCCAAACCCAGGTTACCAATTGTTTGCGCCAAAACAGACAAATGGAAATGGAGTCGCAGCAAAGAAGAGGGATTTTGGACCACGAAAGACACTTGCGACAAGGGGCTCCGAGGTCTTTGTGGCGGTTGGGAACGAGATACGCTGGGCAGATCTCGTAAACCTGAAAGAAGGCACCGAGCCCGCATACCGCACGCTCAAAGTCTCGATACCTCTCACCATTACGCGTCTTGCCATTTCTCCTGACGAAGACTACCTCGCGGTATCAACCTCGCATACGGTACACGTCGTCCACCTCCCCGACTCTGCGCTCCTTGAATCTGGTGACCATGGCCCTCTCAAACCGAAGACCTTTCAAGTAGGCCCGACCGTACACGTCTTGGAAGAGTCGCCCATTGCGACTGCGCTATGGCATCCCTTGGGCTACCACGGTCGTTGTCTGGTCACAATCACAAAAGCAGGAGTGGTGCGTCTGTGGGAGGTCAACCGAGCGGACAGGTCCACGTTCAGTGAGCCTTCACTATCAATCGACCTTCCGAAGCTGGCGAATGCGACAAGCGACCAGGACGATCTAAGCGCATCCAAATTCGGAGCCTCAAAGGGCTTTTCTCCGGACTCAGTTGAACTGGAAGTTGCATCTGCTTGCTTTGGAGACTTTCCGGAACAGGAGGGTGTTCATGGCTGGGCGCCCATGACCCTGTGGATTGCTACGGTATCCGGAGATGTATATGCTTTGTGTCCACTACTTCCCAGTAAGTGGCAGTTGGTCGAGTCACCTGGAGCATTCACCTTCCTCCAGACGTTGACCTCGTCCATCAACATCAACTACAGCGAGCTGTCAGAAGACACCAGTACGACCAAAGACGAACTGAAGGCCTCTGAGAAGCAAGTGTCGTGGCTTGCTGATCTTCTTTATGATGAGCCTTTCTTGGAGGAGCTCCCGACTGGAGACTCTATCAAGGTCTTCGCCCGCCCCTCAAGCGCGCCTGCGGTTCCCTTACTACAAGGACCGTTCACCATCACACCCGAAGTAGATGATTTTGAACTTAGCGACATGATTGTCTTTGGGTTGAAGACGCTGTCTGAGGGTGACGAAGAAGTCGCAGCAGAAGGTCTACCAACCGCTGTTGTATGCCTGCTCACCGATACAGCCAAGGTGCATGTTTGTCTGGACTTGGAAGGAATAATCGGACGATGGCTACCATCGCCTGAGGTACGCCACCAATGAAATCAATCAGGGAATCTTTCTAACAAGCAATAGGACGAAATCGATGTTACAGAAGCACCTGAGCACGACCTCATAATTGCAGAGACCATTGCGTTGACAAATAGTGAACAATCGACATTCAACCAGAGCATCACACCCGACGTTCACACAGACTTCTCGTTCTTCGTATCGCATGCCAGTGGAGTGTTCTACGTCTCGCTAGAGCCCTGGATCCGGAAGCTCGAGAATGAACTATCCCAGCCACAGGCTGAAGGCTCAGACTTCCGCCTCAAGCGTGTTCTTGAATCAGCCAATAGTTTGGTCGAGCAATACCTTCAGCGACGGCTCTCAAATGACCCAGCGGAAGAGGAAGTGACTTCGGCCGTTGTCATTGAAGATGGCAACGTTGGGTATCTTCTCCTCACTACCATCAACGGTGAACCGCAAGCTGCGTTGCTCGATGCGCCTGAAGATGGACTACCCACTGAGGAAGAGATTGCCGATTACATGGCAGTCGCAGGCCCTACCAAAGAAGTGCGAGAAGCATGGCAGCCACCGAAAGAACTCTACGAACCTTTTGACCTCCTTGGCTCCATTAACATCCCTGCACGACACAGGGGCTCACTCAAGGAGGAAATTAGATTATCTCCTGCAAACTTGGAGCTCTTGATGGACGTTCACCGTGTGCTCTCTGTACAAACTTCCAAACTTCAACACGCCGTCTCGGACCTGTTTACCCGCGCAACACGCTTGCAAGAAGAGTTCAGAGACCAGGTTTATCGTAGCTCCCAGATCGCTTCGAATATTGACAACGTCACCGGTAACGATGAAGCCAGTGGAGACGATGCGTCGGCCTACGGCAGCGCTAAAATCGATGATAGAATTGAAAAAGTGAAAGCAAGGCAAGATGCAATCAATGCACGGTATGAGACATTACGAAGGAAGATGGTTTCAATTGGCTCTTCCGAGCTCAGCGAGAAAGAAGCAGCATGGGTCAACGAATTATCCACCATGGACAGCGCGGTCGACGTCTCCAACCGAACTCTCACGGACGATGTCGATGGCAGCGAACGCCCGCCATGGCAGCGTCTGGACAAACTCAGGGATTTGCAGAAGGACCTTAGGAAACAGGTCGATGAGACTACGAAGGTGGCTGGGAAGGACGGAGAAAGGGAGCAAACGCGTAGTGTGGGTGTAAGAGTACCGGAGCATTCGAGGAAGGTGGAGAATGAGTTGATCCAGGACATGATTCAGAGGAGCAGTGTGCTTGTTGAGGCTGCTACAACGAGGTTGAGGGGGTTGGGTGTGAACATACCTCTGCCCGTGGAGGGCGGGAGCTGAAGGAAATACTTGTAATGTTATGTCATCGGTAGCAATATCGTGGCCATACAACGGTTGTTCATATCTGTATACTAGGTTGCCAAAAGATATCCAACGTCTTTACATTGTCCAATCCTTCCGGAGCTCGATTCTCCCCTTCTTTATTGTAACTTCGAGTACCCCACTCAGACAGCGCCCCATCGTTCAGCATACCGATCATTCCCGCTCTCAACGTTCCTCTCATACTCCGACCGATCAGCAATGAACTGCGCCGTTTCCTCGCCAAAAACCTCCGCAATCCAGGCAAACGCTAGATCCATCCCCGCCGAAATACCAGACGAAGTCCATATATTCCCATCGACCACCCACCGCGCTTTCGCGACCCAATTGACCTGAGGATGCCACGCCTTGACCTACACCTACCCGTCAGCACTTGCATTCATTCGACGACAACGTGAAGAAACGGTAGAGAAGGGAGTAATTAGTAGTCAGTAAAACGAAAACAGCAACATACCTCATTAAAAGCCTTCTTGTTCGTTGTCGCCCGCCTCCCATCCAGCACCCCCGTCCTCGCAAGAATCTCACTCCCCGTACAAACCGTAAGAACAAACTTCACACTCCCCTTCCCGCTTAAATCCAGCCCTTTCAGATACTCCACCTGCGGGCGCATATACGCGTCATTGCCCTCCCCGCTGCGCGATCCCAGACCACCCGGGAGGATCAGGACGTCTAGATCCTTTGGCGCAGTAGCGAAGGTATGGGTTGGCAGAATGGACTGGGAGAAAGTGGAACCTTGGCTAGTTTGGACGGCGTTTTGGGTGGGGACGGGGGAGAGAGTTGAGGCTATTGTGTATAGGCGCAGGGTGTGGGTTGCGGAGAGGATGTTGAGTGCGTCGAGGGGGCCGGCGTAATCGAGGAGTTGGAAGCCTGGGAAGATGATTATGCCGATTTTAGTTGGGAGGGGGTTGGTGGATGTCATCATGGAGAGGGTTGAGGAATATCGACGTAAGGCTATGGGACTTTTAGATGGAGTGTTGGTGGTGGCTTTTATGTACTTGGCTTATCGGTAAAGACACGTGGTAAATGCCTGGATTCCGATGCTGTCTATATACATATTCAGTAGCGTAATACTTCGACGTTTATTACCCGAAGTGCATGGAGTCAGGTCTCGCTTGCAGGGTGCAGGCGCAGGGCGTACCGGTGAATAGAGCAGGATATTAGTCAGCGATGGTATCATGCGGCCTAGGAGTCTTGGTATACTGCGAGAAACGCCATATACGCGTTTCCCCGCGTTTAGTGGTATGAAATGGTTGGACGCAGAAAGGCGTAGGTTGCACGAGACGCGAGGTATAAACGCGGCCGGATACATGAATCCACGGCCGAGAGTTGTAATATTCGAATTACGCTTTGCTGTCTTCCATACAGTTGCAGATTATGTACCGAGTACTGAGTTAGTGATCTACTGTAAGGACATCTATACAACACTAATCATACGCACGCCCTGAGCATCCTGCTGCCGTACCGTGAGAAGCCCCCTCGCCTTGTCAATCCGCTCTTGAGTTAGAATGTAACTCCTCGGGATATCGCCCTTCTTGACCATCTGCTCGTGCAACGCACTCAGGTCCTCTCCAGATTGTTCACCAAGCACCATATCAACAACCACTTTCCCACAAAGCGTGCCGTTTGGCATTCCATGCCCCGTATAGCCACCACATAGCCACAAGCCCTCTTTATCAGGCACCTTACCGACCCAGGGATGATCATCACGACTATAGCCCATGATACCCGTCCACTGTGCCGCAGGTTTGAGTTCCTCAACCCCTTCCGTCTCACCATCCAACTCCAGCACCTTCAACAGCGCACCGCGGAGATACTTTGCTGCGGCCTCGTCGATAACAGTATCATCTGACACACCTATACTCGGCAGCTTCCCATATCCGCGGCCGCCGCCAAACATCAGATGGCCCGCGGGATTTGGCACACCTTCGAACGGCCGTTGAATAAGGTAGTCATCACTGTTGGCATTTTGGCCTAGCGCTGCAACCATGCCGTAGGAGTCTGGTAAGAGTGTGCAGTTCTTAGGGGGGAAGAGAGCAGACATTTCGCCGCGGACGGGGACGATGAGGTCGGCGAAGTGTGGGAGAAGCGCAGATGTGTAGCCGTTTGTCGCAAGGATGACGGTCTTGCTGCTGATGGTGCCGCGCGGGGTGTGAAGCGTGTGCTTTCCATCTGAAGAGGTGACTTCGGTCACTGGTGTCGTGGTTTGGAGATTGATACGTCCATCCGTAACGAGCTTCTTCAGTATGAAGGTTACCAGCTTGTACGGCCACAGACTCGCAGCTCCCGCACTCAGAGTCGCTCCGACACAATCGGGTGCAACGCGGTGCTTCTTCAGCTCCTCCTTGTCCTTCAGCGTTGTAACATGGCGGGCGATCTCTGGTGCTATGCGTTTGAGATGTTCAATTTCTTTTTCGGCCTCCTTCATCGCCTCTTCGGTCCAGAAGCTGCGACAGCCGGATACATCGCGCCATTCGCACGGGACGTTGTTCGATTTGATGTAGGATCGTACTGTAGCGACGTTCTTCAGTTCGAATTCAGCAACATCAGGGGTTCGGTCGAAAAGAAGGGGTTGACAGTGTCCACCATTCTATTCGGGCATCAATTAGCAGTGTAGAAGCAGAAGAGCACCAAGCGCAAATGTTCTACCTATCCAACGACTGATGTAGACACTACATGTCGTTTGAACATAACTGCCGCATGAAGCACAGGGCCACAGAATGGAAGGGATCCACTTACCCTACCAGTAGCACCCCAACATGCCTCTCTAGCTTCAAGTACTACGATGCTCTTGCCATTCGCTCGCTCATCCTCTGCAAGGTATCTCGCAGCAGAGGTTCCTGTTATCCCACTGCCTACAATAATGATATCTGCTTCTGCGGGAAGTTCTGGCGTAGTGCGGTGGCCAAGTAGGAACTCGTTTGGCTCGCTATGCCAAAATGAGTGGGTTGACGTAGGTGTCGGGAGGGAAGCGCGTTCGTGCTTCATGATGCGATAGTATGAGAACTAAGAGTGGTCGAGGCGGGCTTGGTTGATCAACTTCGACGGCGCGTGCGACCTAATAGTCGTGGTCTTATCTTATAGCAGAAAGAATGGTTCCAAATGAACCTATGTTGGCAATGACCGGTATTCGGAGTAATAAACTGACGTAGATAGCAGGGCTCAGGTACGTTGTGGGTCGTCGAGGGGTAGCAGGGACCGCCCACTCGGAGTAGATTTCATGCCGCTGGCTAAACGGCGTCAGTCATGTCACTCCGACTGCGCGACTCGCAGTTGACGGAACTCGAGGATCCAAGTTGGAATGACGGCCTTCATCCACGCGAGGTTTGAGAGGGTTGACAGGAGCCCGGAGTCTTCGAAGAAATGAAGTTACGGCACTCGACGAGGCGGTGAGACACCATGGTACATTCCGCGTAGGGCTGATTATGTAAAGGGGCGGTGCACTCGGACTAAGAGGCCTGCCTTTCGTCTATCATCCTTACATGCATGGGATTCCGTAACAGAGACTCTTTTATTCCGTGGAAGCTGGAGTATAGCTCACGGATTATAATCACACACATATCACAAAACTACCACATCATGGGAAGACTTCAAACATCAATTCCGAGTCATTTCTTCATGGGATAGTATACATGCTATGTGTGGTGAGACGAGATACGACAGGCTTAACTATTCCGAAGCGAAAGTGAACCAATCTGTGAACATGCTGCGATCTCCAGCGCAACGACATACAATCTTGTTCATCCATCTCATTATCCTTATAACCCTTCTTCGTTCGTCATAAACATCGTTAATGGGCTACCAGACACTTGTCAACAAGTGTAATACCTCCTAGCAGTACTCTAGCCCAGTCGTCACCCGCGTCCCTTCTTCAACTACGACTTGCGTCTTTGAAGTAGATCCTTCGCCGAAGCCGTCACCGAATACCCGTTGAACAGCCAGTCATTCGAATGCCGCCCACGCCACGGATCACTACCAGCCGTACCGCCCGTGCTCCTTCTTCCTGTGTCCTGAACACTGGATCTGCCCGATTGCACCGGCGAGGCCGCTGGTCTTGTTGGACTAGTCATCGACACATGCCTTGCTTGTTGTACTTGCGCGGGCGGCATGGTCCTTGGCGACTTTGAGCGTCGACTTGCGTCTCGCGAGCGGCTTCGCGAGCGTCCGCGTATGCGCGCGGTGATTGCACCGAAGAAGGACTCCTCCGTTGGGGAGCCAGCTGGTGCACGTGATGTTGGTGATGCCGGTGATTGTGGTGGGGACATTTGGCCGGATGATTGTGACTTTTGCGAATCGACCGTGTTTGTGCGAATCGGTGGTACGGCTTGGAAGTTTGTCTGGTTATAGGATACCATGGTCGTAGACTGGAGGTTGCACAAGGCGGGATGGTGGAACTAGTGTAGTTGGGGGCTTCAGGTAGGGGCTCCCTGTGTGGAAGTCGTAAAAGCAAGATCGCTGAAATACTGCGATTGAGTGATGAGTGAGAGTGAGATATGCGGCTCAAACACGCATGCCCTCATGCTCAATATATACCACACGGCGAATTCACACTCGTCATTCCTTTTCATGTGTCCTCTCAACCCGCGCACTTGGCGCATATCCATCCCCAGAACGTGTGTCGGTGACTCTCTCCATCAAAATCATACATTGTCCAATCATATCCCTGAAACTGCAGCGGGGCAGCAGTTCCTCAGGCAAACTCACCGACTCCCATCTGCAGCCGACGGTCTGGAGACCCACCGACTGCAAGGCCAACGCATTGAGCCGAGCAGCCAGACCGCGAAAGGCTTCGATTGCGCTATAGGGCTTGCGGTGAGCCAATCAAGCAAGAAGAATGCAAGCTGCTGCCTTGAAACCAAGGTTTTTGTGTCACTTGCGATACCTGCTAGCTCCCGCTTCATGTGTTCGCTCTGTGTTCTTTGTGTGCATTCGTCTCTTTGCGTAAGGCGTGTGTTGAACCTCGGAGCAGAGCGACAGGAGATTGCCCAGCCAATTGCGAGCTCTGCCAAAATGGAAAATGACACCGAACTCTGTGAGTCCTGCAGGAATGCAGTGTCCCCGCAGTTGCGATATCATGTATTATCGGAGGCTCCGCAACCAGCGTGTCTATGGCAGGATAACAAGAATCGCTTACTGAATCAAGGATCCTGTCTTCAGATCGGTTAGCCATATCTCTGCAAAGGCCCGTCCTCGTGTAATTAATACATTGTAGTCTATGTGTCGCAGTCCCCACTCTTCGGTAATGTTGAATACTCCCAAAACCGCGCAACGTTTGTTCAGAGATTAGGACACATGTGAGAGGCAATGAAAATGGTGGTGTTACTGATCAGGGTCGGTTCAATGCTAGGCAAAAGATGAGGTCACGTGGTCAAAAATCACATGATTCCCACCCATCTTCTCCAGCAAAAAGATAATTCACAACGCAATCGAGAGAAGGATGTTGTGCATCCTCCGGGAGTCGAACCCGGGCCAATTGCTTGGAAGGCAATTATGATACCGTTTCACCAAGGATGCTCGGTGAGCTTGATGAAGATTTGGGAGATTAACCATACTATGATCTGGAGACAACTTTTTACTACGATATAACTCCATTTTCTAATCAGCGCGAGGACGAACGATGATCGTCGAACAAGGGTGACGGTATGACATGGAATGTGGAGATTATGGCGGTGGTCGCCTAACCCCTTAGCCTGTCTGAGTTTTCCATTGGTACCTTGCCCTGCCAACCATATCTATATATTGTCGTTTTGAGTACATAATAGCTACCAAAGGTGCTACAACGAACTTAAATCATTCCGAGATGCTGGTACTCGAATATCGTAATATTATAGGGCGTAAAGTGAGCCACTCCTCTGTCCGCCAAGTTGATAACGTCCTTCACACTCTGTACGCAGCTTGAGAGAATCGCAAGGAGAAGAATTTCAACACAGTGACAAGAAACTTTGCCCTGACAAAGATTTTCGATCCAATTGCATCGATATAACTTTCAAAGATGAAACGCAATGGAATCAGGACTCGAGGCCCGTGGTCGCTGACTAATCAGTCGGCTGCACTGCTTACTCCACTCTCTCATCCTACTCCTAGCATCCCCCTTCCCTCACACATCTTTGCAACTCTCGCTTATCTACCCGTAAAGCGCCGCTCGCGCCTATCACTCAATCGTAATAGCGGAGTACTCGCTCTAATTATATGGGGCCTGGTATGTTACCCCGTCCCCTTCTTCCCCTTCCACCCCACGTGATGAACACCATTACACTTGAACCGAGAGTCTCTCGTCAGCCCGCGCTCTCTCATCTTGTGGTTTGCACATGCTAGCCCTGATGCGAGAGGCTGTGGTAAGCGTGAGACTCGATGCGCGAGAACAAGATAGCTCTGACTGATCGACCGTTCCTTTCTCGAAATTGAAGTTGCGAATTATAGGCGCGTCGCTGACTGAGGAATAGTTAAAGATCATCCGTACTTGGATCGGACTGAATACGGGCGAATGTAGATTGAAAGGGGGTTGTTGCGAAGGCTTGTGCGTTGTGTGTTCAGTACAGTAAGACGGGACTAACCGCTGCAGGGCGGTACCCAGGGTGGATTATGATCTGAACCTTGCTCCAATATTGATGTCTATGATAGATGTGGTATATTTGCCTGGCTAAACCTCCAGGTGCCCAACCCAACCTCAAAACGCCAAAGCCATGCCGTACATATACACGTAAAGAACAAATACCGACATGCAGACCCCTCCCATTACTCAGGCAGATCCGTCATTAAGCCCTCCAGTATCACAAGCGATTCATCGCCGTCATCCTTCTTCGCGTCGTCCTTCATCGCATCTTCCTTTTCCTCTTCCTTTCGAATCTCCGTGTTCTGCTGCTTCTCTGGCCTTTTCTCTGGCTCTTTATACCATATCGTCTCCTGCTGATTCATTATGTTCTTCTGTAGCGCATCGCTCAGCACCTTCATGACACTTGTAGCGCCTGCATTTTTCACGCGATCCTTGCCCAGCGTATAGTGCCTGATAAAGTTTCCATTACAGTCGGAAATGCCCGGATTGCCGCCCTCGACGTCCTTCTTGAAGCCCGGCCAGCCCACCGCGTCGTCGCACGGGATGCTGACGACTGTCTCGGCCGTTTGGTTAAAGTCGTACCGGATGTACTCGGAGAACGCGCGTTGTTCGTGGCTCCACTCGAATTTCCATTGCGCACAGCCGGGATAGCGCTTCTCGCTTGTACAATCACGCCATGCTTCGAGCAGTTCCAGTGTCAACTCGGAGTTCTGAGCTACCACGAAGCCCGTGTTGAGGACGCGCATGCCTTTGCTGTCCGCGCTGATAGGTTTGTTGTCTCGGAGTTCTTCGGTATCCCAGGGCAGTGCCATGGCGGTGTGGTTCTTGATGCCCCAGCGGTTAAACATCCATTCGAGCGGGACTTCGAGGTTTGAGATGGTCACGTCAGCGTCCATGGCGACCACAAACTGGTAGTCGGGTACCAGCTCGCGGAAGACATGTGGCATGATCCAAGTGTCGTGGTGATCGGTCATGTGCTGGGCTTGGTAATATTTGTAGTCGTACCCGTGAATGAGAGCATAGAGGTAGTGGTTTATGATGGCGTTGGACACGAGGCCGCCGCCGTGCATATCCAGATGCTCCCAGTCCAGTCTATCGGGGTTGAGAATTTGGTTCTCTCCCGTCGGGACGCGCGTGTCGATGTCGACAATGAGGACCCTTTTGCCCAAGGGCTTCGTCCATGTTGTCTCCTCTCCGCCTTTGAAGTATTGCCCTGACGGGTCGATGTAGCCCGGATCGCTCGGATCGTGTTTTATCGACTCGAAGAGAGATGTGATTGTGTCGCGTAACGTAGCTTTCGACGATCTATGTTGATATCAGAAGGATGCACTTGCAAAGGTGGGTCCAAATTGGTATACCTATAAGGGACGCTTGTAACTTTCTCGTAAGCAGCCGGTTCATCTGACCGGAATAGATAAAAAGAGCCGGACGCAACAACAAGGAAAACGGCAACTACGGCAATGTAATAACGCTGAGTGGCCAACATGTTCAAACGAACGACTGTGCAAAGGGCTCAGGAGAACAGCAGGACACGAACGGGATGAGAAGGGGGAGGACGATGAGAGCGAGGCTGCATGGGCGTGCGCCATGGTCTTCTTTTGTTTTATTATCTATATGGGATTGGGGCCGAGCTTGCCTCAAGAGTGCAGCGGCGTAGATCGATCATACTATTATAGTATAAGCGCGCTCATACATCTGGGCTGAGGAAACCTTTGTCACTGCAGATCCTGTTGGTGCCATTGCTGGTGCAACCCGTGGCTTCTCCACTCACGATTGGTTCGGGGTTCCATCGTTCCATCCGGGAGCCATCAAGGGCCGCAAGGACATTGTCGCGGCCGGGCTGAATCGCTACCGAAGATGGCGCTATCCTCAGTCTCAGTCTAAATCCCAATCTCTTCTCCTCGATCTTGCATGTGCCCGAACAGCTGTAAACTATACGCGGTATGTTGACGAGAGAGTTTTGTTGAAATTCAGCTCTCCCAACATGGTTGCTAGCTGATCGAAGTGTTCGGTTTGTATTCCAGTCCAGGTGTATTTTGTTGGAAATTACGCCTCTTCTCCCTTGCGGTAGTGTGGAGGTTTGGTGGCTCTTGAGAGGCTGCTGAAACTGGGGTCGCTCTAGCCAACTTATGGTTAGTGGTTACCGATAGCGATAACACACGCGTCAGTCAAGAGGTGTTTCCATGGTGGCGGCCCGATTAAGGTTGCTCGAGAAGAGCCGTCGAGCTAGGCGAATATCCACTTTGTCGTGGAGCTGCACATCCTTGCCGTCGATGCATACGCAATCGCCCGCTATGTGGTTGCAGAGCGCGAGACGGTGATTCCTTTGAAGGTGCTTTCATGGAGCAGGAGGTTCACCATCCAGTGTAGAAACTAGTATCAAACTGCTGGACACAAATGCAGTCCACAGCTGAGAGACTGGCGACTTGTGGTGCCTTGTGGCGTCTTTGCCATCGCTGAGAGGGCCTAGAGAACGCCACTAGGAGGATGTCGATCATGGATAACGCCCGATCGGGCTACGCACATCTCCTGCACCCTAAACTCCAGTCTCCTCATTTTTTCCTTTGACTCGGGCTCTCTGATGCACCTCAAAGCGGGTAAAGAGCTATCGCGGCATATTCTTACTTCTCTAGGTCACGTTTGACCTCGGTCATGATCTTTCTTGCACCATGCTCAGGAATTCCAACTCTTCCCTCGTGCCACAGATCAACAATATACCCAATCACTCGCTCCAAGGTCGGGCTCCATCCTTAGGTCGCAGTTGACGTCAGACAGCTATGAAGACTAGCATAAGTGATGCGAAAGGATTTCGAGACATCCATTCAAAGGTATGCTCATCAGATGTCGCCACTTAAAATAGCGCAGATTGAGGGCAATGTACGACCTAAGTATCTTCTCGCTAGGACTTTAACTACATGAATCCTATCCGTATTCCATCACCCTATCATATTCTACTCATGTACTAGTGAGAGTATAAATCGCGCTCCAAAACGTGTCGAAATCAAGTTCGATATAGCACACAGCCCCTGGAACTAGTCCTGTCCATCGCTTTCGTTTCCATCCACTTCAGTCTCACAATCATGCTCGATCTTCAAGTCCTGGAATAAGAACTCCGCATGCGCTTCCTCGATCTCGGATAGCAATACCCCAGCGCCCGCTCGTTCTTGTGGATCCGTCCTGAGCGCCATCATCATGCAGTCATTCAGCGCGTCAGAATATTTCGGGCTCGGCCTATGCTTGCGACACCTTTCTACACGCTCGTCAGGCTCATCCAGACGCGGATCAGTCGGAAGCGGTGCTTCTGGCTTGAGGTTGACAGGTATAACTCTCCGTGGCGTCGTCGCTTCCCAGTAGCTCATCTTCAAGACCGGGAGCCAATAATCTGGATATGGCGCCCATATATTCTCCGCGAACCACTTCTTCTCCGTCACCCCCGGACTCACTACCGGGCCGAAGCCATGCGCCAGCTCGTGGAGTATGGCAGCTATACCCCATACATCACTTGCCGGCGATAACCCTTTAGTCTCCCAAGATATTTCCGGTGGCCAATTGTGCGCGGTGCCGATCTGTCCCAGGGGATTGGGATGTGCTGGGTCGTAGTATCCTGCCATACCATAGTCACCGAGCTTTACATCGATGTCGGACCAGTCATCTTTACCTCCCACGCTCCTCACGAGAACGTTCTCCGTTTTGATGTCCCGGTGGACTACGGGTCGCCAGTTGTCGCGGCCCAACGGGTTCTGCGTATCGATGCCTTCGTGTAGGAATGCAAGCGCCGCTGCTAGCTGGCTGTATACTGACCACATGAAGCCTTCCGAGAAGATGCCGCCATTTCGCTCTCTCATGCGGTCTATGAGAGTAAAGAGGTCGCCTTCTGGACAGTACTCAAGTATGATTGATGACTTCTCGGGCGATGGCTGTTTTTCATAGTAGCCAAGGTACTGTATGATACATCCGTGTGGTGGCAGATGCCGCAGGATCTGGACTTCGCTTGGGAATAGCTTGGTGTACTTGATAACCTTCACTGCTAGAGTTGTCCCCGTCGCTTTATGTGTCCATTGCTGGACATCACCCTCGGAACCGCTCTGCAGCTGGCGATCGAATTTATGCTTGGCGGGAAAGTGGGCTGCTGGGCTCGAAGTCTCCGATACCCACGAGACATGGAGTTTTCGATGCCAGTGGATGTGGAATGGCATGGCTTCGTTGTTGTGAGGGCTTTGGGCCGTATTCGAAGGTCAGGCGACTCTACAACGGGTTGAGGGTCGGTTTTGGGGGAAAGGCAGGAAGCAGGTAAGAAAGCAGTGCACTTATTTCCAATGGCGACCGACAGCTACAGTGAAAGGCTCAAACAGCCTAGCAACCAGCGCGGTGCCTTTCAGCGCTCGAGCACTCGAAGTTCGCATGATCGAGTCATCCGCAGTGTCCGGACAACGTACTCCTCTTTGTTTCACTGATTGTTGGCGAGCCTTTGACTCGGGGAGACTCGCAGGCGTCACCATTGCGGACGCACAATGTGTATAATATCACTAACAAAAAGCACATTACACTATTCACTTTGGTGTAAGTTGGTCTCAAAAGTCCTTCATGTTAGCAGTGTGAATGTATATGGACAACATTTCAACGCACGCCTTCTATGACGATCGCCTTGGTAACACGGGACATTTGTTATGGCGAACGGAAAGCATTGGAACTTCGACGCTTTCACAACATATATGCCGGGTGTTGCTCAACAATGTCTCCAGAATATCTCCCGACTGAAGTGATACATTCACACACAATATGGAAATCGCAAGTTACTCGTACCTATAAGTTCTACTCACCGAGCAGGTGATACTCTCCTCACAAGCACTCTACAATCATACCCCTGTACACAACAATTCAACTCAACCTTAATTGGAGCACCACCATGGTATACCAGGTGCGTCTCCTGAACGAACTATCCATAACTTTGCGCCATGAGTTCCCGCCCGCAAAGCCTGCACCAGTGGACGAGCGCTGCTTCATATGTCATCGCGCATTCGGAGTAAAGGACGACCCAGGAGATCCAGATGAGGTTGCCTGTACCGCTCTACAGTTCTTACCATGTCGTCACCTCGTCGGCAGCGAATGTGTTGACGACATGTTGAAGTCCACTGCTCTGCGAAATGTGTGTCCTCTGTGCGGCACGCCACTGCAGTCAGCTACTCTGTTTGAATGGGCGAGGAAGATGAGCGAGACATATTCTTTTGTACTGGTCGAGTGCGAACTTGCTATGCTAGTGCATAAGAACCCTCGCATGACCAGTACCTTTCACTCTCTTACTGATCGGCTCTTCGAGGAGGATCTTACCCCCCTGCAGGCCTTGAAGCTGTGGGGCTACCATGTCGGAGTAGCGTTGTACCTCTTCGCCATCAAAACAGGACTGTATTTGTCTGTTTACATCATATGCTGGGTTCTTGGCTGCTTCCTAGCTGGACTTTACCCAGAGCTTTCGCTCGCATCTCCCCTTTCGAGCTATCCCATCGATACGCCCTTGAACTCTATGATGTTGGGGCTACTGTTGGTCGCCCTGATCGTGTTCATTGTGTTTATTGTGGTTTGGCACCAGGTGCGGGTGCCAGTGCATGGAATGGCCGAGCAAGACGAGCAGGGTGGAATCCGCCGCCTCCTTCTACTTTACGAAGACTACCAAGACGTATTTGGTCCCCTTCTAGCACTAGTCCTGCTAGTAGTTAATCGTCCCTTGAAAGGTGTGCCGGCTCTGGCACTTGGTCTTCATACACTTGCTTCGGCAGTTCTATACAGTGTGATCACTGGTATACTAATATCACACGGTATACGGCAGCACCCGCGGTAAGATCTTGTGTCTAAGAAGACGACACAGCGCGTTTCTGACGGCGCTATTAAGCCTTGATAAACATTACGTTTATCGTTTGCTCTGCTTCTCTCCATTCTTGTCAGGGGTCCACTTACTCGAAGATTCTACGTAGCCTTCCGTCACTAGCCATTTGAGTATTCGTCATGGTCACTTACTCGTACGAGGAATCCATAGAGTGCTTCTAGAAGGGTTGACATTTGATTTTTTTTTATCAAGATGTAGCTTTAATAAGATAGTGAACTACAGGATGTTGTTCACCTACCCAAAATACAAGCTTGCTAATCCTCACATTACCTCGAACCTCCCCAAAATCCCTATAATGTTCTTCTTATGTGTTTGCTCCTTAATCTTGCGGGCCATGCCCCAGGCTATATTCAGTGTAAGTATTAGACATCGCAGCACTACACGGGCATTTGCCGACAACCACGAAGTCAGAAATTCTCGAGCTTGTTCGCCGTTGTCACGATCAAAACGTATTTCCACGTTTGAGATGTTACTCAACCGAATCCTTCATTGCAATGCTAATCCATCACCGACTAAATTTGTGCTGCCATCTGCCTCCAATCTTGGAAGGCCCAATGTAATCACGAACATCTCCGCACTCAAAGTACCTTCACAGAACTAGCGATAGATCAGATAGGGTGTAGGCGCTTTTCAAGTCCTCTTTACGATCATGTCCATCAATCATTGCGAGTAAGCTGTCAAGATTGCCAAAAGATTTATTGAACACAATAAGAATGGACTCACTTGAAGGATAACTTTCGCTAACGCGAATCAAGATACCTTACTAGGAATTGACTACCGTGGCTGGAGCAGACGAAGACCTTGAACCTTTAGAGATCACAGGTCATCGATTGGAAGCAAACTACTGCAAACTTAGTTGGCAAGACCTTAGTGGGAAAAACGCCCAACTTTGCACATTTCATCCTACAGAAGGATAAAAGGCTAAGAGTGCTCTTTTTGTGCGATACAAAAAGCTTCGACCCTTCTCTGTCGTGAAAGGAGAGATAAGTTCAGTGATTTTCGCGCCCCTCTTGTAATATCTAGACCAAAGACCAATGGTTAATCCGAGAGCTCCTGTTACTAAGCCTTCGCTATACACATCCAAGGACTAGATAGTTACTTGGAAACATCATGGAGGGGCATAGGATGAACCCAGTGGGGGCGGGCGTGACAGCAACCCGGTCAGTATGTACATTCAGCTTGACAATCATCTATCTAATCGTCTCTAGGTGATTGTCTCAGTCAGTCTTGGAAAATCCCAGATCTGGTATTTAGTTACAGCTCGCGCCGATACTTTACGAACCTCTATCAGCTTTGATCCTCAGCTCGAGCTCCCAACATCGACTCGGACCTTTCACGCGCCTATGCTAAGTCAAACCCAGTAGATATTCGCATACAGCACAGAACCCCATCCAAAATTGGCTCTTGACCTACAGCACCGTTCGGCTCAATTGCATTGCCTACAACTAGAAGATTAAGATGCCATATTCAAGGCGGCGTCCTGGATCCAGAAGCCACCCAGTAGCAAGCCCGTCAAGGGTGGAGACAATTCGCCTTCTTGATGAAGATTTCCAAAATAATTTGGGAGATATACTGAATCATGACGAACCGATCGAATATTGGAGTACAGACCGGTCGAAACATCCTGCTCTCCCATTCTCTGTTGACTCGCCCCGTGTTGATTTTGATGGCCACGACAACTTCTACGGACTCTCTCATAGAAGAACGGCGCAAAAGATACCATCGAAGCTCGAAAAGCGTCCAATACTTGAGTCAGGCTCAATAGTCGACAGAGCACAAGACCCGAACGATCCTAACGACTCTAGGAGTTTCCATCCATCCGATGACCCTAAACGCAAGGCAGCTGAACTTTAGCAACTTTCATCTTCCGAGGGGCCAATTCGGAGCGCTCAACAAGGAGGAAGCGAATACCAAGAAGTTCCATCTTCGAGGAAACCAGCTCCACGGACAACTTCCTTCCGCTGTTGGATTGAATGGTTGAGAAAATTGTCGCGGCCGACGGTGAGGGAGGGATATCGCCGCATTGAGTGGCAGTGTGTAAGTGTAGTTTCTATTCCCACGTCACCCAAATCTCCGTTATGCTATCCTACCCCGATTTGCGCTTCACTGCTGTAATATGCTTATACATCACAGGATTGCGGAGTAAACCTCTACGGTGACTTTGCTCGCAACTGTGGAGTAGACCTCGACAGGCTGGCATCTTCGTTTCAGGACCCTATACCTTCCCCTCCACCAAGCTCACAAGTAACGCAAAGTGCTTGCTCGTCAAAGAAAAACTTAAAGGGTAATACTGCCACAACGGCCTCCGACTCACAAGGTCCCAAGGAAACGGGCACAACGCCTCCCGAGGAAACAGCTGCAGATAAACCCGATGGGAACAACAAGAAACTGGGCGAGGAAGACAAATGTCAGAATCTGGTGAAAACAGCCGATGGTCAGAGATTCTTCGCTCTATGCATCAACACCGGTGGGCATAAGAAACTTTCTGAGATCCCTTTGGCGAATATCAAATCGGACGAGCAGTTGTTTCTGGAGATGAAGAAACGATATCGCGAAGTGCGTGGACATTGGTCACGCATCAACTTCCTAGTCAAGCCCAAGACTGTGGAGTGACGAGGTAAATCTTCCTATCAAGCCGCACAAAGTAAATGGTACTGATATCTGTCTAGTTTAAGCTGTGGAGCTTCTTCCGTTCATACATAGCTGTCCTCCGTCGGCCCGACTGCCTGCCTCCCAATACCGATATAGATTATGAACCTGGGTCAGCTCTACCACCATCGGAAGCTTTCCTTCATTATCTCGATCACGGCATCGGGAAAATTGATTCAAACCGCAACATATGGCTCGATATTCTGCCGAAACGGCTCATAGAACATCCTCCAGGCTGCAAAGGGTATGGCGTTCTCATCACCGAAGGGCCAAACCACGAGGGCATATTCATCGTCAGTATGGTTGTACTGACATGTATTGTATTTGCGAGCATTTTGTGGTCAGTGGTAAAGAAGCATGTCCAAGGTGGGACAGGCATAGGAACTCTACTTGTGGCTTGTCACGCAATATTCTTGAAAACTTGGATTGCCTGGCGAAGCGGCGACTAGAGAGCGTTGAATAGCGCTTAGCCACTAGTGCCATTGTCTGTTGAGAGAGGGTGGCCTTTTGTATTTATACGTCTGTCTATTAACGTACTCCATGCCGCTTTTTTCCATTCTCCCTTCACATTGGTATATGCTACGCTAAACCCACCAGTTTACACGAACTAGTAAGCACGAGAACCTACGAGGAGCTATTCCGCTTCCACCTCATCTTCCCAGCTCTCTGGTACAGCAGCAAGCTCATGGCACTGCATTGCAGACACAGCAGCACCACGTTGATAAGGAACCGGCTCATGCTCTAGCAACGCTGGCTTATTCACTCCGTGAGCAACCTTCAGCACCTTTCTAGCCTTATCCACTCCATGAGCGCCCTCCAATGCCTTGACCTCCGTCATATTCTTCCTGATCTTTGCCATCATCTCAATCTCGAACTTCTTTTCTCGTCGTGCTTTATCCCTTTCTCGAACGCGTTCTGGGTCCATAAGAGGATTTTCAAAGCGCCTACGCTCTAGTTGAGCTATCGCCGGTTCTGTGAAAGTACTTTGAGTGCGGAGATGGTTGTGGTTACATTGATTCTTCCAAGGTAGGTCGAGACGGTCGGCGTTCTGGGTTCAATTGCGAGACTTCGCACAGCGCCTCAGCTCGGTTTTGGTTCGGAACTCCGGATCAAAGGTCGAAAGACGTCTTTCTATCGCTGAGACCTGCTTCTTGAACAGCGTGTATCGCTGTTGCACGGGAATCTTGCCGGACGCTAGGGTGTTGTGATTGTCACGCCATGTACCCGTACGCTTGGAGCTATCATCCTCGAAGAACTGCTCTTCATCCAAGTTGAACTGTTGATAGTCATCATGCTGATAGCCTGGCGCGCTTCGCTTCTCTGCAAGCGTTGCGCGAGCTTGATCTCGTAGGCGTAGACTCATGGCGTCGATATCGTTTTGGAGACGCTCTTCTTGGTCACGCTTTTCGATATGCTTGCGGCGCCAATTTTCGAAGCCTTCATATGCATCTTGGTACTCTGCATTCAGGATGAAGCGTGCAGTAGCGTCCACTTTCATTCCAACATTTTGCTGGGCTTTAGCAGATACCTTTGCCCATCGCTTGACAGGGCCGGGCTCGTTTCCCTCAAGTGCGTCCCACCATGCAGTTCCAGACCCACCGATACCCTCTGGGAGCTTACCGCGCCAATCTAAATCCTCGGCGCCATCTTCCAACTCGCTTTGTAATGTGCTAGTGCGGCTACAGAAGTCAAAGCGAGTATTATCCGAGCTATCCTCCACGGTTGTAATCTTGACGCTTCAGGCAGTCTTCGTAGGCCGCTTGGATTTCTTGGAACTGAACGGTGGCTTCTGCACGATTCAGTTTGTCGACTTTGTCGGGATGATACTGGAGTGCGAGAGCTTTGTAGGCTGCGCGAATACTGTCTTCGGATGCATTTGGCCCAACTCCAAGAGTGCGATAAGAGGCCATCTTGTGGTTGCTGTAAAGATCAGTTATGTACGAGATCAATTGAGCTTGTTTATGGTGAGGAATATGTTGATGGAGGTGCTTCGCTTTATTATATCCGGGGTAGCTTTCACTTCGTTGGAGATCAACGCTGCCGCTTAGTGAAATACTACCGCACCCTTTCGCGTGACACAATGTCTTTCAATTAGCGATGTCTGAGGGGCTCTAAGTAGTTCCGAACCGCTTTAAATTGTAGTGAGACGGTTGGGTCTTGTGAAGAAAGAAGACATTGCAAATGTATCGCGCAAGGTACGTCTCAGCCATCTTCACCTTGGCTAGCCTTACTTTTGGATATATCCTCGTCTCAATATGGTGTCTTCAAGGATCCGGTGATGGTGGTACCCAAATTTGCGTCTGAGCCTACGATATTTGCTAGCACTGGGACGTAGGCGCTTTGAATATCCTCTTAACGATGTTTGCGTCAGCGGTGCCATGGATGCTGAGTGCACAGGAGAGTTCCAGAGACTGTTCAACACCATGCCTATTGCACGCTCCGTATGACCGGTTATGGTCACACTTCCTCATGTGAGCGACTAGTTGAGACGCGAAAAGCCGGCTTACTTCACGGTCCACAAACGCGGCATCGCATGAGGCGGGGAGTGAGTACGGGTAAGTTAATAATAGGCAACTAAACACGGGAACTTCATCAACCTTTGAACTTGGCTGTACAAAATCCCTAACAGACGACCAGATACGAGATCGCCATTGTTGTGGCAAGAAGGAATGTGTCGGGCACTGTGGTGTGGTGTATGGCGTGCCCCGGTGAGTGGCTAGCCGAGCGACCACCTCCCCTAGGTGGGGTGGTTAGTTCCGCTTCTTCTGCATCCTCGAAACATCACACAACTTCAGGCATCATCTTGGTCTTACTATACAAGGCTGACAGAAAAGCCGTGCATTCAGTTATGAATATGCTCATCACCGCAAGAAGCCTAGACTCGTGAAACCGTTCGGATGCGGGAACAAAACAACAGTCCGTTCCGGTCTGACATCCGTGTATAAGAGCAACTCCAGTAGACCAAATTCTATCACCCCACCAGCTATTCGCCAAATACAACCTTACTTCCAACTCCAAACTTTTCTCGTCATCCTTTATATTTATCCTACTAGCCAACATGCCCGGCCCCTTCAAAGTAGCAGTCTATCTCTACCCCAACGCCGACCTGCTCGACTTCTCGGGCCCAGTAGAAATCTACTCCTGCCGCCCCTTCGACGGACCCAGCCCCTTTTCCATAACCTCCTTTGCGCACCACAACCCCATCCAAACCGACGCCGGCGCCCTAGTATACACGCCCAACGCCACATTCGCAGAAATCGAGCCCAAGATCGAGGACTTCGACATCCTCGTGATCCCCGGCGCGGGATTCGATACTATCCAGAAGCTAATCGAGAGCGAGGAGGGCAAGCAGTTGGGTGCGTTGCTGCAGAAGTTCGCGGGTAGTGCGCCGAGGAAGGAGACGGGGAAGCGGATTCTGCAGAGTGTGTGTTCCGGGTCGATTCTCGTTGCTGCGGCGGGGCTTTTGGCGGGTCGGACGGCTACTACGCATCATCTTGGACTTGAGATGCTGAAGCGGGTTGCTGATGATGCAGCGGCTGGTGGCCGGTCGAATATCAATGTGGTGCGCAAGAGGTGGGTTGATGCTGGGACTACGGATGCCGGGGTGCGGATTGTGAATGCTGGGGGTGTGAGTTCGGGCTTGGATTCGTCGCTGTGGATTGTAGAACAAGTGGCGGGGAAACAGGCCGCGGATTGGGCGTCTGAGGTTGCGGAGTTTGAGAGGAGGGATGCGGCGTGGGGGGTTGAAGTGTAGGGTTTCAAGGATCAAAGAGAGCTATGATATCTGCGTCTTACACGAGCAAAGACATGATTGAAATCTTCTGTCATCAAAGCTCCCGCTGAGTTTGGCTGCATACGTATTGTTTGCAGTCTTTAGTTTTACTATTACTACAGGCTTGTTCCCTTCCAAAACAGACCTGGTACGTTGCAAGACTCCATGTTCCCCTATCATATCGTTGTTGAAGTGGATGGCTACATTTAGGCGTTAGTATAGTCTGGGAATTTGATCTGGAGAGAGCGGAAGCGAAGTGGTGGAGAATACAATCACAGCGTCGCCTTCCTGGGGGGAGCTCACGAGGTTTTCAGAAATGGCCAGGTCCCTAACTGGCCTACCTCCTGTAGTGTTTAGCAATTAAGCACGATAACATCACATTTACAAACACTCGACTATTTTCAGACACATATCGATATACCAAATAGTTCAATTATCTACCTAACTAGGATCACCAAAGCCACAGCTATCTACCTCAGCTATCACAATCCGTCGTTGAGATATCCAAATCTCTGAGCCGAGACGGGGCAGCTCAATGTGGATGGACATGATTCGTCGCAACCGACGGTAGTAGCTGGTATAGTGACCCTTACCAATATGTCCTATGCATGTATATCTGACTAGGCCCCGATTCCATTTACTCCCTCCCTAAAGCTCATCCAAATGATGGGCCAAAGTGGCAAAACCAAACTCCATGCCAATGCAGAGGGTATCGATGCTTACAGTCGAAGACATTGCGCCTTGCGCCGTTTCGAATGATTACGGTCGAATGCTGTATACCAGCGAATATCCATGAAAAGGCCGTCGGTATATACTGTCGACCGGCTCGTGGGTAGCGAGAATAAGGAACAAAAAGCACTTTACTGCAATAATAAGGGTAGGGGTCAGAGGCACGAAGGAACCAGGATTACCGTGCGATGACCCCGTAGAGACCCTCCCATGTCTACATGAGTCACAAATTGACTACTCGAGTGTCGTCATCGAGGAACTGACGACGGTATTTGGCGATCTCTACGGCGATACCGTTGGGGTCTTTGATGTTCTTCTGGCGAAGCTCTTTCAAAACACCGCGCAGGCCATCGTTCCACCTCTGCTTCTCGTCGGGGGTCTTGCCGGGGTTGGCTGTTCCTAGCTGAACCAGGAGCTTCTCACCTACACAGTGTCCAAGTCAGTCTGCGTACAATGGCGGGATGAAGACGAACAGATGTGGGATACCTCCTGTCACGTACCGGTTATTCCTATGTCCCGGAAATGTTGATCAGAACACTCAGGGTCATTGCAAGAGCCGCCTGCAGCTTCGTACTGACATAGACGCTTCGCTGGGTCAATTTGGTGGCTATAAGTCAAGGACAGGAATCCACCTGCGACATCCTGCGCATAGCTCGGATGGTAGCGGTAGGACTTGAACATACGAAGCGGGCTTTCATATGGAGTAAACCTAGCTGGCTCATCCTCGACCTCTGCCGCGATTGCCTTTTCTTGGTCAGCTAGGCATCCCGGAGGGAGATGTACGTACAGCTTCCGAGTTTGTGTTTGATGTCGCAGATACAGGCTCTGGCACTGATGCAGTTGCTAGATTGTTAGTAGTGTTGTTATTATCCTGCGGCACATTGTTCGTTGCAATTGTGTTGTCGACTTCAGGCTCATATGTCGATTCTGAGTCCGAGTCTGAATCATCCGAGCTTTCGTCAGACGAAGTAGCGATGTCCATAGCACCGTCTTCTACTTCAATAGGAGGCACATCTAGGATATGCTCTGCAGTCGCAGCCTCGCTTTGGATATCAGACATATCCTGATCGACATCTGGTGGCTCATAGTCTTCCTCATCTTCAGTAGATACTTGCGACGTAGCAATGGATTGTGCAGTCTCCGGTTCAGGGGCTTGTGCTTCTTGTATGTGCGTGTCCGTGATGACCATAGGCTCATCTGGCTCATACTCTTCCTCCTCAGATTCGGACATCTCCACTTCCCCTTCCTCGGATGGAGATCTCGCAACACCAGGATACGATTCTGATTGGGTCTGAGGTTCGGCTACGGGGTTCGTCTCCGCTGGCGGGGCAGGGCTGTAAAAGTCCTCATCATCATCGAGCGGAGTGGCGGAGCTATGTGCGCCAGGTGCAACGGTTGCATCGACAGTCGATTCTTCAATATCAATGGGAGCGTGCAGCTGGTCTGAGAGTGAAACATCCTGTGAAGCTGGTACTTGCGGTTCACGTTGCGCTGAAATTGTGTCGTCCGGTACAGGGATAATCTTGTCCATAGTTGGCGTCTGGGGAAGTGTCGCTTCAGTTTCAGGTAGATGTGGTGCTGTCTGTCCAAGTCCAGGAAGAATGGTCAACCTACCAGAGATTTGCCTTTGAGCTGGCAATGGATCAGACCCAATGATCTGCTCAGTCCCTGTGAGCTTGGGAGATCCAGCTTTGGAAGATTCGATGAAAGCGTTAGGAACGTCGCTCGCAGAGGGTTGCGGGCCCAGGCTGGCACCTTGCGATGTATTCGTTGGTAACGTCTCGTGGTCGATCTCATCCTTCTTAGCACGAAGTTCTGCATGCGACATGCCTTCAGTGTCAATTCCAAGATTCTCAAGCTCCTGAGTCAACTGCTCCTTGTCTATCGCAATCCGCTTGTTTTCTGCCATCAATTGCTCCATCTCTTGAGTCAACTGGGCCATCCTGCTCGTGTTACTCGCAATCTCAGCGTCTAACGAAGGCAGCCTCGATTGAATTTCTGCGCGCCGAAGTCGCTTGGTGTGCCTCACAGGGTCGACGGTATCATGTGCTGCGGTGCGAGAAGCATCAACAAGCTGCAAAGGAGCTGATTGGACCGAGTCGGTCGTGGGTGTCGCGTGAGAGACACTTTGAGGAGGCAGCCCTGGAGTTGACGGATCTTGGGTTCCAGACAAAGATATTGCCATAGCGGCTGCCGCCGCCGCCTTATCCTTCTCGCGCTTCTCAGCAAGCTTCTTCTTCAGGGTCAGTCGCATCGCCACAAGTTGTTTTTCTTTATCCTCTAGCTCCTTTTCGCGAACAATCGTGGTGGGGGTTTGGGGACCAGGTGTGCTGACTGTAGAGGAAGCGGGTATGGTAGACCCCGAGCGAGAAGGGAAATTGGGAAACTTTCCAAGGGCCTGGTGTTGGTTTGGTATTGAAGTTGGCGATGCAGCAGATGGTCCTGGGGCAGCCTGATCATCATCAATGTCCATATCGCTACCGTTGGACTCGTCATCACTGACTTGGATGATCATAGACTCCTCATGATGTGAGTGGGGAGACTGGCCCAAAGGTCGAGTGTAGGGGGTCACTGAGCCGCGTGGTGTAGAAACTTCAGTCTCTGAAGGGGCAGGCCGCTTCTGCGGAACTGAGGGTAATGGCTTCGGCGCAACTGGAGCACCACTATTGAAGCTGGGTGGCGCGTTCATAAATAATCCGGGTATTCCAGGGAAGGAGGGCGTGTAGGTTGGAGTGTTTGAAGTGCTCGTGCTTGATGGCGCTGGTTGCGTGGCATGTTCTGCCGTTGCTTGACCCAAGTCCGGTTTTTGTGTCCGGGACACGGATGCCGTTGCATTATTAGTCACGGTGGTCGTTGGCTTCTGCTTCGCCTTGATCGCTTCCAAGCGTTGTCTTATCAACTCAGTATTCCGTGCCCTCTGTTCGTCCGTCACAGGCTGCTTTGCACCTGGTGTTGTGATGGCCTGGGGCGTCTTGACAGCGGGTGTAGGAGTAGGCGCTTGTGCAGGCGGTGTTTTCTGTGGTGGGCTGGCCCTGGCTGCACCTCTTACCTTCGCCATCTTCGCGGCTTGCAGGCGTGCAATGTAGTCTTTTCGATCGACTGGACCGGTTGGAGACGCAACTGATTTAGTCGCCTGCGCAGGAGTGACATCGGTGTTGATCGCAGGAATAGATGCCTGCTGTGGAGATTTCGTGCTCGAAATGGGCGGAGCACCATTAGTTTTGGGTAGTACGATAGGCGCGGGCTCCGAGGGCAGATTGAGGCTCTGGTACAAACCTCTGAGGAGCTCGAGATCGAGATTCTCGTTCGCCAAGGTGCGATAGGTGATGTTGTTACTGTTCAGGACTTTGATGAACTGCTTGGCTTCGTCCCGGGCATCCTGTATCTTGTCCATTGGGTTCTGAGGGCTCGCTTGCTTTGGAGCCTTTCGAGCTGGCTCCTGAGGTACTGTTTGACCATCTGCGGGGCGATCAGGGTTGTAGCCCTCTTCTGCTTGGGGAGAAGTACGGGAGACTTGCGGAACAGAGCGAGGGGGCTCGGGGCGAGCTCGACCGTATGCGTTGCGCGCTACAGGTTGCGAAGCCTCTCTATCACTGAGCTCGCCATCCTCCCTCTCGCTGTCCCCGACAACGCCTTGTACGCGATCGCTAGCCGCTACTGGGGGCTGTGGGGGGTTCTGCGGGGAGAAGGCCATCGATGTCGCGTGGTTGAGGGGCGCATGGGCAGGAAAAGGCGGAGGGGCGCATGGGCAGGAAAAGGCGGAGGGGCGCCAAAGCCAGGAATGGGAGGTGGAGGAATCATGCCATTTTGCTGTAAGAATGGCAGCCATGCACTTGGGTCTGAAGGCAGTTGAGGCGGCCAAGCAGCTACATGCGATTGTCAGCAGCCGTGTCTACATGTGTGGAGATGGTTTCAGAGTTGACTACTCACGCGGTGGAAATGGGGGCTGTTGGCTGTTCTGACCGTAGGCAGAGAGGTTAATTCCAGGCAACGCAGAATGTTGCAGGCCCGGGATGCTAGCAAAGGCATCGGGGGCAGGCGCCTGTTGCATGTGCGAAGGGCCACGGTGCTCTTCTGGAGGCGCGGAGGGCTGCATCTGCTGGGGGGGATAGGCAAAGGGCAGCCGGTAATAGGGCTGTTGCGAGGAGTGGTCTGCCATTTTTGAAGCCACTCGATGTGTGCTGGAGCTCTACGCGTCTCTTACCACGGTTGCGCTCGCCGTCAATACATGAGGCAGCAAGAAGCAGTGGGGAAGAGGGGCAAGAGGCAGCGGCGACGAGACGGCAGTAGGTGATGGCGTTGACGGAGCGCGTTGTGGAGGCTCGATGGAGATTCTAGGCGCAGAGAGCGACAATGTTCAATTTCATGAGGCGGACTCCACCGAACCTGATCTCTCTCTCACCTTAGTCATCACGTGGGCTCGCTCGCCGCGGCGCGGCGCGTCGGTCGGCGGTTGCTAGGTTGCGTGGCTCGAGCGCCGACGAGAGTTTGTTTACACCAGTGCGTAGCGCATGCAGCCGTCCCTCTGCATACCCATCTGTATAACCAGAAACTTCACCTGGGACGGATCCAGGCCGTGCATCTTTTGTACATAGTTGAGCTTCTGCATCTGGTTCCCCTGCACGAGTCTTGGTCCCCACTTGTGCATTCCACGCATAATGGGAAGGTAACCCCGTCGTCGCACCTCCCGCCCAGTATCGCTATTCACTACCCACAACACCACACCCACCCACCATGAGCGGGCCTGCTCACAATGGGAATGGCCGTCCCTTCGCACGCAACTCGCGCAACAGCCCCTTCGCACGCAACACGGCCTCGCCATCCCCAGGCCTAACCCCCAGCGCCCTGCGCCCAAAGTCAGCCCTCGTCTCCTCGCCGCCGCCCATAGAAACCGAAGCCAGCATGGGTCACGCACGAAACCAGTCCCTCACAAACCTGAGCAGCCCCCTGCTGGGCCGCAGCGACTCGACGCGCCTACGCTCCAATTCGCATCGAAACAGTACCCCAGTCGGCACATTCGCGCCGCAGTTTATATCCGAGGATGGCAACGACGCACCGACCCTGGGAGGCATCGTAGAGGGAGAAAACGACTTCTCGGGCAAGCGCTATGTCTGGCTTAGGGATCCGACCACGGCATTCGTCCGAGGCTGGGTGGTCGAGGAGCTGCCTGGCGGGCGCCTCCTCGTGCAATGCGACAATGGCACCCAGCAAGAAGTCGATGCAGACGCAGTCGACAAGGTCAATCCGGCCAAGTTCGACAAGGCCGACGACATGGCAGAACTCACCCACCTGAACGAGCCGTCTGTCATCCACAACCTCCACATGCGATACCAGGCGGATCTGATTTACGTACGTTGACCGCACGCGAACGCACGAAAGAAACTGACGCTTGGTAGACATACTCAGGGCTGTTTTTGGTCACAGTCAACCCTTACTGCCCGTTGCCGATATACTCGAGAGAATACATCAACATGTATCGGGGACGGAGTCGGGAAGAGACCAAACCTCACATCTTTGCCATGGCTGACCAGGCCTTCCGAAGCTTAGTAGATGAAGGCACCAACCAGAGCATTCTCGTAACGTGAGTGGCACGTGTGGCCAAGTTAGAATTCCACTAACATGATACAGTGGAGAATCTGGTGCCGGTAAAACTGAAAACACGAAGAAAGTCATTCAGTATTTAGCTGCCGTCGCAAACTCCGACACTCCTCGAGCAAAGTCGGGAGGACGCCATCTTTCCAACCTGTCCGAACAGATCCTACGAGCGAACCCTATCCTAGAAGCTTTCGGAAATGCCCAGACGGTGCGAAATAACAACTCGTCCCGCTTTGGAAAGTTCATTAGGATCGCATTCTCTCGGGCTGGGCAGATTGCCGGCGCATACATCGACTGGTATCTGCTGGAGAAGTCCAGGGTGGTGAGGCTCAACTCGAACGAGCGCACCTACCATGTATTCTATCAGTTGCTCCGTGGAGCGGACAGCAAGATGAAGCAGGAATTCTTCTTGGCCAATAAAGACGCCGAGGACTTCGACTACACCAAAAATGGCAACGATGTCATCTCTGGCGTATCGGACAGCGACGAGTGGAACGCGTTGATTGAGGCCTTTCATGTCATGGGCTTTACGGACAAGGAACAAACATCAATCTTGAGGACAGTTGCTGCGGTTTTACATCTAGGCAACATCCGGGCCATCAAGGAAAGTCGACGGGCAGACCAGGCTACACTCAACCCCGGAGCGGAGCAACAGGCTCAGATAGTGGCGCAACTACTCGGTATCTCTGCGGACGACTTCATCAAAGCGCTCCTACATCCTCGTGTCAAGGCTGGCCGAGAGTGGGTCGAAAAGGTGCAAACTCCCGAGCAAGTCAATCTCACAATCGACGCGCTTGCGAAGGGTATCTACGAGCGTGGTTTTGGCGACCTCGTTGATCGAATAAACCGTCAACTGGACCAGACCGGGAGTGGCAGCGACGACTCACACTTCATTGGTGTCCTCGATATTGCTGGCTTCGAAATCTTTGACGAGAACAGCTTTGAGCAGCTTTGCATCAATTACACGAACGAAAAGCTGCAGCAGTTTTTTAATCACCACATGTTCGTATTGGAGCAAGAAGAGTACGCGCGAGAACAGATCGAGTGGAAATTCATCGACTTCGGCCGTGATCTTCAACCAACCATAGATCTGATCGAGCTACCCAATCCAATCGGTATCTTCTCCTGTCTGGACGAGGACAGCGTCATGCCAAAGGCTACCGATAAGAGTTTCACCGAAAAGCTGCACTCGCTATGGGATCGCAAGAGCACAAAGTACAAGCGGTCGTTATTGACACAGGGCTTCATGCTTACTCACTATGCTGCTGAAGTAGAGTACTCCACGGAAGGGTGGCTGGAGAAAAACAAAGATCCACTGAATGACAGTGTCACGCGACTTTTAGCAGCTTCCACCGACAAGCAGGTCGCCAACCTCTTCTCCGACTGCGCTGATACAGACGATGAGGTGGGAGGGTCGCGCAGCCGCGTCAAAAAGGGTCTTTTCCGAACAGTCGCTCAGCGCCACAAGGAGCAGCTATCCTCTCTTATGACTCAACTACATTCCACACATCCTCATTTCGTGCGATGCATCTTGCCGAACCACAAGAAACGACCAAAGCAATTCAGCGCACCACTCGTACTCGACCAACTTCGATGTAATGGCGTGTTGGAAGGTATCCGGATCGCTCGCACAGGCTTCCCCAATCGACTGAACTTTGTCGAGTTCCGGCAACGATACGAGGTGTTATGCAAGGACCTTCCCAAAGGCTATCTGGAGGGGCAGGTGGCGGCCAAGATGATTCTGGAGAAGCTTAACCTTGACAGAGCACTTTACCGTGTCGGTATCACCAAAGTCTTCTTCAGGGCTGGTGTTCTTGCCGAACTGGAAGACCAACGCGATGGTCTCATCCGAGACATTATGATTCGCTTTCAATCTGCAGCTCGAGGCTTCGTTCAGCGCCGCCTCGCTCATAAACGTCTTTACCGGGCAGAAGCAACCAGAATTGTACAGCGAAACTTTCAGGTGTACCTTGACCTCCAATCAAATCCATGGTGGAGGCTATTTGCTCGCATGAGGCCCATGCTGGGAGCAACCCGACAAGCCGCTGAAGTCAAGAAGCGAGACGAAATGATCCTACAGCTGGAGGAGAAGATGCAACACGAAGCTGAAGAGAAGCAACGGGTCGAGGACGAGCGGAGACGGGCCGAAATGGATATCCAACGGATTCAGAAGACGCTCGAAAGCGAACGTGCTCTCGCACTGGACAAGGAAGAAATCTTCAAACGCCTGCAGTTGCGCGAAGCCGAGCTTGCCGAAAAGCTTGCCGGTGCTATTGAAGATCAAGATCAGCTCGAGGACCAACTGGATGCCCTAATGGAAGCCAAGAAGAAGATTGAGGATCAGGCCGAACTCCTGCGTAACGAGCTAGAACAAGCTGGTCAGATCATCAGTAAGTTGGAAGGCGAGACCCAAGAGCTAGAAAGCCAAGCCTCTCGCTTGGATCAGCAAGTAAAAGATCTCGAGGCACTCAAATCGCAACGCAGCCAGGCGGAGGAGATGTTGAACCAGGAGTTGAAGATGCTCAAGAGTCATCTGAGTCTGAAAGAGCGAAAGGTTGAAGATCTCGAAGCAAAACTTTTGAAGACAGATCAAGATCTGGACATCAAGCTAGCAGCCTCGGTCAAAGAAGTGCAAGCGGGGAAGAAGCAAATCAAGGAACTGCTCGACGAGAACCGGCAAATTCGCCAGCAGATCACTGACCTTTCCTCGACATCTACGAGCTATGAAGATCTCATTAGGCGGAAAGAGAGCGAGCTGGCCATCTTGAAGGTAGACCTCAAGAAGTATGAGAACGATCGCCACCTCTTCGACCAAGAAAAGCGAACCTTGGCTTCCAAGCACGATGACATCCAAAGCCGCCTCCGAGAGGCCAAAGCTGAGTTGGATGCTGTGCGCTCGCAGAAGCAGCAGCTGGAACGCGAAGCCGCTGATGCGAAACGTCTTCTTGAAGAGAAAATTTCCGAGGATACGCAATCCAGTGAGGGTCGCAAGCTGCTCGAGGAACAGATCGAGAGCCTCAAAGCGGAGCTTTTCGAAGTACAGAAAGAGCTCAGCCGGGAAAGGCAATCTCGCGATGACGTCGAAATGCTCGGAGAGCACAAGTATGAGACATTGCAGCGCGATTTCGAAGCTCTGACTGACTCAAAGATCACCATTGAGAAGGAAATGTACGCTCAGCAGGACGTTCTGCGACGGGCTACGGAATCTCGGGCTGCCCACGAGAAGGAGCGGAAAGAGTATCAAACTGAACTTCGCACCCTTCGCGAGAAGTACCTGAAGCTAGAGGAAGACAAATTAGATGCGGATGCCAAGGCGGAGCGTGCGCAGTCGAGAATGGCATCAGAACGACAAGCTATCCAGCAACGGGAAATCGAGGCGAAGGACCAGCAGCTTGATCAGCTCGAGGCAGAGCGCAACGACCTCGCTGAGCAAGTCCACAACCTCACTCAGATGCTCGCGGACTCCGACTCGTTCAAAGAACGCAACGACCAACAGAAGGAACGTCTCGAGCGTGAGCTTGTCACTGTCAAAGGCCGACTCACGGCTTCTGAAAATGACAATCGCGCTTTGCTCAACAAGCTTCAGCAGAAGAATCTGGACATTGCTCGATCAAACTCTCGTGCCGGTGATACCCAGCGTTCTAAGATCACCCAACTGACCCATGAAAAGTCTAAAGCAGAAGAAGAGAATAAGGTCATGTTCCGCCAACTCGAAGAGGCACAACTCATCATTGCTTCTCTGGAGAAGCAAAAGGAAAAGCTATCGTTGGGTCTTGAAGACCTGAACCATGAAGTCAACCGGGAGCACAAGACCAGTCGCAATGCTGAGAAGGCCTCTTCGACAATTAATCTCCAGCTCGCAGATGTAAATCGCAAGCTCGAGACTGAACGACAGTTGCGAACACAGGCTCAAGCGAACACCCGCGCAGTCCAGGCGTCCCTCGACACCAATAACCGTGAGTTGGAAGAATGCCATAAACAGCTCGTACTTCTTCGCAAGGTGTTCGACCCGGAGTCTGCCGATGTTTCCATTACCTACGATGCGGCCAAACCAGATATCGCGAGGACAGTGGACATCGCCGAGCGCCTCGAGTCTACCAATCAAGCTTTACGTGTAGCGGCAGAACGTTACTCGCGAGCAGAGGCCCAACTGGACGAGTTGCGCGAAAGGCATGAAGGTGAAATCAACGACTTGGATGCTCGCCATGCTAACTCGAAGCGTGCGCTGTTGGAAGAGATGAACAGCAGCCAAGTGAACCAAGCGAATGCCCGCCGGTCACCAACGCATGTCCGGAAAGACAGTGAGAATCGAAAGCCCTTCTCAATCACGAACACCCCGACGAACCAACGACACATGAGCAACGCTACGAACAACTCAGCACGCTCCGACCGCACCGTTGACACCGTCACATACAACAACAGTATGGATCTAGCTGCAGAGCTTGAGTTGGTACAAAATCAACTCCAAATGTCGGAGATGCGAAACAAGCATCTGCAAGGTCAAATGGATCGATCTCCTGTCCGTAATACCTGGCAGGATGACAGCCCATCTGTTCGACGGGTCCAGAAGCTCGAACGCGAAAACTTCCGCCTTCACGACATGCTTGACGATTCTGCCAAGAAGGTGTCTGTATTGGAGCAAAGCCTTCGTTCAGGTCAACTGTCGTACCAGGAAGTGCAAACTAAGTCTCACGAAGAGCTATTCGATCTATTGACTTCGCAAGAGCATTCTCGCAAGTCCGTAGTCCAAGCGCATAACATCGCCATCAACGAGCTTGCAGATGCAAAGACAGCCTTTGACGACATCAAGCAGATCAAGACAGTCCTGGAGACGGAACTTCGAGATATTCAATGCGAGTTCGAGGACATGATTGGTGAACGAGAGCAAGAGCAGGCCAACCACAACCAACTTCTACAAGAGTTTGCCGACCTTCAAATTCGACTCGATAACGAGACATCGACCCTGCTCGACGTTCAGTCCAGTCTGAGTTTGTACAAGAATCGAGCCGACGAGTACTTTAGTAAGCTAGAGCAGGCGGAGATAGCAGTGTTGAAGGCTTCTCGTGCCGAACAGTTTGCAAAGACTCAAGCTCGGGAAGCTGAAGACACCTGCGCTACGATCATGGCTGAGCGGAAAGAGATGGACGGTATGGTGGAAGATCTACAGCGCCAGGTCCAGCGATACGACGAACGTGTTGAGGATCTCTCGGCAGACCTGGAGACCGCCCTGCAAGCCAAGAAACGCCTTCAAAATGAGGTTGAGGACTACAGAAGCCAGCACGCGCACGACATCGAGGATTCCGAATCCTCGCTGGAGCAGACGCGCAAGAAGTATCAAGTTGAGCTGTCAACACTGACACATGAAATTGACGTCGAACGCGAGAACGTCATATATGTACGCGAGGAGAACGGTCGTCTGCGCGAAGAGATCGAGGAGTTGAGGAACAAATGGGACGACGAGGTCCTAAACTCCTCAACCTGGGCGAAGGAGAAGAGCCGTCTCGAGATGACACTGCAAGTAATCTCCAACTCGCGCGACGAAGCAGCCAATGCGCACAACGAGGCCCAGTCCAAGATTGTCAGTCTGCTATCGCAGGTTCGCAATCTACGAACAAACGTCGACGACCTCGCGGCAGAGCGCGACTCTGCCATCGAAGAGAAGAAGCGCCTGGAGTCTCGTCTCCAAGAGGCAGCAGACAAGCTTGATGATTTGTCGCGCTCAGAATCACCTGCTATGCGCAATGCTGCCGCATATGATCGCGATCTTCTGGAGCTCAAATCTGGTCTAGCTCAGCAGGAGGATATTACCGCCGCAGCTGTGGGCAAGATGCGCCGCGCAGATGCTCTCGCACAGGAGCTCCAAAAGGACATTGTCGCTGAAAGGGAAGCGAATGTACAGTTGCACAAAGAAAAGGCTGCTGTTGAGAAGGGGTTGAAAGACCTCCAGCTGCGTCTTGTGGACCTAGAAACGAAGGGTTATAGTGGCTCAGCAGGCAAGGATGTCCGATTTCTGCACGGTCGTATCCAAGAGGTATGTCCCAGCTCCCACCATTCACTCAATTTACTGCAGTATCACTAACGCAACAAAACAGCTCGAGAACGCCCTTGAATCATCGGAATCTACCCGCCTCACTGAATCCCGCAGCGTCCGCAACGTCGACCGCACTGTCAAGGACCTCCAGACCCAGATAGAGCGCCGCGACAAGCAAAACGCGTCCGTCGTCGAAGATCTCAACAAGTCTCGCGACAAGATTTCCAACCTCCTCGCCACGATTGACGAACTCCAATCGTCTGACTCAACGAACCAACTCGCCGCTAAGCGCGCCGAGCGCGAACTCCGCGAGGAGAAGGAAAAGAACCTGCGTCTTGAGCGCGAGCTAGAAGGGTGGAAGACGCGCCGCAGCGCGCTCGGCGTCCCTGGCCAACAGGCTGCCGGCAGCGAGGCAGGAGAAGTACGCTCCCGCCGCGGCAGCTCCATCGGGCTGCTCATGGGCGAAATGGGCGAAGTAGCGGCGAGCGAAAAGGGCAAGTTTGGCAGTCTGCGATCAGGCCTCCGCCGCGTGTCTGGCCAGAAGGGTTTTTTGTAGGTGATGGGGTCTCTGAGGAGCGGGGGCGATGGAGATCCCGGTACCAAAGAAGTAGGCTTGACCCGACCGCCGAAGAAGAAGAGGGTCTAGCCGCTAACGAGGCGTCATTTTTTCGTGTTGTGGATAAAGAAGAGGAAGAAGAAAACGGGGTTATGCATATTGAGGAGGTCGTCCACATTGATTTGGACGATCAGGTTACTTTGGTTGATGGCGGCGATGGCGTGGGCGAACAGGGCGTCAAGGAAATCGACGTCGACGTCACGGATGATGAAGCTGGAAGTGCGTCTGACGACGAGGAGCTCCCCAATGGTCGGGATGTCGGCTATGGAGGAGTTAAGAGGAGGAGGACTATTCGGGTGATTATTCGGTCTAGGGCGTTTCTGTGAGTCTCGCTCCATGGAGCGAGCTTGTTGCTGTTGGCTTTTTTGGGTTGTGAGTGGTTAGGGTAGCATTGTCTTTGCAGCATGGCGTTGTAGCGTCGGAGCGGGTTGCTTCTTGGGACGTGGTTCACATGGTGGTAGTTGATTTGATTATAGAGAGAGAGAGAGAGAGTTTTTCGACTTCAATATCCTTTTCTTCTGTATATTATGTATGTGAAGCTCAATTACGCGATGCATAGAAGATAGCGAGAACATGTTGTTCAGGGTGATGTTGAGGTAGTAGCATTTATTTTTCGAGTAAGTAACAACCCTACTAAGTATATACTTGTTTCCTCAAATCATTCTGTGCCCAGGCTGCCGTAGCACATTGTCATGTCATAGCTCAAGCCCGTTCCGTTCTGCAACTAGCTGAGCTTAACCATATCTTGTATTTTAAAGCATTCTAAGCAGAGATGCCAATGACACCGCAAGCCGGGCGAGTACCAGCATTGCCAGTCTTCTTGGACTCCTCGTGTCCGCCCTTGCCGAGGTCGTCAGTGCCGGAGTGGATAACGATGGTGCGCTGTTGACATGTTAGTATCCAACTTTCCACTAGCATCGAGGGGGAGAAGGAGAAGACGTACGCCAATGACGCTCTCAGAGCCAATCAGCTTGATCAGCTTGTCCGTGGTGCTTCCCTGAGCATTGCCCTGGCCGTCGGTCTTGAAGTTACCCAAGTCACCAACGTGGCGCTCCTCGTCTTCGGGAGCACCATGGGTCTTGTTGTGGGGGTTGACTAGCGTGTGTTAGCCTGATGCAGGATGGGACTGGAAGGAATGAAGAAGGATGTATGAGACTCACAATGGGGTCCAGCACTGGTGCACCCGTTGGTGTTGTCTCCAAAAGCGTGAATGTGGAAACCACGTTCTGCATTAGCATCGTTGCCAGAGAGGTTCCATGAGATGCTCGTAGGGGCGGACTCGCTGTCCTGCTCAAAGGTGATGGTGCCCTTGACGTTGGAGTCTCCACGGACGACGGCGACTATTGTGATCATCAGCACTTGTTTGCTTGTTTCAGCCCTACCCGCCACCCATTCGCTTCCCTAGGGCGGGAGAAGGGATGAAAGGGGTGGGTATACAGGCGTAGGCGTGCCATCAAGGTGTCTTGGAAAGGAGCGGTGATTGGAGCAACGACGAGCACCCGCGAGCTCAGTGGATAGAAAGCAGACGATCCCACGCGACAGCAGGGTCCTCAAATGCCCTCTAATCTATCCAATTGAGCCCGTTCCGGTCGTTTCCAAACACTCAAACGGGCTCGTCGTTTGACAGAATGTGCTCAATCTCGCGCACCCTCTCTACCCCACCTTCCCGGAACCGGGCAAGCTTTGTTGCAAAACGGGGGTTACACGTACCGGCTTTGACCATTGTGACGGTTTATGTAAGTTTTCTTGGTGTGTGGGATTGACGGGAAGCTAAATGGCAGTTTGGTGTAGATGGGTAGATGGGGGGAAAGTAGGATGAGAAGCAGTGCTACGTGGAGACGTGAGCTTTCTTCAGGGTCGAAGCGGGGCTCGGAGTGACGCAACCCGCGCGACCCGCACGCAACTGTTCGGTGTTAGAGCTGGCCTAGAGCCGACGCATGATAAATCCAATGCCCCTCGCCCGTCCTATCATATAATGGCATGGCATGGTAGGTAGAAGTAGAGTGACGTTCGTTCATGTATTCAAGAGGTAATGATGTGCAGTTTCACTTCTCATTTTGATGTTATTTCAATTTTGCTATCTGCAGTGCTGCAATTTCAATCCGTACGAGGGCAGAAGAAGCACCCATGCAATTTCATATACTCATCAAAAGACCGATACCGGGGCGACCACTCTATGCCTCGATCTTCTTGCGCAGAATGTCCTTGAGCGTGACGGCATCAGCAGCGAATTTCGAGATACCCTCGCGGAGCTTCTCGACGGCCATCTGGTCCTCGTTGAAGAAGAAGCGGAACTCGGCCTCGTTGTTGATGTAGCTCTTCTTCTCAATGTCGAGCGAGTTGGCGTCCTTGGCGTCGAGCTTCTTGGGGATGTCGTCGTTGGAGTTGTAGAGCTGCTCGAGCAGGTTGGGCTGGTGCATGTTAGTAACTTGTACACAACGGTAGTGCTTGGAATCCACTCACGGCAATGGTCAAGTAATCGCAGCCAGCGAGCTCAGTGACCTCGCCAATGCTTCGGAAAGAAGCGCCCATGACGATGGTCTTGTAGCTGTACTTCTTGTAGTAGTTGAAGATTTGCTGGACGCTCTTGACACCGGGGTCCTCCTCCTTGGTGTACTCCTTCTTGGTTGAGGCCTTGAACCAGTCAAGAATACGGCCGACGAAGGGAGAGATGAGGAAAGCGCCAGCCTCGGCAGCGGCGATGGCCTGGACGAGCGAGAACATGAGGGTCAGGTTGGTGTTGATTCCGTGCTTGGACTGGAGGATCTCGGCGGCCTTGATGCCTTCCCATGTTGATGCGATCTTGATGAGGACGCGGTCCTTGGAGATGCCGACCTCCTTGTACAGCTGCGCAGTGTCAGTGTGAGATTTCTACAAAGTACAAGTGCTCTAACATACCTCGATCAGGTGGAGGGCCTTGTCTACGGAGGCCTTTGTGTCGAAAGAAAAGCGCGCGTCAACCTCTGTGGAGACCTTGCCGGGGATGATTGCCAGAATCTCCTTGCCGAACTGCACCAGGAGACTGTCCAGGGTGGCGTCGACCTGCTCGTCGATGCTGCCACCGTGCTTCTTGCCAGACTCGACGGCCGCGTTGATCAGCTTCTCGTACTCGGGCTTCTTAGACGCGGCGAGGATGAGCGAGGGGTTGGTCGTGGCATCCTGGGGCGTGTACTTGGCGATGGTCGCAAAGTCACCAGAGTCGCAGACGACGGTCTACAGCAATTGGGTCAGCTTCTTCTTTTCTTTTTCCAACGTGTGTCTGTCGCAGCAGGGCGCCATGGGTGGCATCTCCGAGTGTCTCCGGTGGGACATGGCTGGAGGATGTGGTATATGGGAAATTGCAATGGCGGGGTACTCACGGTGCCAGTGGCCTTCAATTGCTCAAGAGAGTTGGGCATGATGAATAAAGTGTGTATGTGTGTGCTTCAGGTGATTGTCGAAGAAGAGAGGGTATGGGGAGTAAAAGTAGTAGGGGAGAGAAGAAAGTGGTGTTGTTTGTTGGGAGGCGTCATGCGCGGTGGAGCAGCTTTCATAGCGCCCCGCCTCGGAGGAGCCCCTCGATGAATGATGGAAAAAGGCCTGCATCCATCCATCACATTCGCAAGTGGCAAGCCGTGGCTACGGCCGGGAAAGAAGGCCACTTTACTGATAGGCCCGCCTTTGCAGATTGGCAGAATCGCGTCAATCAGCAGCCCCAGCTGGGTGCCATAAGCAGCTGTGCCAGACCCTGACCCGTTGGAACCGTCGCCAATTTTGTCCGGTTCCACACCCACCTGGCCTGTCACAACCCTTTGACCACCCACCCGTTCGTCGACTTTCAGCGTTAATCGCCGCTGATGCAATGCTTACCCTCGGCGAGTAGGCCGGACTTTGTACATCTGCAGCCTCGAGGCTCCTCTTTCCCTTTCCACCGTGGCTGGCTTTGTTCCGTCCACCGCCCAGCATCGTGAGAAATTTCTGTGCCTTCGGAGTACAGTCGCCCGTGCCAAGCGTGGTAATAACTGGTCCATGTAATTGCCTCTGCGGCTTTTAGCATTCGTCCACGGCTTCAACAAAATGGCATCATGCTCGGAAATGTCGGAGAATTGCCGCCTCGAACAGCGACCCGTCGACGCAAAGGAGCGAAAAGCCACCACGTGCTGCTACAACCAAGCCAACTGTGACGATAGCAGCTCTAGACCATGCCGTCCCTCGTAGCCTGCCCCAGAGGACGGTCTCACCGCCCATGCGCTGTGATTAATGCGTTGCGGATTTCCATCACTAGATCCTGAACAACGTATACACACGTGAACTGGTTGCGCAAACTGCTAACTCGTTTCACAACCCCCTCCCTGCTCTTGGAATTGTTACTGAAGACGATAACTAGCCTCACGTCATACATCTACTTTCTAGCCACGCAATGAGCGTCATGTTCAGCCAGACTCGACTCTACGAAGGGAAGTACGCCATGTGGAGGATCTTTACGAGATCTAACATCTATCATTACTTTTACCGAGACACTTTGTTTCTGAGAATGGCGTAGATTCTCCCGGTGCCGGTCTGTTCGAGAGCAGAAGTTCTCTTTCGAGCTGGCACCAGCTGAAAGGCGTCGATGTTTCGATTCCCCCACGACCAGTCTTTTCGTACATGTTCCACATGGAATCACTTGTGTTCCCAATGGCTTCTCGTCCTCGTTGGAGGCGAATATGCCTGTTCCCTCCTTGCTCAATCTCACAACCCGACTATTCACGACCATCTATATATTGCTACCCTCGATTATATCAAACCCGACTGCAAAGCAGAATGATTAGGCCCTTGTGCACGCCATCTAATAGCGAAGAGACGTACCATGATCTGATCCATCAGACATTCAACTTTCCAACTCCCGAATTCCATGTGGAGAGCAATGAGCTATACTTCAACAACGTACCACTCATGGACCTTGTCAAGCAATATGGCACTCCACTCAAAATCACGTACCTGCCGAAAATCTCCGAGCACATCCAGCGTGTCACATCAACATTCAGAAATGCCATGAAGCGCTACTACTACCAGGGCAACTACACATACTGCTACTGTACAAAGTCGTCCCATTTTCGCTTCGTGCTGGACGAAGTGCTAAAGGATGGCAATGTGCACCTCGAGACGTCCTCGGCCTTCGATGTACCCATCGTACGGGAGCTGTATCGGACGAGCAAGATTGACAAACGCACATATATCATCTGCAACGGCTCCAAGCGCCCTTCCTATACGAAACAGATTAGCGAACTCATCCAGGACGGCTTCAACGTCATACCCGTCCTGGACAGTTTGAGCGAGCTCGACGCCTACCAGGACAGCGATGCCGAGACAGTGAACTTAGGGATCCGTATTGCAACCGACGAAGCATCAGATCTACCCTTCCATACCTCGCGACTAGGCATCCGCTATAGCGACGTCACCGATCTATACCACAGCAGCATCGACCGCAATCCCAAGTTCAAACTAAAACTGCTACACTTCTTCGTCAATACCGGCATCAAGGATACAGCGTACTACTGGACCGAACTAGGCTTGTTTCTACACAAGTACTGCGAACTGCGCAAAGTCTGCCCAGACCTGGATAGTATCGACATCGGCGGCGGACTGCCCATCCAACACGCGTTGGACGACTCATACGATTATGAAGGCATGGTTGATCAAATCATTAGCGTCATCCAGAAGACATGTACTAGACACAGTGTGCCTGTCCCGCATCTCTTCACCGAGTTCGGCTCATATACAGTCGGCGAAAGCGGTGCTACAATTTATAGAATCATCGAGCAAAAAAGGCAGAACGATGCGGAGTCGTGGTACATGATCGACGGGTCTTTCATAACCCACCTTCCCGACACATGGGGTATAAATCAAAAGTTCATCACGCTGCCGCTCAACAATTGGGATAGCTCGTACCAGAAGGTCCTCCTCGGGGGTTTGACGTGCGACTCGAGGGACTTTTACGCGCACCCGAAGGAGCTTCATCTGCCTGTGTTCGACCAGGAGATGCAGGGTCAGTACATTGGTTTTTTCCATACTGGGGCGTATCAGGAGGCGCTTGGAGGGTATGGGGGCATTTCGCACTGTCTGATCCCAGCGCCACAACACGTCATTGTTGACAGAGATGAGCACGGCCGAATGACTTCACGGCTGTTTGCGCCGGAGCAGGACAGCGAGTACATGATGCAATTCTTGGGCTACACGACGAGTAAGGGGCCACAGGCTACTGGATTGCAGGTAGCGCTTCGGCATGACGTCTCGCATTCTGAAGCAGGACGTTCAGCGAGCGTTCGAACGCAGTGTTCCACATAAGAATCCGAATCAGCACTGGGTTTCCCTCTTCTCCTACAACTTCACCTTCCCAACACCCCACCCCTCTTGACCCAACCACTCGTAAACCTCACTATACTGCTCTTCCAGATTACTAACCGTGTGTCCCGCTCCACTCGGCCCGGGATCATTCTGTACACAACGTGGTTAGCATCTACCTTCCACTCACCCAAAACGCCATCTCAAGCAAACACAAACAAAGTAAAAGGATGCATACCAAAGCCTCAACCAACCTCGTCTGCCTCGCCCCAACCTCCAATATCGTCCCGCCACCCAACCCCGGCTCCTCAAGACACCTCAGCATCGCATCAGCCACCTCCTCCGCCGTAGCCCACTGATCCCTCCCCTCGTCAAGAAACGTCATCTTCTCCGGGTGCTCCGTCCACAACGGCGTCTTGATCACACCGGGCGCCACGCCATTGACCCTTACCCCGATCTTCTCCTCCAGTTTGCCCAGGCTGCGGATAAACCCGTTCATAGCGTGCTTCGCAGCGACGTAGAGCGGCGTGTTGAGATTGGCGTTTTGGCCCGCGATGCTGCTGATCAGGATGACGCGCTTGGGGTTCTGGGGACTAGCTTTTTGCACTGCGCTGCTGCTACCGGGTGGTGAGACGGTCGGCGGGTTGAGGAAGTGCGACAGCGCGAGTTGCGTTGTGCGGATCGGATGCGTGATATTAATGTCCAGCGTGGTATATCTCCCTCCGTCTGTGGTGTCGCGACTCTTCCCTCCTAGCGCTCCGGGCGGGTGCCAGAAGTTACTCCAGTGCGGGTCGTAAATGCCTGCTCCCGGGCAGACGATGTCGATTACGCCGAACTCTTCAATGCCGACGCGGAACATGCGTTCTAGCTGCGGCCAGTTCGTCACGTCAGTTTTGACATAGACTGCGCGCGGTTGTTGATTGGAAGAAGTATCCCTTTTGCTGCTGTATGTGTCGAGGAGGGCTTGGGCTTCTGGGCGGAGGGATAGGTCGGCTATGAGGACGTTGCAGCCTTTTGACAGGAGGAGGGTCGCGAAAGAGAAGTTTATGCCTGGGGGGTGGCTGTGAGCTTTTGCCCTTTGACTTGGAGAAAGCATTGGAAGCAGTGGAGATTGGAGATATTGTATAGTAGATGAAAGCATACCAGATCCTGCGCCCGTCACAATTGCACTCTTCCCCTTGACGGAGTATGGCTGGGACGTTGTACTTTGGTCGTTGAGACCTGGTTGTCGTGCTGACATGTTTGCTTTGCTTTGCTGTTATACAGTCTATTAGGTAGTTATCAAGATACGATAAGACTGTAGTCAATTAATTGGGAACGATGATGGGCTATAAGTATTCAAAGACGCCAGCATAACTATATGTATTCCATCGTCACCTTGACTGAAGAAATAGACGCGTGAGAAATACACGAGTGTAGCCAGGTGGGCCAGCTCCGGGATGCCTGAACGGGGATGAGGGGTATCGTGGGGTAGCTAGCTACGTGTACTGCGGTTCAGGGTATCCGATGTAGGAGCAAGGCATGCCGAGCTGCGTGTAGACGTAATAAGTTCGAAGACTGTGAGTTGGTGTGACCTGTAAGCCGCGAAAAGTGCAGTACTGCTGTTCTTATTTGATAACTTTTCTTTCTCGTCATGCTTTGTAAATCTTCATGCTGCAATACCATAGCTATGTACATGCTACTCGAGCAAATGCCGCACCAATGACTGCGGGATATCATAATGCATCAGAACAGAACTCCATGGCAAACGCCATATGTGCTGCATCGCTTCAGCTTCGTCTTCTCCCATACTCCCCGCTCATGACGGCCATATAGATGAATCTCTAGGCTCGCTTTCTCAGCTCCCCCCGTTGTTCATCATCAACCCCTGATGTCCGTGGAAGTGGCTCGCCGTTGCCCTGACCGGAAACATGCGACAGCCTAATAAGCTCCTCCATCATAGCATCCCTTGTCCTCGCCAATAGCGCATCAACATCTTCCGGCTTCAATCCTGTTGTGCTGATGGGAGGTAGCGCCGTCACGTCAATAACCCCCGGCCTAACCAACTTTCTCTTCACGTCCAACACATGGCTATAGTTCGCGCACACGACCGGTACAATCGGCACCTGTGCCTGGACGGCGAGGTGGAAGGCACCCTTCTTGAAAGGCAATAGCGTGGGCGAAGAGGCATAAGAACGCGTGCCTTCGGGGAAGATGAATACGGATTGGCGGGAGGTGGTCATGGTGGAGGCGGCAGTATCGAATGCGGCGCGGGAGGTGGTGCGGTTTGCGCGATCTATGAAGACGGTTTTCGAGAGGGCCACTGTAGGAAATGCGTCAGACTAAGCTCTTAATTGGGTAAAGCGGGGGAGATTGCGAGTGGTAGAAGATGGACGAGACTTACTGAACCAGCCCAAGAAAGGCGCCCACTTCAGTGAGCTTTTGGCGGTGACGGAGCAGTATTGGGGGAACATGCAGCCTAGCATGAGGACGTCGAGTTCTCTGCGTGTTGTGTTAGCGCTTCTGTATATCCAATTCAACCAGAGCGCCAGCTTCTCTCAGAACTCCGGGCTGCTCTTCGTACAATGTTTCGGGAGTTTCCGACCCATGTATTCCTCACGCCCTCTGGGAAGCGCCTCTGGCTCTTGGTGTACTCACGTCTGGTGGTTCCCCACGAACACAGCCGGTCTCTCCTTGAGCGCATCCTCTCCATTTCCACCGCTTGAAGTCTTCATACTCCCGCTGACCCTAAAGCTCACTCCCGTTGTCAACCACATGCTCCACTTGAATGCCCGCCCAACTGTCCACTGGCTCAATCCCCCGTATCCCACCAGTCTCAGTACTACACTCGCGACCATGCCATAGAAGGCGCATGCTATCAAAAGTGCGAAGCCGGTTATGGAGAAGGCGTAAAAGGACGCTAATTGTGCTGGTCGCGCGGGGAGGACGAGCGAGGCAAGTCTGAGGATCATTATGACCGCGGCAGGCGTAGCGAGGAGGTAGAGTAGCCAGTGCATCGCGACGCTGTGGTATTGCGTTGCGTAGTAGGAGAGTTGCCGAGTTCGAGGTTGGTGGAGGGAGCGCAGCGTGTTCGTGTCAGGTCGCGGACGGCATTCGATGAAGCGGTAAAGTCCGGGGAGGAGTGGTCCAAGATTGGCTCGCAACTAGAGCTGGGATCTAGAGCTCTAGGACGGACGTGGTGGACAGAGATTGAGGCAGCAAAACTGTGGGGTTACTTTTTTGCTCCCGTTGATAGGCGCCGAGGTTCGCTGCCTCGCTAAGCTTCGGAGGTGGCTGCAAGGGCAGCTCAGTGGTGAGCTTGAAAAGAGCTTGGTATCCGACGTTCTTGACTCGGAGACGTATGAAGCAAATCACGGAATAATGAAGGGAGAGGATGCTGGAGCCAGCGCAGGCTTGGTTTGTGGGGTATATCCACACAAGGTGCAGAAGATCCGGTCCCATGCACTACCCAGCTGAACGTGCACGCATGACTTGCGAGGTTCCTCGACAAGCGTCATGTGCATCCTGTCTTCACATGCAAGATACGGAAATCCAATTGCTATACTCACAAAGGTAAGTATTTGGATGAGACGGCCATGGTATCCTATTAGATGTGTCTAGTCCATCTTCCCCACTCCCACGGGCCGCGAAGTCTGGGCTCGGAGCGATCGAATACTCCGTATATGCTGGGTAACTGTCATAATACAAGAACAGATACTCGAAATACAGTCATAAGTTCGTAATATTCTGCTGTAGCTCATAGACTATGTGCTTTCGCAAATTACTGGTGAGAGCTGCTCGGTCGCATCGTCTCTCAGCGATGTCCCTCTCCGAATCAGACACCGGGTCTTGAACGGCATAAGACCAACTCTCTGTTCCTCCTCGACCCATCGATCAACAGTACCGAGCCCTCCGCTGGCAAGCGCAGGCTCATTTCTCAATAGCGTCGGCAGAACTCGAGCGGGTTGTCGTACACTTCCGTAGCCTCAGCCAAGCCGCCACGGTTACACTGAATGCAAGGCAATCCACGATAAATAGCGGGAGTAACATCCACCGCCAAGCAACCATATTCGTGACCCGAGTGTTGATCTGATCGCGTTTGCCCTGGTCAGCGAGGGGAAGATCGAGAACGGCCTTCATCCAGGTTTCCGGCGTCCACTTGTACTCAGCATAGTCGGTGCCGACGTTGTTGGCAGCGATGGGTTCGCGAATGTATTGGCCCATCGTTTTGTACGTGACGATAAAGACAAATATAAAGGCGGAGAGCGTGAAGAGGATGGCGCCAATTTGGAGCACTAGAAGCACTGTGAGGCTCTTCAACGGCTGTTTTGGTTTATCAGTACGCGTCACACCCAAAAAGTTGCGAAGATGCGACCTACCCGTCCAGCTCTCCTCAATCTCCAAGCTGTGATCATCCCGAATATTCCTACGAGGAAACCATAACCCGCCGCACCGTTGGATTCATATCCTTGATCGCCCCATACATTCTTGGGCAAAACGTTCAGCTGGAAACTAGTTGCAGGCCATGCTATTTCATAGCTGTGTACGTTGTGTTTCTGTTCGAGCAACCAGGCGACCGTGGAGCTAATCAAAGCGAGGGTTATGATCGAAAGCGCGGAAAGAATTGCATTCGATGCAAAAAGTGGCCAAATTCCCAGTGGGCTTGGAGCAGTGGTTGCTCTATGCGACGTAGCAGGAGTCGCGCGGTGGAAGTACTTTGCGATCCCCATCTTGAAAGAATCCATGTTGACGCTGGGCGGGACCGAGACGTAGTTTTTCAAAGGAAACAAGACGGAATCTCGAAATCGAGGCGAGGCAACACGAAATATAAACTTCCACCCGTAGCTGGGTCTTCTTTCCCGTCATGGTCGTACGCGTCGGGCAGCTCAGCACTATTCGCGTTAGCACGCAGCCTTACAACCAGCAGTACGCCACAAATAGGACAAGATGTTAGTAGTGTGAGCATGATGACCTGTAGGGCCCAGAAGTTGATGAGGTTCGGTCATCAAGTTCTGGAACAAAACTGCGCAACCTTCGAGACCATACTCCTTAACGAGAGAAGCAACGACCCAAGGTTCTTCCCAATATTTACTGAAGTTAGCATCAAAGCCTCTTTGACACCAGTGACTAGTCTTCCATCTTTGCAGGTCAGACACAGCTTTCAGCTCAGCTCACAAGAGGATTTTCAAGGCGCCTACGCCCTAGAGCTGGCGGAGAACCATATGGCATTTAGGCGCAAAACATACAAGCAAGCGAAGTTCATCAAGTCGATGTATGTCCATTCGTATTGGCATGGATGAGGAAGATGTGGGGCTAGATAAGCTGAGAAGATGAGTGTGAGGTGGGCAAATAATCGTGCTAGCCGCATCAGGGGTAGTTTTTAAGATGAGCACCTCAGATTTCGACTTTCCCCAACCTCTCCATCGACTCGTTCCAAGCCCTAAGCAAGTGAGCTTCAAACAAAGTCGGCGCACACGTTTTGCTAGCCATTTAGCGCTGAAGATCTCCGGCTTTATTGGTCTGCCCCTGCTGTATCATCATCATTGAGACCTTAGACGCGACCCACGTCACGGCGGCTATCAATCACATCAAAACGTAAAGAGGCGCACAGAATGCCACCACTCTGATCAGGATTCCAACGGACCTAACCTCCGCTCGATACACACACAACAACCGTATTCCGTATCGTCGAAACCAAGTCGGCAGCCTAGATGAGCATCTAACCAAGATATAGCTATAGAAGTAAACGTCAACCAGGCGCATTGCTGCTTGCTATACATTGGCCGCAAGTCTGCTTCAACAGCTACGAAGCGACTCACATGGCTGAATACTCTACGAAGCTGCGATGATTTAGAAACAGAGACCTTCTGCACATCGCTTACTTCGTCACCCATTCTTTACGCTTCTCAGTAGCGACTCCGTCATCAAGGAACGATAGGTCTTTATGGGCTCTCGGCACATTTCAGGCTCCCTCCTTCGATTTTCTCCCAGCCTTCTTGTTCGTAGCTATGTTGACAAAAGTGTGAAGACCTGTTCAACGACCGGCATGCGGGTGGGCGGCTATGCACGGCCCACCTCCGTCTGATGGTGAACGTACAGCCTATCCTTCACGCCATCTCATATGCCTCCTCCAACCTCACCACTCGATTCGGAAATTCTCTCAGTATCGCAAATGGGTTCTTGGTAAAGACAAGGGCCGCAGGACTTTGCATAACTTCCCACACGCACTAGTGTGTTGGCTCCCCCAAGAGGAGTGGACGACGAGCTCCAGCAAGAGTGCGGCGCAGCAAGAGCGGCTTTAATCGTAAACACTTGGACCGCGTACTGTGTCCCGCTCTGGAGGCAAGTTATATTCCCACAGCAACGCCCAAGAACAGCGCATGCACTGGTTGCTATCTTCGTCTGCTCTCGTTCTTTTCTTATTGACTCTTTGGGATACTCGGCATCTGGCTGGTCCGGATCGCATACATTCTATTTTCCATCGTTTCTATTTCGCTTAATATATTCTTTGTAATCCACATACCCAGTTGCATCCATGCAGCTGCCTCACAGATCGATTAAGAGCATCCGGCCACTTCCTAGCATATATACAGTTTTTCCAACAAGTCACGACAACCCCGATTCGAGCAACAGTTCAAAGGTCAATTCTGGAACATGCCTGCTGAGGCAAATTGAGGATGGCATTGAGGTTGTGCCCTTCGAGAGATGCAACGCTCTTTCTGCGCCTATACTTAGTCCAGACCATGAGGAGAAGGAGGTGTTCGTCGTGTCGCAAAAGGAATTGGACTCATCAGACAAACCTTTACCAATTCCACCAAGATCCATATGGCAGCGCATGTTCACTAGACAGAGAATACTGGCACTGCTAGGTGTGCAGTTTGTGACGTTGTTGACCATTGGAATTGCCCTCATGGCTGCGAAGAGTCGTTCTTCGGCGAGGCAAGTCAATTCATTGACTTGAGGCAAGAGCTTGACTGACATGTGGACTTCCAGCGACCGGTCCGCTAAAGTCCGAGCAACTGATAATGACTCTCCGCTCATCGATACCGTTGTCGGAATCCGACGTGGGCCATTTGCAGTCCCTATTCAATTCCCACAACAGCAAAGTTCAGCTTGTTTAGCGAACACGAACGAATTACTCGCATGGCAATGCGCTTCCGATACAACATTCCAGCTTAACATACTACCTTCGCCGGCTGGAGATTCCAGCTCTACGATGGTCACACTCGGGGCACCGCCGGGCAACGGAAGCATCTATCATGGTCATCAGATCCCAGAGATCCCACCAACTGAGCTGACAGTAATTCCTGATAGAGATGGCTCGGGTGACGGGCCTATGTATCATTTTCGCACAACCTACAATCGCGCTGTACTGCTGAAAGAGGAGGACCTCACGCGGGTAGGGAAGCCAACAGTCCAGCCTATTAAACAACATACTGCCTTTCAACCTGGCGAGTCTCTATGGCGGTGTGTCTTTAATGAGACACTCATCGAAGGATATATCTACGTCAACCAACCCGCAATTACAAGTAACGAGACCTCCACTACTAATACGTCGACCACTTTTCGTCTACCCAGGATGCCTTATGTCGTTAAGCTTGTCGAGCAAAGAATGCCAAATGGCAAAGGCCCTTCCTGTGAGAAAGTCAAAGTACAACAGGGTGGCGGCTTGTCTCGAAGCTCCGACAAAGTCATGTTGAATCTCAGCGAGCCTGCATCTGAGCTTCGGGCTACAAAATCGGCGCTTATGGGCGCGAAGTTTCGGACAAGACGGCAGACAGAAACTGCGAATTATTGTCGATGCCAATGGTTGGTACAATAAGCGGCTGTTGCATGACTTGGATCCAGTGACGCCGTTCTAGAACTCGACCAACATCGCAATGTTCCCGTTTTGGTCGCCAACCCAACACAGCTACATCGAATCATCCATCCCACCATACATCAATTTGCAATTGTAAGGATCGACATACCAGAGTCTGATCTACAGGGCCAGGAGGAGGGCCCTCCAAGAACTTTCCCGTTCGTTCAAAAACTAAAACGCAAGGCTCAGTTGACTGCCCTACCGCATGGTACACATCCCAACTTACGTTCCGTGGTTTGTTCAGCAGTGGATCTGGCAGTATCTCGCTACCACCCGCCGCGACAGAAGAACCGTCGATCGCCACCAGCATGACGAAGACGTCAATCTCGCTATTAATAGGAGAACGCCGCTATCCTGGAGGCGAGCACGCGATGCTACAATCTCAAAATGCTGGTACGAGGTACATTGCCCATGACAAATTTCATATCTTACTAGGATAGTCTATCTTGAGTGTGTGGCGGGGATGGTGGTTGCGTGAAGAGGCTGCGAGAAAAGATGCGGCTGAGAGTATAAAGCAGGACAATGTCGATGTATGTAATATTGAACCAAAGGGAGTCGAGCGCCGTGACGTCCCGGCGAAGTAATGATTGTGATTTTTCATGGGGAAAGGCATTGGACAAGGCAGCGCAAGTAACAGGACATTCACATAGGGGAAGCGCAACATGGGGCCGTAAGCAAGTAAGTAGCATAATAGTGATGGGGCACCGTGTGATAGTAAAAGTATCTTGTTTGTTATTGGTGTATTGATCTTATTGTGTATAGACGACATGTCGTGATGCCGCTGGCATTCTAAAACTCCTTGGTATCTCCGTTGTATATCTAACGCAGACGCCAAAAAAGTATATACAATAACAAAGCCCTGTCCAACCGATTCCTAACTTAGCGTGACATTGGGAGTGCTCAGAAAGCAAGAAGCACAGCACCCGCGAGCGCACCAACAAAGACGCCAGCCTTGTTATGGCTCGCCGCTCCGGTGAATTGAACAGGTGGCGCGGAGACGGTGGCATTGCCACTCGGTTTTGGCAAGACGCCGGTCGGCGCAGATGGAACCGGCACGATAGGCGCTGGGCTGGTGTCAACCGCAAGGCCTGAGGTTGGGTAGGGAGGCGGTGAGACAGCAGAGGTGACAGGAGGCTTTGCGGAGCTGACGGTGGGGACTTTGACTGAGCTAAAAGGCACAGCGGAGTACTGGGATGTGAAGGTAGCCGGGGGCGCATTGGTCGCTGGTGGTGGTGCGCCAGTCACGGTCACAGTAGCGACTCCACACTCGCAGGGCGTCTCTTTGGCAGGTGCGCTGTCACCACCCTTTGAGGTTGGAACAGAGCCCGCGCCGGGGTAATTGAATTCAGACTCTTTGCCTTTGGCAACGGGTGTGGCTGAGGGCTTAATGACGGCTGTGTTCTGCGGCGCACCTTCGGCGTTGCCGGCACCAATGACTTCAATGGAGCCAAAATCGCCCGTCTTGTCGGTCCATTTGTATTCAGTACCGGGACTGTAGTTAATGACCTTGATGTTCTTGACGGTCATCTTGAAAGGGGCCGCCTTGAAGTCAACCGCTCCACCAGCCCATTGGCGCGTACCTTCGTTCTCTGAGTCACCACCGGCCCAGTTACCGAGACGGACATTGCACGGTGTTTGCGGGAAGTTCTTGCCACCGTTTGCATCGGCGTATTTCAAGGTGCGAAGCGGCTTGTTGTCAACGATCCAGGTGATGGCTTCCGCGGTCCAGTTTAGAGCGTAGGTGTGGAATTCGTTCTGGTTGTTTGCAACATCGCCCTCAATCATTCGGTCGAATGTCGTAGTACTACATGAAGAGTTAGTTCAGCATATGCAGAGCGAAGGCGTTGACTTGCTTTCCCTTCCCGAAGTAGTTCATTTGCACCCGAGAGTCAACTCCGCCAATCCACTCCCAGTCAACTTCATCCAGGTCTTCTGACTGTAGAACGATGGAGGAAATTATGCCTTGGCCAGGCGCTGCTTTCATTGTGACTTCGACGTAGCCGAAGTGCAATTTGGTTTCACTGCCAATCGTAGGGGCATCGCCCTTCTTTGCGATGACGAACTCGGCACCTTCAGGGCCGTAGGTCAGGCTACCAGCGGTCTGCTTCCAGCCTTTGATGGCATCTTTGCCCGCCGTGAAATCGGTATCCCAGTTCTTAGGCATAGCGGGGTCGTTAGGGCAGTCCTTCTTCGTGGGGTTGCAGTCCGTGAAAGTTTGAGCCGTGACTAGAGCAGCCAACGCACTCGCAGCGACATACGATCTGAAATGCATATTGTAGTTGTTGTATGGAAATTTGCGACGTCAAAATCGAGGACTTTGGGGGTAGTCGGGGTAGGTTAAGAGAAATCGGCGTTTGTTGGAAAAGGTCTTCACAGAAGATTGGGGAAAGTCGAGTCTGTCGGAATTGATTCACAGGCAAAGACACGATATGAAACGGCGCGTGAAGAGCAGCGACTTTGAAAGAATGGAATGCTGTACAAGAGCGCTGGCGAGACAAAAGTAATGAGTGAGGTCGTCCTGCGTCCAAAAAGCGTTATGAAGTGAAGAGAGAGTGGTATAGAAAAGACGCGTATGAAAGTCGAAAGGTTGGATGAAGAATGCACAGTTATGCGTGTCAGAGGAGGACCGACTATAAAGGGTCGGTGCACTCTCGACCATCATCCGCAGTCCATGCCATCTCCGTGCCCAGGCACTTTTAGCATTCAGTGGCCAAAGCCATGCGGCCTCTCGTGTCTGTCCATGCTATGTCCTCCTGTTTCAGCGCTCGGCAGACCTGAGTGGTCAAGAGCAGCCTTCCTTCGTTCTCCTTTGGTGTTTTATGAAACCATGGGTGGAGACTAGGGTGTGTCAGGAGTTCGAGCCGCCTTGCCCAAAGCACTGATGTTTCCGTTGGAGCCTATCAGAGCCCTCATGTGCCTGGTCTCATCTTGGCAGATGTTTCTTGCTGCAAGCCACACAGGCCCTGCATTTCGCTCCCCCTGAGACGCGGATGTGTTGGGGTTGGCCAGACCTAGCCAGTCGGGGAGGCGGTGCTATACCAAGGCATGTGGCAACTAATAAAGCTGAAGCTCGTCGTCAGCAAATAATAGAGGCTATGCGCAGTCATCGTTGCATTCGACATGACTGGAGACTAATATCGAAGTGAGCTTTACGAATTACTCCTGTGGCTGTGTCGCATGTGCCAAGGGGGTCATGAGACGGACTGACGACGCGGCAGTTCGCTTCTATGATTGCGATGCGCTGCGATGTACATTCCTCGCCCTTCCCTTGCGTACGATCACCTCGAATATGAGATCATGTCTTCCAGGAAAGCCTTGAGAATGATGTAATGATCTGCCGCCCTGACGATCCCGCTGAGGCGCAGAGCCTCCCCACGACCGGTGAGGATTTGCGGCCAGGTGCCGCACGCTGCCGGAAGATGGACAAGTCTTACTTGCTTTCAGCAGGTGACACCCGGGGGTGATTGTTTGCATAATTCAAATGTACAACGGTGTGCGAATGAGGTAACGAGGATGAAGAGAAGTGTGGTGTTGTACTGCTTTGACGGCGGCCCCGCTCGTTTGCTCATGCGAAGAGGCATGTCCTTAGAAACGTTTGTTCTTACGACCGCTGCACAATCCAGCGAGAAAAACAAGTTCACTATTATTCAAAAATAAAGGCCATTAATCTGAGAACAAGCAAGTCCGTCATATGGCATGAGGCTTAAGAGTAAAAGGCGCACCCTTGAAAGGCTGAGGGGCCGCTGTGTGGTAGACCTTAAGCTATCGAATACCACTTGAAGAAGTAAGATAACATGCAGAACCACTCGCACAGCAGATATTCTATATTATAACAGCTTGCATCTCCCCGCATTTTCCTCACGGAGCCGCAGATGCACATTGCCCAATCGGGCTAGCATGTCGCCACATCACGTTAGTCACTTTCGTACGTCAACATGATCAGCCGGCAAGCATTCAACGTCGAGACGGCAAAATATCACAACCCTGGCAGAAGCCTCCCCAATTGACCACCAAGACCCTCTTGATAAAGCTAAAACAACGCTTGTAACCCAATTGACCATACACAACAACAATGTTCCGCCTTCCCGCGCCTCTCGCGCGCACACCACGCGTCCTCTCTTCCAGACTTCAGGCCCTCTCCCACACTTCCTTCCGCCACTCATCTGGTTCGCCAACAGCAGGCAAGAATTCGCAAGATCACTTCAACAAAACTGGAGAGAAGGAGAAAGACTTTGCGAACTATAGTTCGCGGAGCTCCGAGTACAGTCAGAGTGGAGGAGATGATATTGTGGCCGAACAAGCAAGCGCGAGTTTCCAGGTAACGTGATCTCCTTCCTTACCGTTTCTATGCAAGAATTGCAATAGGGGCTGAGGCCAAGGCTAACAAGCAGCAGAACTCGCAAGACACCGATCCTGCGTCTCAGAAAGCCACGGCAGGAAAGGGGAATGTGGTAAACCCACTTGAACTCTCACCCGCGACACCGGAACTCTCGAAACAGTTTGAAGACACGGTACGTCCTATCGCTCTCTTTTGGCAGAATTAATTGGGAATACGGTCAGCTGACTTACGATTGATTGTACAGGACGTAAGCAAGAATGAGGACCGCGAACCAGGTGCGAAGACAGGTCCGGGCGTGAGCACGAAAGCAAAGCGGGTGAAGAAGAATAAAATCGATTTCAAGTAGCCGCATAGCAGAAAAGAGAAGGCTCGGAATTGTCCTAAATAACTCAATGGTATGTCTCATCTAGCCACGAGCGCCTAAAAGAATACAAACACCAAATATGAATGACAAACAACTGCTTATTCGGTTCCTAAGTGCCAAAATATGCAGAGCGATAATCAGGTGAACGACTACCGGTGGAAGTCTTAGTCGGCTTCTCGTAGCTTTTGAGCGCGTGCGCATGGATACTTTACGTTCCCTTCGCCAACGTCGAACAACGTCAGCAAGACATAGGTGCGCAAGCAGGGTCATCCTTAGGTGGCTAATAGCCTCCATCCCCCTTTATCTACTCGCTTTCATTACGCGCTTATCGTGCGGGTTCATGTAGTTCTTCCCTCCTTCATCTTGTCACTTGTAGCACCATGAGCAGCAAGCTGCTCAGACGATGATCTTCCAGAGCTCTAATGGTGTTCCCATCTCACCTCCTCCGGCTCCTGTCTCCACTAGCCTGGTGTGCTGCCTGCTGCGCGGCCTCGTGCCCCAATTCAGTCCTGAGGTCCTTGAGCTTATTCTCCGTCTCCTCCCTCTTCTTCGTCTCCTTCTCCAACTCCTTATCCACCTGCTCAATCTTGCCCTTCAGCAAATCCATCAATGCTTGTTCCTGGTCTTGACTAAACGGTACTTCCTCCGCCCCCTTCTCTGGTAACTGCGCAGTCCTCTCCCCATTCGGCATGCCCCGCTTCATCCGACCATTCGCGCCCAGGCTCGCCTTCTTAGACCCGCCCTTGCCCGCGGGCATTAGGTAATTCCACTGATCTTCCGCTGTGAGCGCGTCGAATAGCGCCTCCGTAGGCTCGTTGAATTGCACCACCTCTAAGAACTCAGAGCGTACACAGCCTGTCTTCTCTTGTTCAGCCTGCATCGCCTCGTCCCCATACTTCTCCAACTGCAGGAAGTGCTGCCGGTATTGTGCCTTCTCCCCACTCGCGGGTACAAAATGTAATCTGATGTCTATGCTGAATCCTCCCCAACCTGTTTCCGTCACCTCGAAGGGAGGGTTCTCGCATGTTCGTAGAGGGTTCTCGTATGTGTTGAAGATTTTGAATTGCACTTTATTTAGCCAGGTCGCGAGGGAGGGGTCGCCTTCGGGTTGCCGCACATAGACAGTCCATCGCTTCGTGTGATCTGTGGGGACGTTTTTGGGGCGATCGGGGTGGCCTACGGGAGGGAGCTGCCAGGCTTCTGAGCCGATTACTGGAAAGGTGAGTGTGTGGTTGGTGGATATAGGGAGGAAACGTTCGTACTTATGTTTCGACTTACGCGCTTGTTCTACGCGTCGTCAGTATATGCTAAGAGTGAGTTGTGCGAAAGCTACTTGCCTTGACGCGCTTGTTCGCGGCGGGTGCGACCATCTTGAAAGCTTGCGCTGCCTAGTACTCGCACCGCTTGCTCTGAGGGTACTTGGCGTGCGTTCTGAAATTATGCAGAGGATTTCGGGGGTATGCGACTCGAATAATGGTAGCTCGGGAGTTCTATATGAATTGTCCTTGGTGGTGTAAGATGGTTGGTGAGCTCTTGTCTCCGAGTTCCCCAAAGTTGGAGCCGGGGTTCTAGCGGCTGATCCTTGTCAGCCCTATGCACGAGAGAGAGCCAACACCGACTTCGAGGGTTACAAATAGAGATCATCATTTCAGCTCATATCACGCCTGATTGTATAGAGGTTGATGTCCCCAGCATAACATAATTTTAATCGCGCTATCTACAACCAGAAGACCCCCATCATCGGCACTCACACCTCTCAAAGCTACATCGAGCCATCGCCGATGAGAAATGTCCCAAATCTTGCCGCTCTACGAGTAGCTCACAGTCATATTCCCAGGCAAAGTCTCGAGCCCTAGTATTCCGTCAGCTTAATACTCTATAACTCCCTTGAGGTTAAACGAATAAGGTACTTACAGCCATCAAGCATCTCGTTCACAACTGGTTTCTGAACACACTTGTTGCCCGTATCAAACGATTGCGTCTTGAGCTCCTTGCAACCCATAAAATCACATCTCGCGTTCATAGCCCTCTGCAGCGAGTCGCCTTTCCAGCCAAACACGTAGTCCGCATGGTGCCCATAGCCCGTCCCATCGCCTTGCGCCCAAACAAACGGCTGGCTACCATCTGTGGGCCACTCTGACTGTGGGAAGACGCCTGTATCCCACACTGTTTCGAGGAAGACCTGTGGAAGGCGGACGGGATGCGAGGACGGGCAGCCGTTGTACCCAGATGTTACGTGGGATTTATGATCCGGGCTGTCGAGGTTCTTGCCGTCCCAGCACCTGTGTCATTGTCAACTGAGTTCATCTACTCGATCCCTTTCCACCATGCCAAATTCAGAGCAGGGACACTTACGTGGGAAAGAAGATAGCCACCCTCACACCGCCCGCACAGTACTGCTTCGGGAACGTATTTGTGTCATTGGCTGACACGCCAAACGGATTGGGTTCAAAGTTTTTGCCCGTGTAGCATCGATACGAGTTCATCGCACCATCGAAACTCTGCGCGCGCTTTGTGGGGTCGCCAACGACCATGCGGAAACCGGGTGCAAATGCGGTTATGTTTACGCTGGAGTCATCGGGCGTGGTGTAGTAAACTGTCATGCCGCCATTGGCGCCGTTGAAGCCTACATTAGCCATTTGCGGGACGCGTTTGAACGTCCCGTTACGTGCACGGAAGTACATGGTGGGTGTCCAGTAGTTTGACAGATCTTCGGTAAACGTGCATGTTGTGCATGATGCTTCGGCTGGGATGTCGAGCGTCTTTGGGTCCATGGTGACGTTGAACGCATCCTTTGACTATCAACTCCGGTCCATTGCTATTAATCTATTACTTACACCTCCGACTATCTAGTTGCTGTCAGTTCTCACTTCGAAGAGCAAATGGCATCTGGGCAAACCCTACCTGATGAACATGTTGCGAGGGATTCCTGCCGGGTTGGACAACACTGGAGTGCCGATATTAGACTTTTGAATTTGAAACTGAAATAACCGCAAACACGTACGGGTCGAGACGTTGCGTTACAAGTTGCGAGCATGAGAAACGTAGCTAGTATCGTTTAGTATACTAGATTCAATAGTATACCGAGACGCATACCATCTTGTCAGCGTGGACAACTGAAACAGCCAGAGCGAATGTGATTGCATGATTCCAAAACATAATGAACGAGTGACGAGAAGCGAATGTAGTGAGCGACAATAAGATGAAAGAAAGTTGATATTGCAGAATATGTGAGCTCTTAACCTCTTCGCATCCTCTCTACGAGCGTTAATACAATCTTGGCAGTAGCTGTGTTATAGTGAATGAAATAGCGAAGGGTGGCTGATCCCCATGTTTGTATGTTTGAAACATCTCGTATTGACGAGACGAGTCCAGGGATCCCGACACTGCCGACTCCCCGTAGCGAAACAGAACCCCCAGACAGCATGAAGTACTAGGATCAAGCAAATTGCAGGCGCATTGGGATGTTGGTTTCAAATATCTAAGCACAGTCTAGGCGTCGTAGATGTGTGTATGTATGAGACGTTGGCGTTAGCTCATTTACGGTGAATATAGCAAAGGATTTTAATTCTCCGTGATGATGAAGTTCAAACTTATACTAGGTATGAACATGTACTTGAACACTAGGATCCTTCTAGTCGCGAAAGGTGCCTTGATTGAAGAAATGCTGAAAGTAAAGCTGTAGTTGTACCTGTAAGCTAGTACCATGCCCGCCTGTCTCTCAAAGTATAAACGAAGAGTGCTCAATCATGTAATGGCTAATATTATATCGCACGCTAGAAGAGATTTTGGGCGCTGAACAATGAACATTACGTGGTGGTTGAGAGAGGATGAATGCGGAGGTCCGCCTACCTGCGGTTGGCCGCACCCCTGCTCCGCCTTACGCGGGATTCCGCGAACAAGTGGAGTGACATCAACACTTTAAAGCTTCAGCTCCAAGCCCTCACTTTTCTACATACACATCACGACAGTTCAACAATGACTTCAGCAGCGACGAAAAAGCTCGTAGTTTGCGGCGGCAATGGATTTCTAGGTATGCAATGCGCAAACCACGAATGGTTGGGAGATTGGGAGCTTCGAAGAGTGGTCATCGGGTGCTGAACAAGAGCTAACAGATGCGTAGGGAGCAGGATATGCAAAGCAGCCGCGCATCGGGGTTGGAGTGTGACTTCAATATCGTACGTATCCAATGGTTCTATGCTGCTCCTGTATCTGATTCTGAACTTGCAGTCGCTCAGGCATCCCACATTGGCAGTCCGTCACGTCCTCGCCCAACCCTCCCGAATGGTCTGAGAATGTGTCATGGCAGAAAGGTGTGATAGATTACAAGTTGAATTGCGTATGAACCATACGCTGACATTTTACCTCTGTGTAAGGCGACATCCTCGACCCCTCATCCTACACACAACACCTCGAAGGCGCGGACGCCGTGATACACACCATGGGCATACTGCTAGAAGCGGACTACAAAGGCGTCGTCAGTGGAAAGGAGAGCCCGATCAAGGGGTTGCAACGCGCATTCAGCGCGAATAAAGCAGGGACGCAGAATCCCCTCGATATCAAACCTGGCGAAACACTACGCCCGCAAGAAAGCGATGGCCAACTCACTTACGAAGTCATGAATCGTGATACTGGTACGTTCAAGACGTCACCGTAGCGACATGTTATTTCTTTGGGGCATTTACTAACGAGTGCCACAGCTGTCAGTTTGGCGCAAGAGTCCTCTACGCGAAAAGTCCCGACATTCCTCTACATCTCTGCCGCAGCAGGCACCCCCATCCTTCCTGCTCGCTACATTTCAACCAAGCGCGAAGCCGAATCCCTCATTTCCACCACTTTCCCCTCTATGCGCTCAATATTCATCCGGGCGCCGTTCATGTGGGACCCGGCAAGGACATTCACATTGCCTATTGCCGCGGGTGGCATGGTCGCGAGTATCGTGAATAGCGCTGTGGGCGGCCGGTTGACGTGGCTCATGGGGGCTGGTGGGATCAAACCACTAAAGGCTGACTTGGTTGGGGAAGCTGTGGTAGAAGCCCTAGAGGATGAGGAAGTGCGAGGACCTGTGGAAGTTCCGGAGATTGAGAGGCTGGGGACTAGGGCCTGGAGGAAGAATATGCTATAACATCGAACCACACAGCGAATGGAGAGTAAGGAAGTGGGGAATGAAGGTGGATCATAATGGAAGCCACGCCTCATGTATGTGTATTGATAAGTAGTAGTAACATTGCGCCAACAGTATGACGAATGCCCATCTGTCTAAATCAGGTCAGCCTATATACCCTCAAAGATCGATCTCACACCACACAGGAGCCGAGTATCAGTGCTCTCTTTGATCCGCAAAGTCGTGCTCACAGACACGCCGCGAGCCGACTATTCGGCGACACCTAGATCCAAACTCCACTGCAACTGGCTGTCTCGCGGAGAACCAAATCATAGCAAAGCCTAGAGATGCCGAGCTTTTCTTCGTCATAACTCTTTCGTCCTCCTTCATGTTTTCCTAACAACAAATACCACACGATTCACATACCTTTCCTCAGTCCGCCAAAACACACAAACTCCGGTTGACCACCACAACTCCTTCGACCTTGGTATATACCCTCCGGTTGTTATCCAGCACCGCAATGCAGTGCTCACTTCTTCCTCGAGCTCTGTGAGACCAGTTTCTTCTTCATATGCTTCGGCATTTTGTCCTTTCTCTTCTCCTTCTTCTCCTCTTTGATCGCTTTCTTATGTGCTAATTTCTCGTCTTTATCCATATGCTTCTTCCCTCTGGATGGGCCTTTGTCGAATATACTTTGATCGACTTCGCTACCGTCAGACTCGGAATCGGAATCATCGGGGGAGGCGTCGCTTTCGTTGTTGTTGACTACCTTATCGGCGAGGAGAGCTTGGTAGGGCAAGTCGGAGCCCTCGCCCTTATGAACGAGCTCGGCGTCGCGTTCAATGTCGTAGACTTGATCTAGTGTTTGGGGAATGTATTGGTTGCGGAACACCTCGTCGTTTTCTTCTTCTCTCTTCTTCTCCTCTTCCGTCAATGGCTCCTTGCCTAACAGCTCTCGTATCTGCTCTTCGATTTTGTCTTGGTCCTTGGTATCCTTCGGCCCTGATTCAGATGTAATGTAGGCGAAGGCACGGCGTTCACTGAGTGTCTCTACATTCCGCGAACGGAAGAAATCGGACACATTCTTGACGTCCATGCGCAGAAACTCGAGAGAGCGGGGATGATCGTGCTCCACGGCTTGACTCACGTCGATGATCCACTGCTTGCCCTCATGATACAGTACGTTGTATTCGCTTAAATCGGCATGAACAAGGTGGCATGTCTGGTACAAGATACGCATATAGCTCAGCATCTGGGCGTAGAGGTCTGTCCATTTTGCGTCCTCCTCTTCCGTTGTCAGACCCTCGAATCGTACATCCTTCAACCGCGGCGCAGCTTTGCCCTTCCGATCACCCACGAAGCCCATTATCAGAACATGATTTCGTAGCGCGATGGGCTCGGGCGACGGTATGCCGGCGTCGTGTATACGCGCTAGATTCCTGCGCTCCTTGTCCGCCCAGAGCTTCACCATTGCGCGGTTATTGCTCTTATTGTATCCCTGCCTAAACCGGAACTCGCCCTCGACATACTTTGCTCGGTCCTTGAACACGAGGATAGACGTCTTGTAGACCTTGACAGCGCGGTGAATAGGGTCGGCATCAGCATCTGAGGGCTCGGTCATAGCATGGTACACGTTCGCTTCTTTGCCTGTTGAAATGACGCCGTGGATTTCAGAGATAGCGCCACGGTTGATCAGCTGGAGGAGGATCATCTGCGTCCGCCTATCCAGCACCTGTTCTGTCGTCGCACGATCCGCCTTGTCCTTGTCTCGCGCATTGCCGCCAGTTGCACCGCTAAACTTGTCGGTAAGCCGGATTTTGCCGGCGTGCTTCGCTAAAGACGCGACTTGGTCGTCGATAGAGGCGTTTGTGTTTGCGGAGGGCTTTTGTGGGTTTGATTTAGGCTTGTGGTCGACGGGCACAGAGTTGTCATTGAGCTTTCGTTGGCGGTTGTAGGCTTTTGTGAAGTCATGCGAGTCGCCTGATACTAATTCGGGGACTATCTCGTCATCGCTCTCCACGAATAAATCCTCGATATCATCATCGTTATCGTCAGCAGGTGTTTCCGCCTCCGGCTGCTGTTCAGTACGCTGAAGGTCCTCAGGCTTCTGCTCGAGCTCCTGAGTGCTCGCCATTTTAAATATGTCGTTATAGTTGGAGCACTGAATGCACGGGTAGAGGCAATATTTCGGCGGGAAAGGAGACCTGAGGTGGGGTGGCGCGTTGTTATATGACTGCAAAAGAAACGGTGAACAAAAAAAGTTCGAGTCCCGCGTCACTCGCGTCCGGCAGAATCGCGGGGGCGGGGCAAAAGCGGTAAGCCCGCGTGAATCGGTCGCAACATCTTCACAGAAACACAAGATCATCGAAAACATCCAACCTTTACTCAAAGTAGCGCCATTTCTTTCACAAGGATGTTATGCATCCATACATACCTCGTGAGATTCAAGGTATGGCTATTAAGCTGTCGGTCTCCACGCACTTGCCACCACCATGCAGCCCTCATCTGAAGACCCATGAGTTTGCTACTAAGCCTTGCTGTCTATCCCTGATGATAGGAAAGCAAGCAATCATAAAATGTAGCAAGCGTGCTCTCACCTATCATATATATTATTGCCAGTCGGTCAATCATGACCTTGTTCCATATTAGAACTCCTAGTTCACAAGGATCACAAACTTGACATGTCGAACGAAGCGAGCCCTCCTACGAAGCCAAAGCTCACGCTCCTTTCTCTCCCTATAGAGATAATAAACGAGATCTCAGCATACGTCTTCAGTTCTTCTGACCGCCTGGTTCATAAAGGAATCAATCCTCAAAACAGCCACTTGGTCCTTCGGACTTGCGGATACTAGCACCCGTACCCCCAAGAACGCAACACAAGCCTACCCAAAAACATCCCGTTCGACATAGAGGATCTCTCTTGGGTGAAAGCCCTTTCAGGACGAAGCCAGCTGAAACGCGAAGCAATCCATGCTTTCTACAGGAGCAACTGTTTCGATATGTGCTTAATTGGATGGAGTGCCTACCCACCTCGAGAATACATGATGTTCGTTGTCAGTGGGAATGTTTTGGTGTTACAAAGGGTTCACCTTGACTGGTTTTGCACCAGTAATCGAGACCAGATCCAGTTCTTCTCGTGGCTTTCAAAATACAACCACTCGCCATTTCTCACCGTCTCTATCGGTGATACCGACCCACATGTGAAGTTTCGATATTCGGAAGCTGCGAGGTCTTTCCCTATGGTTTGCGAACGGATAATCGAAATCTTACTTAATGCGTATGATCTCATCGTACTGGCAAAGCAACAGAAAGTTCGGACAATGCCGTGTGGCGAGATTGATCGTGCAACCATCTGGTACCTTCACTATCTGGTACCTAGGATCCCCTTCTGGTACAACAGACCCATGATAGACTCTGAACTAGCAATTTCGCAGAAGATAATAGCCATGGTTTCGGACCTCCTACCTGATCTGATGTCTGCAACAGAGGCACTCGACGTCCAAGGTGAAAACAAGGTCCAAAAGGATTACATCGTGCCTGTTCAGAGGAACAGGAAGACAAGGCCAAAGTTCAATCGGCCCTGATCGGAAGAGACGTCCAAGGGTTGAACACAGAAGAAATATTCGAAAGGATTGTCGAAAAGGTAACGGAGGGCTGCGTGGAGTGTTTGGAAGACATGAGCGACACTTCAAGTGAATTGTCCGAGATGTCGGCGGAAGATTCATAGTTTAAACGCGTTCAGGCTGCTTCACAAAGGCACGTGCGAAAACTTCTCGGCTCTGTTAGACAGTCGGGCTTACATGGCTGGCTCACAGTGTCATTTAGCTATGCCAAGCTCCCGTCTCTATAAATTCAGTCATGTTGCAGTTCCTTCAAACATTTACACTGCGTGAATTCACATCTACTGAGATTGTTTCACTGTGAGAATCTGATCACCCGCTCGGCGCTCTGAGATGAGGCTGTACCAGCGACTACAAAACTGTATATGGGAGAAAAGGTGCTATTTTACGTGAGCTTCTTGGTGTGGAACTCAGTGGTAAAGGTAGAAGTTTGTTTGAACCTTTACAGTCAGCTACGTTTACCTCACCTAGACCATAACTTTACCTTTACTTGGTTCATGTCTCATCACACACCACCCTTTTGTATTTAGGTCAACCTTTGCGCACTTCCTCTCTTCTTACCACTTGATTACTCGATACTTCAGCTAGTGCCTGTATTCACAGGTCGACTCGACGAAAACAAAAGGCCAACGAGGATCGAGTACACACACACCACGATGGCGAACGAGAAAGATGTGGATCCGCAGTGGCTATGTGTGAACATCTACTCCAATGAGGTTGATCAATGGCTGACACTCTGAAGGGATCCTGCCTGAGACGTTCGAACTCACCGAATTTGCGAAACTGCAGCTATCTCGAGGCGAGGCCTTCGATCTTGGAATTGAGCACAGCTTCATCTTCCATCTCAACGCAATCGCAGATCTCCCACATAGGAAGGGCTCTGGATGCATCTTCATTTCAAGTGAAGAGTTCAAATCTGCCCAGGCCGAGTATGATTCATTCCAAATTGTATGGAAGCAATGCCACGACAATATTGCCCAACAACCGCCCAAAGTGTCCCTCGCGAGCTACATACACTATAAACACATGTTGGAGGCTCTACGCTATGTTGGTTTGGACTACCGAAGCAGCCTAATAGGATTTATCGCGGCGTGTGTTCGCTTCAAAAGATTATACACACAGGGAATGCTCGTCCAGGATGCAGAAAAGGCACGCAAGTACGTCAATATCGGCGTGCACATCGGTACCGACATCTCCGAGCATCCAAATACTCTGAAGGAAGCCGCTGTCGCTTTTGCGAAGGTGTCAACATTAGTCTCAGATCTCACGGATGTTGAAACACGGGAGAGCATTATTGAGAACTGCCACAATGATAAATATCGCTGGGCGCTGAAACGCGAGATTTTCTGGATTCAGACAAAGGAGCGATATCGCCAGGCTCTGCTAGACTTAGCTCGAGAAGAGTGTTGCGAGAAGGAGGTACGTAGCAGTTGCTTTGCCACTTCATGCTAAGGTTCGACTTGCTAACGAAGCTACAGCTCAAGGGCTTGCGCGAGAAGAAGCGTGCACGCATCGACACTGCCTAGTTGAAACAAGGATGGGTTATGGCACGCATGACATGGACAGCCTCATACTGTCGAAGCTTGTGTTTTGAGAGAGCTCAGAATATACTTTGAGCGACGTGGAGACCTAACTAAACTAAGACCTCCGACCTTGTCTTCGAAGCAGGGCGGGTTAAGCGAGAACCGCTTACCTAGGTAGTCAACACAGCTTACCTAGCTCTACTACTAATGCATTAAGTAGAGGTAGCAATTGCAGTCGTGATCTTACGATTATTTCTAATCCTCGCGCTTTCCAACCTCCGTCTTAGAAATCTGCACCAGGCATGTGTTGTTTTTGGCAGTGGAAGCTTCCGGCACTAACAAAAGCGGACCTGAGGCGACGTCATGGATTTCTAAGCATCCCGACCGAAAGGTGCTCACATACACATGCAGCCCCTCTTTGCTGACCCTCTGCCAATGCTGCGCTCTCTCATCCCTTCGCAGCTCAGACTCACTACACGGAGCTTCCTACAAACTCCCAAGCAACAGTGCAACTTCCAGACGCACTTCCATACCTCCATACCACGACAGCGGATACTGCCCGAAATGACCGACGAGCGACCTACCGGATTGAAGGCCAACAAGGGCATTGAGTTGCTCACCTTCGCCACGCCAAATGGCTGGAAGGCCACAATAATTCTGGAGGAGTTGAAGGAAGCCTACGGCAAGGACTATACCTGGCAAAGCATCAGTACGCGCTATGTGCGGAATGCATGCGAAATGTACTGACTTTGTGCCTTTTCCTCACAGACATCAGCCAGAACATTCAAAAAGAACCCTGGTTCACCAAGCTTGGCCCAAACGGTCGCATTCCGGTCATTGTAGACCACGACCAGGGTGGTTTCGCTGTTCAGGAAGGCTTATGTGAGTCCAGCACACGAACTAAGGAGGGGCTTGAAGCTGACAGACTGCTTCAACAGCTATCCTTACCTATCTCACGCGCCACTACGATCCCGAGCACAAGTTCAGCTTCGCCGATCCATTTGACGTCTCGCGCGCAGAACAATGGATGGCCTGGCAACACGGCGGCCTCGGCCCCATGCAAGGTCAAGCCAACCACTTCAACCGCTTTGCAAAGGAGCGCATCGCATACGGCATGCAACGGTACACGGGCGAAACCGAGCGCCTCGTCGGCGTTCTCGACACCCAGCTAAAAGACCACGACTACCTCGTCGGCGACAAGTACAGCATCGCTGATATTGCGAGTTTCGGGTGGATCCACATGCTGCGCTTCTCGGGTGTAGACTTGGAGGCCTTCCCGAATGTGAAGGCGTGGTGGGAGCGTATTGTCGCACGCCCAGCTGTCCAGAAGGGATTGGATGTTCCGTTCAAGGTTGGCATTGGGAATGATGCGTACCTGCAGAAATTGAAGGATGATAAGGAGTTTGCGGAGACTGAGCATAAGCTGAAAGAGCAGATCAAAGCTGCGAAGGAGCAGTATGGATACAAGTACTCTTCGCCGTAGAGCTGAATGGAACGGAGGGTGGATTATTACGATGAAACAAAATACTAATCAGGAGCATCTACGAATGTCACACTCTCCACCTTGTTTCGTCTTCACAGCGATGCGGTAATAGGCTGAAACATACTGACATGAAAAACTTTCGAGTCCGTAGCGCGGTCCGTCAGACACATTGCTCCAGCAGATAATTGCTACCGAAAGCCCTTCTCACAAATATTGAAGCGAAGCAGCTGTAAAGTAATCATTCAAGGGCCCGCCCTTGAACTCTACTATATAGTTCGGCGATAATAGCGCATTAACGGGCTCGAATGGAAAACCCTGTTCTGACCTATTACCACAACATCCACACACATAGTCTCGTGAAATCTTCTTCAACGTATGATTTCCTTTCATCAGCTCGTAACATCATTTAAATGGAGTTGTAGCATCCGAGTCGCAGCATGCATACATCGTCGATAACCAACTTCTGATCTTATCAGTCAAATTCATTTCCCATTCACGAGGTGACTCAATAACGCTTCGAAACCACATCGAATCCATGGGATACTCAGTATGTGCACATCTTACCCTAACGAAAGGATGCCCCGATTACGCTCCCACACAGCTTCCTGAGCTAGCGAAGGATAAACTTGCACCGAGCCTATTCATATCTTGTGATCAAGCATTGGGATCCTGAAAAGGGGAAGGGAAGGGTTATGTCGTCGAGGCGTTCGTTTATCGCCAGCTGGGTGACTGCTGATCGCTGTTTGACTGTAGCTGGCATACAATGTCAACCCAGAACGGAAGAAGAACCTCGCACACTGTGTTCATTAGACTACAGACCTAACTATGTCAGAGACCGATAGAATAAAGCTGACGGTATCGCAATTAGGACTCATAGCAGATGGGTAGAACTTCCTAGGTTTATTGCTCAGAGGCGTTGCGTTGGCTTGATATAGTATCTAGGTAATATGGCTATGTTCCTTTTGGGAGATGACACCTCAGTCTGGCTTGACTTCGCCCTTAACTTAACATCCAGCTTTACAAGTCATCCACATCTCACCAAATCCTGCGAATATCTCTAAGAGCATACAACAGCGTAGATTCGGTAGTGTTCACCCACCTGACTACTAGTCCGCCGGTACACTGCTTATATATGGCTGAGCATTAGCGTTATCCAACTAATATGTGGACAAGTAACTTACTTATTACTTCGAGCTTTTGACACCCAAGCAAAGAGGACATAAAGATGGCGGTATATGAGCCCGCGGGAAAACCTGCGCTGTAACTAGGCTAGTAATCGTGAGAGTTCTTGCATGGTTTCGACTTACGCTGGCGCCCCCACCACTCTACCAGCCCAACCACAACCCAAAAGCCCACATAGTTAGCCTGCCTCACAACCCTCAACAGCGCCAGTCCCAGAAGCACTTCCCAAATCGAAGCCGGATACGTGCCAAAGAGTATCAGCCCATTCACCATCGCACTGCGCAAAGCATATTCCGGATCAGGATTGACCATGCGCTTGATCGAGTAGTTCGCGAGACCGCAGACCACATGGAAGAGTAAATATGAAGCGCAGAGGATGTTGTGTGACTTGCTGAACGCTATGTCCCAGAACGTCCTTAAGTCATTGTCTCCGTTGAGATAGCGTCGCCAGCTGTTTGGCATGTCTATCATGTAGCCGAATGGGTCGCGACAATACAGGAATGAGTGGTTGACGTTCGCGAGAGGCAAAGACTTGAGGCATTCAGTATACGTGTCGAACTTCTTGAACCCTGTGTACGCGCGGTAGAACTCGAGCTCGGTGATGACATAGACGACCAGGCAGAAGTGCACCGCGATGTGTTGACGTGTTGTGAAGCCTGAGTCTGAATCCTCCACGTATCTTCCGAGGAGTATCGTGATGATGTGAAGTGTCGAGATGAGGGAAGATCCGGCGATGCCGTAGATTATATCAGGAACGAATGCCATGTCGTTCGGATAGAAAGAGGATAGCAGGACATAGATCAAGAAGCCACACGCGTGTGTGGCGCCCCAGCTAAGACTTACGATCACCTTTTTTATATGTGCGTCTGCGAAGTATTGGAGAAGCTGGGGAATAGCGGTAGCTAGTGTAGAGAGAAGGAAGTGTGTTGCGAAGCGCCGGAGTGGTATGCGTGCCGCTTCGCTGGAAGGTGTTGAGTGGGATGGTGCCATGATACAATGTGTCGTCAATTGTACATGACGGAGGGGAGGTATTCATCGGTGTTGAAGTTCTGTGCGGACGTATTCAAGTGGAGCTGCACAAGGCGTCCCTCGTCCCATTGTTCAATCCGAGGCAAACAGTGGGATGAATATTAGTGTACCAAAATCTACCACATCGAAGTGAGATACGTCGCTTCATTAACACGTGACGGAAAGTAGTGTGGTGCGACAGCAAACAGGCATATGTTGAAGCCGCGTCCAGTATCGCGAAGGTAGCCAGAGGACGTCAAATAAGCCCGCGAAAAGAGTAAAGCACTGTTAAACAACGTCCCTTCAAACTTTCATCAGGATGCCTTCATGATTTACTCTGAGAAGGTCTGGTAAGGGTGTTGGCCAACTCGGATCCTGAGGTCTACGTGTAGAGACGTGACCAGAAAATCGATATTTAGTACCATGGGAGAACGATGATGAGGTTTGGAACCATAGTTGGCGACCGTATCGAAGCCTATCCTAGGAGAATCAGTGTAATCACAAACATCTCCGCACTCAAAGTACTTTCACAGAACCAGCGATAGCTCAACGAGGGCGTAGGCGCTTTGAAAATCCTCTTAGAGAGGTGACCAATCGGTCTCTACGCGTACCAAGGTTAAGGCGATCTGCCAAGATTGATACCCATTCTGTTAAGCGTCGTCGAATCGCTGCTGATGCCTCGTAGTAATCGAAGCCAAGGTGAGGGAACGTATTTGCTCCGCTTGAGCTCCGCTTGTTGGACACACGATTGCGCTTCCAGCTGCATCCTGGGATTGGACGTATGTTTGGGTAAAGTCGGAAGTATCATGCTCGATATGAGACTTCGACTTCAATAGAGAAGAATGTGTAGGCAGGGCAGGCTACGTGGAGACGGCCACTGATTGAGTTCTAGAAGAAGCGTCGCTCGAATGATGTCCGGGGGAAATCTTCGTGTAGGGCGGATCATGACAGTTGGACTCCAGTACGCATCCAGTGGAGAGGAGCCGATCTCAGTCAGTGACTGTCGTTTATGCTTGCGAGAGGAGGAAGAGAGTGCCCAAATGGAGCGACTATGGGGCAAGATCCAAGGAGGCTCACCATTGTTAAAGTACCCATAAGCTCAGTTGCATAGAGTTCATAGTCTCTGCATATCATACCTGCATCTTAGCATATGAGGCTGACTCGTCGTAAGCTTCGGTTCTCATCTTCCACCACTCCACCACTCCACCACCGCCCAAATCCCTACATGATTTGCCTGTCTCACCACCCTCAGCAGCGGCAGATTCAGAAACAGCATCCAGGCATTCCCCGTTGTGTAGAAGACATTCGTACTCGTCATCGCCAACAAAAGATCCTTCCCGTCATTCGAGCTTGGATCAACTATGTGCTTGAGCAAAAGGTTCGCCAGCCCACCAATAATCCAGAAGAGCAGCCACTGACCAATGTGCAAGCCGTTGGACTTACTGAATATCTCGATGTCGGGTCCTTCAGCGCGAGTCATATAGCCAAAGCCCCCTGGATCGCGAGAGATAGGGAAGACGTGGTTGGGCTCGACATTTGCTACGAGGAAGTACTTGATCGCGTCGAGACCTGGTTCGAAGTTCTTGAAGTTGATGTATGCGCGGTAGAACTCGAATTCTGAAATGAGGAAAAATGCGAGACAGAAGTGGACGGCTACGTGTTGAGTGTGCGAAAAGCCCGCGCTGGAATCGAGCAGGCGTTCTCCGATGGCTGTGGTGGCTTGGTGAAGGTATCCCAGACACATGCTGAGAGAGATGCAGTATTGCGGACTTCGGATTTTGGCGAGAGGATTGCGAAATGACAGTGCAAGATCAGCGTAGGGGACACAGACGAGTGCGACGAGTCCACTTATGTACAAGATGTTCCACCTCTGTAGGAGGCCGGTAATGAGGTTCGCCAGCGCGGAGAAGAAAACCTGAGTTGCGAAGCGGCGCAATGGTATCCGGAGCGTTGCGGCAGAGGACGTCGAGGTCGATGGTGCCATAATAGATATCATGTACGTGTGGCATGCAGTGAGAATGAGTCTCTGCTCAGATGTGGAGGATATCGAGTGCGACGAGTGACTAAGTAGTGTTGGTGCGTACCAAGGTTGAGTCCGAACCGCGCAAGTAGTTAGCATTAGTTCACTGGCAGCTAGTGTCGCGCCTTGCTTAGAGCTTCAATAAGGAAATAGTATGAAGTCTTAGATAATAGAGGAATGTTAGTATAATATTTTGAGTGTAGTTTTCGAGACTGCTATTAAGATACAGAGAACAGCTAAGAGCTTCTGGGGATAGGATTTCCGACATAGTTGCTGGGCCATGTACAGAGAACTAGGTACAGTATTCTGTTTGGTGCGAAATGGTTGTTAAGTGATCGTAGCAAGGCGATGATGTGGAGACTGGAACCTACCCAGGTATTTTGCGGACACCGATTCCTACTCGGGAAAACAAGCAACCACTAACCTGACCCAGCATTGTGAGAGATAGCAGAGCGGACGAGATAAATAATTTTCAGCGTTGTATAGAAATGTGTAGAAACAGGATGTAGATATTCAGAGGACTGTGCTACTGGCGCACAGTCACGCTTACGTCACAACCTCTTCCACCTCGCGTAATCGACACCGCGATCACATCTGGCATGTCGCTCTTGGCTGCTACCTTTCGTCGAGTTTCTATCTCGAGTAGGATTTCGGGCTCCTTGCAAATAAAAACATGGTTCCGCCGACAGCTCTTCAAAGCTTCTCGACCCGCGACGTCGGCTCTACCAGCTTCACCCTCGCCGCATTCCCAGCAGTACACTACGACTTCGCACGACCCTGACATCATTCGCAACTGCAATGCAGAGAAATTTTGCCAATACACCTCGGGTCGATGGCTCTGGGATGAGCAGTGTCAGCTTGCTCGCCGTCACGTGAAGTTCAACCTGCCTGGACTTCTCCAGGTCTCAGCGCAAGCGATTGGAGCTCGCTCTTGCGTCAAGATTGAAAAATTGCCTGAAGGGAACTTTAGCAAAGTCTTCCTGATTTCCATGGACGACGGCCGAGAATTAATCGCTAAACTCCCGAACCCGAATGCGGGACGGCCGCACCTTACGACAGCCAGCGAAGCCGCCACAATGGACTACGTACGGGCGCCTCTTCTAGTTACATCTAATGGTCGCTGACATGAAACTATATTGCAGGTTCGAAACGTTCTTGGCATCCCGGCTCCGCGGGTATATGGCTGGAGCTGCTCGACAGACAACCCCGTTGGAGCAGAGTACATCCTGATGGAACGCAGTGGAGGGGTGGAATTGGGCAAGGTATGGGATGACATGGCGTGGGAGGAAAGACTAGAGATCGTCAGGACCTTGGTTGGTTTCGAGAAGGCTTTCGTGTCTGCTAGTTTTCCTATGTACGGGAGCTTGTACTATGCCAAGGACCTGCCTAGCCCGAGCCCACGTCAGTTTCTCAACTCCGCCAGCTTAAGTGGCGAGCGCGAAGCCTTTGTAGTCGGTCCAACAACGAACAGGGCATTCTTCGATCAAGGAAGAGATTCTGTCGAGGTAAATCGAGGCCCTTGTAAGTTCCGTTGCCTACGCAACCATGCTCGTCTCAAGCTAATTAGATAACAGGGCCTTCAATCAACGACCTTGTTCATTCCCGCGCCGAACGGGAGCTTACCTGCATCGAAAAGCTTTCTTCCTATCCTGGTCAACAAGGGCTATTTAGCGGTCCCACCCAATATCGTCCAACCAAAGCACTAAAACTTGAAGCCCTCCGGAATTATCTAAAGGTAGCAACCCAGATTCTGCCCAACGATGTCAGCCTCTCAAAGCCGACTTTATGGCACTCCGATTTACATACCGACAACATATTCGTCGACCCTTCCCAACCGACAAGAATTCTCAACATCATCGACTGGCAAGCGGTCAATATATTCCCACTCTTCCTCCAAGCACGCCATCCTTCACTCATCGAGTTTGAGGGGCCACTTCCAGAAGGTTTAAAGCCCCCAACACTACCCGATAATTTTGATGATATGGGCGAGGAGGAACAACACCAAGCCAAGAGTCTCCGGGCTGCTCAGTCTCTCTATAAACTCTACGAAATCCTTATGCTCCGTCAATGCCCGGAGATTGCCCGTGCGCTGCACTTTCGAGAGACTCTACCTGGTCAAATTACTGGATTGGCAAGCTCAATTTTCAGTGATGGAGAACCGATCCTCTTGGGTATGCTCATTCGACTTCAGGATGAGTGGGCTACACATGTTGGGTCTTATATAGCGTGCCCCCTCTCATTCACACCCGAGGATAAGGCGCAGCAGCAACGTCTCGAGGCGAGTTGGAGCGAAGGCGTCGAGCTGATGCATGAGGTTTTGACAGAGATCGGCGCATACCAGGGGTGGGATGGCTGGGTCAATCATAACAACTACCCCATATACAAAGAGCGGTTAGCACGGTATCGGGAGAACTTTCTCAATCGCTACGCGAAGACCGAAGAGGAGAGGAGCCAATGGATGCAAGCCTGGCCGTTTCAAGACAAAACAAATACGCCAGCCTCTTCATGAGCTTGTGTTCTAAGATTGGTATGTTATATAGAGTAGCAAGGTATAGGAGCTTAAACGGTAACATAGCTATAGTTGCAAGACAGGGTGAGGTCTCGATCCTTCCTACTAAAACTTAAGTAGCGACTACACCGAAAGGATCCTATCAGCCTGCCTTATTCTGAACTGCGCAGTTAGGTGTAGTTACCGTCCATCTAAGGGTGCGTGGAGAGATATCACACTACTAACAAAGATAGGGAAATAGTACCAGGCGTTTGTGTATAAATACATAATCCCCTACGTACAACAAAATCACTGTCCTCCTCCTTCTCCTAGCTACCCCTACTGCGTCCTTCTCAATTCCAACGAATACTGCGGACTGGATCATGGGAGCACCGACGCGGCTGTCCAAGACTTCAAGGACCAAATTAGAACTCGAGAAACCAAGGCAATATCAACTTCTACTCCATCCGTGGTGACATTGTAGCATTTTCCTGCCTCGATGGCGCCGGGTATACTGTCTCAAGTGCGGATTACCTTACCAGGGCTTTCGGTCCCATCGCCAGTCGCTACGGTTGGTACATTGCTAGCTCGGCCCAGCTTGATGCCGACGCGGGTGCCGTTGACTCAATAGTGGGATATATGAGGTACACGAATGGACTCGACTTCTGCGGCAATGCTTTCAGGTCGAATTGAGAACCCTGTTAGGTCCTCAGGGGTGGAGGGTAGATGGTTGAGTGTTCCAAAACGCTTTTGACTCGTCATTCTTTGACTTTTATTAGTTCTTAGAACTCTCGATCTTATGTGTAGTTGGTTTGTTCTGTTTGCTAGCATAGAACTTCTTTGTATGTAGAAGGCGCATTGCCTCTAATAGACAAATTCTGCCGAGAGCGAGGCCCAAAACTTTTGTCTTTGGGGGCATTAACGGGTCTCGAGACATTACTTGTAACAGTAACTTCACCTTAAGATCCATTAATCACCTCGCATGGAATGTGGCCCCCTAGTGTAATAGCTATAAGCAGCAGTGCTAAAAATGAAGCAGTAAATAGATGCTATCCCAAAGAGGGCACCAATTAAGCTGCCTTCTCATAGAAAAGAGAAGTTGGAAGAAGCCAATTCCGTCCCTACGTGAGGCAAGAAGGCAACAAGTACATAACTTTTACTGTTAATAATTCCGTGCGGCTTAGCGCCTGGGGCAGGCGGTTGTGTACCTAGGTGCTGCTGGAATGCGAACACTAAATGCGGGGTCGTGAGAACGGGTAGCTACTAGCAATCACATCTACCAAGGTAACCAAAAGATTCTTCTTAAAAAAAAAGGCAAAAAAAGATCTTGACAAGAGTGGGACTCGAACCCACGCAGACAATGTCTATGAGAATCCTTGTACAAGGAAAGCTTTCGCTTGAGTCACACGCCTATAGACTGATTAGTTATTTGGTCTGGTGCCCAATGAAAGGCGGAACGTACCTTAACCACTCGGCCATCTTGTCGTTGGTTGATAGAGAAGTTTAATCTTAAGTACAATATATCGTGACAAGAGGTGCATGGTGAAGAGTTTTCACGCTTGCTAGAAGTGCCAAGTTCAACAAGCAGGAACATCCTTGACCCCCTTTCAAGCACAGGCCTAATGATGATCTCTCACTCGAAGGTCCGTGCTTACAAGTGCGGAGCCAGCCTCATCCGCCGAATTCAACTGCACGGGAATAAGAAGTACCAACAGCGCCCGATAATACCAGCAGAACTGCAAGAACGCCGCCGGCTCAGCCTGCCCCACTATCCCCGCGATCGACCTATTATCATAGAAGAAATCAATTAGACTCCGTAGCTCCGGATTCTACAATACAGTGAGCAGTTAAGTGCTAAATACTCAAGAAAGCCCGACGTCACCTTCGAGATTGTCCTGTCACTTAGCACATCACCGATTACACCCTCTCGGCCTCTTTCCAACGATCTATACTTAAAATAGCCCTTGCTTGATTAGAAGGTAACTGAGGTGTACTGAAGCTCCTCTGAGCCAGTCTATCTGAACGCGTTCGTCTACTAGATCTGGCGATATGCTAAACTACCTTATTAGTCACACTAGTTAGGTCCGCTCACTATCATGGACGACGATATCCCTCCGTTCGCTATGATCGAACTTTATTTTGGAGATCTCGACGCTGCCCTCACGATTATGAGCCGCGGCAAACGCTTTCACGTTTGCATCACGACTGAAGATCTTCGCGGGCCCCAAGGCGAGGCGCTAGTACAAACGTTTTCGAACTTCAGAAACAGTATGGACGACGATCCACAAGCGATGGAGGCGTTTGAAGAATGGATGTTGAAGCCGTGCATCTCATACATGGACCATTTTGCGCCATATAAACCCCGTGTAGAGCCGCCATCGCTTGCGGAGTACTTCGCCCCGGAGACAATCATCATCAAATTGACAAATGTAGAAGGCCACCTCAAAGCCACGAACTGTCCTGGGGATCCTTTGTTGACCAATTCTCTTACGCCGAGAGTGTTGATATCCGATCCGATGGTATCAGAAGCCATCTCCCAAGGCGTACTCTGCATTTCAGCTTCACAATTAAGAGCTGTTCTGGAGCCCGACGCACACGAAGCAGACTATGATCTAATCCCCAGCACTGTCCAGATTATTGGGGCAGACATTCGATTCCATTTCAAGGGTGCCTTCGAGAAGCACTCTTTTCAGAGGGAACTTGACATACTACTCCGTTTCAAGAGTGCTTCCTTTCCTGATGACTTACTTGTCTCAAGAATTGGCGGGCTTGTAACACATGATGATGGACTTTCCGTCATGGGTCTACTCGTTGAATATATACACGGTAGTCAGACTTTGGGAGAAGCCGCGGAGGAGGCTTCGAAGGCTGAACGTGAGAAATGGGCACAACAATTACGAACCACCGTCAAGCAGCTACATGACAAAAACATTACTTGGGGAGATGTGAAGCCAGACAACGTCCTAATTGGCCCGAACGGCGACGCTTGGGTGATTGACTTTGGTGGAGGGTGCGCCGAAGGTTGGGTCGATCAGGAGCTAGAGGGCACGGTAGAAGGAGATCTGCAAGGGTTGTCAAGTCTTGAGGTTTTTCTGGGGGTAAGAGCTGCTGGACATGAAGCAGCTGAAGAATGAATGTGCGTGGTCAATGGTGGCTGCTATCGCAATGAGAGACACACGAATGGCGCATCTGCAATCAGAGAAAGCGGATCATCTGAGTTGTCAGCTAAGAATATGTATGTATTCTGGAGCTGTACCAACTCTGGCTACCGTTTCTAGGATGCACACGCCGTAAAAGTTCTGACAACAGAACCTCGATAAATGGCAGATTGAACAAGAGGGCCTCTATTCAACGTCCTTTACTCATATGTGAATATCTTAAATGATACAGAGTAAGCTAATCCATAGGTACTCGTCGCGTGATTCTTTGCAGCAGTTTGAGAATAAAAGTGTCTGCTGAATGGCGTAGCGTCTCACTAGACAGTACGAGCCCATTGGTGCATCCTACCGTAAGTAAGAGCAACATATCTAGTTTCTGTGGTGCTGGAATGCTAATCTAAGGCGCATGTCGTCAATGCCAATGCATAACCTAATCGTAAAGCTGTGGAGTCATGGTTAGTAAACAAACTCTTGCATTACTCAGCCATTCTTCAACAGAGCTATATCGCTCTGCGTCAAGCTCTTTTCTACTTTGTTTACTCAACAACATCTAAGCTAAATTCTTGATAATCAAGACTGCTTTATAAGGATATGCACGCTAGCTAACTGGACCTCACTAGAGATGATGAGGTAATGCATTCTGCACGACATAATTGGAGTACGGAACGGGGTGGTCAACTGTCATTGGTTCCGCGTAAAGTCCAATTCTAGCACATAGCACATAGCACAACATCAAAGGTTCCGCCTTTCGAAATATGGATCAACACATGTGTTAAACTTAATTAGGCGATGGGGGTCAGAGATTGGCTTTACAACCGTGATGACTTCAGGCACTTCAGATATAAAAGGGGCTGGCCGCAGTGATTTGAGTGCATCATACTTACGCCTACTTCCGCAATTAGGCCATCATTACCATTCTCAGACAAGATCACGTCTAGGAACTCCAATCTCATTCGGATCAAAACAATCACAAGGTTCGTCAACCAACTAGTCACCATGTCGGATCAACGAAAGTATACGGCAAAGCTCGAAGGCTCACGCGCACTTGTCATTGGCGGTTCCTCGGGTATCGGTTTCACCGTCGCAGAAGCATGCCTCGAGTACGGCGCACTTGTCACCGTCAGCTCCTCGAATATCAATCGTGTACAAGCTGCTGTAGAGAAGTTGAAGACGAGTTATCCGTCGGCTAAAGACAGAGTGTTTGGGTTGACTGTTGATCTGAGCAAGGTGGAGACGGTAGAAGATGAGCTCAAGACGTTGCTTGAGGGCACCGTGAAAGAGATGGGCGGCAAGTTGGACCATGTGATATTCACGGCGGGAGACGGTTTAGCTGTTTCGAAGTTGGAGGACTTGGTAAGACTCTCTATCTTCTGTTATTCCTATTACCAGATGCTCTAGAGCGTACACTGACTCCCTCGATAGACGGCGCAGAAGATTATCCAAACGGGACAAGTCCGTTTCGTCGCGCCGCTCCTTCTTGCGAAGTTCGTACCAACATACCTCAACAGTAGCTACAAGAGCACTTACACCATAGCAACTGGCTCCATATCTGAGAAACCAAAGCCGGGTTGGTCTGTGATTGCATCGTACGCAGGTGGAGTTCATTCTATGGTCCGGAACCTCGCGCTCGACTTGAAACCCATTCGCGTAAATGGCGTCAGTCCTGACGTAGTCGACACCGAGCTCTGGAGCATGCCCCAAGAAGAAAAAGAGAAGATGATGCAGCAGGCGAGCGAGAAAATGTTGACTGGGCGACCGGGTCAGCCGGAGGATGTGGCGGAGATCTTTTTGGCGATTTTGAAGGATCGGAATATGGATGGGACCATAGTTCGGACGGATGGTGGGGTTCTCCTTATGTAAAGCGATATCAGGGCGTTTGAGGCTTGTTGTGCAAGACGTGTCCTTGGTGCCTCAAACGGGCTACAAGAGTGTTTTCCTTGAATGCTACTCAACTAATGTTTAGCAGCGAGTAGGTACCAATGTGTATTTGAGAGATATCGGGAGAGCTATTGGGCTTTGGAAGTGGTCTCTAGCCGTACAAAAAACAAAAGGACTTAAATCCCGTATGATGAGTGGTTATTTACATCTAAATTAGTCATGTCGCTGTTGATAATGCGAGATGACCGAGACCATGCTATCTAAAACGCTCAATATAACGAGATCGTTTCATCTAAAACGTGCCGTCTATGCTGATATGCCCGAGTGGCTACTCTACTTGCGTTGTCGGAAAGCTGCAAAAGGAGGAAAGAAGTATGCGGGATGAAAAAAGGTCAGCACAACGCATGCGATGCCGAGCATCCTGTAGCTGGTTAGTTCTAAACCTTGCACCAAAAATATGTGTCGACTTACATTCCATCCAGTAAAAGGAATTCCGTCTCGTTTCGCATCAGCGCATTGCCCCAACCACCAGCCATCTCTGGCAGACGGTATATACAACGGATCAGCACCGTTGTATAAGCCAACACAATCATCGCCCCAAAAAGCTTGACCTTTCCAAGCCTGACATCGCCTTGCTCCTTGTCGAGTTCGTAGCTACTCTTTTCGCTCAGCTCAGCGCGCATTGAGCGGGCTTTGCGATATCGTATGATGTACACGAGGACAAGAGAGCCACAAACGGCCATTGTGACGACCTGGAAAGCAATACCGGCTACGATTAGATTGTTGCCGGCGTCGATGAGCTTCTTGTTGTTGGTGCCGCCTGCAGCTGCCATGCCTCCTCCACAAGCTTGCAGAACGATGGAGCCAAAATCGCAACCGATGAAGATCCAAGGATACAGGCGCGCTCTGATCAGCGAATGTTGAGGCCCGCAGTATAAGACGAAGTGCTTCAGCGTAAGGTAGATGGCAGCAGCGACGAAACTCGGCCCAAGGACCAGGCAGCAGATCTGGAGTTTGAAACCGGACTCGCTCCACGGGTTGCCGTTCATAATGACGCGACCTATGTATCCCGCTGCTTCAAGAAAGGTGCCGATACCGAGTGCGAGAGTGTAGGTCCATGTTTTGGTCCGGATACCAATGGCGATGGTTGCGATGAAGCAGATTCCGAACAAGGCCGTAAAGAAGGCGTTGGCACCTAGTTTAGGGTAGTATCCATAGAGGGTTGCCTCGACGGGACATTTAGAGCTGATTTCGAGGCATTTTCTAAAGTCGCCTTTTGGTCGGTCTGTGGCGGCTTCAACGACAATAAACTGAAGGGCGAAGGCCAGTGAGGCCAGGAGCGTCGTTCGAGCGACGGAACGCATAGTGGAGAGAAGTATAGTCGCTATTGAATGCGACAACGAAAGGAAAAGACCAGAATTAGATATAGAAAGAATGATGTCTAAAGAGTAGGAATCGAAGATTGGCGGACTAAATCTTCCCGCCGCATGGCTTACGGCTTGGCCTTTGTATGATTATCCACCTTCCGTATAGGCCGTATCGCTATACTCGCGTCGTGACATGGACGCGCTCATCGAATCTCTAAGCGATCGGGTCTCTGCCGTTTGCAGCCATGATTGATTGGATTCGCTTGTTCGGGGCTGACGTGAGCCGAACGCAAAGTGGGACATAGTCCGCGGACCTCGAACAATCTGTGGACTTCCATCTTCCACGTGCGGGAACGATGACGGGCTCGCTAACAATCCATTTTTAAGAGTGTGCACGACCAATTCCCTTTGGGGCGCAGGGAGCGACGAATCGATTCCTTCGACTGGGCGGAGAGGTGCGGACTACTCTCTTTTAGGCAAGACAATTCCGTCCCCGACGCTTTTCTCCTTTAGATCCTTCTCAACCCCAAAGATTTCATCGCGGTTAAGAACACTGGCTTCGTCCCTGCGTTTTCGAGTTGAGTACTCTGGTCGCTAGTCGCAGCATCTATCATGGTCGCCCTCACTATCCAGTGCTATCTCCAGACTCATCCTAAGCTCTCCCCGACACACAATAAGAGTCGTCTGACGTTTCCGCACCTCGCTTTCTGCGACTGATCAACGCTTCACTGACAGTATCCATGATACTAGCAAGAGATTTGCGACGACAGCATAGAGACTAACACGTCTGGTCACCCGGGGAACTTGATAAGTTTGGATAGGTCTATCACGTGGCACTGGTTTAGTTTGCCGTTCTCGGATGTGCGGGGCTCAAATCATGAGTCTCTTTACGTTTCGATCGATATCATTCCCACCAGGCGATAACGCCTCCAGGGCTTCAGTCCTCTTCTTTCATTCTGTTTCTAATCATCTTCAATAAAGGCGTCTGGCTGCGACTGTGCTCCCCGTACCACCCGCCTATCCACTCGCTCGGAACCCCAGCCGTTTCAGGCCCACCGGGCTGGAAGCCGAACATCATCTGGGAGTCTAACCTCAAAGCTCTTTACGAGATCGAGCAATGGATCGACCTGAGTATTCAAAGCAAAGATTTTCTAAGAGTCGTAATGGCATGTGTGTCTTTGTCTGTTTCCTGAAATTTAAGGTTACACTTTGTCTACGCAGGCGTTGAAGTGTCGCTAACGAGCCGTTGATAGGATGCGTTACTTGCAAAGCACGAAGAGTAAAGTGCGATGAGACAAAGCCAACCTGCGAGCAATGTGCTCGTCGGCGAATACCCTGCGGTGGTTACAAGGTCGATGTCAGATGGAAGCAAGCCCCTGACCCCAAACCAAAGAGCCCAACGCGGAGAAATAGAGGCAACTCTTCGTCAAACCCGCGTCCATTGTCAGCAGTACTCCCCGCACCTTCCAATCCCGAGCTTGTGGACGAGTGTGCCACTGAGGAGACTACTGAAGAAAGTGGACCCCACTCGACTTCCGAAGAAATGATGACCCTGCCGTTCCTCGACTCTGATATTCAACACTCCTCTGTGAACCTTTCGACATCGCAATCTTTGGAGTTTCTCATGCAAGGGTTCGACCATACTCGGCCACTACCACTGATAGATCAGTTATCACACAGTTCAACTACATCACCTCCACAGAACGGCGACATGTACTCTGGAAGCAGTGTGCAACCAAATGGCATAGATTTTGGGTCCGAGATATGGAACATGGAGTCCTTCTGGGATGACTACTTGAAACCAGTAACCGACGCGCCGCCTGATATTGGATTACTGTCCAATGACCAACAGGCAGCCTCTGAGGCGTTGAAGTCCAGGGAAGATGAAACGGAGCGAATAGCGGTTCTTTTCCATCAGCAGACATGCCGCACTCTCTCCGTCCAGGAAGAATCAGACCAGAACCCATGGAGAACGCTCATCTGGCCGCTAGCCAAAGAGTACCCGGCGCTCTGGCATGCTATTGCGGCGTTGACCTGCTTGTGTATCAGTAAGCAGCAACCTCAGCTTCGCGCTGATGGGGCTCGACATGTCCAGCGGAGCACGCAGTTACTCTCGGAGGCCATGGATAAGGGCGAAATCCCTCTTGATGCTGCCCTAGCCACTACACTGACGCTCGGGTTCACGGAGACTTGGGACTACGAGAAGTCGGCTACAGGAATCAGTCATATTCGCAGCGCTGGGATTATACTGTCGCAAATTTTGTCTAGCTACCCGAACTCAATGTTGGAGACTGAAGACGAGGCTCGTATAGAGTTCTTGTACAATACTTGGACGTACATGGATGTTCTCGCGCGTTTTACTTGCAGCGAAACATTTCCTACCTATTCAGCGAGTACACCTATTCCCCACTGGAGTGAGTTAGGCTGGACCACATCTCACCTCGATCCTCTAATGGGATATTCAACGACCTTTTTTCCCATCATGCGACGCGTTGCAGATCTAGTAAACAAGGTCAGGGCTAAGCCAGCCCCACGGAACTCCCCAGCGATCATCTCCCAAGGACTCGAACTGAAGCGCGATATCGAACGTTGGACACCGCCGATTGATCTCGAGGCCATCGATGACCCCTCACCCAATATGACGGATGCAATCCAAACCGCCGAAGCATACCGATGGGCCATGTTATGTATACTATATCAAACTGTGCCTGAGCTACCGAATCTGACATCCTATGGCGAGCTAGCGCAGAAGATTCTAATTTACCTAGCTACGATACCATTGAACTCACCAACGACCATCGTGCATAGCTTACCGCTCATGGTAGCCGGCAGCGATACGGTAGAAGAGGAGGATCGAGAATTCATCCGGGACCGATGGCGTGCCATGTCTCAGCGCATGGTCACAGGGGTAACCGAGCGGTGCTTGGAGATCACCGAAGAAGTCTGGAGGAGGAGAGAAGAATATCTGTGGGCGCGTGGCCTGTCTGTTTCACCGGACGGTCTTCGGCTCAGTTCGGCCGCAACCGAGTCCGCGGCTCTTTCCAACGATATCGCATACTTTATCAGCTTTGGAACAAGCCCTGATGCTGCTTCGACTGGCTCTGGTAGCGCAAATGCTCAACAAGTGAATCAGCGGAATATTCGCAGAGTGAACGACTTTCCTATTTCCGCTGCGTTCAAAAAGGGCGTGGATACTCTGACGCGATCCGGATGCAGCGAGTATACTGTACGTGGAAGGCTGCATTGGCTTGGTGTTATGAAAGATTGGAACTGGCAAGGTATGCTTCCATCTACTTACTGCGGCTCAACTACTGATAATTCTCACAGTTATGCTAGGTTGAAACATCTTGTATCAACATCGAAGGTGTTTTGGGATATTAAAAGAGACATGCGCCTTGTTACTTCGTCTTTCGCTCAAGCCTATACGTCCCGCATGAAATCTCGCATTGTTTAAGGCGTCCTTGTTTCCAAGATTGATACCAAATGTACTGCTTTTCTAGACTGTGCCTCATGTACGCCGAACTTTGGACCTCACAAGCTCACCAGGCCTTTAGATAGAGTTTCTTCTGTTAGTTCTTTCAAGTCGGTACTCCTACGCCTTCAAATATCCCCTAGACTTCCGCATTTGTCATCCTCCATGGTGCGTTTTCCTGTGCCTTGAATCTACATCTAGCCTAGGCCTGCAAAACCTCAGCCCTATACTTCATTCACTATTGTACGTAAGAGATGATTGAGTACATGCAAACACGTCCGACCGTGCCGTTTTTATCACGAACGAATCTTGCATTGCCGTTAACCCGCAATCGACAACACCTACAAGGTAGCCCAACAGCTACTACAGTGGTAAAGCACAGCTTAACACGAATTCAAGGCTAGCAGAGCAGAGCGCTAAGATAAATTTTAAGCGTGAAACAAAATGGACATGAGCATCGAAGCAGAGTGGCAGAGTTTGAAGCTGTAGCTGTAGGCCGCTTGACGCGGCTTTGAGCAATTGTGTCTAGTGGGTTCGACCTGTGTCTATGCCTTCTTTCCTCACGAATGAGCATCCTGCCCAAGCTGCACGCAACCATAAGGCTGCTCTAGACAAAGTGAAGACTTTGCCAGTTTTAATAAGTCTCTTGCTAAATCCATTCATACGATCTCCTGCGGAATGTACAATCATATCGTCCAAAGCGCATTAATCTGCTTTCTCCTGACCTGTTCAATCGTTAGCTCAAGCTTCACTACGAAATCCAGGATGAGGCTTACCAGAGGTGCTACAAACAAAACGCTGACAAACAATGCCGCAACAGTGAGCATCATAGAAATTTTGTTGAAGCCCTTGCCCAGGATATCAAAGGCAAAACTGGGCGCAACTCGCGTCCCGAAGATGTCCAGCCCGTATGCGAACACCAAACTCGTGCTCTCAATGCCACTTTCGCTCGTAATCACGTCTTTGACACCAACAACCTCGTATTTGTGGGTGAGATGCCACTTCGGATCAAAGCTGATGAGGGGAGTGTACTTGATCAGGCCCTCAGCTTGCTCATGCGCAGTGGGGTCACGGCCGACCGGGCGGCGGGGATCGATGAAAGCACGGGGAATACCGATGATCGAGCTGACTGAAGGTACGGTGATGAGAAGTTCACGGCTGGTGATGCCTTGTCGTGTTTGCGTAACGGTCATATGAGTAATCTCTTCCGGTACTTGATAGCTTTGGGAAAGCACATAGGGCTTTGCAGCATCGCCCTTTGATCCTGAGGGCTGTACAGTCGAAGCGTTAGAGGTGGCACCAAGTGGGCCCCTATCATCGGGAAGTGGGGATTCGTAGAGGTCCGAGACGACAAGCTGGTAGCCCCGGGAAGATGCGCCTGAGCTAGCATCGATGGTCAGTGAGTAGGTGAACCAATTCTCTGAGATGGTTGACGGGATGGGTCGAGATGTATCAACATCGTTGTGCGACATGGTATGCAACAGCTGCCCGGAAGCGGAATCTAGGAGGTATATGGACGCTGTACGAGCAGACTCAACGACTGCAGTGACCAGGACAAGATTAGGATTCAAGTACTTGTACAACACCCTTCTGTCTCCCAGGACTCTACCAATGGAGGCTACTGGGTCTTTGATCGGCCGCGCAGTGTAGCTGACAATGTGTTCACCGGCAGCAGGCGTGAAGCTCCATACGGGCTCAGAAGTCGGTTGGCCCTCCAGGAATCCTTTCAGCGTACCATCGACTAGAGTGAACGATACGACATTTTGACCTTCCGAGACCAGGGGTACACGGATCTTGGTGTCAGTGGATGAAAGGAGCCCTCCAGTGGTCGAGTTGACAAGGAGTGAGCCTTCGAAGCTCCGATCTTTGACCTCCACGTAGCCACTGAAAGCTTTCAAAGTCGGGCTCTGAAAGTCTATCCCAGTCGCGAACTTGTTCAAATCTATATTCCATAAGACCTTGCCACGCGAGCCGACGTCAAGGGCAGCAAGTCGACCCGTCTCGGTCGCAACAACAACAAGCTTGTGGAAACCAAAGGTGTCTTGTTGAATATCATCAACCGTAGTCTCCTTCGGTGTTCCAATGACGCTACCAAGAAGGCGGCTGGGAATGGTCTGCGCCCAAGCTGGGAAATATTTCAAGTCTTGAATATGCCTCTGCACACGGTGGATGTAGGCAGACACTAGATTTCGATGACTTTCCTCGGCCAGAGCCTGGGCAAGGGCTTCCTCTTCAGGTAGGCCTGCCCATACCGCCGATACAGTGTGGGACAGAAATTCTGGCCGGGTCCAAGCGATCTCATCGTTGCGGAGGAGAGCCCACTGGCCATTGGAGTAGAGAACAGCTGATCGTACAGCGGTCGCAGCTCCAGACTTCACAACCACTTCAGATACACCATGAACAGGGTAGGCCCCTGCTAGCACGGATGTACCTTTGACGGTCCAGCGACCAAGTTTGCCGTGCGAAACCGAAGAGAAGACGGTGACTTCATCCTCAGTGATTCTCGTAAAATAGACATTGGCGTCCGAAGTGCTGGTGGTGAAAGTTCCCTTGCTCTTCAACTCGGGAAGTGTGTAGGCTTTCGAGACGGTGTTCCTCTTGAGATCGACGTGGAAAACCTCCGCTGAATGGCCGGTAACGGTCTGGTATTCGACTAAGAAGTGAGGAAGCGAGTTGACGTGGTTTGGGGCGTGTAGGACAATCTTCTCGATGGCCTCATCCTGCGGCGTGTTGAAGCTTGCAACGCTCTTGGTGCCAATTATGTTCACCTTGAGCGACTTGTTCGCCTTATCTGTCCATGCCAGCAGAGGGGCTGCAGTATTGGCTCCGGCGAAGAGAATGTGCTCTCGGGAACCAATCTCAGCGTCCGAGTTCAGTGTGTATTGGTCGAGCTTCTTTCCTGTAACCGGGCTGAGGGACGTGACTCTTAGCTTGGAACCTCCGAGCATCGGTGAGTGGAGGGAAATGTAGTAGATTGTAGACGGCGAGGTGGACACTTGGAATGGCGTGTCTCCGCTGCAATGTGATTAGTCCTGATCTTATCATGTGTGGTGAAGTATAGCCAACCTCGAGTCCTCAAACGTCCATTTCACTCTGCCAGTCTTCCCATCGAGCCTCTTCACACCATGGCTGCCGTCGGCCAGCAGGACAATAGCATCCTTCGCCTCGTCGATGGTCGCCCCATCTTCTTGCTCCAGAATCTCCAGATCTTCCACTACTGCGCCATTTACGATTGTCTCCCACACGAGCCGTCCATCAGACGCGCTCCATGCGGTTATGCGATCTCCTACAGCGCTGATAACTGTGTCCTGCTCATTTCCAGATCGCAGATGGCCTTTTCCGCGGGGTTGTGAGTCGAAATGCTGCCGCCATACCAACGCACCATCCTTTGGGTTTATTGCGCCGATCGTCTGATTGTGTGAGATCGAATATACGAGGGACGCTTTGGAGCCAGCATAAGGCTTCTGGAAGAAGGTGGCCTCGTGTTTCGGTAGGCCTAGTAGCGCATAGTGGAAGTCAATGTGATATGCATCGTCCTCGAAGATTGCAGCTGTCGGGGCGAGACATGCTGCAAGGGCCAGCGCAGCATGAAAACGCATTGTTCTGTGGGGTTGCAGGCTTTCTGATGCTGCGCTGCTTATTACACGCCCGCCAGCTCGACTCCAGTGAGCTCCATCCATGGACGCCCAGGCCGACTAGCGGGCCGACCTTGCTTCCGACGGTAGGACGCTAACTGGGTGGCTTTCATTCTTGGCACCGACACCAAAACAGCATGCAGAATGCAGACAACTGCATTAAATGGTACTCTTTGGCCTTTGATCTGCCCTTGATCGTCTCTAATGCCAGCACATGTTATTGTCACTTGGTAACCTCATGCACAGGCCGTAGCTAAGGTGCGAAATCCTGACAAGCAGTCCGGCCCTGGGGAAGCGGGAAGCTTCCGCCGGGGTATAATTATGTCGACAACGGCTACACATCAGCTACACGCGCCTTGTCCCACGCGAGTTGCCAGTTTTGTCCATGGACACAGTCGAGCCCACGCGAAAGGGAAAGTCAAGCTGCATCAGGGCCTATCGGCACCATTTCAGTCGGCCTATATTGCGGCAGGCTTGCTTCATTCACCCTTGCAATCTTACGACGGGAGCACAGGAGTCAATGTTACAGCGCAATGCCAGTCCTTGCCACGTGGAATTGCATTGCAACTAGAGGTGATACCAATGCCTCGGTGGCTCCATACCTCCCGTGTCGGCGTCATACTGCTGCAATGCCAGAGGGTTTTTCCGCCAGATCAGGATACAAGGCGTCAATCCACGTAGGATCCGCAGCTACGTGCTGGTTCATGTACCCGCAGCCTTGGGAACAGGTGCTTCATCGTGGCAGTTTGTTTTCGCATGAAAACCGAAGCCCAATCATCAAACACCCCCGGCCTGTGATGAGGCAGGCGAGTACCGGTCGGTACTTATTGCACTGACTAACGATCTGAGGCTTGTGGATAGCGTCGCGGCCTGGCTCCACCGTTTGACTCGCTCGGGGAGAGCTACCATGGAATGGGGGCCCGGGATAACTCTCCTGGTACCCAACCCCAGCACATTTAGACGACCTGCATTGCATGTGTTTGCGCGCGGATCACGGCCTGTGATACCCCGGGGCTGGACGGATGGCAGCTTCGTTGACCTGGCGTACAGCACATCGCTGCGGCACAAAAGTCCAGCCCTGCCAAGTCCAGGGTTACTTGACACTTATTAATCGTTGCGCCGCCCGCTAAGTTGCATGTCTCAGGTATCTTTCTGGTTGTCACCACCTACCCCTCGAATCTGTTGAACGTGTGGTCACCTTATCGATAAACATTGGAAAAAATTTCTTCGAACAACCAACCACGCCGCATCAAGGAGGTGAGTCCACATGTGCTGCTTGGGGTACCTAGGTACCTCCAATTTTGCCACAATGGCTCGTTCACTGATGCTTTCGATACCCCTTGCCACTGATTGGATGACGCTTGATATAAGTATAGACGGCTGACGACTCGCCGCAGCTGCGGTTGGCTCAGAGCGCAGCACGACGCGCACCGTTCGCTCTCTGAATCGCATTATAAGCCAACACGACCTCTCCACAATACGATAGCTTTCTTTGAGTAATATCGAATCTCGGCACAGTTCCTTTTGGCTCAGCTAGACGGACGGCGGTTTTGAGCCGCTCATCCTTCTGTGGCACACACCGCCACAGAAGGCAAGGAGCAACTCTCAGTTAAATTTCTTCTTGCCTTGACCACGACAATAGCCGAAGCAGTTTTGAAGTATGTCGCAACGAGAGTACCACATAGTTGTCCTGGGATCCGGTAAGCTAGGCAAACACGACCAATAGCGAAGACCGAACTGACGACGGTGGCGAAACAGGTGGAGTCGGGAAAAGCTGCCTAACAGGTACGTTTGCCAAAAGTCGATACATGGGCTATGGTTTCGGGAGCGCTGACCCTTCGCAGCACAGTTCGTCCAGAATGTTTGGATAGAGAGCTACGATCCTACGATCGAGGACTCTTACCGGAAAGTCATCGATGTTGATGTCAGTATTCTTGAATAACCCCGTGACAAGCTGCTGACCCGCTTCAGGGCCGTCATGTGGTATTGGAAATACTGGATACAGCTGGGACAGAACAGTTCAGTAAGTTTTCCAATTGAGATGCGAAAGCACACCAGCTGACTTGGAAATAGCCGCTATGAGGTACATTGTCCGCATCCCCAAGCCTCTGTCCGTAACTCACAAGACGCAGAGAACTGTACATGAAGACTGGCCAAGGCTTTCTCCTTGTCTTCAGCATAACGTCAGCGTCATCCTTCCACGAACTCATAGAGCTGCGCGAACAGATAGGGCGTATAAAAGATGACGACAACGTGCCAATGGTACTCATCGGAAATAAATCCGACTTGGAAGACGACCGAGCTGTGCCGCGCCCACGAGCATTTGCCGTATCCCGCGACTGGAACATACCATATTTCGAGGCCAGTGCCAGGAGACGAGCGAACGTAGACGAAGCTTTCGTCGATCTATGCAGACAGATTATCCGCAAAGATCAAAACGAGCGCCGAAATGTCCCACCAGATTCGCCAAGACCTGGTGGTAGGCAGCGAACAGGGCGCAATCGAGACAGGCGCGCTAGGCATAGGCCGAAATGTACGATCCTTTAGGTTACGATACCCTACGACGGACGGCCGTACCAGAGGCAGCGGGCCTGCTGGATCAGGCGCTGCAGTCATACCCCTGGGGCCTTTTCAGCCTCTCTTATTGGTTCTTTCCGCTATTAGAGAGGTATCAGACAACCCGCTCACTGCGGCAATCAATCTCCTTTTCATGCCAGCCCAACTGCTCATTTCGAACACGTCCCAGATGCTGAGCGCTAACCGTAGCCCTATCTTCACGGACTTGTGCAGTTGCCACCGATTGAACCGAGAAGTTATTGCATTCATCCAAGCATACCTCTCGTCGACACATACATACGTTTAACCTCTGACACACGGGGCTGTAATACAAGAAGAAGTCGTTCATCCATCCTAATGGTCGGCCACGTGACGATAGGAGGGGGAGTTCACCGATCTATGCAGGAACGCGTAGAGGATCCGTGCGATATATATGCAAACTCAAACGCGGCAATGGAGTCCCACTTGGCCGGCCCTCCACTCACATGCTAATAATAAAAGGTTGACTTCATTGCTGCCCAACATGGTACAACCTTCCCATCCACACCTTATCCAGCTTTGTGCTACACCACCACAGTATACGACTCGTATGATTGCACTCGCCGATGGTGAAATTCGGGCCTACCTCCGGGCTAAAGGGCAGGCTAATCTCAGGTCGGGGCTGTTGTTCCGAGGTAGACAACAAGATCGTCGTCAAGGCGGAAACGAACGCGGTACCGAGAAGTACAGTCGATTGGTGTTTCCCCATCTTGCATATGGCACAGGTTCAGTACCAGTCCTGTCCTGTGAAATCCCTCAGACGGGTCGGCTAAAGTGCGGGGCGGGCGACCGGCCGCGGCACGAGCCTCTGCGAATCAGGATAGGGGGCGGAGACAGCAAGGCGAACCAAACAACCCGTGAGAGAAGTGGCTTAGGTGGTGTTACGTGGTATGATACTTGGATTTCCTTCTACTAAAGAGAAATTGCGTTCTTGGTCATAGACAAGTACATTTGTGGCGAAGATGTAGGCTTTCAAGCGAGTGGTTTCTTCGCCCAGAAGGACCGTGCGCGATGCCCATCGTGAAGCGAAGTTTGAATTGCCATGAGACTTAGTTTAGCTACATCCTAAATCGAGATTATGGGCACAAGACATGGCCGGAAAAGACAAGGCGAAAAGAGCTGCGCGTTTGGAAACGGGGAATCACTCTTGACCAACTGTCAACACGCTTCATATGGTCGATGGGATTCTGGAAGAATCTGATGACTTGCACGGGCTCAGGGCATGCCGCGGAATTGACGCGCTTCGGGGCGGACAAATTGCCTCGCTTAACACTAAGGTATCTTGATGTGTCAACGCGTTATGGCGAGAGAAAGCGATGGACAACAAAAGACTCTACAAATACGAAGTGCTAAACACATCCCGTAAGTGACCGTAGAGGACTCGTAGCGCACTCTGAGCAATGGACGCAGCAACGTCAAGTGGGTGGATATTCACGGTCGACGTCATACAGACATTGATTGATTCCAGAACGTGCTCAGTACATTGTGTGTTTGTTGAGGAAATGGTTGCGAGAGGCAACTACCGCATACCTAGGTAGCTCCAGCCCCACTACCCGCAATTAAATTTGTCGCCCTGCAAATATTTCGATGTCGGGTTGAATGAGAAGGCCATGTTGGCCTTTGGTAAAGTACGTCATGGGGTTATTTCCTGCTGGCAGCTGGCTCCGTGTCTCTTTGTGAGTTTGCCCGTAAACAACGATGTCTGACGAGAAAGGAGGGGTGGCGGTTCTCTGGGTTATTCAGCTTTTCCGAAACCGTCGGCCGTCGGCCATTTTGCTTTCAGCTGCTGCGAAAAGCGCCTACAGCCGGGCCAGGACTGCGCGTGATATGTAAAACTGGCCTCTTTACGTGCAAGCGTGTGCCGTGCTTGGTGTAGTTGGGCAGCTCTGCTTGTCGAGTGCACCGCCGCGTCTCGCAGCTGGACGCCTCCATGACGTATGGCGGGGTCGTAGTGGGGGCCCTCACAGGTACTTTCGAAACGCCCATGACGCGATATGCATGGAAATCTGCGATCGCCAGTAGAATTCCATCAGTGCCACTGTGTCCCTTGCGTTTTAGTTGCAGCATGTGATCACTGCGGGCCTTCAGCGTCGCGCGAGCTATGGTCTAGGCCCATGATGCATCACACCTTCTCTGACGTCGTTTGCTTGACGTCACTACCAGGCAACCGCAAACGTCCCCTCCCCCCCTCAGGTACATAAAGCGCCTCCGCCTCCCACTGTTACTCCTCCTTCATCCACACTCAAGCCTTCAACTCCTACATCCAATCAATCAACTTCCTTCACCAAACCAAACCAACCAACCCCAACAACCACCTCAACATGTCTGCTCCCAACGCCAACACCCCCAACGAGGGCATCGTCGGCCAGGCCGTCAACTCTGTCAAGAACGCCGCCAACTACGTCTCCGAGTCGGTCCAGGGCAACACCGCCGAGGCCTCCAAGGAGGGCAACAAGCAGCAGGCCAAGGGCAACGTCCCCGGACAGGACTCCCTCACCGACCGCGCGTCCGGTGCCTTCAACGCTGCTGGCGACAAGATCAACCAGTCCAAGCACGAGGGCTCCGCCGAGGCCAACAAGCGGTCGATCTAAGTGCTTTGCACTTGATCGCTAGTTCGACTCTTTCCTATCGTAAGCTGCCCCGATACCATACTGTTGCATTGGCACAATGCTAATTGTGCATCAGGGTTCAGAACGACATCAACACAAGTGATGATGGTTAGGCGATGAGCACTGCGACTCTCGCCTGTTCACGGAAGTACCATGATATACTGGCTATGAGATACCAATAAATCCTCTTCCTCAACACATTCATCTACTGCTTGCCACTGATTGTGGTGTGTTTCTGTGATTGTCTCGCCACTGTGAACTTGCCACTTACTTTCCAATTAAGTCACGCACCTGCACTGGTTCTGAATGCCGCCTACTTCAAAGCCTGCTCCACTCTTACCACAGGGAAGACACTCGCTCTACGATCTTTGCATACATGCCGACGAATGCATGTCTTGTATGTTAACCACGTACCCTTCTTCCTCCTCTCTGTACCCTTCAGTTGAGGCGTTAATAGGCATCTCTTGAACAACTTATAGATGATGAATTCATCATCTATGTCTCCCGAACAGCCCTTTAAATCATACTCTCATTAAAACTTGTGCAAGAAAGACTATAGGAGCACAGTTACACGATAGATCTAAGATGATCAGTATACATCTATGCTCCTGCTAGCGTTGACTCTACTTTCAAAGAAAGAAAGTATACATGTATTAACATATTCACAGTTCATATCGTGCTGCAACGGTGGTATACGTTGTCAACGAGGTACTCCAGGCCAGCAGCGGCTCAAGGCGGCTAAGAATAGCGCAAGGAGGCTCTCGGCGCATTCGCAAGGCTGGCAACAGCACCCAATACCTTCCCACCGGCCATGATCAAGACCAAACCAGCGATGAAACGCCCACAGAAGACGCCGAGCGCGTTTCGCTGCAAACTGGTCGACCGTTCTCGGCCAATAACGCTGCCTGACACCCTTGCTCAGAATGCGCCGCTAACGGGCGCCAACGACGTCAGCGAAGCAATTCAAAGTGTCGCGAAACAGGGTCTCATCGCCGTGACCCCAAGCTCGCACGGCGCCAACGATCGCAGCGACGTGAACCTTTTTGGGTAGTAGTGACTTGTCTTCACAGTGTCATATAAGAGTCACTCGTTCACGAACGTCTTGTAGTCATTGTGCGCGAGACTTTCAATAAACGACTTCCTTCTACTCCGACTTTGACAGTCACTTTATTTTCTCTTACTACTTTCATCATTGTGCAGCGCGCATATATTACAAGTTTTCCAGCCTTGCAGCATACTACCCCCTACACTTGCCGTTGTCGATCATTGTACAGAAGGAGCGTACTCTCCCCGGCAGTAGTCACATTCCCGACCCACGTCATAGACCAAGGACATTGTTGAACTCTCTCTCGGCCCTCGACAGCGGCCTTTTTTGACTGCAGACTGCCTTTTGCGATAACAACAGCATTGTGTCGACGATTGTGTTCAACGTTGTATACGGGCTATTACTACTTCTACGACTTTTTTCTTCCCACGATTCCCGCAATTCTCTCGCCGCTAGACACCTACGATCCACTAAACCTACAATAAACTTGTCGCACCTCACCAACTAAACTCCTAACAAACGTACGTGCACACACGCGCGCCCTGCGTTACTTTTTTACTGACGATATTTCCAGCTCGCTACCATGGCGCTCAACTTCCTTTCACGTAGATCGATGAAGGGCGAAAAAGCGACATTCGGCACGTCCTTTTGGTCAAACTTCACCATCACAGGCGCTCTGCGCATCCTGCTCCGCCTGTTCCAGTTTGTCCTCGGCCTGACGGTCATCGGGCTGTACGCCGTGGACCTCAGCAACGCGCGCAAAGCGGGCAAATACGTCGACAGCAAATGGGTGTGGGCGGTCGTCTGCGGCACGCTGGGCGCCGTCATCAGCCTGGTGTTCATGCTGCCGCTAATCAAAGCGTGGTTCTTCTTCTACGTCGATTCCTTTGTGTTTCTGTGCTACCTGGTTGCGTTTGGCATCTTTGGGAAGATGTACATCAAGGAGAATCCAGAGGGCAACAAGGGCATTATCCGCATGAAGAACGCGGTGTGGGTGCTGCTTACGAATATGCTGCTTTGGTTCCTTACCGCCGTTCTCGGCGCGGTCGTCTTCTGGAGGAGCAGGAAGGCAAGGACTACTCATACTGGACGTGCGGGTCAGCATGTCTAAGTCCACTTCCTTCGTTGCTGTCTGGGGAACCTGCGGGGAATTTTTGAGCTAACGGGAGTGGTGTAGAGGATCTTCTTCGATGTTGAGGTCGACTTCGGACAGCATTGGAGGCTTTCAGTGCATCATGGTCCACGCTCATCAGCTTCTGCGCGGACGTCGCCAACACTGCGATCCAAGTCCACCACAACATTGTCGAAATCTCCTCCACCGGTGCCGGAGAAGCTTCCACCGACATGGAGAGAGATGGTTCCTGCTCCTCTTCCAGTTGGCTTTCGCATTGCTCCTCCTGTTCTCGCGCCCGCCCCCGTTTTCAGCCCAGCCCAGTCTCAACTCGTCCCATCCCAACACCAGCGTTCTGTGTCCGCACCCCCTGGCCCTTGTTTCCCGCACAATAATAACCCGCCCGAGGCTGCAGATGCGAAGCAGGAGGGAGAATCGGTGTCGGAACTATCTGCTTTCCAGCATTGGCTTTCATTGTTTCCCGAGTCTACTATACCCATGCCGTTCAGAGAAGCCCTGTCTTGATTTTTTTTGGTTGTGCATGTATGTATTATTCAATCTTACATTTGTATCATATACGCGGTTCGCTGTCAATGTCTTTTGTGAGGTAATCATACAGGTAAGTAGCCATGTGCGTGACGTGACAGAGGTGATAAAACGCCATGTGATGCGAAACGCCAGTAAATTCCAATCCCATACGCCGCGCGAGAGAGGTAGATGTACGGTCACATCCGCCGCTTGACTCGCGTCAACGCCCGCTCCACAACATTCCTGCCCAACTGCGGTATACTCTGCACTCCACCTCCACCAACCGCAGCTGCATCTCCCCCCTCCTCTTCCTCCTCATTGTCCGGATCGTCCTCTTCCCTCTGACGCGCCACGGCTTTGACCTCGTACTGCCGCGGCGGATCCCTCAAACCCGGCCATATATCCAAGGGCAAGAAATCGCCCTGCGCAAGGGCAAACTGTTCTCGTGCGCGCTTGTCTTCGACATGCAGTCTATCAAGCTCCTTCTGCGCCTCGTCGGCCTTCCTCTTCGCCTTTTCATGTCTCCTCCTCCGCGACGATATCTCCACTAGCAGCTCTGCATACGCGAGATCGAAACGCTCGTAGAATTCGCGCTGGTTCTCCCACTCTTCGATGCCGGTGAGGAGGTGGGGACGCGTGTCTTCGAGCCATGAGGCGTGGAAAGAGCGCGTCGTAGCGATGTAGGTCTTGACTTCGGCCGTGATGTGCGCGATCATCTGCAGTACGCTCGACAGGGCGTTTGCTTCGTTGCGCAGGTGGTGGACGTGGCTCTCGATCTGCTCGAGCAAATAGGTCATTTCCGCGCCCCGTTCGCGGATCTCGGTTACGACGTCTTCGACTTCGTGTGCGTCTTTGCGCAGGACGTGCAGCATTTCCTGGCGCTCGTCTTCGCTCATGGGCTCTGGTGGCGCGGAGAAGTCGTCGTCTGAGTGTGCGTGTGCGTCGCCGGTGGCTTGAGTTGCTGCTGCTGATCCGCCTTCGGTGTGTCGCAGCGCTGTCACGCATAGATCGTAATGCTGGACTAGCGACTGGAACGCCTGTGCAGCTTCCTTCGCGTGACCTTCTAGCTGGTGGTATAAGCCCGGTATGGGACTTGGATCTTCCGTAGTCAGCGGAGTCACTGGGACGTTTGTTATCGAGGAGTGTAGATTGTCGAGCGCGGTGTCGAAGGCATCGTTGCTGTCATCCAGCGTCGCGCGGGCCTCGTTGTAGCGGTCTATGCAGGCGCGCAGTGTGGCCTCGAGGTTGGACACGGTGGTGCTATCGATGAAGTCATAGAGGTGCTTTTGAGGGGTACCGGGGGGTTGGAGAACAGCCTCGATGGGCGTTTCGCGGAGGACAGCAAGGGTCGAGTTCAGGCCTGAGAAGGAAGTGTCGACGTCGTGGAGGAGTTGCTGCGCGTGTTTAGCAAGCTTCCTAGCCGGTATTACCTACTGGAGCTTGTACCTTGAACTCAGTCTCGACGTCGGCTTCTACTACGTCTATGCCACGGCGGACGGCTTCCAGGGCGTCTACCTGCTGGTCCACTATGTTACGTATTGCTGTGTTCTTAGCTGCGAGGACGGCATTCTCTTCCAGCAGCTCGCGCGCGGTGTTGACTATCTCATTCGCGCGCCATAGCACCGTCTGGGTGTTCAGAGAGCGCTTGGAGGCAACAAAGTGGGTTACGAGGTCCTCAAGCGTCTGCGGCCTATTCTGGTCCTGATCAAAGGACCTTCGTGATGCAGCACTGCTCGTTGAAGATGCGGGAGACGGAGGAGATGCCATGGCTCAGGCCCAGCTAGGCAGCCGAGTGGGTGATGATTCAGGGGGCTGTCTGTCAAACACTACAGCAAGACATGGTCACCGCAGAAGGTCTATAGCGAGGCGCAGTTTGATGGTACCACTGCGCTATCGAAGAACATGATAGTGCGATGAAGGAGGGCTTCTAGGTTGACAGACGATGCCTAGTGATAGCGCTACCAAGCTCCACGGCCAAGGTTGATACCGCCGCTAAAGGAGAGTCGGGATGGGATGGCTGCATAAGCGGGGCCAACGGGAATAGCATCATCAGCACGTGACCCGAATAGGAAGCATCGACAGCAGAGTAATTTAGTTAGCTAGTGACCAAGAACTAGAAGCAGTCTCGTAATTGTATTTACTTCCAGAGACACGACTTGCAGCGCTCACGCAATAGCACGTGCGGCGGATGGTCGCTGTAGCCAAGCAGCATTGCGTGATCTGAAGGTGCTATTGAGGAGTGACATTGCGCCATCCTTCGGTTCGTCGCCGCTCTCCCGCAGACCTTGCACCCCACGCCTCTCCACGGCCAACACCCACCCACCCAAAAGCAAAGCGAGCGCCTGAGATTGCTCAAATCTTTCGTGCTCACCCTATTTATCGAACCCAGCACCCGTGGTACCCTCTCTTCGCTGCATTCAAGCGTCGTCGTCGCATGTTGTCCGTCTCGTCAGCACTACCAAGACCCTGGGACCTCGCACGCGATATCGCGGCAGAAGCTCGACAGCAGCACAAGCTCACCGCAACCCCATGAGTGCGCGCTGTGCGGGCCCGAGCCCTGATACCCTTTCCTTGCGCCCGCACAGGACATAGCGGATCATCAAATCGACGGCAGTGGATTCACTCTCCGCGCTCAACGCTAAGATGGCGTCAAATACCACCCATACCACGGAAACTGTCGCAACCGACCGCAATCGCTCGCAATCCAATTCTAACACGCCCAAACGAAGACGTATGTCATGGCGTACCCAGGTACCCATTACTGACCAGTTCTCGCCGGCTACTTCCACAGACCCGCACACCGCCCTGATGCATGGCCACGACCATGAGGGTCTCTCTGAGCGGACGAGACACCTGCACGGAGACAGCATAGACGACACAGAAGAGGCCGCAGCTAGCAAATCCAAAAGAATCGAAAAGATGATCACACCCTACCTCGCACAGCACATCCCGCACCAGTACAACCCTCTTGGTGGCAACAGCGACAACCAAGATGTGCCCCCCGTTAACGCCAATACAAAGTTCTGCTACCGCCATCGCCCAGATCTGCTGTGTCGACGACAGGCAGACGAGCCCTCTATGGAGCAGCTGCAGGAGGTATGTACCTGATCACTCACTAGTGTAGTGACATGGCGGTTACTAACGGCTCCAGGAACTCGGTAGAGAGTCACAAGCAGACCAGCAGAGCATCACCAACGTGTGGTCGCTCTTCTCGGCCGCCCCTTCCCGCCACCGCAATCTCATGCTACAAGGCATCCTCGCCCAGTGCTGCTTCCCTCAGCTCTCCTTCATCTCCTCATCGGTCCGTAACCTCATCAAGATCGACTTCCTCGGCGCCCTACCTACCGAGCTGGGCTTCAAGATCCTGTGCTACCTCGACACAACTTCGCTATGCCAGGCAGCCCAAGTAAGCCGGAGATGGAGACAGCTTGCCGACGACGATGTTGTCTGGCACAAGATGTGTGAGCAACACATTGACAGAAAGTGCACAAAGTGCGGCTGGGGACTGCCACTGTTGGACCAGCGGCGCTTACGACACGAAAAGAGGAGGATTCAGCTGCGCGCGTCCGGGCGTGGCCTGAATGAATGGTCACCGAACATCACACCTCTTCTAGAGACGTCAGAACCTTCTACAGCCCTCGCCCAACCAACGGCTGACGTGTCTGACTCAACAACTGCCACCAAGCGGTCTGCACCGGAGGATCCATCTTCGCCAGAGGCATCGAGCAAGCGGGCATGCACAAGCATGGAACTGGGTCGAGACCTCGCGTCCTACTTCGACCAACCTAAGAAACGACCTTGGAAGGATGTCTACAAGGACCGCTTCAAGGTGGGAACCAATTGGAAATACGGCCGATACACGACAAGGATCCTCAAAGGTCATACCAATGGCGTCATGTGCCTTCAGTTCGACGACCGCATTCTAATCACTGGCTCTTACGACGCCACCATCAAGGTGTGGGACATTACGACGGGTAAAGAGATCCGAACACTTACCGGCCACACCCAGGGTGTTCGGTGTCTGCAGTTCGATGACAGCAAACTGATTTCCGGAAGCTTGGACAACACCATGAAGGTCTGGAACTGGAGGACCGGTGAACTGATCAGAACACTGACCGGTCACTCCCATGGGGTCATTGGCCTCCACATGGCGGACAAGCTTCTTGCCTCAGGGTCATCCGACAACACCATTATAGTGCACGACTTCAACAACTATCAACGCACACAATTGATGGGCCATTCAGACTGGGTCAACGCCGTCAAGATCGACCTCCCCTCGCGCACTCTCTTCTCAGCATCCGACGACATGACTGTCAAACTCTGGGACCTCGACACCCACCGCTGCATCAAAACTTACGAAGGCCACGTCGGTCAAGTCCAACAAGTGCTTCCCCTCCCTCACGAGTTTGAGCTCGACGAAGACGACTTTCTTGCAAATGCTCACAACGATACGTCGGACACCGCGTCCCTCGACTCGGATACCACGCAATCCTTCCCCCAGCCAGTTGATTCCTCGTCACAAGTAACCGAAGAATCATCCTTCTTCCCTGCCGACCCCACACGGCCCTCCCCACCCTCTTACATGCTTACTGGCTCTCTCGACGGCACGATTCGCCTTTGGCACGTGCCCTCGGGTCGGTGCGTCCACCGCTTCTTCGGGCACGTCGAGGGCATATGGTCCTTGGCTGCGGATAGCTTACGCCTCGTATCGGGGGCGGAGGACAAAACGATCAAAATTTGGGACCCAAGAACGGGGAAACATGAGCGCACCTTGACAGGGCATACGGGGCCCGTTACCTGTGTAGGGCTCAGCGATGAGAGGGTAGTTAGTGGGAGTGAGGATGGGAGCGTGAGGGTGCACTGTTTTACTGGCGAGTTGTGAATTGAGCTTGAGAGATTCTCTGCCTTTCACATCGCTCATCTCTTTTTTATGGGTTCAGAATAAGTCAAGTGGCTATCTGCCTGGGTTCAGCATGGCGTCTGGGAATTTTTGGGATTCAAGTTCAAGGGACGGCCCCTGGCTTGTAAGGAAAAACGGGCGTTTGGGATACGTATGATTACGCTACATTTTGGTACCTACCACCTCATCCACTGAGGGGATTTTGCTTTTTCCCTAATTCCCGCAATTATCCATTGCACACTTTTCTCCGCCTACATTATCTTGGCGGTTTTTCGAATAGATACCACTTTCTCATCTCTGAAATGAGAGCTATAACATCTGAATCATAAATAAGGCGTGCTTTCTTTGTGCAACGTGGACATGGTGCTATGCAGGCCTAATATGGTGCAAAAAGACGCCGTTTTCGGGATGGCGTGACAAGACGCCATCAGGGTGTAATAGGCATGTATCGTTGAAACTAATCTCAGGGGTCTAGCGCTCACCTCTCTGCTAAATGGAAAATCAATCGTTCGTTCTTGGAGGGTTTCACTCTTCTCTTTTCGAGGGGACGGTTGTTCTGGAGGGATGTATATGCACATCAACGTACTAGGTATCTGGGGCGTGGGGGTTATACGTGGATTGATTAATGGACTGACTGATGTATGTATAAAGAGCCTTCGAATTAGGTAATTCGCACGTCCCCCTTGTGCTCCACTCTAGTCGTTCCTCCCACCCACCCCCAGATTTGGCTTTAGGGGGGAAAGAAAACCATGTTATGCGTCCGGCTGGCTGGGGCTGGCTAATACTGCACGTCAACGCTCCTAGTCTTGCTCGTGAGGGGTAAATACGTCTCATTGCGTAGTATGATGTGTGCGTGTATTTATGCGTATGTGTGTATGTGTGGCGAAGCTGTTGGGGGGTGGAGTAACGGGCGTTTAGCTGAGGGGTTGGACAGCCTAGACATGCGTGGTTTTTTTGCCTCTGGACATAGTACTACTGCGTACCGTGCCCATGGGGGGATGGTAGTGTTACTGTTACTTGTACACGCACCTCCGCTTTGTCGTTGTCTTTAAGTAGTACCACCACTACTGTCTTGCTGCTGAAAAGAGTAAAGGGGACGAGAGAGAGAAGCTTCTTTAGATGTATCTTCGTCCTGAGACATTACACGCATCACACCATCCTAACTACCGTTCCGTTAGGGGGAGTTCACTGTGGAACTTGAATCCACCCAACTCCCTTATACCTACCTGTATAGCGTCATCTGGTCCTCCGCTCTTTCCCCATGCCTACATCGACTACCAATCACGCCTCCAATCCAGACATGTCTACAAAAACAAGCTCAACAACCTCGTCCTCGCCCTCCCGACTCCCCTACACACAACTACCCCACACGTCGCCAAAAGCTCTCAACTCACGCTCGCCACCGACATCACCGTCGCCTTCCCGCCCACAATCCATCTCCTCAACACACTCAACACGCTCCACACACGACTCAACCGCAGCACCCACTCCCCAGTCCTCAACGCAGAGACGCCCATCGATACACCTGCAAAACCAGGAAATACCCTGTACCGAGCGGGAAGCGCAGTTGTACTTTCTCATGGGGTTTAAAACTACAGGGGATATTGGGGGGTTGGGCTAGAATTTGTGTAGGGGCTGGTGGCTTGCAGATGGGATAGGACGCGATGGATGAGATGGGGTGGAAAGAGAGTAGGCGAAAAGTGGGGAAGATTCGAGTGGAGTTGTGGGGATTGTGGAGGAAGGATTCGAGGAGGGGTGTTGAGGCTGAGTGATAATCGACTAGAAAGGAGAAGGGGCGGGGTGGAGCGGAGCGAGCGGCTGTTCGGCTGATGAGACTGGGTGAGAATGACGACGCGTATATCTTTCTCTTGAAGATTATACATTTTTTAAAGAAGCGTAACTGTTCCATATCATGAGGATATATCCATCTCCCGCACAATGCTCTAACAAGGTATCCTCCATCTGTTATGTATTTCAGAGCTGTGTCGCCATGATCTAAACAGCAGCATATACAGACTTTCACATGCCGCACTATATTTTCCCGTCTTGACCACGACGTTCCCCCTTCGGCCCGACTAGTCGCTCGTCGAAGTGACAAACACCCTCACACCCTTACTATCCAACCTCGCGACCGGAATGAAGAAATCATGTCCGAGTTCAACGTCGGTAACGTCCGCTTCGTAGAGTTCAAACTTGAAGCGGCGGAATATCATGCCGAGCGTTAGGTACAGTTCCGTCCACGCAAGCGTAATCCCGAGACAAGAGCGCGTTCCACGGCCAAACGATACCATGAAGCGGTCCAGGGGGATGCCGTCGGCCGTGTGCGGATTGTCGAGCCAGCGCTCTGGGATGAAGTCTCGCGAGTTGGGGAAGATGGATTCGTCGTGCGAGACTTCGGGGATGGTCATGGACTGTGTCTCACGTTAGCACGTCTCTCTCCTAGCACTATAATTGAGCAAGAGGTAGTGAAGGCTGGGCTTACGATGCATGTGTTTGCGGGAATCACCCAGTCTTTATACCGGATCATCGTCTTATGCGACCGTGGGTTTCGCGCACTTAGACCGTAGGACAGGCGTGCGGATTCCATGATGATGGCCTTGAGGTAGGGCATGTGCTCCAGCGGAGACAGTTCCAGACTCGCGCGATTCGGGAACGCTTCCACGAGGTCTTTGTGCAGTCTCTCATAGATTCTCGGGGTGTTGATGATGTGAAATGTTGCTATGGACAGGGCGAAAGCAGTTGTCTCGACGCCACCGCCGAGCACAATCTGTGCTTCATCCGCTAGACGCTGGTGGGACTTGTCTTCTGGAGGGAGCTTGGAGGATAGAATTTCTTGGAAGATGACTTTCTTGGCGTCGTTATGCTTGACTTCTTCGCCGCGGAGGGTGCGGCCTATGAGTTCCCACTGGTCCTGTTTCTGTCAGTCTTGATGCTGTATCCAAAGTGTACAGAATAAGATCTATCAACTGTGCTACATACCCTTTTGAACTTGAGCAATGGCTTTGCTGCTGGCTGTAGCCACACGGTGATCTTGTCAGGAATGCTATTCATAATCTGCCTATGCTGTCAGCGTTTGTTTTCTGCCCCTCCATACTCCTCCCCTCTTGTGACTTACTGGATAGAACGAAGGAAACTGTGTTGCAATATGTCCAGTCCCTGCAATCTTGATAAACGCATCGTGAAAGCTTTCAAACTCCGGATGCTTGAGCTGTGCATAATTAAACCCGAAGAAATAGTCCATAATAATGTCGCCTGTCAGCGCAGGGAAAGCAAGAGACAAGTTGAGTGGTTCTTTTCGGGCTTCAAATTCCTGCATACGCAGGGAGAGGGTGTCGATGTGGCGGTAGATGATGTGGATGAAGTCGAGGATTGAACGACGGGAGAACCTGAGAGACATCAGTTAAAGATCTCGAATACAACCGCAACATTGGCATAGGCTTGCAAGGCTAAAGATTGAGAAAATGGTTGTTGGTGATATGAAATAGACTGACATGGGCAAAAGCGCTGCACGGCGCCGCTTGTGGTGTTCTCCTTTCACCGTGGTAAGCACACCTCCCGCGCATCCGAATCGTTTGTCCCATCCTTCTTTGTCGAGATGGAGGTTCTTTCCGTAGACCTCGTCGAAGAAGCGCGGGTCTCTGATGTGGAGCTCATGGGGAGTGACACGGACAATGGGGCCTTGCAAGGGTGTTAGTTGGCTGCAAATATCAAAACCACCCACGATTGTACTGTTGACCAGCGGGTGGATAGACAAAATGGATGTGGATAACATACCATACTGATCATGAAGCCTCGATATCTGCTTCGAGTACTGTCCCGTGAGCACAATCTCGAAGTACGCCTCGTACCAGCTTGTGGCTGCCGCAGTCCTAGGCCCGGGAAATCTCGCCAGCGGATGCAAGTACAGCCGATAGAAGACCCGTCCGACCAAGTAGAAGGCGTATGCTGCCACACATAGGACAGGAACCGAGGGTAGAATGCGGTTCGTGTTGTTTACCGAATCCATGGGTACTGCGCCGTACGCCGGCAATTCGATGGACAGGTGGGGGTATAGTGGACACAGAGAAGAAACATGTGTTCACGTGTGTGTGAAAAGGACCGGGACGACCCACTGGACGACGAGTTGTTCTTACATATGAGATTTCCCTGCGGTGAGGATACACACACATTACGCCCGTCTAGTTACTGGCAGCGCTTGGGGCCCACACATTGGAGGCGGACAACATGCCGTGCTAAACGGGAGAGTCGGCGGCACAAACCCATCCCCGCTGATAAACTCTGCATCTCCCTTGCACACAAACAGGGTGAAATGCCGCCGCTTAGCTCTTTTTGCCATGGAGGCCAGTTGCCGAGACATGGTGTATAGTGGGCCATACCCCATCAGGGACTTGGAGCGTTCGCTTCGGCGGCCACGAGGTAGACGGACACGCTTCGACATGAAGGCCCGTCTGGCGGCCTGTCGGCTGCTCGCTGGCGTGTGTTCCGCGCGCTAAAGTCGTAACTCGTAACTGGTACGGCGATATTGGACGCATGTTGGATGGAGCTCAAGCTCACATGGAGCACGAGCGGCGTCGTGCGATCGTCTTAAATTTTGCGGACCCGTGGAATCTGATGGCCTGACTTGTCGACACCAAAATCAGGACCATCCCCCGCGAAACAAACTCGAGGACTTGCTTGACTGACTTGACTGCGATTCTCTTCATCCTCCCCTTCCTTCCCCTCTCCTCGCCCCCCTTTGTACTATGTCGGCCGCCCCCACCAGCGCGAGCGGGCCGCCGGCGCCAGCCTCGGCAGACCCGCAACAGCCGCCTGCCACTACTCCAACTCCAACACCACAGCCAGGAGCCGCGGAGACGACAGAAGCAGACGCAGGCGGAAACCTCCAATCCGTCCTCCACCTTGAACCCGACACGGGCAGCAATGCCGACAGCGACTCGGCCTTTGACACCAACTCGTCCGCCTCGACGTCCCTCGCCTCCAGCATCCTCCACTACGAGTACAGCAACGGCCGCCGCTACCATGGCTTCCGCCAGGGCTCCTACGTCCTCCCGAATGACGAGAAAGAGCAGGACCGCCTCGATCTGGTCCACCACATATTCCTCCTGATGCTAAACGGCAAGCTCTCTGATGTGCCCTTCCAATCGCCACCGAAACGGGTGCTGGACATTGGAACCGGCACAGGGATATGGGCGATAGATTTCGCCGACGAGAATCCCGGCAGCGAAGTGCTGGGCACAGATCTGAGTCCCATCCAGCCAACGTGGATCCCGCCCAACGCCAAATTCTACATCGACGACGCCGAGAGCGACTGGGTGTACAGCGCCGCCGAGGCCTTCGACCTGATTCACGTGCGCACCTTGAGTGGCAGTATAGGCGACTGGGACAAGCTCATACAGCAGAGCTACACGCACCTCACGCCGGGCGGCTGGCTGGAATTGAACGAGCCGCTAGCCCTGTGCGAAAGCGACGACGGGACGCTGGAGAAGACGGCCAATCTGGCGAACTGGCAGGAACTCTGCAACCAGGCAGCGCAGACGTTCAAGAAGGATATCCGCGTGGGCGACAGCCTGCGCCAACGCATGATTGACGCTGGCTTTGTCGACGTGCAGGAGAAGGTCGTCAAGGTACGTCACCCCCCACATGTCCCTACTATATATACTCTTCCTATGTACTAAGCCTAGCTGCAATAGGTCCCCATTGGCCCCTGGCCCAAAGACCCGCGCATGAAGGAAATCGGCCGCTACCAGCGCGAGAACATGACCATGGGCATCGAGCCCTACACGCTGGGCTTCTTCGGCAAAGTGCTCGGCTGGAGCGAGGCAGAGTGTCGCGTCCTCATCGCAAAGGTCATCGACGATGTGCGAAACAAGGATTACCATTTATACATCAGGTACTACTTTGTGGTTGGCAGGAAGCCCGAGACTGCGGTGCACTGATGAGAAGCGTGGGGTTGGTTGGAGTCTGTTAGCGTTTTATATGAGTGCATATTAGCGTGCCTATCTAGGGGGTTGGGGCAAGTATAGCATCAGCATTTTCTAGCCATTACCATTCTTACCATCTACATATCCCGTCAGTGCAGAACATTACTTTGCAGCCATCGAGAGATTAGTAGGAATAATTTGCAGGTAAGAGTAAGAGATGAGAAAACCAGGAGAGGAGATCAAGTACAATCATTCCTATTGCTCTCTGGCTGATTGCATGCCAATCCGTCTCTGCACCGGGTATCTGCACCCCGAATAGAGGTAACGACTGAGGTCGTGAGTAAGAAACAAAGCAAAGTACCTCCCATCCACCCCAAATGCGCGTACGCATAGTGCACCAGAACACCGCGCTAGTACTACCGATGACGGCAGCAACGAAAGATGTTACTACGGAACAAGAATCCACCCATGCCAAAGTCATAACGCATTACATTGTGAAGACGTCTAGACGCCGCCATGCTCGCGGAATTCCCGGCCCGTCAGGTGGCCAGTCTTCTCCGTAGTCTCAAGCGACGAGACATCAGCCGAGTCAGCATATGTCGAGTGCGGAACCCACTTGGACGAGTTGCGGGGTGTAGTCTCTTCCAGCATACGGTCGACCTGCTCGAGCGACAGACCCTTCGTCTCGGGAACGAGGAAGTACGCAAAGAAGACGCATGCCGTGCACGTCGCGCCCCAGACAAAGAAGACCTTCGTCTTGAGATTGCCGTACTCCTTGTTGACCATGTAGGGCGTAATGAAGCCGATGACAAAGTTCCAGAGCCAGTTGGAGGCGGTGGAGAGCGCGACGCCCTTGGCGCGGATGGGCAGCGGGAAGATCTCGCCAATGACGACCCATGCGGCAGGACCCCAGGTCGAGGCGAAGAAGAAGATGTAGATGCACGTGAAGACGATGAGGCACGTGTTTGCCGCCTTGCTTCCTTCGTCGACGGTGCCGACGATGGCGATGATGAACTCGCAGACAAGCATACCGATAGCGCCGTAGATGAGGAGCATGCGGCGGCCGAACTTCTCAATGGTCCAGAAGGAGATGGGCGTGGATCCGACGTTGACGGCTGTCGTGATCATGGAGATGACGAATGCGTTCTGCAGACCGACAGACTTGAAGAAGGTGGAGCCGTAGTAGAAAATGAAGTTGACACCAGTCCACTGCTGCATCATCTGAAGCGCCATACCGAGCAGAACGCGGCGGAGGTTACCAGATGGTTTCCATCCACCACGGAAACAGTCAATCCAGCCAGCTTGCATGTGCTTCATCTCGTAGTTGTAGTTGGCAACCAGCTCGTTCAGCTCGTCTTTTACATACTGCGAGTCGGCAGGCTGACCGCGGAGGCTGCTCAAGGCACGTGCAGCGTCCTCGGGGCGATTACGCTTGACGTACCAGCGAGGCGACTCTGGGAGGAAGAACAGACCGGTACCGAGGATGATGGCAAATAGCCACTGCATGCCCATGGCGATACGGTACGAGCCCGAGTCCATGCGATCCTTTGTCGCATTGTCGACGACGGAAGCCAAGAGAAGCCCAATAGTGATGCAGAACTGATAGCCGGAGACGATAGCACCACGGACAGCCTTGGGCGCGACCTCAGACATGTACAGGATGATGACGGCGCTGACGAAGCCGATACCAATGCCCGCAATCAGTCGGCCGGGGACGAGCAGAGCGACCGTGGTGGACACAACCTGGAGGATGACACCGATGGAGAAGATGCCACAGCCGGTGATGATAGTGGAGCGGCGGCCAATCCAGTCGGCGAGAGAGCCTGCAAAGAGCGCGCCGAAGAATGTGCCAGCTGAAAGAATTGAGACAATCAAAGATTGCTCCCAGGTCTTGTACAGACGACCATTGTAGGCGTCGGGGTCAGTTGAAGGACCTACGCCACTGTTAGTATCTCATCACTGTGAAATCGGCAGAGTAGTTACTCACCTCCAAACTCCTGCTTGAAGTAGTTCATGGCCAAGACGCCATTGATGTAGCCCGAGTCATAGCCAAACAAGATGCCACCAAAGGCGGCAAAGACGCAGAGTAGATAGCCGCGCAGCGTAACAGGCGCCTCGACACGGTCGAGTGTGCCGCTGCCGCGGGTCGCAGAGGGAGCCCAGCGGGCCATTGTGTCGGAAGCGTGTTGCGATTAAGCGATAAGATGTGCGCAAGGGAGGCTGAGCGAAGTGTTGCACTGCAGCAATGGAATGTGGTTGAACGTGGGTGATACGCAGGTGCGAGTTTGTGGTGTGGTGGTGAGGAATTCAAGACTGCAGGCGGGTGAAAGAGAGGTTATATCGTGCCTGCCGAAAGCGTTTGCACAGACGGTAAGCTGTCGCGGAGACGAAAGCGGCGAGGCAGTCGCAACTGGCCTGTGATCTCGTGAGCAGCATCGCGAGATATTTGCGGCCAAAGTGAAGAGAGAGAACAAGGTGACGATGGTCGTGGATTGCCGCATTGGGACGCGGAATGAGTCGCTGTGCCGGATGCTGCCATTTCGGGACGAGCGACCGAGCAGAGTCACACAACGTCAGGAATGAGTGACGATGCGTGTGTATTTCGGGGAAACCTGGTGGCTGGAAATGGGCAGTGGTGGTCAAGAGCGGCTATCATCATCTGGGTGCTCCATGGCTGTGCAGTAGTAGTCCGATCAAGAGCGGCTGTGGTCATTCCAGCTGCGCAGTGCTCCGATAGAGTAGCCCTGGAGTAGAGCACCGCCCTACACAGGTGGCTGGAGAGCAAGCATTACATCTGGGCAACGTCAGGTACCTCTAGAGGGCAGACTGTTACTCGACAGACCGTTAACCCGAAACGGTTCCATGTCTTTGTCTGAGACAAAGCATTATGACGGATGCTCCAACCCCAAAATTCAGTGAGACAGCTGACCTCTCGGCTCTCTTCCGGGAACGTTCGCACATAATGTCCAAGGCTATGGCGTAGTATGGAGGAAGGTCGTTGGCAGTACGGCGCTGCTAGTATACTCGAAAGGGTGTATGACAAAGAAACCATACGTACAGAATACAATGTTGTCGATGAAAAGGAAAGGAAAGCACAACATGCAAGACCAGCAGCAAATCATCCAGAAATACAATCTCTTAACAATTGCGAGATCTTGTCCAGCTAGACTCGTCTGGCGTCCTGTCGTACAACATCCTCATACCGCGGCGGAGGTTCTTCGTCGCTAACTCTTTCTTCACTCACACTTCTCCTTCGACTGACTTGCTCTTGCTCATGCCGTGCTTCTTCACTCTTCCTAGACTTTCTCTCGCTCCTACTTTCGCGCCTATTCTGGACTGCACCCGCTGTCGAAGACTCTGCGGTACCATAGATGGCCTCGCGTTCCTGGACTCGATCAGTGTCGAGCAAGGCTGGGTGGTGGCAATTGCCAAGTAGGAAACGAGATGAGATACTTACCGCAGCACTTTTCTTCTCCTTCTTCTCCAATCTTTTCTCAGAGATCTTACGTCCCAACTTCTCAGCACCGAGTCCGATACCAACCGCAATCAGTGCAGCCATAGTGAGACGTCGCGCTGGTGGGTCTGTCTCAAGGTAGCCTGATTGGGGAACCTGAGAGACCTGGTTGTGATTCTGAGCGTTTACAACTGCTGCTTCGAGTAATCTCCGTTGGCGGCGAGCACCACAACAGCCTTGCTGACGGGCTTGAACTGGTTGTAGAGGTAGAAGGCCCTGCTGAAGTTCGAGACGACGTTGCTGACTGCGCTTGCTGCAACACATGATGAGTATGTTTCGAAAAACAAGATGTTTATTGACGGGATTAAGATGTTTTGGCTGAAACTGGGCGCCTTGCCTAGGTGTCCTCGTGTTGCAGTGCCCTTTATAAGGAACGGTTTGCTTACCTGTATACCGATTTCGTTAGTCGCTCGCACTCTCAATTCCTTCCAGGTGGATCTGGAACGGACGTAATACGAGAAAGAGTTCAGTTTGATGTGTTAGATGGGGAAATAATAGCCCGTACGTTCGATGTTGAAGTCGTGTTGCAGTGGTCACGCTGACGGTCTTACGGCCGAAAGTCGTGACGTACACCAGGGTCGTGGCGGTGGCGTCTATCATAGATGCGATTGGTCAGTGACCTACCTGGGCCAACATCACGCGAATGCATATAGGTACAGGATATCATGGAAAGGTTAATTGTAGTCAAGTGCTTCGTATCAACGACCAGTGATTGGCGGGAACTGCACTGTATTGGCTCAGTTGAAATTCACCAAACTATCCTGATCCCATTCCATACTCTCCAGCCAGCGCACAAAGTCGCCATCGGAACCAGCCTGCAGCAGCGGTGCACCCAATGTAGGATCAATCATGCCTTCGACATTTGGAGGACTACTTCTTGATGCAGCTGGTCCAGGGCCTAAGATCATATCCAAGATTCTCTTCAGGAACTTACGGCCCCTATCGCAGCTGTGAAAGCCGTTGGCTTCTGTTCTAATGGTTCCGAGGCAGGATACAAAAACGGCGAGGCTCTGTATTGTGTCCGACCGATGAAGGGGGTAGCCTATGGCGGATGCAGAGCTAGGGTTTTGCTCTTGATGTAGGAGTTCGACTGCTAGAACAGCGGCAGTAGGAATTCCGTGCGCTCACTTGGTCAGTAACAGTGTAGTCATTAGGAAGAGATTTGACTTACTGGCTAGAATCGAGACGAAATCGACCTGGAAGTCTCGAAAATGATCCTTGTTGTCGACCATCAGAACAACAAGTTTGAAAATCTCACTACACACAGATAGGAGAGTGATGTTTGGATTGGCAGATCCCGACCCCACTTTTTTGATCAGCGTTCGCTGTAGGAGAAAGTGATGATCAAGGTGGCCCAGCCGAATTTGCACCAGGAATAACAGCTCAAGTGGAGAACGATTCATGCTCCAAGGGTTATCGATATCGATACGCAGGAAATCTGGAAGCTCTTCCCAGCACTTATTGGTCTTGGTTTCAATCTCCGCGGCCCGGTGAATGATCTCGTCTCGCGGTGAATACCCTAGAGATACCTCCAAGATCTCTTCTGTTATAAGAGCATTGGTCGCAGAAAGTCGGGCAAAAGTACATCGTTGCACGGTCCCTCGTTGATTCCAACCCTCCCCGTCAACCGCATTCTCGAGATCCAGTCCTTCAGCCATAGTCTGAGCATCTGTAAGATCAAGCGGAATTTGGAGGCGACAGTAGTGCCTGGTCAGCTTTGGTGGCCTCCCAGCAAAAGTAGCGAAGTGCTTGTCGTTCTCATACGCGCAGATGAATAAGCGCTTCCGAAATTCGGCGATGAAAAAGGGAGTGTGATCGTCGACCTTGATCTCCTGATGCAGATTACAACAAAGGAGAGCGGTAGCTAGGCCTGAAAGTTTTCTGGCGTTTTCATAGCCTAGTAATGGTGTTAGCTGTTTGACATACTACCACAGTGGCCTTCGCAACTGAAGCCCAGAACTAAATCTTAGATGGTCACTTACTTCCTCGAGTCCGCATAGAGCAGTAAGCAACAGAGTTCTCATACAAGAGCCAGAGATACAAATCGTTCAGCACTCCGAAGTCATCACAAAAGTTAACGCACATCTCGGATGCATTGCACATCCTACGAGCAAGCGCAGCTCGATCGACCGGAGGCTCATCATGAGAGCAGAAAACGGGATCGCCATCTAACAGTATCTGTTAGCGAAGCCGGAAGGTCACGAAAACGCACTACGCCGTACCTTTTAACGATTGAGCAACTAGCGAGACGAGAGTCACAAGAATACCGACAACTTCCCATCTCAGAAACCTACCTGTGACATTCGCACAGAATTCTCGAGGTGTTGTGTGCCTATGGAGCAGCGGGGAAACAGGTCTCAGTGTGTTCTCCCATATTTTCTCCGACATAAGTCTAAGGTCTGCAGGTCTCTGAGATTCAAGAGTCTTCTGCCATGTTGACCACAGGCCAGACGTGTATATCTTTACCATGGGTTCAATCACAACAACGCCTCCCGCAAAAGAGAACCACTTGTCAATGTACTTCTGGATGGTCGGCAGGTCCTTCAGCAACGTGAGTACGGCAGCACCGCTGTCGATGTGTGACTGCGATACTTTCGACATGGGAGTTGAGTCGGCGCTCGGCGGCTGAATGCCAATGCTGAGTTCGTTTTCTGCCAGGATAGCATTGTGGTTGATGAAAGCAGACCGGCTGTCAAAGTCAAGAGCATCGGCCCGGATCTGGTCATCGGGTAGTGGCCTACGCTCGGTAGACTGCTGACTTTGCGACCAAGACTGTGCGGGAAGGCTACTTGCTCGGGAAAATCTAGGAACGAACTCGTCGTATTGGTTGAGAACAGCGCGCGGTATTGAGACTGAGTTACATTCAACCGACTGTACGAGAGCTGGTAGGGATCCAAAAACCCCATTACGGCGCGCACTGTCCAATTCGAAATCAGAGGGGGTACGATTAGATGAACGCTCGGAGCCTGTATGGAATAGGGTGCTGAAGCTGTTCAATTCCGGGCTACTTTGATCGGAACTGGTGCATTGCGGAGTTGGAATAGTAGTCCTTTTCGTCAATGGTGCAGGGTGGTAAACGCATTGCTCAGGCTTGTTTCGTCGGGCACATCTTTAACCTGTCAGCTTGCAGTTCAACATCTAAACCGGACATCAAGCCTACCTTCCACACGTTGGCAGCATGTGGTCACAGCGAAGCTTGCCTTTACGGCATGGCTCGCATGCCTGTAACTTCCCATTGCGGCGAAAGGAAGGATTCCGGCGTTTTTCCTGATGTGAGACCCGTAGTCGTGCAGGAAACAGATTGCCTGTCTAGGTTGGGTCAGTATGGCAAGGTTAGCAGTAGGAAGGAAGTACCCGAACCATCGTGATGGGTATCGTTTGCGGTGGAATGCCGCTGGCGATGTATATTTTCTCGAGCTCATAGCATCTCTCAGCCACTATTCGCAAAGTTTGACAAATACAGCCAAGGTAGTTCGAATGAGAACGATCGAGGAGACAGAAGGTGAGGACGGAGCTCAGCTAAAGTTGCAACACCGAACTCCGGCAGGAGCGACGGACTTGACGCTAAAGCAGCTTATCTAATCGCACTATCGTATCAACATCCTCATTGTACGGAGTTGACCACCATCTAGATTGGGGTAAAACTTAACTTAGTAGATCTGGTTTCCTCTGAATACAAGATTGTATGGGTAAGGTCAATATTCTGCGGAGATATATTTCTCTTCACTTCGCAGGCAGCTATTTCTAGTCAAAATCTTGAGAAGAGTACCGAAAGATAGAAGAGGTCATAGGTCTAATGCAAACGATTAACCAACTCATGCAAATTATGAACGAGGTGCTTCCAAGGCCATCGCAAGAAGCCTCTCAGTATCGGTTAGGTGGTAGAGTCAAGCCATGTGCGTCAAAACCTATCTAGCACTCCATATTTTACAACCATGTCCTCTGGCGTTGGGACAAAAAGTCTCCCCTGCGACTCGGGGGTGAACGGATTGGTCCCATGATGTGGCGTTGGCCAAGACTATACTGAGGTAGATTAGCCGATGAACCGTTTCAGCCGATAAACTATTCTAATATTAAAATAGACTTAATACGTTATCTTTAAACTGCAATATATCTACTACTAATAATTTAATTTTAAATATAATTGCAGTAATTAATTTATAAAATTTTAAAAAATAACTTTTATACCGCGCAGCTGTAAAAATATTTAGTATTAATTAAATTACTTTAGCGCGCTAATACTAAAAGAAAATATAATTAAATGTAAAAAAAGCTTAATAATAAATATATTTTAATTTATAATAAAAATTAAAACTTATATAATATATACAAAGTTTATTTAAATATAAGCTTGCACTTATAAAAGCTATAATAAAAAATTTTGCTTTTAAAGTATTAAAATAAAAAGTTTTTAATATATAAATTACACAATTTTTAAAAAAATATTATAATGCTTTTACTTTTAAATATACTACTAGGATTAATTGTAAACAGCATTTAGCTAATACTAAATATAATTATAAATTATATTTTAATTTTTTTTATTTAAAAATTTAAAAATACAAAGTTAACGCGCGCTATATTTATAATATAAATAAAAAAAAAATTTTTATTAGTATTACTTTATACTTTAAATAAGTTTTTTTAAAGCAACTTTAAGAGCAAAAACAAATTATAATAATTTTATAAAATAATAATTAAAAATAAATAATAATTTTAATATATATTTGTGCAAATAAGAGCGCAGTAGATTTAAATATAATTTTTTAAAAAAAAAAAAATTTTTATAATACTTAGTTACGCAATGTAAAAGCAAAAAAATATTAAGTTTTTTTTATAATAAGTTTTTTTAAATAGTTTAATAATAATATTAGTTTAGCCTAGCTTAAATAAATTTTTAATTAGCATATAAAAAGCAAAGCGCAGGCAAATTATAAAATTTTTATTTTTAATAGCTATAGCAGCTATTTTATTACTAATTTTATAGACTTTTGCAACGCTAATAAGATTTTTTTAATAATATTTTTTTTTTATTTAATTTATAGCTTATAATTTCTAAATATAGTGCTTTTTTTATTTTTTTTAACTACTTATTTAACTAAGCTCGCGCACTACTTTTATTATAGCTAAAGTTTTATTTTTATAAATAAAAGCAATTTTTTTTTATTATTTTAAACTACTTATAATACTATATTTATTTTTATAAATATATAAAAAGTATTTAAAGCTATAAGCATTAAGCTACTTAATACTAATATTATACTATAATAATTTAAAACACAACTACAACAAAAAAATTAAAAATTAATAAATAAAAAAAATAATAATAAAAATACTTAAAACTAGCTCTGCAATTTATTTAAAATTGCTATAAAAAATAAAGTAAAAGTTAAAGCTAAATAATTAGGCTTTATACTATATTTTTTTTAAGTGCAAAATAAGCTTTTTTATTATAAAAATAAAAGTTTTTGCAACGCGCTTTTAATTAAAAAAAAGTATA